CCGTGGGAGGTGTAGTGGTGCGTTTGCAGCCGGTTTGAGGAGAGCGAGGAGAGGCCGGGGGTGCGGCGGCGGTCCATTGTGGGTGAGGGTAGGTGGGGGGGGGGGGGGGGGGGGGGGGGGGGGGGGGGGGGGGGGGGGGGGAGGGGGGGGGGTGAGGGGTGGGTGTGAGTGTGAGGTGTGAGTGTGAGGTGTGAGGTGTGAGTGTGAGGTGTGAGTGTGAGGTGTGGATGTGATGTGCGCAGGTGGGTTGAAGGTGGGCAGACTCGTAGATAGAGAGTAGTTGAGGCTCAAGATTCGAGATATGTATCGGTGGGGCGTGATAAAGTGCTAGAACCCTACCAGCAATAAGAAAAGGCTTGCTATGTCCGGAGGCGCAGGCGTGGTGAAGGTGTCGGTTGTCGCGTGCTGGCGGTATCGAGCGTTGAAGATGACGTGGGGTCGAGCATAGAGCTTCAGGAGCCTCATGGATGAAGCGCCGCGCCATTCCGCGGACGCTGAAGAACTCCATGAAGGAGCAGTGGTGCTACAACAAACGCAGGCACAACCTCAAACACACTGCAGTGATTCTCTCCGTGCCACCTCGCTGCCGTCCTCACTCCACCGAACACGGCACTCCTCAAGCTGATGGGACGGGGTATCGGCGTGGTGGGGTCAGCAACACGCAGAAGATCGCTGCGTGTCAGCTGTGCTGATCCCTTCTACACAAAACAATGTCCACCATGATCGTCAGGACACAGAAACTCAGCAACAACATGACGAGAAGCTGCTCGGAGCGTCAGTAAGCCCTGCTCGGCGGGACCAACCCTAATCTGCATCACGTATGGTTCTCTTCGGCAAAACCATCGGCGGTCCCTCCCGCCCACCAAATGCCCACAGCTCGTCAACGCTATCTGTGGCCCTGGCTCCACCGGACATGGCATTCTCTTAACCTGCAGGCGCCTTGACAACCCTTTGCTGGATTTCTCCCCCGTCCGCAATCATCATCGCCCACCTTTGCTTCTGTGCACGCAAGGTTTTCGCAATGTCGACCTAGGCTGCCGCACGTGTCCGGGCGCCACTACCGTTTCTGGAACATACCATCTGGTAGGATATCTGCAAATACCCGACTGTACAACACCTACGACATCCACCATTCTGCGGCACACGTGGTTTGAGGAGTTATTCCACAGCTCCAAAATGACCCCCTCCATCAACAGCTGCGTGCTGCTACTGGACCTACCTCAAAAGGCACTCGCTGGGATTGACCTGCTCTCGTTCACAACATCACCTAGGTTCAAAGGAGTCAAAAACTTACCGCCTGGCCTACATTTCATATTCGCCGCCAGTGACAGTGCGCTGTCCATAAGGCCTGGAGCATGGTTTTACGTATCGCCCGGGACAGGCCCCCCGCAAGTCTTCGTCAAGAAATGGGATGAACAGACCGAGGATCTGGTCGCCGAGACGTCGCAGACGGAAGTGCTGAGGTGGAAGGCGAACCTCGGGAGCATATGGAAAGACGGACTAACACCGTATCGACAGACCGTGCGAGAGGGGGATTCGGGCGCGGAAGGCGATTGGGAGGAGGAGTCGCAGGATTGGGATGAGCTGACGTCGAGAATCACACAGACGCTACTATCTCGGATATGTGGTCTCAATCCCGATCACTGGAGCTTGACATCTGCTTCATCTGGCTTGTTGGACTTGGAGTCAATACCAGGGCTAGACTCAAGCAACTCCACACAACATCCAGAGAAAGAGCTGAGGTTCCTGCCCGTTGATCTGAGGCGGACGTGGAGAGTAGGAGCAACGGGGCGAGAACGGACCGAAGCAGCACAGGATAGATCCTGGTTCTTGGGAGATCTGATCGAGAACCACAGCCAAGCGGGCGACAAGCGTGGTCGAGAGTTCGAAGTGCTTGGCGAACTGCAGTTTGCTTTCCTCATGGTCCTTACGCTCAACAACAACTCTTGCTTGGAGCAGTGGAAGAGGATCTTGACATTGCTGCTTACCTGCCGACAAGCGATCAAGGAGCGCTCCCAGCTGTTCCTCGAACTGCTGCGGACTTTGCGCGTTCAGTTGAGTCATTGCGTGGACATGGATGGGTTCTTCGACATGAACGAGGTTGGTGGGGGCTTCCTGCGGCCGCTGTTTACAAAATTCCGGAGAAACCTGGACGAGTTTGACGGAAAGTGGAAGTCAGATATGGTGGACGGTTTGGATGAGCTGGAGGACTATCTGCAGAAACAATTTGGCTGGGAGCGCGGTGATTCGTTCGTCAAGCGCGGAATGCTGGATCTCGAGGACGGCGAGCGTGTTGAGATGGACGTGAACGATGCAGACGAGGACGACGAGTCTGGCGACTACGCTCCAACAATCGTCGAATTGACACCGACGCAACTTCAGGAGTTGAACGGAAGTGATTTCAGCTACAAAAAGGGTGTTGCCGAAGACTCGGAGGAGGAGGCTGAACTTGACGACATGGATGAGCGGTATTGACAGCGGGATCAGACTTGCATACGAGAGCACCACTACCAGTCGGTCGCACTTCATTCCGCATCAATCAACACACAAGTGCTGATCCTGCACGAAGCGAACCTTATCTTCAGAGCTTGTCACACTTCACGGGCAGTCTTATGCCCGCAAGTCGCTTGCACCGCCTGTCGCAAAAATAGCAGGCGCCTGCAGGAACAGCGCTAGGGCGGATCCAACCCCATGGTGCAGATCATCTTGCGGTCAGCACAGCCTTGCGATGCCAGCAAGCACAGCAATTCAACTCGATTCCATGTGCAACTATCCAGTCTTTCCACACGGTCTACAGCTGGCATTCCCAATTTGCATCCTGCATACCGTTCAAGACTCAATGCATGCACGACGTCTGTCATATCCGAAGATGTATACACGAAGTCGCGTGTTTGACGCGCCAAGTACCAATTTCCTCCTGCAGTCTAGGCGCCCGCCGCTTTGGGGGCCGAGTTCGCGAACCTCGCCTTCCCCTGCACCGCCAGCATCAAGACTCTGACATTCCTGGCAAGCCTTAGGCCTGAAAAGCACTGTGTGGTAACGCGGAGACTCAGCTGGAGCTCACTGTCCAATGAGACGAGTGCATGCTTTACACGTCGTTCGACAAAAAATGCGCTTCAGCCTGATCGTCGCCAAAATGAGGGCTGTGCTCGTGCCGCAGCCTCTCGCCTGGCACAGGGATCGAGGACGGTACGCCTTGAAGCTGGGATGACTGATAATATAAACGTTGCCGGTGAGCCTTGTGGAGATTGAAGACCTAATTTTCCAAGCTGCTCTCACAATACAAAAGTTCTTTGTTCGCCCAAGATCTATCCAACGTCTACTTGTCGCGACTCTCAATCCAATCCCCAGAATTCTGCCAACCTACAGCTTTTGACAAAATGGAGAAGCAAGGTGGTGAGTAACGACATCTTTTACCTCTGAACTTGCAGCAACCCGCATCCTATACAAGCTCCCTCTGCTTTGTCGCGAATTCTCAACCAACACCTCAAACCCTATACTAATCTTCTACAGTCCCCATGCAGCAGTACCCTCAATCGCCCGACGTAACAGGCGCAACCCACCCACCCCTCTACCACCAAGATCCCGCCGCTGCGCAATACCAGCAACAGTACCCTCAGCACCCGCAGCAGCCCCAATCGCCGCCTCCCCAACATGTGCAGCCCGGCCAGCCCCAGGGCCCACACGAGCATCAGCAGAAGGCGTACCCGCACCCACAGCAGCCCGGCATGCCGCCCCAGCAGCAGTCAGGGACTGTGTACCAAAACGCCACGCCGATTGCGAGTCTGGGGCGCGGGCCCGCGCCCGCGGATTGTCCGGCGTGTGGGCAGAGGAGTATGACGAATATTGCGTTTGAGACGGGGAACACGACACAGTAAGTCCCCCAAAGTCCCCCAAAGTCCCCTTTCAAAGACTCGGGCAAAGTCAAGAAATGTGTGATCTGGAGTCAGTAGCTAATGGTGGATAGTGCCTGGGCTTTCGGCCTCTGCTGCTTGTGTTGTCTGGGGTGCATCCCGTATGTCATGAACAGCCTCAAGGATGTCACGCACAAGTGTGGGCGCTGCGGTGTCTTGCTTGCGACGTGGCATAGGAGTGGGACTACCGAAGTCCACATCCACTCCTAGACGTGTTTTGTCCAGCGAGGTGAAGCGCTTGGCGGAGTTGATTGTTGGCAAGAGAGTTGAGGCGTTCAGAATGATACCCGGGGGACGCAGGAGTGGTAGTGTGCTGAGGTGGTGGCGCACAGGCGGTTGGGGGGTGTTGAAGTGTTGTTCGTATACCCTGAATTGATCATTGTCGTTTTGAAGTCAGCTCAAGTACCTGTCAGCCGTTCTCGTGATGCTGTGACGCTGTGTGTGCGACCGACTGGCAGTGGTGCTCTCGTATGCAAGTCTGATCTTGCTCACCGGTTTGGTGTCAGTACCGCTCATCCATGTCGTCAACAGAGAAAGATGAGACTTCGCGCTATCTGTTGGCTAGAGTCTAGTTATATATCAGTTCCAAATTGATTTGATGAGATGTGCTGGATGCAGTCTCAGAAATACTCGAGTGATTGCAAGGATGGAAAAAGCACTGTGCCTGTAGGCTGATGGGAGAGATGGGAAATCACAAAGAAAGTCCAGGAGACGTATAGATTGAAGGGTTATGTAGTGACACGTGCGCACAAGCCGACATCACCGTCATGCTGCAGAAGAAGAAGAGAAAGGAGAGTGGGGAAGACCAAGTGTCTTCGTTGCTCTTCAGTCTCGCAGGAACGTTTGTGTGTTGAATTCGTACTCCTGCATGCTCATCTGCTATCTGCTGCTCCACTCAACGCCTCGCGAACTGGCGATGCTCTCGTCCCAAAGCCTCATCATGCTGTCTCAGCAGCTAGCTCAGATCCTCAATGTCCTCAAGCACAAGCGGTGAACCAAAAGGAGAGGAGGGCTCGACCTTCCCCCTACTGATGTCATCACTGGTGGGCCTATCGAAACCATTGAAGCCAGCAACATCGCCAACATCGAGACGTTCGTGGTTCCTGGGTCCATTGGAGCCGCCAAGTTGGCCGAGAAGGCCAGCAAAGTTGCGCGTCTTTGTGGTGAGGACGGAGAGGTCGATGGCTGGGGATTGGAGTGGTTATTAAAGAAGCTTGAGCTTGATGTGATTGAGGAAGGCGTTTAAAGCGGTCGGAACGAAGACAGCAAGGTGACTGCAGGCCCAACATCTGAGCTCACTGGCACAAAAGTTCCGAACCTCGTCTTTACTAGACACATTGTAGTCATTTCTGCATACTGCTCAAAGATAAGCAGACTTAGAAATAACATCGTAGTAGCCAGATGCGCACCTCGATATCCTTCCTCACCTACCCGCAGAAGCTTGGCCGTCCGTCTCAGGTCTTGGTCTCAACCATCATTGGCGCATGGCCAGCTTCAGCAAGTCCAGGAGTTGTAAAGGGTTCAAGTGTCGAAGGCGCTAACAGCTTCAGTGCGGTATTGCTCTGTGAAAACCGGCACTACCACAGCTTCATCAAATTGCTTCAAACAAGCTGCTCCGGGATGTGGCTCAGAGGTGGAGTGCCCGCGTGCATCGTGGTGTGATGTTGGAAGCCGGCAGCATGTGAGTTGTGTGCGCTGTAGCACACAGATTACATGCATCACTCGTGTGCGAATGTTTGACGAGCGGTTTTTCGACAACGAGGCAGTCGGAATCGTTCTGTTCCATGGTATTGGAGCATCTATGCTCAACTTGACACCCTGCAAAAAGAAGGCAGCATCACCTTTCTGGCACACCAGTATCTTCCAGCTCGGTACGTGATCAGACGTACGTAGATGTGTAGAGTGGGAGAAGCAAAAAGATGCCCATCAAGAGCAAAAGAGTGGAGAAGCAGGTGATCGAAACCTGGGCCTCCCGCAGATCATCGGTACTCGAAGTCGTAACTGGGAGAAGATGCAAAGCGGGCGCTCTACCACTGAGCCACATCCCCGAAGGAGCTTATTTGAAGCTATTAGATGAAAGTATGGGATTTGAAAAAATATAATATAGTTAGTTGACAGTATGGCGGGTCAGTCTTCTGTCTCGGTGGGGTGAAGCGCGGTGTGAGGGTTGCCGCGGTCTGGCACGAACATCAAAATTTGAAAGGTGGCACGAGCATCGAGCACTTCTGGCAACCGATTTGCTTGGCGGATGCTTCCCTGTTGAGCGTTATTATATGGCAACAACGTGCAGTCAGACTCTCGCGTTGCAGAGACAACATCCAGTACGGCAGCAGCATTTGCATAGCGCATTGTCGTCCTATAACAGTCCTTCAGGTTGCAAGTTGCCTTCAAATTTGCACTAAATACCTCCCAAATTCTCGTAGAAACTTACACTTACGTCTGGTGCTTTCTGCTACGCAAGGCGGACTGTTTGAAAACTGGACTGAGCCAAGTTCGATTGTTTGATCTCTATCAGCTTGCAAGTGCACAAATGACTACAGCAGATTTCCACTGCATCGAGTAAATTTGCTATAGGAACTGTAGAGTTTGGAGTGGGTGATCAGGGTTGGGATTGATGTGCTGGACAACATTGCATGCTGGCGTTTCTAGCACAAGAGAATCAGCAAAAGACTACAAAAATTCGAGGTCTCTGCAAGATAGACCGCGGACCCACGAAACTATTCCAGACGAGCTGTTGAAGCAGCAACAATTATTTTCGAACGAGATTCGGATGACCACGAACGACACAAGAGATACACGAACGCAAGAAATTACGCAAATGGCCTCCTGTAGCGAAACTCGCCTAGATTGTAATCGTCTTACCAACCTGAACCATGCGAAGGCCTCCACAGTCCATGACGTCTCATCTACATCCCACAGCCTAGCACTGCCCACCCCCACTAGTCTTTCTACTATCTGCCACCCTCTCACGAATCCTTCGTCTTCTCCAAGATCGCCCTAATCATCTCATTTCCCATCTTCGTCGCTTCCGGAAACCTGGGCTCAAAGTACTTCTGAATGCCCTCAAACTTCTCTCTATATGTATCGAAGTGGCCCAGACTGACTCTCTGGCTCCAGTCGCGCGCGGCGAACGTGAACTCAAGATCGTCGGCGCGAAATGTGTTGTCGTTGATGGCGGTGTCGATTGCTTCTTCGAGGAGAGATGAGTTGCGGAACAGCGACTCGGTGATGCCGAGCCACATGCGGAACAGCTGTGCAACATATCAGCTTTGTTTGTGCAAAGGAATGGAAAAGGAAAGGAGGTAAGACGTGGAGACGTACAGGCGTAGAGCAGATCATGTGGTCGTACGGCACGATCCCCAGTTTCCACCAACAGTCCACGATAGCGAGAAGACTGAGATGATTGTTCTTCAGCTTCCGTTCTGGCATCTCACCCAGACTGAATCGATCTAGCAAGTCATCTCGCAGCAGCAATTCCTGTCCTTCTTTCTTCTCGTGCGCGCCGCCAAACACCGCTTCTCTCGCAGCATACACACGGCGCGACAGCTCGTCTCGGTTTCCTGCGAGCATGAGCTTGAACAGCTCCGTCACGGACTCGGCGTACTGCTTGATCTGCTTTTGGGCATCCGGATTCAGGATTGCGAGACCAGCGTATACGTGCCACTTGTTCGCGTAGATGCGCAGCGTGATGTTGATCTTGACGTTCTCGATGCCGCCGATGTAGCGCGGTGTCTCCCAGGGGAATTGGTTGTTGGCGGACCATGCGGCGCCCATGCTAAGGAAGGCGGCGTGCGTGACGGCTTGCGTGTCGGCGGTGATGCGGTCGTGTTGTTCGCGGGTCAGGTAGACGTGCTTCGATTGCAGGCACGAGAGGACCGTCTCGACGAAGGTGAAGTCCGCATCGGAGGCGCGGTGCTTGATCAGGACGAGTGGTTGGCCTTTGGGGTCTACACCAGGCCCGTGGAGGGAGTGACAGGATACGATGCTGACATCGGCGGGGAGGTGCTTTTCGAAGGCTGCGATTTCTGGGGCTTTGCAGGAAGTTTGGCCGCCGACGATGGCGCCAACTTTGGTGGCTGTTCACGAAGGTTAGTCGAAGCTCGTCAAGGACGAAGATTGCATACACGGTCCGAAGGCCTTCACAACGGCGTCGATGTTCTTCGCTTCGACGCTGTAGATGATGTAATCGCTGCATCGAGAGACAAAGTGGCCGCTTAGCATAATCTCAACTTTGGGCTGGAGCAGTCTCAGCATGCTTCTATTGGTGATGTACGTAGACTATCCTACAAGGTCCTTGAACTCTTCCACCAATGTATCATATTTCTCCGGGACATCGCAGGCGTACACTCTTCACGTCGCGTCAGTCGTAGCTCATCTGTGGGCACTGGTTAGCAAGGTTCAAAAAGACGTCTTTGAACAGTGCGAAGAAGTTGTTGGGATCAGAGTTGTATAATTTAAGGTAGCGAGAATTCACATCATTGGCAGCAACACGTCCAATTACTGCCAACCAAGACGGTGACAGTGTAGCCGTGCGCCACACTCGAGCCAAATGCACTCACAGTCATCATAGAAAGGGAAAGGAGAGAAAAGGTAGAAGCTGACTTACCAAGTGCAAAGCTTTGGGACCCGTGCCGCGCACTCACTTCCATCCCGCTGCGCTCAGCCTACGCGCGTACATCTTCCCCATGTCGCCCATGCCGATGATGCCGACGCTCTTACGGTCGTCCATAATGATTAGGGTGCACACTGCAGTGCGTATGTTGAGCGCGGTGTTCAGCCCATGTTGAAGGGTTGGAGGTGCTGCGGCGCGTGAAGAGATAGCTTTTCTACCACGCTAGCAGACGTGACTAAGCAGCACTTCGCTTAGCTGTGGGGCCCACCTCAATAATTGCAAAAGTTCGACGACGACATCCGCACCCTCACCAGTCACTAATCCACAGCCAACATGCCTCCCAAGAAGAAGGTCGAGCGCGGTGCGCAGGAGAACATCCAGGTACGCGACAACAGAGTGGTTACCATTGTGACGCGAAAAATACTTTCGAACGCGCATCTAACACTGCATGCAGCTTGGTCCCCAGGTCCGTGAGGGCGAGCTCGTCTTCGGCGTTGCCCGCATCTTCGCCTCGTTCAACGACACCTTCGTCCACATCACTGATCTGTCTGGCCGCGAAACCATCTCGCGTGTCACCGGTGGCATGAAGGTCAAGGCCGACCGTGACGAGTCCTCTCCCTACGCCGCCATGTTGGCTGCCCAGGACGTCGGTGCGTACACAACACACACGAAGACAGGAGGAACAACAGGCTAATGAGAATTCCAGCCGCCCGCTGCAAGGAGCTCGGTATCTCCGCCCTGCACGTTAAGATCCGTGCCACCGGTGGTAACCGCACCAAGACCCCCGGCCCCGGTGCCCAGGCCGCTCTCCGCGCTCTCGCCCGTGCTGGCATGCGCATCGGTCGCATCGAGGACGTTACCCCCACACCCTCCGACTCTACACGCAAGAAGGGTGGTCGCCGTGGTCGCAGACGCTAGAGGTATGCGCAAAGCATCTGTCTGGCTTGGTGGAGCATGGCATGGCATTACTCAGGTATATGCAATGGCAGCACGATTTATGGTTCATGTTTCATGACCTCAATCACAACAAGGTCGAGGGGAACGGCAAATTGCCTGGTCTCCCTGTTGAACTTGGCTATCCCGTAGAGATATGTGTGTAGTCAGGGTAAAGCAACAGAATCCTTTCCTGTTCGAAAAGATTCCTGACAATGAAGTGCTGTTGTGTTTGATGCATTACGATTACGATTACTATGACTATGCTGGGGCTGTGAACATGTAAGCTCGGTCATACTTTCCGCGCACATAGGCTTCCTGCGCACTCCACCCAAAGCAGCCATACCTTGTTGGGTTACGATTATCATTGTCAACAACAACGATTATATTTGCCACTCAGTACACGTCGCTCCGAGGGGTATTGAGTACTTGATCTGAGACCTCTGAGGTCTGGGTATTGACTGGTGATGTAGTAGGCCGGGCTCATATTTGAGATGACGAGAGTACTAGTTGAGGATTTTATGGGCAAAGCCCAGCAGCTCTCCATCCAGCTTGTATACTACGCTCTGATAGTCCTTCCCTTGCTTTGTTGTACGATACTACAAAGCGCTCCTTCTTGACAGGTGCTGCATCAAGGGCAGAGAGAGCTCGGATTTGATCTCGGTACTTGAATTCAAGTACTGAGAAAGGAGCAAGATCTAGTAGGCAATGAAATGGGGCACCCAGAGTTGCCCTAGAGGCTCATAGTTGCCGTTCGTGTGAAGGATTCGGGTGGCCATTTCTCGTATGCGTGGGTGAGAGGGTGGTTGTGCGCGTGAGTCCTCATCGAGTATCCAATCTACTAGAAGGCGGTCTTGCTCCGGAGTCAATCGCCGCTGATTTTGATGAGCTGTCGCGTGTGGTTGTTGACCTTGTAGCCGACTGCGCAGCGTGGATTCAGGGACCTTGTGCCAAGCAGCAGCCTTCCGCTGGCTTGTAAGAACACCAGAATTGAGGTCTGCGATAGCAGATTGTATAGCGAGCTCCCAGGACCCATTTTGACTGCGTGGCGTTGATAGTATAGAGCGTCAAAAGCTGGGTAACGCGTTGTGGTGGGGTGCGCGGGAACCCTATGTGCGCAGAAAGTACACGGTCGAGCTCAAGTCGTGCTATATCTCAACGACCTGGATCGGGTTGCCCAGCTTGCCCGTATTACCCTTCATCTGCGCCGCATTCACCAGCACGGTATGCGAACTCTGTCCGCCCCACACCCTATCCCACAGCAACTCCCTCACCCCTCTATACACCACCCTCACCACATTCCACCACAACCCCATATCCAACACTCCCCTCGTATAACTCGACTCCGTCTCCATCCCCTGCACATACGCCTCATGCGCGCGATTCCAATGCACAACCTCCGTCCCCGCACCCCAATGCACATGCCCAAAAACATGCAACAAGGGCTTGATCCTCTTAACCTCGTTGAGCAAATGCTCGCACCCCAGTGACTTCGGCAATGCGAGGTCCAAATGATACTTCGGCGGTGTGTGCGTAACCAGGATATCGATGTCCTCGGGCACCGTCTCGCTCCACGCATCGCTACCCCGCGCGTACTGGAACGCGTGCACGCTCATAGGCCCACAGGCCGGGATCTGCGGGGCGCCATAGATACGGAGTCTCCTCTGCGCGCCATCTCTGAGCAGCGGTGATCGCGAGTCTGTGGTGGGTGTGTCGCGCGGTGTGATTGTGAGCGTGAGCAGTTTGTGCTGGAGATAGTGCACCCTGCCCCACTCCAGATTTCCCTCTCGCTGTGCGGTGGAGAGCGAGGGGCGTGCGCGTGGGTCGAGGTAGGTGTCGTGGTTTCCGCTGATTACTATGATTTCTTTGTGCGGTAGGGAAGAGAGCCAGTTGATTTGCGCTTGTATTTCTTCAACACTTCCCTCGTTCGTCATATCGCCAGCATGGATGAGGATGTCGCCGCCGGGAACATCGTCAGGGATGTGAGTATGAGTGTCTGATATACATACTACGCGGATTGCTGGTTCGGAGGGTTTTGGTGTGGAGCGCAGACGAGTGAGGACATGGTATAGTTGGTGGAGGAGCAGTTTCACGGGGGCGCGGAAGAGCAGCGCAGGGAGCGGGGTGGGTTCGAAGTCATCTTTAGGGCTACGCCAAGGGTTCAGGATCTCGAGGACCATTACCAGGGGTTGGCGAGCGTGCTTGGTGGAGGGCTTGAGAACCTTGGTTCGAGGGGGCAGTGACAGCATCGATGGGTGACAGGGTCCAGGGATGGAGCTAGCACTTGATTGATCACGGAACGTCTTTCAGTACTTCTACACCATCACGCATGGATTTCTGCTTTTCGTGGAATAGCATCATTTGTAATGAGATATGTTTGTCCAATCGATGCTAGGTCAGGGCTTGTTGGTGAACGGCAGTTCTGTTCGCAAAAGGCAAACAAGCGGCTCTGCATGGCGGTGCAAGTTGTGGCTGCTGTGGCTTCCTCGAGTCGTTCTTACTCTTGCACTTGACCTCGAACACCACAATCATAATGTCGTCCAGACTTTCCTCAGCTACAGAAGCAGGCTGCAATGCTTGATCAGGCTATCGCTTCATCATGTTCACCGGGCCCCACCTCGTCATGAACTATTGGTCTGAGGCTTGCAGTAGAGCTCAGCTTGCGGGGCTGAGCGCGCATAGGTACATGCAGTATAAACCAGCCTTGTCCGGTTGGGATGGATAAGTATCAGGCAGCTCATATTCCCTTCCTCTCTTTCATACACATCGTGATATCGTTTCGTAGTTTGTGAAGGAGCCGACATGTCAGGACTCGAGATCCCAGGCCTCGCCATTGGCGGCATCTCTTTCTTCTTCCAAGCGTTCGCAGGATGCATCCAAGGTCAGTGCCCCTTCCGATGAGACGTCAATAGCTGCTAATTACCTTCAGGCTACGAGCTCATTGCAGATGCTTGTCGTTTGGAGAAGACCTATCAGAACATCCTGATCAAGGTCAAGATCGAAGAGCATCGCTTATTCGATTGGGCAAGATCCATTGGCCTCGACTACACGGACGAAAGACTTGTCCTCAACCACATGTCGAAGAACCTGATCATGGGCATCTTGGAACAACAGCAAAAGTTACTCTTCACTTTCGGCCGCCTCGACAAGAAGTATGCCAAATTGGCCAGTCCGTTGCTGGAAGAGAGACGAGAGGCGTTTGTATTTGATGCTGAGCGCCTTCTTGAGAATGGCGCCGGTACACAAGCGGACGGCAATGCAATCCGGTTTCCTCAAACCAATGACCTATTACAAAAGGTTCGTAAGTTCACAGAACAGCTCAAAACAGCCCCCCAAAGGCTCAAGTGGGCTTCATTGGATAAGGAGAAGGCGGAAGGCTTGGTCGCCGATTTGGTGCATTTCAACGACAAGCTACACGAAGCGCTCGACAAAGCTCAACGGAACAGTCTACGGGAAGAGCAGCTACGCACGAGCTACCAGATTGTGCTCCTGAATCGCACCATGGAGAACCTTGTCCAGATCGTCCAATCCCAGCGGATAACGTCTTCGCCACAATATCCTGCTCTTTTGCACCGCTCAGAGTCGGTATATGGCAATCCCAACAGCCGCGCCATTGCCCGCCAACCCCACACGCGACCACTTGCAGCTTTAGCACAGATTGCAGCAGTAAATCTTCAGAGCGAGGAGGACCACGGCATCGGTGCTGTCACTGATAGTTTCGTGGATGCTCTCGATCTCAATCAATCGGCAGAAGAGATCCACGATACCAAGATCGAGCTCGCTGATATCAAGACCAATACCAAATGGGACGACATAGACGAAGCTGACCGGACTGAGGGAACATATCACCACAAAAGCGTCTGGATCGAATGGAAACTCCCTGAACAAGGCCCCGTACAAACAAACGGCACCGACTTGATACACGAACGCATTACAACTCTTGCTACATTGTTGAGGGAGATGAACAAGATCGTTCAATTTCGTGCACCAGAATGCCTCGGATATTTTGAGGACGAAGACAACGGCCGTTACGGATTCGTCTTCGCGAAGCCAGAGCACGTAGCAAGCAACGAGAGTCCTACAACTCTGCACTCGCTTCTGTCCAAAGAGATGCCGCCTCTCGCAGACCGTATTACTCTCATGCGTCTACTCTCCGAGACCATCGAACAATTCCACGCTGTAGATTGGCTGCACAAAGGCTTGCGCTCATCCAACATCCTCTTTTTCAAGAACCCAGACACAGAGGCAGGCACAATCAACTTCTCCGATCCTTACATATCCGGCTTTGAATACTCGCGGCCCGCTCAACGCGACGACATGACTCAGCGCCCATCCGACGATCCAGGTGCAGATATATACCGCCACCCCCTCTCGCAAAGTGGTAGCAGTTTCCGAAAAAGCTTCGATCTGTACTCGTTGGGTGTTGTGCTACTCGAGATTGCGTACTGGAAACCCATCGACGAGATTCTCGAGATTGCCGATATCAATAAGGCTAGGCAGAAGGAAACCGCCAGCGCCAGGAGGAGACTGCTGGAAGATGCGCAGTATCAGACGCACATCAAGGGCCATCTGGGTGTCAGGGTTCAGGATGTCATCTGGTCTTGTCTCAAAGGGCCTGAAGGGTTTGACCTGTCTGCTGACTGTGATGAGAAAGATGCTCAGATTGGGGCGCATCTGCAGTGGGAGTTTGGCGAGAGGGTGGTGAAGAAGCTTGCACAGATGAAGGGCTTGTAGTGGTCTTTCCTGGCCTTGTGCGCCGTCTGTTGCTTGCTACATGCTTTTATCAAAATAAAGTTCTTGCAATCACCTCTATTTGTAGACCCGCATCGCTTTGTTAATGTGTAGTAGTTTGCGCGATTTACATCAAGCACATCAGCCTGGAGTCGGATGATACGCCTTGTACACTTGCATTGCGCCCTCAATGCTTTGAACCAACCCAAAGAAAATAGTAAGAAGCACAACCAAGATAGCGATCCAGAATGTATACCACTGTCCTCTGCTTCTTCGATCGTACCAAAATTGCCGTATAGATGTCAGACTCGGTTGCTCAAATCTTTCCTTCAGCTCGATAAGTTCGTCGCGCCAGAACTTGAATTTCTCGACTCGGCGATCCTGTGGCATGAGTCGATCAAGGCGTAGTAGTCCCAGGTAAAGCTGTGTAGATTCTCTCATAGGTTTTGCTTCACGTTGGAGCCACCTCTTTGTGGGCATGTCGTTACGCGGGAAGAGTAGTGCAAGTGTTCGTAGGGTCTCTTCCAAGAACCCATCGGGAAAGATTGCGCTAGGGACGTCTGCAGCGAGACTTGCAAACACTTATCAAACACTTACCTGTCTTGGCCTCTGAGGAATGCTACGTGGTGGAAGACACACAGAGTGGTGCCAGTCCACTTGATTTTCAGACCAGCGTATCGTCGAATGTTGAGAGCATGGAAGAGCTTTCCAAACTCTGGCGTATCTGGAACCGAGCAGCTTTCGGTGAAGTAATTCCCAAGGAGCGCTTTTATCCTTGCTGTTCATTGGACCAACTGAGAGGAGTGTGGCCAGGATTAGGTTCCTGGGAAATAGGGCCAACATCGACCATAGCGACAAGACGGACAGCGAGCCTGATGGATCTTTCAGCGATTCGCTTCAAAACATCATCCTGTCTTTTCTGTGCATAACATCCGACCAGAATCTGTCTCAACTCTTCTTTTGTGCGGCCTTTCTCGAGCCCGTTGGCGATGTCGATGATGTCTTGATGCTCTCTAATGGTTACATCATCCCCACTACCTTTCATAGCTTTTTTACACTCATCTCTGTAAGACATGAGGTAGGCGTTCCAATCCGAGGTTTGTTCAGGCGAAATCTGCACATCGCTCTGCCAGAGATTATTGATGAGGTTCGCCCAGTCATCCGGTCCGGGATTGGAGGGAACCGGATACGACAAACTCCAATATGAAATGGGTCGCCATTTGGTACAAATGAGAGCTCCTTACCATGATAGTCGGCTAGGCGGCTCCTCCATAGTCGATTCTAAAGTCACCGAGAATTATATGCTGCCGCAACATACCGCAGACCGCACGGCCCGTGGAACCCAGCTTTCGATCCACGAAATGTACTGCAAATACGGCGGCTCGCTTTATGAAGCTAGTAATCTCGAAGACTTAGAAGACGATGAGCGGACAGAGGCTGTATTCAGGAACTCCTCCGTATGGATCGAGTGGAAGATCGCAGATCAATTTTCGCTTTGGGCTGCAAATGGACCTCACGATTCTCTGGCCGAGGAGCGCGTGAGTCAGCTCTCAGCAATGCTTGAGAACAATAGCAACGATCCGTACCAGTTCTGCTTACACCGCGGCCTCGGTTACTTCGAATATGAAGAGATGTGAAGAGATGGGAAGATTTGGTCTGGTCTTCGAAAAGCCCAAGGGAATGCCTGAACAGGCACCTGTGACGTTACATAGTATGTTCCTCCAAACGGATCGGGATGGTGATATCATAGTCCCCCCTACCTCACCTGTCACATCGCGCTCATGCGTATCCTATCAGAAACGGCCGAGCGTCTTCATGCCGTCGACTGGCAACACCAGGGTCTTCGCTCAGCCAACATACTCTTCTTTGAGGATCCATGGATCTGCAAAATTGATTACGCTACACCCTTTGTATCTGGCTTCCATTACTTCCATCCTGCTACAAGGGATGACATGACTCAGAGACCCTCAGACGATCTTGCAGCTGATCTCTACCGCCATCCTTTCGCGCAGGATTTTTGCAACCAGCATTTCAAAAAGAGCCATGGTATCTACACTCTAGGCATCATCTTGCTTGAGATCGCTGTTTGGGAACCCATTGATCGGCTTCTCGGTATCGACTTCGGGGAAGTCCGACCAAAAGATGCATATCTCGTCCGAGATAGATTGGTCAATAGAGAGCCCAGGTTCTTGGAGCAGGTCAGAAGCCACCAAGGCAGAGCCATCGAAAATGTTATTGCGATTTGTCCTCTGGGACTAGAAGGATCCGGCCTCAGCAAAGACTTTGACGAGAGCAGTGAGGAAGGTGAGGCCATGTTGCAGCGAGCTTTTGGTGAACAGGTTGTGGCCAAGTTAGCGGGGATCAGAGGGCTGTGAATGAGCTTACACGGATTTCCTTAGGTGTTTGAATGGACTTCTTTCCCCACGGTGTGTCGCGCTCGTAACGAAGCTCCTACTGCCAGACAGGCTTCTTCAACTTAGCTGCTAGACAAGTCATGCGATCGGCTTAATCAATGCCAGGAAATGCCCACACTGATTTTACTATTGAACACTCGGGCATGGTAAGCGCATCCCATGTTGCACTCAAGCCATCTTAAGCATAAACCCCGCCCCCTTCTCCCCCTCTTCCTGCGCCGAAAAAATGCTACTAAAATCCACCTTCCCCAGCCCCGGCGCATCGCCTCTCTTTGGCGCATGCGGACTCTGTTTCCTCCTCTTCTCCTGGCCCGCCTTACTCGGAAATGTGGGAAACATCTCACTCGGCTTCGGCTTGGGCTGTTCCCTGAAATAGTCGTGTTCCAGTACCGCTTTCGCAGTGGGCCGGTCGTCGGGGTTCAAGCTAAGCAGTGAGGACAAAAGCTCCACGCCCGCGCCGCTGAGGAAGGGAAAGCGCGTGCGATCAAAAGACTGTTTGTTTCGCTGCCCACGCGGCAGTTTCAAACTCGGCGCGTTAGGCAGTCTCCAAAACCCAGGCCAGCTCTTCTCCTCCGGCAATCCACAGAGGCTGAATATACGGCTGAGTTGATCGACCTCGTTCGTGCCCGGCAGCACCGGCGTCTTCAGCAGCAACTCCCCCATCACACACCCCATACTCCACATATCGACCTCCGTTCCATAATTCGGCGTGCCCAACAGTAGTTCCGGTGCGCGGTACCACAGCGTGACAACCAACTGCGTCAAAGGCGCGGACGGGGGTGGTATGTACCGCGCCATGCCGAAGTCAGCGAGTTTCAGCTGTCCGCGGTTGTTGAGGAGGATGTTGGAGGTTTTGAGATCACGGTGCATTATGTAGTTGTCGTGCAGAAATGCCACGCCTCCCGCCAGTTGCCGTAACAACGTCTTGACTTCAGAGGCGACGAAGGGGTCGTGCATGTCTTCTTGCAGCGTCTTGAGGTCGTGCTCTAGGAACTCCATTACCAGGACACACTCCTCTGTGGTGTCGCCTGAGACGACTTCTTTCAAATCGACGATGTTTGGGTGTCGCGCTTTTTGGAGGATGGCGATTTCGCGGAGGGCGGTGATGGGGAAGCCGTCTTGGTTGTAGTCCATCTTGACTTTCTTCAGGGCCACGACTTGTGAAGTTGCGATGTCTTTTGCGCGTGAAACCCATCCATAGCTTCCCTCTTCGATGTGATTGAGAGTTTCGAAGTTTGAGCGGTGGTGGCAGGGTGCCCACCGCCCTCCTTCGAACCTTAGTAATTTACGCTCCTTTTCGGGGTCCTTTGGAGTTCTTGCGGTATCCTCTGTAGTGGCATCTTCGCTATTGGAGAGTCGCCGACGCTTTGCTGGCCGTTCTGAAGCCTCTTTGGCTGCTCGGGCTGCTTCTCCTGCTTGTTGTTGTTTTTGGAGCTTCAGGCGTTTCTTCTCTTCCTTGTCCTGCTTGCGGCGGAGAGCTTCTGCCTTGTCGGCCTCGTCATCTGCCCAGCGTGAGGCCATTATTGGAGTGGTTGGTAGAGTATCGTAAATTCAGATGTCCGGATATAGCCGCTAGACGCACTCCAGTTGCTGTTGCATGTGTGAAGGAAGAAGCACGTGTCGACGCCTTCATGCAGTGTCATGGCCATAGCTCCTCCGCGTTCCGACAACATTTTACACTCGGAACGCGCAGACGTCATGGACCTCCTTCTGCAGCAACCGCCATGAGAGCCCAATCTCTCAGTCTGCTCCGCACAGCGACACGATGTAGTCGCGCGCGACCACACTTGATCAGCTCTCTGCCCGCGCGACGTGCGCTTCGCCTGTCCTCGACCTCGGCGCCTTCGAGTCCCCCAACACCGCCGGCCACGCCTCCAGTGCCGAAAGAGGGAGAGCGGAAATGGTCGACGCCGCTCGCACAGTTCCTCGGCCAGGCCATCACAACAACAGGGCCTATCTCGGTCGCGGCGTACATGCGCCAATGCCTCACATCTGAGCTGGGTGGGTACTACACGCGCACACCCACCGTGGGCGAAGACCAGTTCGGGACCAAGGGCGACTTCGTCACCTCACCAGAGATCAGCCAGGTGTTTGGCGAGCTGATCGGGATATGGCTGTACGCCGAGTGGCTCGCGCAGGGCCGCAAAGAGAAGGTGCAGATCATCGAGGTTGGACCTGGCAGAGGCACGCTGATGGACGATGTGCTGCGGACACTGTCGAGCTTCAAGAGGATGACGAAGAGCATTGAGGCGATCTACCTTGTTGAGGCGAGTCCGCATCTGCAGAAGCAGCAGGCGTTGCGATTGGCGGGAACGGAAGAGCTGGAGAAGAGCGAGGTTGGGTGGAAGGCGAAGTGCAAGTACTTCCCCGACTGCGACATTCAGTGGTGCGAAGACATTCGATTTGTGCCCAAAGGTATGTCAAATGTGCCTCTCCAAGCACTTCAATTGCTGACAATGGTGCAGATGAGACAGCCACCCCCTTCATCCTCGCCCACGAATTCTTCGACGCCCTACCAATCCACGTCTTCCAAAACGTCCCGGCATCCTCAATCCCTGCATCCTCGACGATCATGACACCCACCGGCCCCATCACCCCCAAACACGGTCCTACAGCGCCCGGAAACCAATGGCACGAGCTCGTCGTCTCACCCACGAATCCGTACGCTTCCACGCCCAACCTTAAGCCTGGCGAAGAGAAGCCTGATTTCGAAATGACCGTCTCCAAATCCCCGACGCCACACTCGCTTTACCTACCCAGGATGAGCAACAGGTACAAGAAGCTGGAGAAGACCGATGATGCTATCATTGAGATCAGCCCCGAATCACTATCTTACGTGTCTGACTTCGCAGTCCGCATTGGCGGGAGTGACGGCGCCGCCTCTCGACCATCGAAACCGGGGAGCGCGCCGGCCGCAAAACCTGTGTCTACGCAGGACGCGCCGTTCAAGAAAGCGGAAGCGAGTGGTGCGGCATTGATCCTAGATTACGGGACGACCGACACGATTCCTGCAAACACGCTCCGCGGAATCCGCCACCACAAAGCCGTTTCGCCCTTCGTCGCCCCGGGGCTTGTCGATCTCTCCGCAGACGTCGACTTCCTCGCCCTCGCAGAGTCAGCACTCGACGCATCAGACAGCGTCGAAGTCCACGGCCCTGTCGACCAGTCCTTTTTCCTCGCGACCATGGGCATCAAGGAGCGCGCTGAGAGGTTGCTGAAGAACGCCAAGGACGACGAGACGAGGGTGAGGTTGGAGATTGGGTGGAAGAGGCTCGTTGACCGCGGGCCGAATGGCATGGGGAAGTTGTATAAGGCTATGGCCATTCTTCCGTATGTTGAGGGGAAGAAGGTTAGGAGGCCTGTTGGGTTTGGTGGAGATATTATGGGGTGAATGTTGACGAACTCGTGTACGATATGTTAGATTACGTTGGACCATGTATAGTGTACAAGGTGGAAAAGATTAGTGGAAGGGTGAATACCACTGTGGAATGTCTTGTATCGTACAGGCAATGAGACCTAAGCACGCAATCCTCCTTGATCTCAAAGCCAGGCATAAAGTCTCGAAGAGATACACTCCCTTTACTTGATCAACAACACGTAGCTGTTGTACCTAGAGGCTCGTGTATTGAGCATTTGGCAGCTGGAGATATTCACGTTGGACATCCTGAAGCAGGGTCTCTGCGAGGCTTAGCGCGCCCCACACGCTAGCGTCTCCGCTAGGGCCGTCGAACAAAATTCGCAGCGAACTTTTGCGTTTCGACTTCGACGGCACGATAACTTCGCACCGGACACCAAAATGGCAGCCACGACCGTCCCAACGCAAGACAATATCCTCGTCCCCGAGACGCTGCTGAAGAAGCGCAAGTCGCAGGAGAGGGCTCGCGAGGAGCGTGCGATTGCGACAAAGGAGAAGCGAGGTACGCTGGCACCAGGTGCCGTGGGCGAACACGAGGAGCAGGCGATCGCGATGATTCTAACTACCAACACATCGGCTAGCCTACGGGCAATGTTGCTGTCGTTAACCATCTTTCGGGAATGATGCGATCGCCCCTCGTGGAGTTCATTGCACAGCTTATAACGCGAGCAAAAGCTGACTTTGAACAGACAAGAGCAAGAAGAAGCGCGAGGTTATCTTCCAGCGTGCTGAGAAGTACGTCAAGGAGTACCGCGATGCCGATCGTGAGAAGATCCGCCTGAAGCGTGAGGCCAAGAAGCAGAACGAGCTTCACGTCCCTGCTGAGTCGAAGCTCGCTTTCGTCGTCCGTATCAAGGGTATCAACAAGATTGACCCCAAGAAGCGCAAGACCCTGCAGCTCCTTCGTCTGCTGCAGATCAACAACGGTGTCTTCATCAAGCTCACCAAGGCTACTCTCGAGATGCTGAAGATCATCGAGCCGTTCGTTGCGTATGGTTACCCCAACCAGAAGTCCGTCCGCGAACTCATCTACAGTAAGCTTGCTCACCACAAACACTCACATGAGCTTTACTGACCCGTCCTGTAGAGCGTGGATATGGCAAGGTCGACAAGCAACGCCTGCCGCTGACTGACAACGAGATCATCGAGGAGAACCTCGGAAAGTACGGCATGATCTGCATGGAGGATCTCATCCACGAGATCTACACTGTTGGCCCCAACTTCAAGCAGGCCTCGAACTTCCTGTGGCCATTCAAGCTGAACAGCCCCAACGGCGGCTTCCACAAGAGGAAGTTCAAGCACTTCGTCGAGGGCGGTGACCTAGGCAACCGGGAAGACCACATCAACGAGTTGATCAGGCAGATGAACTAGGTACGATTTGTAAGGGCGTTTGTGTGTAGGGTTGTGCATGGGTTTCATGCCAGCAGCAATTGGTTTGGTCGGATATACCATGGGATTATGCATTGCAGCGGCGTTTGGGAATGAGATCACGGCCAGTGCCAAAAAGGGTCGACATAACGACTTCACGTGCAAGAAGCATGAACGAAATTAAGCAATTCCTGTTTCGCCTCATGTGGCACCGAGACACATCACTCATTTTTGTAAAGGCAGACTTTGCATGGGTGTGACACCAGTGACATGGTCTCGCAGCAACACCTGCTCGATGACTGCCCGACGGAGCTACAATGACCGTGGTCCCTTGCGCGGCATGCCAGGCACCGAAGTATTCGTAAAGGTCGTCGTCATGGCGGTCAGGAATGTAACATCTCAAAACGCAGTACAACGGCACGAAGTCTTCAGCCGGATACGATGGCCTGCTGCCTGCCAGAAAATCTCGTGATGGTCGCGAGCCGTGACTGGCGATGTTTGACGTTGAGCTCAACACCAACAGATCGTCACCAATCTAGCTGACAAGCCGAGCGCTTGGTTGTAGAGGTGCATGCAAGGGGCAGGTTCAACTTTCCACACCCAAGTCACGATTTTCTTTCACGTGGGCACGCTTGATTACGGAGTGTCGCGGGCCAGATGTGCGAGGTGCGCCCGAGGGGCTGGGGTCGCCACTCTTCGACTCACAAGGTGACGATGTTTTCTTCGTAGAGTGGGATGCATGCCAGTGAGAGATGGAAGTGTACGGTGTATGACGCCCACCAGCATGTTGACTTGGTTGCCGCCGACGCTCACCTGCGGGCACACGGCTGCAATGTTTGATTTGGGGTTCGATTCGCAAAGGCCAGGCTGATCGAGGACCCTCACCCCTCATCATCAGCGCTGCACGCTGTCGGCGTCGGTCATGATTGCGACCCCCGCCCAGGTGGAGTCAAGAGGATGTGAGCAAGGCCTGACTGCCTTCGATCCCTTGGGCCAGAATGCCGTGGGATCCATTTGGCTCTAAATCCGACATCGTCGACCGCGGGCTACGGCCAGAAGCGGGGACCTCAACTTGCTCATGCGGCCACGAGGTGCACGCATGTCTGGCACAACTTTCACGCGGGCGCGAGGGTCCGGCGAGTGCCTTCTAGGAGAGTGAAGGTGATGGAGGCGCGCGCATGGTCGCAGGCACTGCTGGCTTTTTGTTATGGCTGCAATATGTTTCTCGTGTACACGGACCGCATCTATTTATGAAGGCTGGGTCAAGCACAGGGCAAGGCAACTCGAATCGAAGGGTCTTGCACTCTGGCGCAGATGACAATTGCAATTGCTGTAAGCCGGCTGTTGCATGCCTTGGCCCTCCCAAACGGGCCAGTGAAAAGGATGGGGACGGCAGCCGGATTCCACGGAGAGGAGGCGACAAGAGCAGCCCACACACGACGTGGCTCGCTCCAACAAGGGTGGTCAGAAGGCGGTCCCTGGAACCGTTCATTGGATTGCGCTTCGGGGGGTGCAAAAGGGTGCAGCAATTTGTGCCTGACGACGCAGCCAGTGCAGCGGTGCTGAGCACGGCGCAGAGTCATGCGTGGCCGCTGAGCGCGCTTTGCGGCCTGGTGAGGGTTATGACGGGCTAGACTGCATGTGGCAGAGTTTTCACCTGTGCACGGCAGATGAGTGGACAGCTAATGAACGATTATTACGCAGACACGACGGGGCCTGTGCTGGGGTGCGAGGCCTGCACACGCCTGTGGACCTGCGAGGGCTTGTTGGCTTGGAGGAGGAACGGGCTCGTCGAAGGCCCCTTCGCTAAACGGCCACGGCCGGGCAACCAGAGCACATTGCTAACGAGCCGTGTCTGCATCCCTTCTCTTCACCTCTCCACCCTCTCCCATCCTCACCCTCTCCCCCCAAACCTTGCAGGTTGCAGGCGCTGCTCGAAGCGACTCCCGCCGCTGAGCCAACTGCTGCTTCGCAACAGCCGGGCTGACTTGACCGTCTACACGCAGCAAGCGCACGCTCGGGCATTCCTACACGCCTCCGGAACCACGGCTCTCCAGAAGTCCAGCATCACCTTTGCCCGGTGACTGCACCCTCCGCCGCAGTTGACGTCGTCTCCCTCGCAAACCACCACAGGCTGTGCTGCGCTCACGCCGGTATTTTGTTCGTCCGTCAGCGCACCTACGAACGGTCCATTCCTGGTTCGCGGGTCACCACCTGAACCAAGTTTTCCTTGGACGGCATCAAACCTCATCGTTGGCTCATTCATCGTGAACCACCGTGTGTTTTCTTTTTCGCCTCGAGTTTTGGACTGTATTGCATCTGGGTTTCGGTTTCGAGCGTTGCTCTTTCCTTTTTTTCCGCCTTCTAGGTCGCGCCTTCCTCTCGAGGTCCCAACCAACCGGTTGCTCACCTGCAGCTCACAACGACCTCGCATCACCGCGGCGATCTATTCACTTAGACTTCGCCCTTCCTCGCGTTTCAGCACTTCACACGCGCTTCGACAACCTAGTCTCTCGACGCACAAACCGCGTCGCCTATTTGTGGTCCCAGCTGCGACACCAGACTTGCCGACCTCACCCCGGCTCGCGCTCTTCGACGTCAACGACGACCATTGTCTGACCGAGACATTATTCCTAGTACCTCTCGACGTTTGTCTTGATTGTTCCACCGCAAAACCACAGAATATTTGCGACAACCCTCCTTTGTGCATGACCGGAGCCGTCTAGAGCACCGTCACGCTCACAAAAGAGCTCACGCTCACCACCCTCCGGCGGCATCGAACGAAGAGACTGTACGTCACACCACCATCGTGACAGCGATCACAACCTTGCCAGCGCACGACTTGTACTAATACATCGCACAGGTCATCGTCCGTCTCTCGTTTCTCTCCAACACCTTAGCATCAACATGCCGTCCTTCTACCCCAGGCACCAGATGCCTCGCCAGCCGTACACACCCCCAGAGTTCGTGCCTAGCTACCACTCCTCCTGCGGAGGCATGCCCTACCAGCACAACGCCTACTCTGGCCAGTCGGCGACTCGCCAACAGGACGACTACGACTATGCCGACCGCTACAGCCAACTCGCCATGGCTATGCCACCTATGTACCCCCAGGCCGGCACCTACATGAGCCACGCTCCTCCTAGTCTCCCACCACCGAGCTCGTTCTACGATGCTGGCAACACTTTGCCGCCCATGCGCACCCACGAGCAGGTCATGCAGCAGCAGCAGCAGCAGCGTGCGCAAGAGTACAACCAGCGCGCTCAGCAGCCTGCAAAGGAAGAGAAGCCTGTTGGCGGTGTATCGGCCAAGCTGGACTACGATATGGACGTGATGACCGACTTTGTCCGCGACATGGCATTGCAGCTCATCACACCCGGACGCATGGAGCCCACCTCTTTCCGCAAGTGGGTGTACCAGGTCCTCTGCGCTACAAGACTGCCGTCTGCCACCATCGTGCTCAGCATGTCGTACCTGTCCATCAGGATGCCCATGCTGGCCCACGAGCCCAAGACCGACACCCATCTTTTCCGCCTTCTCACCATTGCGTTGGTGCTTGGCAGCAAGTTCCTGGACGACAACACGTTCATCAACCGCTCATGGTCAGAGGTCAGCGGCATCAGGGTCGACGAGCTGAACAGGCTCGAGATGGAGTGGCTCAACGCCATCGACTACAAGCTTCACCGTGAGGCTACAGAGCACCAGGGCTGGAACACCTGGTCAGAGAACTGGAAGGAATACCAGACTCACGCCAGCCGAAGCAACAAGCTCAGCCCCATCGACACCTCGGTGCACCGCCATTCTTACAATGCGAACAAGCCGCTTCCTCCTCTGCCTATGCAGCAGGCCTACCAGCCCTCAGCGTACGAGCCTGCTCCCAAGTCTGCTATGTCCTCATACAGCTACAGTGGCTATGCTCAGTACGACCCTTGGAGATCGTCCGACCACTCTCCCGCATCCGCACCAACCACAGGACCCACCACCCCGGAGTACTATGGTGCCGCCGGACCCTGGGCTCCCACTGAGGGCTACTCACGTCGCACCATGTTCGGCTTCCCCCCCCTGTCTCAGCCAGCCCACTCTCAGCACCACCACCAGCAGTCGACCAACTATGGCCCACCTGCTTACCAGTCGCAGTACAACGCCTCTGCCTGGAACCAGCACGGTGTGAACTGTGGCTGCATGTACTGTGCGCAGAGGCACCAGCCGTACTTCATGGCTTCTGGCTTTGGTCCTCAGGCTATCACTGCCTAAGCGATGCATCCGTTACGACGCCTTCACCTTCTTCATTACATATTCGACGCTCGACTTTACCTTGACGCCCCGTTTGTCTAAAAGTTTCTGTTCTCTTCCGCACTGGCATTCGGTCTACTCTCTAGACTTCGCCGGTCACCGAATATACGTTCGTAGCATCCAGCTCGAGCCTGCCTTCGCCGACTCGCATGGCCCCTCCAATTCTCGGCGCGCAGAGTTTTGCCTCCGCCATCTGCACGCATATCGGCGCCATTCCGGATCTAACGAAAAACGCATACACAACTTGCGGTCATATTGCATGATAGATTTCCATTTTCTCGACCTAAAGGGTTCCGTTCTTTTGTTTTCTCTCCTTGTCTCCTGTTCTAGACATCGGCTTGTTCTGGGTCTTGGGCGCACGTACAGCGAAATTGTGGGATTTGGCGTTTTGTCCCTTTGGCCTGCGTGCCACAAGCAACAGTTTTGGGTCCGGTTGGCTACATCGCCGCTTCTAGCGCGACTTTTGTACAGCCTTTTCTTCACGATTGTCTTTGAACAATGTTCACTTCGGAGAACATATTTGCGTTTAATGGTTTCTTCTGCGAGGCTGGCTCTGGTAGCACAACCTGCCGCTTCCGCTTGGCCTTCGATCTTCCACAGTTCTCTGGTAGGACACCTTGTCCTGCCGTCATCGAGACCATCGAAGGCCCTTTCACGTTCCCGGTTACGACTTATCTTTCGACCGTCGCCTTTCGAGCCGGGTTGTAATTAATGGCATCAGATCTACGACGGGCGTTTCTTTCATTGCGTGGCGGAAAATACCATTTCTTCAGGGCTCCAGATACCACATAGCATAGTTTCGGGCGACAGGCAAAGGCCTGTCTAGTGTATTACTGCGACAAAAAGCAGGGTCCTGATAGTAACATCAAAATACGAAAAAAAAAAAGATATCGGAAAGCGGCAATACCGCGAGGAAACAAACACGTCTTCAGCTTCAACTTGCAGTGACTCGACTCGTCTACATTTCACTTCATCAGACGGTCAAGGGTACAACACTCGCTGTATCCAACATCGGCTTGATGAGCCAAGGCGGTCAAGTACAGGCGAGCACTTAACGTTAAAAACAAACTCGTCCATCTCAGCATGCCCGCAGCCCCCGGCGATGCTAGCAGCATGTCGGACAAAGAGACAGGCCGCTTCCGTGGTGGAAGTCCGCGCGCGAGGACCGAACGATTCGGCGCTGCAGCCAATCACGAGCATACATCATTGTTAGTCGGACGACTTTCTTCCCTACGTCAACACTATCTCCGTCAAGATGCGTTGTCTCCGCAAACGCGCTCCTGCTCGCGCTCCTGCTGGCGCAAAACATGCGGCGCATTGCAATTTCACCTCCGCTACTTAGTCCGTCTTGGAGCCTGCAATCGAGTGTATATACAGCCTCGCTGTCGCTCCGGTTGTTCAGGCGCTTCATCAACAGCTCAATCGCATACCGCAACGTCCGGAGTAGTGCGAAGCAAACAGCTGGTCCTTTTTGGCAGACACCGCAGTTCAGTACCACGGCCAAGATGAGTTCGATTGGCGGTGCTGGAATTGGCGCGGGTTTGTATGCTGCGGTGAGCAATCCTGCGCAAGTTGCTGCGCAGCCAGAGGAAGCGAGGGATAAGAGGCATCATTTGAAGAATGGGAAGGGGTTTACGAATCCGTGGGATAGTTATACGGAGATGGGTGCTTTACAGATCTTCTGGGCGATTATATCGTACGTATCACTAACTCCACTGCTCAACTGTTGTGGATTCGACCAGCTACTGACATGTATGTGTAGACGCAAACTCACCGGCCAAGCAAAAAAACCAGACACCACACCCCCCACCGTCCCCGTCCAAACACCCACGTTCCTCTCCACCCGCAAAACCCCCAAGCTGAGGGCTACATGGCTCGGCCACGCGTGCTACTACGTCGAGTTCCCCGGCGGCCTGCGCGTACTGTTTGACCCCGTGTTCGAGGACTGCTGCGCGCCCATCAATCTGAAGAGCTTGAAACGCTTCACGCCGCCGCCGTGCGAGCTGGAGGACCTACCGGCCGTCGATGTCGTGGTCATCAGCCACAATCATTACGATCATCTGAGTTATCCGACGATACAGCGCTTGCAGAAGCGCTTCCCTGAAGCGCATTATTTTGCGCCGCTGGGGAATAAAGTCTGGTTTGAGAAGTGTGGGGTGAGCAAGGTGACGGAGCTGGATTGGTGGGAGGCACGAGACGTGAAGCTCGAGGCCGTCACATCCGACTCCAAAAGCAACCGCACAGGTTCCGTTCCCGTCAACGGCGAAGGAGGTGTGGAGGGCGACATTACAGCCACCATCAGCGCCCTGCCCTGCCAACACATCAGCGCGCGCACACCCTTTGATAAGTGCAAAACCCTCTGGGCTTCCTGGAGCGTTGAGAGCGGCGGGAGTAAGGTGTATTTCGCCGGCGACACGGGGTATCGCACCGTGCCCTCTCTCCCCGAAGGCGTCGATGATTATGGTCCGGACTTCGCGCACCTCCCTGTTTGCCCGGCTTTCAAGCAGATCGGCACACACCGCGGGCCTTTCGATCTGGGACTGATTCCCATCGGCGCGTACGAGCCGCGCTGGTTGTTCAGTGCTGTGCATGCGAATCCCAAGGACTCAGTGAACATCTTCGTCGATACAAAGTGTAGACAAGCGCTTGGTATGCATTGGGGCACGTGGGTGTTGACCGAGGAGGATGTGTTGGAGCCTCCGAGGAAGTTGAAGGAGGCGCTGGAGTGGAAGGGCGTTGAGCCGGGGAGGTTTGGGGTGGTGGATATTGGGGAGACGAGGGAGTTTGAGAGAAGTGCCTAGGGGCTGGGAATGGGCGTGGGGAGAGTGTATGATACACGTTGACGCGAAGGATGGAGCGTTTATAGACCAGATCCTTGTAGTATTATTAATCTTCAGACTTGACGAATTGTGTGTCAGGGGATGTCATGGTGCCAATGCGCGGCCTAGTGAAGGGATGCTGAACTTCTCCGGAAGTACCTCTCAAAGCGAAAGGGTTGTGGAGGAAGATACCATGGGCGGACGGGTTGAGTGAGGAGTGTCAGATGTAGTCTTCATCCACGGTGGTAGACCGCCTTACAAGATACAACGGCTTGGAAGTAGAGGCAGCTCTACAACAAATGACAGCACAACATAATATACTTACGAGAGTACGGTCGACGCGTGAAGGTCACGAGAAGCAAACTCAGCCAGTCAAGTGTAGGGTATCAATCTTAAAAGAAGGCCACCCAACCATTCACTGGTTCACCACGTGGCCAAAAGAGACGTTTACTGTGACCATGGTTTCTTTCTTGCTGTGAATCTTCTTGTCGTGTATCAGAGTGGAACTTGAACTTCCGCAGGCGAACGTCTTGCAGGTACATATGTCGTGGTTCGTCATCATAAGCCAGTGGCTCTCGGTGCCTTTGCACCTTCTCCTTGCTTCACTTCATATACACGCCTGCATTCATTGCTTATGCTGTAGCAACAGCTTGACAATTCGCTCTTGTCCGTATTTTTAGCCCATCACAGCGCTGTGCCCCAGCTCTCGTCTTTCATGTTGACGTTGACCTTGCCAGATTCCGGCAGCACCCTAACAACTTCTGAATCCCCTGTCCTTGACGCCCGTAAAAGCGACGTCCACCCATGGTGGTCTAAACAGTTGACATCGACTTTCCCTGAGCCTAGGAGAACTTTCAATAGCGTTGCGCTGCCAGTACTCGCCGTTCACCATAGCAGAGACCGTCCTGTGGCATCTCTCTCGTCAACAAGATGAGACCCGGATCTATCAAGCAGCAGCTTGCACATTGCCCGATCTTCTCTGCCTACTGCGAATGACAATGGTGATTGCCCTAGCTAGCTCTTCACATTGACATTGAACATTCCTGTGTCAAGCAGCTGTTCTACGATAGCTGTGTACACTCCGCTTATCGCTAGCCATAGTAGCGAGTTTCCGTCATTGTCACTTGATCTAAGATCGACTTTCTCGGAAGCAATCAGCAGCTTGGTAACACGTATCCAGCCACGCGTTTTTGTGAAAGGCTCTCGTCTTACCTGCTCCCGTCTAGTTGACGGTTCAATCCCTTGTATGCGCTCTGAGATATACCATTCGATATCTTTGGCATTCTCTTTCTCCACGGATACCGATGAAATGGTGTCATGGCCAATAATTGGATAATGTCTTGAAAATACGCAGACTTTCACCTGTGCTTCGTCTTTCCGACTTGCTTCAAAGACGACGGAAGTACGTTAATAAAGCTGTGGCAGGACCATCACCGCACTCATCCAGTGCATCGACAAATATCGTTACTGATCGATTCCCTGTCCCTTTTACTAGGATCTCACTCAACAACTTTGGTTGTGAGCTCGATAAGATAACCTGGAAAAAAAATCCTAGTATGGAGCTCAACAGCGCACGAAACACGCCCAATTCTGTCCTCTGCAGCTCGGTACATTGTCCATAGATAAAGTACGATGCGATAAGCTCGTCGGGTCTTCGTCTCCTCTCCTTCTTGACAGCATGCTCCATAAGCACAGATTTGCCGGCACCTGGATTGCCTTTGATCCAAAAGAGACCACGGCAGCTGTCTGACCAAGTTCGATGTAGTGGAATACTGCAAAGCCACTCGCGTGTGTTTGCCGCGATGTGTACATCGTTATATCGGTTCTTGCTCAAAGTAAGAGAGCAATCTTAGACAATCTGTCTTTGGTAAGTCTGTGGGCGCAGCATTGACGCGACATACGTACCGAAGTCTTTGTCGAACAAGTCCAGCGACGCTGCAGTCTTGTTAGCTGGTGCGTTCAGTATCATGACTAGAAGATGAGGTCATACCCAGTCCAAGAGCTGTATATCCATGCTCCTGAATCTCCCTGCGAAGCCGTCGTAATGCAATATCCTGCAGTATCTCAAGCCGTCACGGGTAGCTGCTTCTTTGCAAAACCGTATCCTCCCGTGTCCAGCTTTTTGATTTCCAGTCCCATCCCCGAAGTCGTTGAAGGTCACCTCCTCACCCTCTTTTCAAGTGTGCGAGAGTATCGTATAACAAGAAATAACATCATCATCGCTGATCAGGTACTTTGTCAGGCTGAGCTTGCCAATGTCGCCGATCTCGAGGAGTTGCATCGCGGTTTGGGGCGGTCTCTAGCTCTTCGCCGTGTCAAAATCATGGATACGTATGGCAATCCATTCGCCTGAACGAGGTCGGACTCTGCGTTCTTCCCCAGTTCATTTGTTTGTTCGTCGAAATCGATAGTCGAAGGTACCTTGATGATTTGTATGAGAGTCACTTTGCGTGAAGTTGCGAACAATAACGACATGACAGTACAAAGCCTAGAGCGTTGTCGAAGCTGGGAGAACAACAGGGCGAAACAAGAAGGCTGATGGGTTCCAGGCTGATGCATGGAGCGCAAGGCAGTCGTGTCTGCTGCGGCTACTGAACCTATCATCTACCTGCCCAAGCCTGCAGGTGCAGGGCTCCGCGCACCATGGCTGACCTCATTACTTCCTCCTTTTCTACAGTATCGTCACAGCGCCGCTGCACATTGTCTGAAGCCTATGGGGCAACACGATTGTTTGAGCGTTTATCTGTCAGGAGGTTGCTAGTTAAACTCGAAGTTGTGAGGTTGCACGCCAGCTTAGACCCAGCCAACCACAAAGAATGAGCTTTGGCTCAGCCCATCCATCGTGGACCGAGACACGAATATCCAACGCCTCCTTCATTGGTCGACCAGCGTCTCCGTCCCAAGTTGAGCGAAGCAAAATCTCCAAAACATTTGTGAAAGTCTCTTCTGTCGAACATTGTATGAGAAGAAGCGAGGTATTGCATGGAATGTAGACAATGAGGACCATCGCAGCGGGTGATTTGGGTATATAGTTTATTTAAATCCCAAAATCATCACATACGACCATAGGACGTTGAAAACAAGGCTTCCCGTTCGCTCAGCCCTATTTAAGCAACGTACCGGCGGATTAGTAGTTAGGTGGGTGACCACTAGCGAATACCCGCTGTTGTATGTTTTTACTTTTTTGCTGTACCTCTAAACATCACCGTCCTTAATGAAAGCGAGGGTCGTCCTCCTGATGGCGGAGTACGAATCTTTTTGGACCAGGAAGGTAAGCACAAACCTAGCCTGTTCTTTTCACCAAAACTACCACAGAGCACGAAATAAGAGAATCACCTTTTCTAACTTTTTTCCATTTCTTGTTTCCGATATACAAAAAAATTACGATTACTGATTACAATTACCCGGCAAACCGAGCTTGGTAGTCGCGGGAGTACCGACAGGCTGGCTGGGGGATCCGGCAGGAGGAGCGGCAGGAGGAGCAGAATATCTAATAGGAGGAGCGACGAGATCAGTGCTGCTGGGAACGCGACTAGTCGAGGTGATCCTGCCAGTGGAAGTGACCGTCGCAGTACCGTTACCGGTGATGTAGACAGGAGGAGCCGGGGGAGGAGCAGTGCAGTAAGCCTTGCAAGAAGTGACGGTGATGGTGCTTGTTGTCGTGGTGACATTTTCACTAGTAGTAACGGGGCAGACGGTGGTGGTGTAGGTGGTCAGCTCCTGGGTCTTGTTACCGGTGGGATAGGGTGTAGGAGTGACGATGATGGAGGTGGGGTCTTACCGGCGACGTCCTTGGAGTGCAGGCCATCGCAGATGCAGACATAGTCGCAAGGGCTGCACTTGCTGCCGAAGATGGCTTCCAAGACGTAGGTTTGCTGGAGAGTTGTCAGATTTGTTTGTGGGTACTGACGTCGATAGTTTACATACAACAGACTGAAGGAGCTTCTGGACGGTGCCAATGATTTCGTTGTCGCACCTCTTGGAACAGCAGAGGCACTGTACTGAGCAGTGACATAAGACGTTATGGTCAGGGCCGAGGTAACGTAGGTGGTGCTAGTGGAAGGCATATTGCTAGACTCGGAAGACTTGCTGGAAGAAGGAGGGACTGGGGTGTAGACCAGAGTATCAGCCGAGTAGATTGATTGATTGGTTTCTCAATCAACCGAGTAGACAGGAGGAGCTACTGGAGTGTAAGCTGGGTAGACGATGGAAGAGACTTGGTAGGCCATCTCGAAAGAGTTATAGTCGGCTTCGAACGGAGAACGAAAGTGAGTATGTTCAAATGCAGGTGTTCAGCGAGTGATGCTCTTCCATGTTCCGTCTCGGTACACTCATTATATAGAAAAATGTTCCTCGCCAACCTCACCTCGACCGTTTGCGACATTTGCTAGTATTTGCAACACACTCGCGGTGACGTGCGAGTGTAAAATAAACGCCACACGCATCCGGATGATGTGTTTGTTTGAAGTTGAGCACTGTGGAGTTTACTGGGTCGACGTTGCGCTGCCGGATTCGGCCAATACTTGAGGAATGTAACCACCACCAATGGAAATTCTTGCGCAAACCTTAGCTGCTATAGGATTGGATGCATCTGGAAAAACTCCCGGACAGACCCCCGATCTGATGAGGCGCAGAAAGTGGCATAGCGTGCGGCTTTACTACTCTGCACCCAGAGCAGCGCCGCAACTTGCGGTCAGCCCGCTGCGTAGTGCTGAAACACACTTGAGCGCACATCCACGAGAGCGTAGCATCAGAGAAGGTTAATCGTGTGGGGTATGCTGTCATGGACTGTTGGTCTCATGAGGTCTCTGCGATGGGCTGGCAATGCAAGCAAGCAACGTCGTCATATCGACTGGAACTTGCTTCTCTTCTGCCTCATCCAGCCATCCGACGATGCGCGCGATGTCCCTGATCTCATAGTAGCACTCATAGTGCTCTTTCGCATACCGTATCGCACGTGAACGGTCGTCTGTAGCGTCGGGATCAGGCTCTGGCTGGTTAGCTAGAAGGTTCTCGTAGTAGTTGTTGAAGTATTGCCGGTCACCCAGTCGGCGCCGCATTGGGTGCTTCTCCATGTAGTCTCTGTAGCAGTACGCTAGAGAGTATGGATCTTGTCGTAGTGACCTAGCTTTCTTTTCTTCATGGAGTATGCGGGCGCATCTTTGGGGAAGGTATGATCCGTCAAATTGTTCAGACATTGTGGTGGCCTTTTCTGTATGAGATATGATAGTACAAGTCATCGAGCTTAAGCTGTCGTTGAAACGTGCGACAAAGCACAAGGCTCTTTGTCTTGGGTTACGATTTCTGAACATATGTGAATCATGTGCAATAAGAGGCAATCGCTTGTCGCTTTGTAGTACTGAGACAAGCGCATTCTTTGTGCTGTGATCCGAGATGTGTAGGTAGCATGGACTCGACAGTATTGTACGTGGCATTCGAGATGGCGGTGTTTCGTCTCCACGTGCGAAGTAATGTAAAATTCGAATGCAGCGCCTTGCTGTCTCTGTAAGGTGTCAAATGTCCATCTCGACCAAGCCAATCAACGCCTCATCCCAATCCTCGTTCTAGAATACTCTTACAAATAGAACATATCTTATCCAAGAGCATTGCCCAAATCATGCTCCTTGATATACTCCCCACCCTTCTCAGCCCATTCCGCTTTGGTGATGAAGTTGCGCCTATTCTCTTTTTTGCCTCCCCACCGAGCCGCACCTCGCCAGCTGTCGAGGACGCAGTCCTTTGCTCTCCTGACCTTCATACTTTGCTCAGCAGGAAGCACAGCCCTCAACTCGTTTCTCAGCCTCTCCTCAAAGCCCTGGAACAGTGTGTTGCCACCAGTCAGGAAGATGTCATTTAGCACATCATCGCGGCGGGGGTTGTTCGCAAGTCGCTCGGTGAGGATCGTGGATGCAATCTCGATGATGCCTGCTTGATCGAGTCCAGCGATGGAGGGCTGGAACACGACCTCAGGGACACGGATACGCTCCACGTTGAGATGGAGTTGATGTGCTTCGCGCTGGGACTCGGAATCGTATGGGTACGGGCCGTGGAAAAAAGCATGCAGCACGCTCTTCGTCCAGTCTGTCTGCGCTTCTCTTGTTGACTCTTCTGTGAAGTTCGGGTCATGCATGAGCAGCTGTGCTTCGATGTCTTTCAGAGATTTGGTCAAATCTTCCTCCTCTTCATCATCTGACCCCTCGCCCGTCGCGATCGTACGGTATACACCCCAATCCGCATCGTCAGCACCAAAAGTATCGTCATCCCCGCCGCCACGGCGGCGCTTCTTGGACGGTGCATCGGAAGCGAGGTTGGCAATAGACTTCATACGCATCTGATTTGCAAGACTCTTGCGGTTGCCCAGCTCCGCCTTGAGGCGCTCACGATCCTTGATCTTTTGCACGATGGCTTGGCGGGCTATGCGGCGCTCGCCAATCCAGCCTTCTGGGTCGGTTTCTCGTCGCTCGTCGTCAAGACGTTGTTCCTCTGCCTGACGAGCCTTCTCTTTCTCCTTCTCGACTCGCGCGCGCAGACGTGCATCGTAATTGGACTTCATCAGTCGTTGTTGCCGTTTCTGCTTGATGCCTTCTTCGTCGAGCTGGTCGTCAGGTACTTCAAGGAGGGGGAAGGTGGGCTCTTCTTGCTGCTCTTCTTCAGCGTCGTCGCCGAGGTCCTTGTTTCGTGTCTTCTTGATTGACTTCTCCAGCTCCTTGACCCTCTTGTCGAGCTGGCCCTCGTCGTCGAAGTCATTGGACTCGAGCACCCGTGCCTTCTCCTTCTTTGTGGTGATTTCTTGTAGTTGCGCCTGTAGTTGTACGTAGTACTCGAATTCCTCCTCTTTCTTCTTGAGCTTCTCCAGCCGCATCTTGGCGGCTTGGGCTTGTAATCGTCTTCCACTCTCTTTGCGCTTCTCAGCTGCTATTGCTAGCTCTTCCTCTGTCTTCTGAACGACAACCTGCTCGATGTATGGCGCCTGAATGATGTGGTCGCGGTCTTCCAGCCCTGTCCAGTCCAGATAGCGGCTGAGCTCCTCTTCGTAGTTCTGTGATACATAACAGTGCTCTCTGACCAGATCCTCGGCCTGAGTGTCGCTGATCTTGCCGGGGAACGAAGGGTACTTCAGCCTCAACAGCTTCAGCAGGTATTGCGCAGACTGGAAACGCCCCCAATTGAGTCGTGTGGCTTGTGAAAGGAGCGGTTTGGCGTCGACAACGGGTATCAGGTGGGTCGAGGTATAGGAGGAATCGACGACCAAGCCGTTGCGACCGCCGTTGTACGAGTAGGAGAAGAGCGAGTCGACGCCGTATGCGACGGAAGGCGCGCCATAGCATTCGAACAGAATTTCGGACATGGCTGTTGTCGTCTTGTTAGTGACCCCTCAAGATTCTTTGCAGTGCGCCATACGTACTCTTTCTCGTGTAGCCCAAGTTGGCGACAGGCTCGGTCATGACGATGGGTCTGTCTATACTCCCTGACCGCCCATCAATACCCATCTTGACAAAGCAGTAGTCCAGCACGCCCTCCATAGCGTCCCAGTTATTTATGATGTTGCCTCCAGGTTCGTATATAGGCTTCGATTGCCCGCGCGCGGTGCCATCTGAGTAGACGTCTGAGCCTATGAAGGTAAATGTGCGGTTGAGCTTGCGATCCCTATACCGCGCCATATTTGGTAGCACTGAGAGACGCGGTTTTGAGTCGAAAGACCATCCTGCGCGTACTGCTGACGACCCTGTAATTCATCAGTATTTGCGACTAGTGGATGTCCATAGCTGGCGGTGGTACCATTGTCGATGATGATCGCTGTATCGTGATTGCTGCGCGCATAGCCCTCGTTGTCGACTGGTCTGTAGCCCTCGAAAGGCGGCTCGCTCACGTTCCAGATGCGCGCTGGCGGAGGCTTGGGGGAGTTGCGCCCTGAGGTAACCGGCGCATCGCTGATCGCGGAGGGTGCCATAGTCGTGAGGTCGTGAATCGAGGTGGAGCTGGTTGAGGAACGTCTATATCATGTCGCGTGGTCAATGTGTGGCGTAAGCAGGTCACTAGCGCGCAAGTTGCTGGAATTGTGTTGCATGCTCGTGGTTGATGGGAGCTGCGAGGCATCACGGAGTGGTCAAAGCACCCCCGAGGTGTTGTACGCTACTGAGCTACTCCAGACTTACACTCGCAATATTACGGCATAGCAACGAAGCGAGTGACTTGGAAGAGTTTGGAGTTCAATTCTTGCTTTTTGTTGTATCGTATATGGGTATCATTGTGTACATCGTGCATCCCGTCTCATCGATCATGACTCCGTTTCTCCTTGACTTCCAATAGCAGGCCTTGTGCCGCAATCTGTACGCGCAGGCAGGAAGGTGGCTACTCAAGCTGGGTCTTTCAGACCGTTTGTTGCTGTTGCTGTTAGCCATGCATCTTCTATTGAGCTTCGTGGGACCTTGTTACCTTCGAGATGGAACAAGACATTCGACTGGTAGTTCTTGAACATCTGCGCAACAAGCTCGGTGTCCATGTTCTGAATGTTGATCTCTTGAAGATTCTTGTTCAGCATCATAATGGCCTCATTCAACTTCTCCTGCCTTCGGTGTCAGCTGTGCGCATACCGACACTGTTTACTTCGGGCGCCCACTCACAACATTGACAATGATACGCGAGAGCAAGAGGCTCTGCTGGTGCTCGTGAGGACTCTCCTGGAAAAGTCGTCAGTCACCTTCACTTATCCGTTCCGTCGCCGTTCATATCCTACCATCTCTAGATGCTTGTGTTACGCGCGGGGTGTTGTCGGTGGGATGGACCAAAACAGTTAGATGCAGGGCGGCTTGGTGAATGGCGATCGCGACCACAGCTCCACCTCCGCAAGCTCCCATCAACGGCTCGATAACATCCAACACGTCACGGTCGCCGCCCTCACAGAACCCACATCAAAATGGCGCCCCTCACAGCTGCTTCGGATGAGAAGACGCATCAAGCGCTGCTCGACAAGCTCGACATCTACGCCGTACACAAGCCATTCCGCAACCCCAACTGGAAGCCACCGCAGCGCCGCAACAAGAACCTCAAGCAAGTCATCGGCGAAGCATCGCGCAAAGAAGCCTCGATGATGAACACACAAGCCAACAGCGGCGCTTCGACACCAGCTTTCGCGTCTGAAGGCGGGTCAACACCCGCTGGCGTAGGTCGACCGCCAAACATCGCGCAGGCAGCGCAAAGCCTCAGCACCCTGGTCCTCGAGAAGAATGGTCGCGCAGCTGCAGCGAATGCAACGGGGCCTGCGCCAACGTACACGAACATCGAGTCTGCACCGAGCTTCCATCCAAACGCCCAGAAGAAATACTGCGACATCACCGGGCTGCCTGCGCCGTACACAGATCCCAAGACGCGGTTGAGATATCACAACAAGGAAATGTTTGGAACGATCAGGACGATGCCGCAGAACGTATACGAGGGGTATCTGGCTGCAAGGGGCGCGCATACCGTGCTGAAATGAGCTGTCATACTGCATAGCGCATGTACACACACCACCACCAGCGTCGCGCCCAAGCTCCCACAGCTCGGAACCAAACATCAGTCTCAGCAGCAGAGAATTAGACCGCAAGTTGATGATCGCAAACGGCTACAGACATCGAATGGTTGAGATCAAAAACGACGCGGGAGCAACAACATGATATGTATGACCATCAAAGTCAAGCACCTTCCACCCACACAAGCTCCTTTCGAAGCAAGGTTCAAGAAGGCGCTCCGGCTTAATCGTGATCCTGTATTGTTCTTCGCCCATCAGACGGGATACCAGGAGCTCGGGGGGAGGCTTCCTAGTTACAGCAGCTCAAGATAGCATGCTGTTGTCAGGGCGGTTCTACGTCGTTGCTACAACCACAGGACATTGTATCATAGCACCTCAAGAATATACACAGATTCTTTGCATGTTGGTACATGATCTTGGTAACTGAAATGTTGAGTTGGTGAGTGACAAGACAGCGAAGCTCAAAAATCTGAACTCGCGCGAAACTCCACGCTAAGCAGGGGGTGGGGTGCGCTAGCGACCGAGGCGCGTCAACCAGCTGCAGCTCCAAGGGACACGAGACAAAAGTTGCCAGGCCCCAGACGACCACACCTCGCCCATACGACCATTCCAAGGATCCTGAATCGCCGTGCGCAAACGCTACACCTTTCCCTGCTAGATCTACAAACATCCACCACTTGAACCTGTAGGCGCACAGCCCCACAACGCTCAAGATGCCTACGATGTGGCTTTCAGATACCCAAAGTATGTCCCTATACTCTTCGCCACATGGAATCGTACTGATAAGTAGCCAGAGATTGGGGTCGCCTTCTGCTCGGGAGGTAGGTACGCAATGCTCTTCGATAACCACGTACGGCGCCGAATACACGGCTAATGCGACATCCACATAGGCGGGCTCTTTCTGATGGGCGGCGTTATGATGTTTTTTGATCGCGCCATGTACGTCTCGCCCTTAACCTTTCCTCAATCTCGAAGCAACGGGCTAACATAGACAGGCTGGCCATGGGCAACGTATGCTCTCCAAACCCCCCGTTCTGTCCTCCCCTAACGCACCCCAGATCCTCTTCCTAATTGGCCTCACCCTCATCATCGGTACGCAAAAAACCCTCGCCTTCTTCGCGCGCCGGCAGAAATGGAAAGGCACGCTCGCCTTCGCGCTCGGCATAACTCTGATCCTGATGCGCTGGGCGTTCTTCGGCTTCCTGATCGAGCTGTACGGCATACTAGTGCTGTTTGGGGATTTCTTTGCGACGATTGCTGGCTTCGCGGGCGGGATCCCGATTGTAGGGCCGTATATTGCGAAGGCACTCAACAGCCTGGGTGGAGCGAGTGCTGCTGCGAATGGCGAGGGGAGTGTCTGAGACTTGGCGGATTGGGTGACAATGACGGAGATCCTGAAGAGAGAAGAATGGAAGGGCGACGGAAACACTATACCAGTGTGACGTCCAGAGGAAGAGTAAGGAGCAGGACAAGACGGAACGAATTCGAATTGTACATTGCGAGCTATGGTCTGGAGTCCGGCGCACAAGACGGTATGGTCATAGGCGCCGCTTGGGTTACGATACCATACGATATATACGACGTGAAGAGGACAATTCAGCGACGAGCGCAAACACGCTTCAGACCACAGTTTGTCAACCATTTTGGTCAGAGACGTCAGAGATGTCAGAGACCATTCCCTGCCTATGCAGCATCGCCCTGATTGGAAGTTATACCCAAGAGGGTACAGCTAGGTATGCTGCAACAAGAACCTATAATGGTGCACAGAGAACCATTCATCGTATTCGCAGCCTACGGTCAACATGCGATTTGTGCCCATTGACGAGTACAATCTGACACGACAGCCCCGGCGAGCCTTACATCCGAGGCTCACAACGCAGCAATGTTTCCACACCCTTGATTCCAAATCAATGCCTTAAGAGCAGTCTGCTAAGATCCAGCCTCAGGCGGCTCACAGCTTGCCGATGCGAGGCGAAACCCTCCACGCAGCTCAGACCCTCGTATTGTAGGCTTCGCCCGTTTCATGATGGCCGTTAAGATCAAGGTTTCGAACCCTAAAGTCCATCCTGGACGCCACGATCGGCCCGGATGTTTCAAGATGGGCTTTAAGTTGACTTGGGTGCTTTAGCCGGTCGCCGGCCGAGGATCAGTCGAGCGAGTTATTGAGGCGAAAAGTAGGGTGTGAAGAGGGTGTTGGTGGGATGTAAGGCATGTGCTGTTGTGAGGAAAAACACGTAGTGGAACAGAGTGCTGCTTGAGAGTGGTGCTTGATGCATTGTTGCGGTATATGCGTGATAAGCAATAAGCGCAAAAGCATTTATGCTGTGTCGTAGGATTAGAAAGAGAGAATACATATGGTCCCTCACTGAACGCCCGTGGGGACCCCTGTGTCGTCCACACTTGCGTAAATCAGACTCATAGCGCATGCCAGCGCTGCAATGATAACGCCATCGTTGCCGAATAATGTAATGAAGTCGTTGCCATGTGCTTTCAAGTCCGTCACCAGAGGTTCGGTCTGCAGCTAGGGCAAAAAGTGCGAATAATGCCCCGGCACTCTCTGCCTGCACTTCTCGCAATCATCTCGATACCCCATGCTGAACCGCCCCGGCGTGCCTGTCAGCGCACCACTGCGTTTCCTACCGCGTGGTGTGGGAGGCAAAGCGAGCGGCGGAGCAGCGGCTTCCATTGCCATCTCGTCGGCGTTCGCATGCGAGAAACTAAGTCGCGAGAGTTGCGATTGCGTGAGTGTGGTGGGAGTGTCTGGGATGTCTTCGTCTTCTGATATGGGCGAGGGCATGCGTCGGCTTCGGTCGCTTCCTTGCTCTTGTCTGTTCTTACGGACTGTCAAGCCTGGTAGCGGGGGTAAAGCGTTACTTGTCACGCCGCCTGCTGAGCCACTGGTGAGATAGCCAAGTCCGTTCATGGCTCCTCTGTTGAACGTAGGATGTATCGGCGTTGGTATGCGCCCGGTGCTGCTGTGGTCGGAGAGTAGTGAGGAAGACGAGTTGAGTGTTGGTGGTCGAAAGAAATGGCCGCCGAACGGTGATTCCGGTGGTTGGCTGCGCACGTCACTTTGGCTGTCTTCGTCTATATCCATGCTGTAATCCATGTCTGCCCACTGCGAGGATTGAACCGGCCCTCCCCAAGCGTCTTCTTGTGTATGCGCACCGTGCACTGGCATCACTGTGTCCATATGTGATGTTGCTGTTGGCGGCGAAGGTGGGAACGAGGGTCGGACATTAATATGTAGTGGTGATTGCGCGTAACCATGGTTGAGCTGCGCGAAGCATATGGGCCGGGATTTCTGTGGCCTATCAGATACTTGATGTTGCAGTGTGGGCATCGACTGCAGACGCACCTTGAAGTTGCGCTCTTCTTCAGAATCCGAATCATCATCCCGCCGCCGCTTGGTGGTCATGGTTTGGAATTGAAACATGGTGAGTGTGATGTCAGAGCGACTGAAATATTAGACTGTGGTAGCAGACACGATCAACGTGTGGGCGAGGCAGCAGTGAAATGGCTCCAGCGGCGCACAGATGATCGTCAAACTGCGGGGAATGCTCGAAAGCAGCGATAGATGTGGCGCTCTCATTTGTTTTGAAGCAGATGCTGATGGGCTAGACAATCAGGGGAAGTTGCAGTAGGGACTGTGGCCCTGTTTCAGGTGTTGCATGAATCCTCTCCGGCTGCCCAGTCAGTGGAGTCGCGCGCCTCTGCCTGAACGCTGGCCGATCCTGTGGGGGAGTCGTTCCTTCAAGCGAGGTTGCGCCGTTGCCTGCACTCGGCGCTGCCGTCACGAAGTGACGATGTTGTGGAGGCTACGACCGCGCTACCAAGGCAGGGTCAAGGGGGAGCAGCCGCATCCCGTAACGAAAATAAGTCGCGGGAGATCGGAGGTCCTGTCACTTCCCTTTGCTCGGCGCGGGCGTCCGCAGGTGAAGCTTGTGTACAGAAGCTGAATGCAGCTCGCTCAGCCGGAAGCACCATGTTTGATGATGGTTGCGGCAGTGTGGTCACATGAATGTGGACACGCGAGATGTGGGTTGGGATGGGTAACACCACCTTCGATTGCTACAGCTTACCACATTATGTACCTACGAAAATCAATCTTTTTAGATGTCACCACTACAGGTGCGAAAACGGCTTACACAAGAAAGGAGACACAGCCAACAACAGCGCTGCGGTTGTCGGTGGGTTCACCTGGGCAAACACATGGGCGCGGTGATCCAGGCCTGAGGCATGTATGTCCGTGTGCAAGCCAGGGCGGTGTGCTGAGGTTTGGTATCGATTAGCCACAGCCCCGCTCCAAACAATTTTAGAGCCTCTCAAATTATTTGGATTGCATATGACTCCATCTAGAGCGAGCTGCCAAGGACTGACTTATAACGCGTGAACTGTTTCTACATCACCTTCAAGCTTCCGAACTCGGACATTCGCTTCTGCACAAGTCTCACGACTCAATCAATTGGAACCGTGCCTCACTGTCAGCACCCAATTGATCTCAGCAGATTGCCTCTCACACAGCACATCCCTACGTGGCGCTGTACAGCTCGCGCTCAGCACATAATCCTGACCGCTGTTCCTGATCGCTTAACTGCCTGTTGTGAGTAAAGCCAACAAAGAACCCTGCTATTCAGCGGTAGGGCGCAGTTCTGACTAGCTATAAGAAGTAGATACCTTCACAATGACCTTCGCCGACGCAGATCTCAAGAACCCTACACTGGCCGGAGACATGCCCACTTTCAACTCCAACGAGCAGAGTGACGATGTGCGCGGTGAGTACAGGCTGATTTAAACATCCCCATTGCTATACTGATTCACTACACAGTCCTCGGATACGACCCTCTGATTCCTCCCCAGCTCCTCGCCTCCGAGGTCCCCATCACACCACACGCCGAGAAGACAGTCGTCCGCGGTCGCAAAGAAGCCGTGCAAATCATCACACAAAAAGATGACCGTCTCCTGGTCATGGTCGGGCCCTGCTCGCTGCACGACCCTGAGCTGGCCCTCGAGTACTGCCAGCGCCTGAAAGCCCTCGCCGACAAGCTGCAAGACAACATCTGCATCATCATGCGCGCCTACCTCGAGAAGCCCCGCACAACAGTCGGCTGGAAGGGCCTGATCAATGACCCCGACATCGACGAATCTTTCCAGATCAACAAGGGTCTGCGCATCTCCCGCAAGCTCTTCGTCGACCTCACATCGTCTGGCATGCCCATCGCGTCTGAGATGCTCGACACTATCTCCCCTCAGTTCCTCGCAGACTTGATCTCTCTCGGCGCCATCGGTGCGCGCACAACAGAGTCGCAATTGCACCGTGAGCTTGCCTCCGGTCTCTCTTTTCCCATCGGTTTCAAGAACGGCACCGATGGCGGTCTTACAGTTGCTGTTGATGCTATTGGCAGCGCGGCCGCGAAGCACCACTTCATGGGTGTGACGAAGCAGGGTCTGGCCGCTATCACCAGGACAAGGGGTAACGAACACTGCTTCGTTATCCTGCGTGGTGGATCCAAGGGCACGAACTTCGACAAGGACAGCATCAAGGCTGTGCGCGAGTCTTTGAGGAAGAAGAACCTCCCTGAGGTCATGATGGTTGACTGCTCTCACGGTATGCCTCCCCTCTCATCTCCAATCCTTCAACACCCAGAGAATCGATGACTAACACTATACAGGCAACTCCAACAAAGACCACCGCAACCAGCCCAAGGTCGCCAAGGACGTCGCCGACCAGATCCGCAACGGCGAGACCGGCATCGTCGGTGTCATGATCGAGTCCAACATCAACGAGGGCAACCAGAAGGTGCCTCCTGAGGGCCCCAGCGGCCTGAAGAAGGGCGTGTCCATCACCGATGCTTGCATTGACTGGGACACCACGGTTGGCGTGCTTGAGGACCTTGCTGCTGCTGTTGCGGAGCGCAGGGCGAATAAGAGCAAGACCAATGGTGTCCACTAAATGTGTGCGCTGATTGGGCTTGGGTTGTTTGGTGCTTGTATATATAACTTCTTGCATTCGCATGAGACGAAAAGTTCAAGATGGCTGTATTACATATCCGCTACATCATGAACACGATCACGAATCTCACCTTTTCCGACTTCTACTGGGTATCAAATCACTCGTCCTCGTCTTCATCCTCATCCATCTGTTCATCCCTACTTGCCCCACCGCCCGAGCTATTTCTCTGCGGCACCCTATCCGCCCTCTCCCCCACATACACATTCCCACCACACACTGTCCTACATTTCGGACACTTCTTCCCCTCCGCGCTCCTCCCACTATAATACTGATTCGCACACCGATCATGCCACCTCACTCCACATTCGCGATTATTACACCGAATCCCAAACGTCACAATCTCTCTACACCCCTCACAATCCCTTATCCTGATCATCGGCTCATCATCTTCGTCTTCAGCGGTCTCATTGTACGTCTCCTTGAGGTAGGAGTGCAGTTCCATCAACGCGCGGGGCGCAAGGGAGTAGTATTTGGAGCGCGAAAGTTGCAGGAAGTTGTCTGCAAGCAGAGCGTCGAGGACCGCGTCGGCTTCGCCTATTGTTATGCCCGTGTCTGCGGCTTGCAATTGTACGTCTTCGTCGACCATGCTGGCGGCTTGCGATTGCCGGTTTCGCCGTGGGCGCGCGAGTTGCGAGGCGTCCATTGGCTTTATCGCCATAATTTCGCGTGTGGGTGTGTTGTTTGTTTCGAACATGGCATCTAGCAGGCGCCGGATGTATGCTATTTCGTTTGCGGTGAAGCGGGTTGCGAGCTGGGTCATGGAGTCGGAGGTCTTGTTTACGAGGGCGTAGGTTGTTTCTTTGGTTTGCTGGTTGCGTGCGTGCCGGATTTCGAAGTCGTAGGGCTCGAGTTTCGCGTTGATGGTTTGAATTATTGGGGTTATAAAGCCGGACTGGGTCACGTCGCCTTCTGGGAAGGGCCGGTCAGGATCTGTGTAGTATGTTAGTGTAAGCATCTATATGTGGGAAGGTAGTACAGACTGTGTGCGGTCATGATGGCTGCGAGAACGGGCTTGATCTCGTCTATTGTCAGTACGCCATGTGTGAAGAACGACTGAAGAAACACGCGATGAACGTAGGTATAGTCTTCCTCGTCTGGTACGTCGCGCACCAACGGTGTTTCGCCCCGCGACATGTTGATTGTAAGATGTGGTGGGATGCGTGGGTGTAGAATCCAGAGTGTGTGGGGTTGAAGTTGGAAGGTACGCGTTGCGCGGGGAAATTTGGCAGGCGCGTCGTCGCGTCAACACGTGCAAGAACGACGACTCTTTGTGGAAGGTGCATCCTACATCCTCAAACAACAAACCGAGGTATCACCCTCTCTTCAAGATCTTGTTCTGATGAGTCCCCTGAACATACAGCAAGTCGGCACTGCAGGCCCTGTTCTGCCACCCAAGAATTATGACTGCATGTCTGGTTGAGCGCCTTCAAGTTCACCAACCCTTCACAGACAACAAGCAACTCGGAGCCAGTTCATTTTCAATCATTGGACTTTTGTCTCGCTCCACAGCGCTTGCTATTACTTGTGTCTGATTCGTCCGGAGTAGAATTCCCACAGTTTACAACCGCCTCACGGCTCACGAATCACGATACCAACTACTATCAAGGCACTTACAACGACCTGGCAACAAGTCTAATCGTGGCACGAAGCACCGGATAACACCGGATATCGAAAATTGTCATGCCATTTTGCAGCTTTCAGATCAAGAAAAAAAAAGGGCAACTCTTGATTCGTTGGTCCTTCTCTATCGTGAAGCGTACTAGATGGCCACGAGGACCCTCCAACGGCCCGTTCATACTATCCAAGATTCAAGTCTTTGTGTAATATCCTGGTAAGCTAAAAACGTGTCTGCAGGAACAGAGCCGGCGGCCGAGGATGATGAGTGTGTTCCAGCAAATGGGCTCTTGGCTCGTCTCAACACCACGGCGAGTTCTCTCACAGTACGAATTGGACGATGTCACCAGCGCTGTTCGGATCTGATTCCGAGAACCGTGAGCCAGTGGACCTCAGATAGCCGCCCCGGGCCAGCATGAATCAATTAGATCTGCGATTAGCAACGATTGGCCGGCAGCCGGTGCCAGCTTGACAAAACAGCGGTCACCTTTGATGGAGCCCAACCGGCACGCGACAAGCGGGTCTATCAACCCTGGCCAACTTGAGGAGCAACCGTCTCATGAACACATCCAGCATCGAGTCCGCGACTACACTTCGCCCGAGGTTCAGTTCTGCAAGCATTTCCCACAGCGCAATAATGGCGCTTTGTCTTGAATCAGCATGTCAAGTTTTATCTTTCTTGGGCGCACGTCGATCTCAGGGTCCAGCGGTGGTGGATCTTCGCCTTGTTTCGCAACCAACACTTGACACCCAGCTTGGTCTTAGAAAAGCCACAGCAGGTTTGCGCCTCGAGTACGTACCCTGTACTGGTCAGATGGCTCGCAATACCTGCAAAATCACTAAAGTGACGGTGTGACCTGCACACACTATAGACCGGAGTGTAGTGCTGGAGCACGAGAAGTCGCAGCGCAAGTCACTCTCTTGTCTCCATCTGCCTTAATGGGTTGATGTCGCAATCGAATGGGTAAGGAGCAGCACGATAGGGTGGGCAGCTGACTGGGTGGGCGGAAAAGTGGTGATGATGGTCAGGTTCCAGGCCCGGCCCTGAGACTGAACATATTCCTTCGAAGCGGAGCATTAGCAAGTCTTAGATGCGTCTATTCCCCGATCCCTCATAAGAAGTCTCGATCCGCTGCTCCTTCTGTGTCCCAAACTTACGATCACTGGCATCAGTTTCCGCCCTCCTTCCTCTCCGCCCACGCTCCGCCGTTGGCACTCAGCCCTACCGTTGTGGTCACGAGCCTGCTGCTGGTTTCAGGGGCCTTCAAGTTGCGGACCCTGCGTGCCCTTTAGCGAGCCTCCAACCTGTTACGACATTACCACGCAGTTGGCCGCGGCACCAAGCTTAGAAACAAGCAATTGCCTGTCGCTGCAGTCACGTATCGCGAGTGTCCGTCCGGACTCAGTCATCCGTGACATTGTTCAGCAGTACTCGGCGAGCGCTGTTCTAAGCGTTGTGGCTGCGCAGTCCAGTTCGTGTTTGTCATCGGCGCGGTGACATCATACTGGAAATTGCCGTGCTCTTTGAAGGCGCTGCTCAGCAACCCGGTCCTCACACCCGCACCTGACGCCAACCACGCCAACGCCACGGAGGATCCATATTTCATGTACCTATTCCCTACTACGTCCCTGCACTACCGCTAGAGCCACGCCTGCTACGTCGACGTCCACACCCAGGTGCCTTCACGATGTCTACTCCTGTGGTTTCCCAAAGACCGCGAGGCTCCTCCCACTCCGCCCAGCGACCCGTCAGATCGACACCCATGACGAAGCCAAGTACAACCCTTCCCAAAACCAACCCGCCGCCCCTCGTGCCCCGCATGAACGGTATCGCAAAAACACCGAGCCATGTCGTGCAAAGCAGCAAGGCACCGGGCACACCGAGCCCGAATTACTTTGGCCTGACCATCAATGGCGACCACTTCTCCTCCAGCGCTGCACAGCACATCCGCGGTAACTGGAGTCCGCCCACATCGAACGTACGTTCGACTGCCGCCGCCTCGCCACAGATGATACCCGTCGAGCAGAATCCCGAATTCGAGCAGTTCAGGAAGGCATCAGAGAACGCCAAAGGTTTCGCCCTGGGCAACTTCGACTTTGGCTCGTTCTCAGCTGCGGTACCCACCAAGGGTCCACTGACTGGGTCCTACAAGCCGCCCATGTCTCCGCAGTCCATGAAGGAGACTGCACGACCCACTGTAGAGAAGTACGATGGCAGCAGCGACTCGTCGCCCAAGTCGCCCAAGCCACGCTCACCTAAACGCATGCTCTCCACCGAATCATCAATGTTCCCTGATCGACCTCGGAGAAACTCGCCAGCATCATTCGAAGGCTTTGGACGTACAGATGCAATTGCCGAATTCGATGAGATCCGTCCACCTCGACCCTCACTGCCACCCACAAGGTCAACACATCACCAATCGACGCGTGCAGAGACGTTACCCGCTAACATCTACGACGAAAGCAACACCGATGGACCAACTATGGCAACTCCTCAGCACATCCTTAACATCCTCGAGTCAGCAGTCGAAGAGGTACTGCTACTCGACCTTCGAGTCTCTACACAATATGCCAAGTCTCGCATAGCAGGCGCGCTAAGTCTCTGCATTCCTACGACCCTCCTCAAGCGAGCATCGTTCAATGTCCACAAGTTGGCAGAGACTTTCAAGGATGACGAGCAACGACAAAGGTTTGAAAAGTGGAAGAACAGCAAGCACATAATAGTATACGACTCCAACTCTGCGCAGTTGAAGGACGCAGCGACCTGCGTCCACACACTCAAGAAGTTCACAAGCGAGGGATGGAATGGCGGCACTTTCATCATCCGTGGCGGGTTCCAGGAGTTTGCACAGAAATTCCCCAACTGCATCACACATTCGAGCTCCCACAGTCCGACCTCGTCTGCAGGATCGAAGGGTGCCCTCAAGCTCAACATTGGTGGACCTGCAGTTGCACCCGTTATCGGCGGGTGCCCAATGCCTGCTACACAGAACGCCGCGAACCCCTTCTTCGGCAACATTCGTCAAAACATGGATCTTATCGGTGGTGTTGGCCAGATGCCTGTCAAGAAGCCCGCTTCCATGACCGAGTCTGCCAAAGAGGAAGTCCCACAGTGGCTACACAAAGCAGCAGACGACAAGGACGCAGGCAAGCGTGTCTCTGACAAGTTTCTGCACATTGAGAAGAAGGAGCAGAAGCGCATGCAGGAGGCACTCTCGGGCAAGGTTGTCTACGGCATCCCGGGAGGACAGAAGGATGTTGCGAAGAATATCCAAATTGCCGGTATCGAGAAGGGTTCTAAGAATCGATACAACAACATCTGGCCGTACGAGCATTCCCGAGTCAAGCTCGAGGGTTGCGAAGATGGGTCTTGTGATTACATCAACGCCAACCACGTCCAAGCCGCCTACTCGAATAAGCGTTACATTGCGACGCAGGGTCCAATCCCCGCTACTTTCAAGGTATGTCTTGCACCCACATAACAATATGTGATCATAGCTAACTCATGCTTAGGACTTCTGGAATGTCGTCTGGCAGCAGGATGTCCGCGTCATTGTCATGCTTACTGCCGAGCAGGAAGGTGGACAAGTCAAAGCACACAACTACTGGTCTGACAAGCACTTCGGTAACTTGCACCTGAAGCAGCTTGGAGAGCACCGTGCTTCCCTTGAGCCGTCTAGGATCCAGGGCCATAAGGAACGCTCGCAATCACACAGGCCTTCCATCGGCCAAAGAAAACCGACAACCTCGCAGCCAAAGACCTCGTTCTTTCCTGACCCAAATGATAACGTCACCACCGCATCTCCCACATCCGAGAAGCCCTACGTCACCGTGCGCAAGTTCACCCTGTCCAACGACGAGGAACCCTTCGAACGTATGCGCGAGATCACACAGCTCCAGTACTCGAATTGGCCCGACTTCGGTGCCCCAGCCCACCCAACCCACCTTCTCGGCCTCATCGAGCAGACCGATGCAGTCGTGCGATCTGTAAACGGCGTCAGCTCCCCTAACAAGCCCGAGCCAGCGAACAGCCGTCCTGTCATCGTCCACTGCTCTGCCGGTTGCGGTCGTACCGGTACCTTTTGCACAGTCGACTCCGTCCTCGACATGCTCAAGCGCCAGAAGCAGGCCCGCCCTAGTAGGCAAAGCACGCCTATGGATGTTGATGCTGGGTCGCCTAACCACTGCGAGAACGGCGAGTGGATTGGCAAGGAAGATTTGGATCTTATCGAGAAGACCGTCGAGGACTTCCGCCTTCAACGTCTGAGTATGGTGCAGTCTTTGCGCCAGTTCGTACTTTGCTACGAGAGTGTTTTGGAGTGGCTGAATGAGCAGCATGTTCAGTCGAAGGCCGCCTAGACCTTGGACTTGATCGAACAGCATGAGTTTTGTTTAGTTTTGAGGACACAGTAGGACACGGGTTTACGAGAATCACGACATGCACAAGACGGAATGGAGGCGCAAAGTCGTTACAGCATTGTTGTCGTCATATTCAACTTTCATCGCGCAGGATACGGAAGTAAGGATCATGGGTCGGCGTTGCATTGCTTGGGTTCAGTATATATTGCATAGGTAATCATGGCGGGGGACGACGGGATGGGAAGGAAAGGGTTTCTTTACAACGTATAAGATGAGTGGCTAGAGCAATCAAAGACGTATCTTCAATGCTCTCCTCCTATACAGATCGCTTGACGATTCAGAAGATATTGATGTCGAAGATCAGTAGCCCAAAGATGCGGCCACTCTGTTGTATCTATAGTCGCTGCTAAATATTCTGACAATGCCTAGAGGGCTTCTTCCTGCCATAAACAGCATCGATAATGGAATGCCTTATCGACCATACCGATTACAGCCAGAAAGGGTAGTTTCAGCCCAAGAGAACACCGCACAACAGTACCAAATGTCTTCCCATATTTTGTATTACCATTGAATAGTTGAGTGCATAATTGCGGCCACACCGCGACCACCGTCTTCAGGTCAAAACTAGGACATTTTAGAGACATTACACCAACGCGCCAGGCATTAACTCGATCTTGTCTTTCGTGGAAGTACATTTGTTTCGATCGAGAAAACATTCGTCCCCAGTCCATCTATCCATCCAAAGAGTCACGACGTTTCAGAAGCTGCTAAGTAGCATACACTTGATTCAATCGAGATTAACAGCAATGCATTCAAAATTTCGAGCCATCAAGACTAATGGAGACCTCTAGGCATTGGACCAAGAAGATACGAACCACATGGCTTCTATCGAGTCACAACCACAAGTACGAAGATCATTGGGAGCGTTGAGATGAAGTTAATACTCTCACACAAAGTTGGTATAATGCGAAAACCCAAAGATCTACAACCCCTATATACTGGCGCCAATACCAGTCCCTGAAGACGCCATCTACCCTCTCGCTACCTTCTAAGACTTACTGAACGACGTAATAACCATTTTGACAACCCCAGCGACGATTTTGAATACGACGCTCAATACCCACACCACAGCCTTGAAGAAGAAGACGACTGTCCCGACAAGAGCTCGGGCAATGAACGGCAGCTGATCCTCTTTTTCCGCCGCCTTCCTCGCTTTCTTCTCAGCCTTCGTTTCCTTGACGCTCGACTCCTTGCTCTGCCCATACCACTCACCCAACTCGATGTCTTTATCGAAATCCGCATTTCGGTCTCGAGCTCGAGATGTAGCCCGACTCGTCGCCTGACTCTGACTCGTCTCATCCACGGTCGTAGACTTGAGACTCATTACAAGTTTCCTCAAACCCGAACCCAGCGCTACAACGCTCTTCTGTCTTCCCTCCTTGTCCCTGACATCAACACCTTCCCAGTCCCTCGCAAAACTGTCTTTGAGAGACCGCGCCTTGGTCTCGGGAGTAGTCAACTCATAGTCATTTGGAGGCGGGGCGTCGAAGTTCTGAAGAGAAGTTTTGCGACTCGAGCGTCCACGCGTGGCTTCCGCGACCGCAACAGCCAACAGCGTAGACGTTGCTATGTCGACGAGGAATGGGTTTCCGAAGCGACTCAAAGCGCCCAGGTTGAGGGTTAGAGCGTCGGCGCTGAAGTCGAGGCGCGCTAGCATCGCGTCGTCGGCTGTCGCGTCTGTGGTCGTGGGGAGTTGGGCTACGGACATGGTTGAAGGTGTAGCGGAGATAGGACGGTTTTGCGCATCGAAGCGAGGAGGCAGTGGGAGGGGGGAGAAAGCGTTTGTGCGCGGTGTGGATGTAGAGAGTATGTACGGGTTCAGCAGCGTAATCGAAGCTGGTTTTGACCCAGAGAGTGCGAGCGCCGAGGGCATGTTGTGCCCGTATATGGCTGTGACTGGGCGGGTGGACGGCTTGTTGATGAGCGAGCAATCACCTTCAATTTGGACAGGGAAGGTTCCGAGCGTGGGGTGGTGAAGTTGGTATGAGCCTTCGGAGGGGATGTGTTGGGCCCAGGGGTTGGCTTGTTGTTTGGGGTCGTTGCGTGTCCAGAGGAGTGTGCAGCATTCTCGCTGGGCGGCATCGGCGAGGACGTCTTCGGCTAGTCGCTGTGCGGCGGGTGATTGGGCACCAGGGTCGACTAGAGCGATGCGTGAGGCGGCTGGCGAGTTTGCGGCGGCGTCCAGGGCTTGAAGAGCTGCGAGCTTCGGGTATATGCTCGTCAGAAGTGTGGCAGACTCTTGCTGCTGGGGGTCGAACATCGTGGCGTCCATAGAAGGAGGTGAGATGAGGTCGAGTTGTGCAATCGGGAGTACTCGTGGCTGAGTAGGGTGATGTCGTTGGATCAATAACTCATTGATAATACTTTGTACGGGAGCATCTTCGCCAGCGAGATTTGTTGTTGCTAGGCTGTAGAATGGAAGAGACGGTGTAGTTCCAAAGGTGATGGTAGGGTTCGCCATTGTCGCTCGGTGCATCTTCAGGGTATAGATCTGAATCGCTGGCTCTTCTTGCCCGTTTGCTGCCAGCCAGAGATTGTCAAGTAGGTGTGAGGGTGTAAAGAATGTTTTCGGTGGTGGTTTGGCGGCCATGGTATTTCTTGAAGAGGTGCTGCTGTAAGGCACATATGGCTCTGAGTACGGCAAACGGCTGACTTGGCTCGATGGTATGTGCGTCGGTGATGCTTGCGTGGGTTTGTACGCTTGTTGCGCAAGAGGCAGATTTGGATTGTATGTTGGAAACATCGAACGCATCTGTATCTCTTCTTGCGGTGATATGGGTGCTCTTGTTGCGGTGGTGTTGCTACGGACGAGTGTATCGCATGTTGAAAAAGCAGGAGAGACCGCTCGATTGGGTTCAGGACTGTAGGCGTGAGGTGTCGAGAACGATGGTGAAGGACCTCGGTAGAAGTCTTCTTGTGTCACGACCGGTGATGGTGTCGTAGGTCCTGTTGTAGAGCCACTTGCTGCTGCAACGTGCACTCGAGGTGGTGCAGTGATTGCCGGAGCAGCATTGTTCATATTCGACGGCGATACAGGGACTGAGTTGACCTGTATAACGAGCTCGTGAAAGTCGATTGGTTCCTCCATATGGTTCGCACTGTCCTTCCTCTCTACAACCGGTGCTGGGACAGAGGGCTTCATGCCTGGCGATGGTCTTCGGGCTGGGCTCGTTTGCCTTGCACGAGGGGGTGGAGGAAATAACTGGAACCCGGTGCCGGTCATCTTGAATCCGTGATCTCTTTCGCGTTCGTTGAGTGATTAAAAATTAGATATTCAGATCTAGTTCGCAATGTGCGGTAAGTGGGCAGACGTCAAGTCGGTATTGGAAACACAATGACGCCTGAACCCATAAGTATATGGGGTCCAACAAGGCATTCACATTCCGGAGACTAGTAAAGCAACTTTCGCTCCCTACCCGGTGCAATAGCGGTAGAAGTGCCTCCATGCATAACCTACCACTTACAGCACTTTTCGTGGTGGAGGCGACCAATCAGAATGGTGACCCTCCTCGGCGCGTAGCGATGGTTGGCGGCTACGATGTCGGTGGTTGGTCTGCATCACATTAAGCGCCGGCACTCCAGCACCCCAGAACATTACCAGGGTCGCTGTATGGCCTGCAAATGCGTATAGAACGTTCTCATTTGCTAAATGCCATGTGCCTGACCAGCGCACAGGGCACGGCCGTATGCGATGGATAATCTGCGGGAGGAAGCGATCAGCTCGAGTGTCTATTTTGAGGGACATTTGCAAGCTAGCAACGACTATGGCATCTCTCAGAGGAGGGAACAAAGTATAAACGCTCGTCGAGTCATGGTCGAGATGTACTCATCGTACGTTGTCAATATGATGGAGGTGTCTTGCTTTCAGATGGAGACTGGCGCAGTGAATGCCGGTTGAGGGGTTTGGGAACTATAGCTGTTCGACTGGTCCCATCATGTCGGCAAGGTGAGTGATAGTGCATTGTGATGTAACGGAGTCAGGGCGAGAATCCGGTGGTTAATGAGCTCCGAAAGCCTGCTTTCGTGAACCTGTCTGATGGAAGAAGGGCGGAAGGTTGTGGAAGGGCTCACGATTGGATGAGATGAAGGGTCCGCGCTACTGTTATCGATAACCTTAAATTCTTTTGGTGATGGAAAAGTTGTCATTGCGCATGCGACACCAGCAACACAACTTTGAAAATGCCCACCGAACTAGAAGAGGTACAGTACTGGCGATAACATCTCCTGGGTCGCACAACTAATTTTTACCCATAGCTCGTCGAATTTCTCCACCACGGCAACACGCAGATTCGACAAGCTGGTGAGCGCTGCCCCACCACCCCGCCATCGACATTCGCTCACACCAAACAGCCGCTGAGCACCTTGTCGGATACTCGCAAGCTGATGTCCCCCTCTTCAAGCGCAATCAGCTAGAGCCTGTCAAGGACCTCAAGCTGCTAGTCAAGGACTATGCGCCCATCGCGAAGAACGCCCTCACGATCCTCATCAACATCTCGGCAGACCTCGAAGTCTTGAAGGACATCTCGAAGGACGATGCGTTCCTCGAACTATTGCTGTCACGGATAACAGTATGTCAGTTCCCCGGTACATACAATGCAAGGTATGTGGAAGCTGATTGAGGGTTAGAACAAGAAGGAGCCAAATGCGAACGAGATCGCCATGCTCCTCGCCAATATGGCAAAGGACGACTCGCTCCAAAGAGTACTCGAGCTGAAGCGCGATGTACCGAAGGAGCTCTCGACCTCGAAATGGGCCATGGACCAGCTGATGGACTGCTTTGTCAAGGGCGCCGAGGGAGCGTACAACAAGAATGCTGACTTCGACTACCTATCGTACTTCTTCGCTGATCTAGCCAAGGTACACTAGACCTCACCCTCGCCATGAAGAGTTGGCTGACCAGTAATACAGTTCGAGAAAGGCCGCGAGTACCTCACGACGTCCCAAGAGCACGACAGCAACATCATCCCAATCACCAAAATCCAAGTCTTCACAGATCACAAATCGCACATTCGCCGCCTCGGTGTAGCATCCACAATCAAGAACGCAGCCTTCCGCGTTCCAGCGCATCCAGTACTGTTGTCGAACCTACCAGAAGATCCCACCCTGCCTGCGCCAGGCATTGGCGCGAACCTGCTTCCGTATATTCTGTTGCCGTTGATGGGACCAGAAGAGTACTCGGATGAGGATACGGAGGGTATGTTGGATGAGTTGCAGTTGCTTGAGCCGGACAAGGAGCGCGAGAGCGACAACGAGATCATTAAGAGTCATTTGGAAACCCTTCTCCTTCTCACCACAACGTCCGAGGGGCGAGAAGTGCTGAGAAGAGTAAAAGTGTACCCCATCGTTCGGGAATGCCATCTCCACATTGAAAACGAGGAAGTTCGAGAAGCATGCGATCGTGTTGTCCAGATTGTTATGCGCAAAGAAGAGGGCGAGGAGGAGGATGTGCCTGATATGAGTGCGGCGGGTGGGAGCGCGGGGAAATTGGTGGAGTTGAAGGATGACGAAAATGAGGAGGACCAGCTTATCGAAGTGTTGTAGATGCTGAGTTGTGGAAAGTGAAGATAAATTCGACTACGATTGGCGTCTTCGCGACATAAATGCAACCACTAGAGATTTTATCTGCGACAAAACGCCCGTCTATATGCACGCTATGCTTTTGCAGGTCGAATGACGTCCTCTTTACTGCTCTTCTCACTCTCCCCATCTCCATGCAGCGGAGTCTCGTTACCATCCTCCGCAGCAACCTCCTCCAACACCTTCTCCACCGCACCCTCCTCCTCATCCCACCCCTTCTCATGCCTCACATGATTGCCCTTCTCACTCGTCTTTCCATCTGCGCTATCCTTGTTCTTCTTTTTCAGACTCCACCCGCCCTTCCAACCAACCCATCGCTCTTCCCATGGACCTCTAGCAAACATAACCAACAACGCCGCGCTAATGAGCCCCACACTCGTACTCCCACTCCCAATCCAGCCCGCCGTAGCGTAAATATGGTTCCCAGCAGCCGTGCCAATGAGCTGTCCACAAAACGTACTAACCATGAATGCCGTATTCACACCATTCCGCCTCTTCGGCTCAATCGTATAAATCGCGCTCCTCTGCGCAATCTGCGCAGTTTGATTTCCAAAATCCAGCAGCAGGGCTTGCAATACCGGGCCTGCGACGTTAAACGTGCCGATATACGTGCCCAGACACACACCCAGCAGCGAGCAGCTGAGCCCGAAAATGATGGAGAAGTGTGGTACGAAGCGGTCGGTCATGCGGCGCGCCCAGATAGGGGAGATGAGCATGCCTGCTATGCCGATTAGGCCGAAGAGGCCGATGGTTATGGAGGAGTAGTGGTATGGTTGCCCGGCGAGCAGGAATGTGAGGGTTGTCCAGAACGATGTGAAGGGTGCGGAACACAGCATACCCGCCAGACACGCCTGCACTAGCACCGGATGTCGTGGAATCATAAGCAGGATATCCCACAGGATGCGGAAGTAGTTCATGCCTGGATTGGTAGCGGGGTAGTCCGGCATGAACAGCCATAGCAGGATGAAGATGAGGTATTGCAGGCACAGAGACATCCAGTACACCGCGCGCCAGGTTACGAAGTTGGAGATTGTGCCGGAGAGCACGCGGGCGACTAGCACGCCCAGCATGAGGCCGGAGACGACGATGGAGAGGGCTGCTGCGCGGCGGTTGGGTGGGGCGAGGTCACCGACGAGGGGGAGCATGAGTTGGGGTGTTACGGTTGTGACGGCGGTTATGAAGGATATTGCTGTGAAGACGCTAAGGTTGGAGGTTATGCAGAGGCCGAGCCTGTGTCGATGTCAGGATGTCCTCTCTGATTTTGAGTTTGCTGTTTGGTTTCGTAGACTTACCACATCGTTGCTGTGAAGAAGACAAGTCCACATACGAATGGACGTCTGGGTAACAGATCTCCTAGTGGGCATAGAAACAGCAAGCCTGCAGCGTATCCAGCTTGCATGACCGTTGGTATCTGCGCAACTTGTTCATAGCGAACACCGAAGTCTTGAGCCAAGATGTTAAGGATGGGATGATTATAGTATAAGTTTGCAACAGTGAAGCCTGCCGCAAAGGCGAACAGTACGTTCATAGACATCGAGAACTGAGGCGGTCTGTTTGGGTCCCATCGACATCGTGACGGACAGTATGTGAGGGCGTTGTAGATTTTGTCCCATTTTGATAGCTCTTTCTGCTTCTCATTGCCTAAGTCGTCTTGCGTTGAGTTGGGTGCTGGTGTCGATGTTGACGTCTGATTTGTCACCAAGCTGGTGATAGTTTGGCCGCCCTCAGCCTTTGGTTCGCTCGATGTCATCTTCGGTCACACAAGGGAACCCTTATCCAAAACCTGTCCAGTGAGATGCGATTGCGAGAAGAACCTCAATATCCAAACATAGGTACAGCAAGCGAAGGTGTTGAAGAAAGACAAAACGCCATGCAGAAGAAGTCCATGACGGATTGCGCTTCGGAAGTCGATGAGGAGCCGATGTTAGGGTCGTTAAAGCCGATATGACCACTAATCACATCATCGATGGATATTTGTTTGCGGATAAATACCCACTGTTCTGCTATCGCAGGTTCATTCGAAATCTCGAGTGCATAAAGCATCGTGTTGTCTTACTGGAGATGGGATTGTTGTTCGTGCGACCGCGCTGAGCCTGGCTCCACACTTACGATAACTAAGGACACGATCTCTCAGGTCTCGAAGCTGGATGTGTGTACCTTGGTAAATTAGTTGCACGATGCCCCGTGCTTTCTGATGGTCAGTTCATCTGTCTTGAGTGCCTTCATCATCCACAGGGCTGGAACAGGCAATTGCAGCGAGTGGAGACCCTGATTGGGCGAGGGCCCGCCTGTCAAAATCGAGACCCTCGAATCCCCAGAAGGAAACTGCACAGCACATGTTATGACGATGCATGTCAAAAGAGCAAGGCAGCTTCGTGTTCTGCGTCAGAGCTCTGCAGCCGCGGACTGCTTGTGGAGATCGATGACAGGATAAGACATGATCTGAAGCAGGGAACGCGCAACGAGGGAGAAGGGTGTGGAGGCACGATCGCGAACCTGGAGAAGATCGGTAAGCGAGAATGCCATCCTAGATACATGCTGAATCTCACTTCCACCAGACTCTAAGGTTCTGCGTCGCTCACCACCAAGAGATCTGGATCTTGCTGTTGCATCTGCTGTCTTTAGCAACGTTTAGCGCACGTTTTACAGGTGTCAAGCAACGGTCACCGTGAAGGTTTGTACCAAAAGCAGCAGCTGATGATCTCCAGTGATGCTGTGGCTTCCAATGATCTGTGATCCGGGCCGCTCGTGCAGCAGCCTATGACGCAACCCATACCAGCAAGCGCACCCTGGCGCGTGTCCCTCGTTCTTGTATATCAGCAAAACAACGAGCAAGGCTTACATGCTCAATCTCTCCTATCCCTAACTTTACACCACAGTCCTATTTGCAACCTTACACATCATGGTTGAAGGACTGGTCCTCAAGGACCTGCTCCCTCACCCGGAGACAGATCCTACCGTTCACGAGGGGAAAGCCACAACAATTGTAGATGCGCCTACCGAGAGCCATAGCCTTGCGCTCGAAGCAGCAAACGGCAATAACCCAGACCATGGCACAGGTGGAGCCCAAGTAGCTCATGGTCAAGAAGTGCTGGATCTAGGATGGAACGAACCCAAGGAGCATGTGAACAGCCCACTTGTTGGAGGTCTCTCGAACGAGGAAGTGTGGTTGCTTGTTCGCCGTTTCAACAAGGTGAGAAACATTTATATACTTGGGCGAGCAGCCCAGGCTGACCATAGTACAGCAAATGTACCATGTGAAGGAGATTCCAACCGCACCTCCTGGAGGCTTAGACATGAATATTGCAGACGAAGAGGAGTTCTCCCCAGACAAGCTCCGTGCAAACCTTGAACGTTTGTACATGACAATAGTAGGTACGAAACATTCAAACACTCAGTTGCCTGCTTACGCGAAGACAGGGCATCGGTATGGTGGCTTTTGGCAAGCATATCGTCCGCCTGCGCTCATGGCGCGAGTTCAATCGTACCTCCTACTTCGCCTCTGCATACTTCGTAGCCTGGCTTCTCGACCTAATCATGCCGCTGATATCGATCACACTCGTCACTCTTGTCTTCTACCCACCGTCTCGCGAGATCCTCTTCCCACCGGCACCGATTGCGCTCGTCAGCTCTAAGGGAGGTGTTCAGAAGCCAAAGGCTGGCGTTTTGGGTAGCAAGGACAGTGCAACAGGGGCAGCAGAGAACCACAAAGGTGAGGCAGTGGAACAGGAAGCAAACAACTTTGTCAACGGCATTGCTCATGTTGCACTGGCTAGTGCTACGGGCAAGCACCCTCAAGGTGAATCTGAGGACGGTGATCAGCCTCAAGGAGACAGCGTCCCAGATCCATCTTCGATCGCAATTGGTGCCGCAGACGCACAGCAGGCAGCATCTGGTGGCAAGGCATCGGCAAAGCATGACAAGACCAAGGTGCCCATGGAGACTGCTATGTGGACCAAGATGCGCCCCATCATGCACGGTCTGGCAGATGTCACCGACACCTGGGAGCGATTTGGCAATGCTCTCGAGCCAACAGCTCCATTCCCCAAGAAGAAGTACCGGTTGCGCTTGACAGCGGTCGTGTCTCCTCTCGTCTTGATTTCGCTATTCGTCACTTCCTACATGTTCATGAAGGGGGTGACCTTCGGCATTGGATTCGGTTTCTTTGGCGATCCAGTCATTTCTCGTGGGCTCGAACTGCTGAACCGCAAATTTCCCAACTGGCAGAAGCTACTTGAGCTTCGCAACACGTTACTCAAGGGCGTCCCTACTAACGCTCAGCTCACTGTCACTCTCCTCCGCATTGGCGAAGCCAACAAAGCGCCTCTGCCGCCCCCACCTCGCATCGACGAGCCCCCACCAGAAAAGCCAGTGGATGTCAGCGACAAGGACCTGCGCGCCGCAGGTGCAGACTGGCCGCTCAATGCGACTCAACAGGAGCTCGACGAAGCCATGGCCCACGACCCGACCGTCAAACATCAGACCGGCGGCGAGGACATCGACAATGCCAAAGACAGCAAGCACGGCAAGAAAGGAAGTAAAATTCTCAACTTCTTCCGCGGCACCGTCAAGGGCGGTGTCGAGACCACAATCGGCGCCGACAAGGTTAAAGCAGCTGCTGGCTCACAACATGCGAAGAACCGCCTTGGTGCTGTTCAGCCCAAGGGCGAGAAGAACATCGATGGACCTATTGAGTTTAAGGCTCGCGATAAGGGGAAGAAGGGCCACGTGTACATCACTACCGTTGCTACGATCCCAAGTATAGCTTTCTCAACCGACTCGACTATCGAGAAGATCGGTACAAAGGACCGTGAGGATCTGCACCCGTCTTGGACGATTCCCGTCGGCGACATCAAGGAGCTCAAGAAGGTCGGTGGTTACGGATGGAAGGCGAAGTTGGTCGTTGGCTGGGCGATGAATCGCGAGGTCGCCGATGGGTTGGAGATCGTTGACCGCAGGGGCAACATCATCAAACTTACGGCTATGCCGCTCAGAGATGAGCTGTTCAACCGTCTGGTGGCTATGGGCGGACAGAAGTGGGAGTGTTGGTAAATACCTGCTTTGCTTTGTATGGCATCGCATGAGGCTTAAAATGTGCTGGTCTCGATACGGCAGGATATATACCACAGTTTGGAGTTCTGGTGTTGAATTGGGGAGATCTCGCAGCATTGGTTCCCACATCGTGGCAATACATTTCTCACACCTCTATGCAGTTCGAAGACATTGGATAACCATCGCGTTTTTATCGATTACCTTTGTGGCTGCTGATATCATCGAGAGCAGATTCCATACAAACCCTCCTATCCAAACATTTCCTACTGTACTTCGCAAACGCTCGTTGTCCAGCTCCACTCACTTCTTCGGTTTCGCCGTCTCAGCAATCTGTACCCAGGTCAGCCTCTTTCATCATAGCCCTAACCTTCAAGCCTCCTTGATACATACCCTCTTCTGCAGCGCAACCAAATAATACGCCTTGAATGCACTCAAAATAGGCCCCGTGAAATTTGGCACCGTAGAACTTATGCCCTGCGCCAGGGCTGCAAAGCCACCAACTTCAGCACTGATGCCGAATCGCTTTGGATCTTTCTTCCGTCCGTCGTTCAGCTTGTCGAGATAGTTCCGCAGTTGGTCTGCGGTGGCTGCAGAGTAGAGTGCGTAGCCCTTGGGGTTCGCGACGCCGCTGCGCATTTCTGCTTCTACGTCTGCGACCGTGAGGGGTTTGGCTTTTGCGGTGCGGGCGCGGGTTTCGGCGTCGTGGATCATTTTATCGGTTACGCCGTTGGCGGCGGTTGGGTTCGCGGCGTCCCATTGGGAACTCATGGTTGCTGTTGTTGGTGGTGGTTGGTCGTAGGGTATAACTTGTGCGGGTTAAGATTGTAGGCGACGATGTGAGGTCTCTATGTATGCTAGGGAGTCGAGATGCAGGTCAAGGCTTGACAGTCCATCAACGGGACGGAAGGGTATTCTTATATGTTGTTAAGTAGACAGGACAAGCGTAGATTGAGGCTGTACTTGTGCAACCTGGCAAGTCTGACGTGAGCTCTTGCCCAGTGAACAGTAGTGGTTACCTATCAAAGATGCCGCAATCCTGCATGGATCCCATTGCTTACCGTCTCTCACATGATTCGATGATACCAAGCATTAGCATAGTTTCCCAATCCCCAATCCCCGAGACATGGTTGTGCTCAGATCGAGGGCTCGTCGAGGAACGAGGCGACAAGAGGGAGAACAGGATGCTACGTTATATCATGTCTGAGTAGACTCTCTCGGCAGAGAAATTGCTGGTTCGGGTCCAACGGAACGTATATCACAATCAAAAGTGCCTATCATAATCCCCAGTTGCTGATATGGATGCCATGGCCCTGCTCGATAGCTCGAGTGATTTTGGAGTTCAATAGACGGGCAAGAGTATTCCTATAGTACTCAACACTGAGACTATCTCATAAGCCATCTGTGCAATTTTCGTGTGGAGGGAGTGTCTTGCTGACCACTTGGCGTGTCCCATGCGGATGGAATTGGGTACATTGATAGATAGAGGTCAAACACCGAATGTGTTACACCTCACTCGCTTACCCCTCTTCAACCATCCCATTATGTATACCATATTTTCGGTAGGAACCATAATTCAAAGTCGGGTTAGAATATCACAACGGAACAAGACGTGAAGTTCGCAGACGGAGCCAGCGGCCGCCCGCAGGGCGCGCTTGAACTGGAGACCTTCAGTGAACCAACTGGAATGTTAGACTGACGTGACAACAAAGCGCAGCATCGAACCGTTTGCTTGATTTGTGAAGTGCACCGCACTCCACATCTTATCGTTCTGATGGCTGATGTGGGGCTCAAGATGGACAGGAGTGAATAGAGAGGGGTCGAAGTCCAGCTTTTCGCTCGCGATCCGTGCGTACATTCTACATATCTATTATATATACATTTTAGCAATATAAATCCTCATAAATCAAAGCAAACGGTTCGATGGTGTAGTTGGTTATCACGTCAGTCTAACATTCCAGTTGGTCCACTGAAGGTCTCCAGTTCAAGTCTGGGTCGAATCAATACCTTTTTGCAGAGCGGTCGCTAGGCGAAAGAACAGCTTTTTGCTCCTTTGCTCTTCCCCCTCTTGTTGGGCGTATGGGGCAGTTCTCGGCAGAGTGTGGCATTCGTTTTTTTGCGAGGCTGACTACTCATGCTGGGCTTTTGTATCATGCCAGGGTATTTGTTTGCTGATTGCACAAGTACTGATATTACGTTACTCCGTTGCTATATATCAGTCGTAGCTATTGTAGACGATGCACTCCATCGTTATTCCCTTTATAGTCCTACAGTATTCAAGAATTATTTCTATTGCAGGTCGACCCTCGTACCGTGATTGGGCAGCTTGACCCTGAACAGCGCGAAAGGACGCACGCGCCTGTCCGTGCCAGGGAAGAAGCTCTTGCTGAACGCCAGCTGGTTGTCGGTGAAGTATAGATAGCCATCACTTGCAACAGACACTGTTCCTCGTTAGCCTACCATCCTCACGCCACTGTAGAGTTGGTGGCACTTACTGGTATCAATCCAACTAATCCTTGGATCTCGCACGAACGTCGAAATCGTCCCATTGGCAGGGTTGAAGAAGCTCAACTGGTTCTGCTCCATATTGCCCGCATAAATGAACCCATTGCTGTCCGTCTCGAAGCCATCACTAACGCCGCGCTGCCCATGATTCTGCACCGCACCCTGTGCCAACAACTCAGAGCTCTGACTGCGATCGCGCAGCCTCTTCGTAGGCACACTGTACAATCTCCGCCCACCAACGGATCCAAAGTACAAGTCCTCACCATCAGCGGACAGAGCGATACCATCACTACCAAGCGGCACGGTAGTCAACGGCATGTTAGGACCCGGGATGTAATACAACGGCTGCCCCCACACGAACGGGACGAACCCGCGCTCAGCACTCACTTCAGGGATGTTGTTCAGATGTCTCCAGCTCTCCCCGGTACCAAGGTCGACGATGATGATCCCATTGCGGCCCTCGGAGGACGAGTCGGTGATGTACGCGACGCCCTTTCCTGAGCTGGTGAGTGACGCGCGGAGATCGAAACGCACGTCGTTGACGTAGGAGTCTGGGAATGCGACGGTGGAAGGGAAGACGATGGTTTGGATCACGCTATCAGTGGTGATGTCCACGCAAATTAGTTTCGTTCCGCCGGGCGAGGCACTGAGGAGCGTTCCGTCGGCGGTTTGCACGCGGCCTGTGTCTAGGATCCAGAGGCGGTCGAGAGGGTCGAGGACTACAGATTGCACGCCGATAAGGTAGTTCTGGTAGTTTGCGCTGGTGGGAGGGGATGTGGTGTAGTTGATTGCGCCGCCGGGTGGGTTGTTGATTTGGGCATTTGGGTAGGGTGTCTCGGTGTTGTTGAAGTTCAGCTCTGCGACAGCGTAGCGGGTGGTGTTGCCGGTGTTGGTGTTGTTGCTGTCGAGGCCGGCTGGGTAGTTGGAAAACTTGCGGCCAGAGCGGGATACGGTGATGCCTGGGTATGTTGTTAGTAGGTGTGTACAGTCGGAGGACAAAAGTCTTGTCGCCCGATGCACTTGGACCACCACAACTACTTTTGAGTGAATGTTCACACACTATTATCTCAACAACCACACGGTGAAATTTGAATCTGATTAAAGCGCTGGATTGCGCATGATCTCAATATTTAGTCTGATACCCCTGTGCACGCATACAGGCACTGAGTCGTCGTGGCATTGAGTAGATAAGCTTCTTGATCAGAGTATCAGGTATGGCCCACCACGCCTCTCTTAACCCTTCACAAAAGCAATCCCACTCCTCCTGGGTATCCCCGAGTGTATCAAATTCAGGGTGAAGCTCATGGAGCTTCCGTTTGAGAGCCTACCACATGTGCTCGATTGGATTGAGGTCAGGTGAGTATGGTGGGAAATCCATAGTCCATACCCCATGAGTCTCTAACCAAATCCTTGTCTTTTTGGCCTTGTGGATAGGTGCGTTATCGTGCATGAATATATCCATAGGGTTATAGTGAGGTTGGAGTCCATCACTGAGAGTTGAGATGTATGAGTCGGCAGTATAGCCTCTGCGTTGTGAGGTAGTATCCCGTTCCATGATGACCAGAGGACTACGCCTAACCCTACCCCCCCTAGTCACCCATATGCTTGCCCACACCATCTGCTGCCTAGCACGAGAAGACTCCTTCTCTGTCACCTTATTGTGATCATATTTCTCATCTGGGTACTGAAAACTCCACTCCTGGTTGGCACCAGAACCTCTTGCAACGCTGCACTCATCACTGAACTTCACTACTACCCGCTTCCAGTTGAGATGTGAGTGCTCACGTGCAAACCTGAGCCTGAGTAGAGCTGTGGCCCGGTTGATCTTAGGCCTCCGCTTTGATCTGAAGTTGCGTAGGTCTAGTGAGAAGAGCGTGCGATAGACTGTCTTCTTAGAGACTAGAGGGTGTAGGTTGCTGTCAGGCCACAGGCCAGCCTCCTCTAGTAGTGTACGGTATTGGATTTTGGGAGATCTTCTGGCAATGCGAAGGAGGAGACGACGCTGGCGACGCGTTAGACTAGCTGGGCGACCACTGCGAGGTCTGCTGGCGTTGGTGTTGAGCTCGTTGTAACGTGAGACGGTTCTCTGGATTGTCCGACGCGAGCAGCAGAGAGTCTTAGCAACTTCATTGGTCTGCGCACCATTCTCTAGAGCAGTAATAGCATAATCGCGTTGACGCTCTGATAATTCACCACCAGGCAATCGATCGGCAGAAATCTTAGCACCAAAAGCTCTCATATTGGGTGTGTAGATGGGGTGGGAAGTTGGGTTGTTGCTGATGCAATCACGGTGTTGGGGTGAGGCCTGTGCTCATGCGACCAGACTTTAGTCTTAGTACTGTATATCGGAGATGGTGTGGCGTACCAGTCGGCCACTGATCATAGTACAAATGAACGACTTCGAGAGGGCCGCCCGCAGAACCAGGATCGGAGATCACCTGTGCGCTTGAAAGTGCTGGGAGCAATGCGCTCGCGGCGAGAAGAACTTTCGACAACATCTTGCGTCTGTTGTGATACCGGTTACTCGCAGTCTCAAGGCCGCAGGGCTTGGACTTATAGCCATTGTGTTTTTGTAATTCATCGTTGCTAAGACCTCAATTGACCTTGATCCTGCACATCGGAGTACCGATGGTACGGTTAGGTGAGTCTTCACGTCATGTTCATGTAACCGGCAATTGATGTGCAAGGATAGAGTTGAGCTCGATAGTTGTGGCTGGTCTTTTCCCCGCTTCGAGCTGCGGCAGGATGCAGGCCCAATACTGGCAAGTTTTGACGAAGTCGATGCAGCTGTACAACGCGATAAATCCTTACAACATATCTACACAAGCTCTGGACAGCGTGTTTATGTCTTGCCAAACACAAAGACACCCTTTCCTTCCCGATACCCCTCAAGAGTATCCTTGACCTTCGCAATCAACTCATCGCCCTTCGTCTCATAATCCCACTTGATCTGATCAAACGGTGTGTCCTTGAACTCGCCCTTCCTTGTCATGTCCAGCACATCACTCACAGTCTTGATCTTATCCTCGGGGTTCTTCTCCGCCCATCGACTGACCCAGAAGCCGTGGAAATGGATGTCCTTGAAGATAAGCATTGATGCAGGAATGGTCAGCGGCTGCTTCGACATAGCGCCGTATGTGACGAAGTGTGCAGATGAAGAGAGTAGTTTCGCCATTGCGGTTGCGGCTTTGCCGTTTACACAGTTCAGCGCTAGTCTGATCTTCCCGCGACCGCCGTTTGTCCACTCTTTGGCTTGGTCGCGGATGCCTTGGGCTTGCAGTTCGGCGTCTGTGATGACGATGTCTGCGCCGAGCGCCTTGAGATCGTTCTTCAGCTTGTCTTCCGCAGCTTTGTCGTCACGCGAACGGATCACATTGATGCTCTTGAGTCCCCATTTCTTGCCTAGCTGGATTGCCGCACGGCCAACGCCTGAGTTCGCTCCATTCTGGATAAACCACTCGCCCGGTTGCAGAGTAGTGAAATCGGTGATCATGCGGTATGCGGTGCAGGGGTTGATGCTAACAGTGCCAGCCTGAATAGCGGTTATGCCCTCTCTCATTGTGTCGTCAAGCTTGACGACCTGATTTGTGGTCGCCGATGCGTGTGTCCTCCATGTACCGAAGCCAGGACCCTTCATGAAGACCCAGTCGCCCTTCTTGTATCCTGCACTCTTCACTTTGTCGCCGAGCGCGATGATCTCAGCAACTCCCTCATTACCAGCTACTGCGATGGGGTTGGGTGTGCCGAGGTCTGTAGTAAAGGTCGGTTTCGATGGGTACACGCCTTGGATCTGGTTGATGTCGGCCGGGTTGATGGGCGAGGCAAGGAAGCGGAGGGTCATCTTATCACCATGGGGCGGCGAGATCGAGTGCCCGTGCAGAGAGAGGACGGATGGCGGCTCACCATATTCAGAAAATGTGAGGGCTTTGGCCTGCTCGTAGCCGTACGCTGAAATGTTGCGGCGTTGAGCAAGTGGAAGTAGCGACCGCGGCGCAGCGAAGCGAGTGGTTGTTCGAGCGCATGTCCGCGCGATGCCCGGCGCGGGCAAAAACAGGGTTGAAGCCATTGGTGCCGAGGAGAGAGGTTTGACGTCTGGAGAGATGTTTGGAGCTCTCGGGTGATTGAGACCAGGTGCCGGAGCTATGACGTGAGTCTGAGTTGCGAGTCGCGGCATAGTGGGGAGCTCAAGCTTCACGCCACCTAAATTCTGCAGAACGCTGTCACTCTGCAACAACACACTACAAGTCAAGATGAGCGAACCGAAAGAGATGGTCATTATCCTTACTGGAGCCTCGCGAGGTAAGTAGAGACTCACTCAATTCAATTGTTATCCTAGATCATCTCTCCTTGCATTGCTGCCCCTCCTTCCTACTTAGTCAAGCAAGCTGCACTTCGCTTCTACACATGTCCCTACAGCCTGGGATGTCCCTTACATATACCCCCAGTACTTCTGCTGATACTCGTATAGGCATCGGCCTCACAATAGCCCACTACCTCCTCTCCCAGCCCGCGCAGCACAAACTCGTCCTCACCTCGCGCACCGCCTCCGCCCTCAACGAGCTGCAAAACAAATACGGCAAAGACCGCGTCGAAATCGTGACCGGCGACGCCGCTGAGCCCCGACTAGCAAAGGACCTCGTCTCGGTTGCAAACGAGCGCTTCGGCCGCCTCGACTCCCTAATCATCAACCATGGCGCGCTCGACCCCGTCAAGAAGGTCGCCGACTCGACACCCGAGGAGTGGAGAAAAGCGTATGACGTAAATGTGTTCAGCGCGGTCGGCATGGTACAAGCCGCGCTCCCCTCGCTCAGGAAGACAAAGGGAAGAATCGTGATCACGAGCAGTGGTGCAGCGACTGGCGCATACCAAGGCTGGGGCGCCTACGGATCAGGCAAAGCCGTTCTGAACCACCTCGCGCTCACACTAAGCGTCGAGGAGCCCGCTGTTACGACGGTCAGTATTAGGCCGGGAGTCGTGGATACGGAGATGCAGCGCGCGATCAGGGAGGAGCATAACAAGACGATGAGTGCGACGGACCAGGAGAAGTTTCATGGGCTGCATAAGGAGGGCAAGTTGGTACGGCCGGAGCAGCCGGGTGGTGTTATTGCGAATTTGGCGGTTAGGGGGGAGAGGGAGTTGAGTGGGCGGTTTTTGAGTTGGGATGATGCGAGTTTGAAGGGGTACCGGACGGACCTGTAGACAGAAAAGAAAGATGATAGAAGTGGTGAACAGAACAATGAACGCACAAGCATAGACCATGAAGCTACAAATGGTTAATTCATTTCAGTACATGCTAATCATAAAGGCACACCATCTACACTCTTCTCGGATCATACAGCTACAACGCTGAGCCGCTGCTGCTCGGCCTGCCCGCCAGGGTATCAATAGGCGAAGGGTTCTTCGGGGCCTGAGGACGGCCGGACAATGTGTCGACTGTCTCCTTGAGGACCATCCAGAACTCGTGCTTGGGGCGTCTCCTGTGCCACTCTGTCTCCTTCTTCTCGACCTGCTCCATGGGGCTGAACAGCAGCTTGCTGCCCTTGATACCAACCACACTGACGCTCATAGGGTCGTCGTCAATCTCGTCCATACTTTGGCCGATGAACTCCTCGAGGTGCTGCATGGCCTTGGTCGCAAACCTGACAGCGCGAACGCGGTCCATGGGCGAGGGTGTGGTGCCTTGCTGGAAGTGACCGGGCACACCGTGTCTAGACTCGAACTTGCCCTTGCCAGCCTCTGCGATCATCTGCGCGATCGTCTGGACTGAGTATGTCTTGCTTGCCTTCTCGTTGACAAGGATGACCTTTCCAGAGCGAGAGATACCCTTGTCTTTCTTGAAAACTTCGGCCAAATGGTCGATATCACGATCCAGCATCTTCAGGCTGATGCCGTCCTCGGGTGTGTACACAGCAAGCGCACCAATGGAGAGACCGGCGACTGTAGCAATGTAGCCGGACTCACCACCTTGGGTCTCGATAACGAAGACACGGCGGCGAGAGGCGGAAGCGGATTGACGGCAGGCGTCGGCGTACTGGATGAGGGCGTTCAGACATGTGTCTGAGCCGATTGAGTACTCGGTTCCGGGGACGTTGTTGGAGATGGTAGCGGGCACAATGACCTGGGTTTGTTAGGTTGGTACACTCAACATGCAGGACAGAGTGTACTTACGATGGGAATCTTGAACGCCTTGTAGTGCTCGCGAGCCTTACGCAGCTCTGACACGGCGGTGAAAGCCTCAAAGCCACCGACAACGAAAAGCGACTGGATGTTGTACTTCTTGAACACAAAGGCGCAGGTCTCGAGGTCCTCGCTGGGCAGACCACGGTTGGTACCAATCTCAGATCCGCCCTTCGAGGCCCATGTCTCGGCATCAACCCACTTGATGTCACGGACAGCGCCTACAGGCTCATCCGAGTGGTGGCGGATGATACCAGGGAAACCGTTGTGAAGCGCAACCGGTGTGTGGCCACGAGCAATACAGTATGCTACCGCCGCGCGTGTGGCAGCGTTCATGCCACCAGCTGGCGCTCCAACGTGGATGATACCAACACGCATGCGCTTCTCCTCTGGCAGGCGAAGCTCAGGCAAGTTCGCTGCTGTGGTGATGTGGTAGGACTTGTACTGCTCCGCGAACTCGGTGTCGCGAAGCTGCATGGCGCGCTCGAAGTCCTTGTTCTCGATAGCGACAGCAACCTCCTTAGTCTGCGCAACAGCCTCCAGGAGGGATCGGCGAACGATCTTGTTCTCTTGGACACAAATGACAGGGCTGGGAGTCTCAGGTGTAGCCTCCAAGACTGCCTTGACAGCCTCAGCACCCTGCAGAGTCGCAAGCATGCGGTCGTAGGCAGATGGGGTGCCTCCACGCTGGACGTGGCCGAGTGTGGTGATTCTTGTGTCGAGCTTGCCCTCATTCGCGAGGACGTCCTTGACCTGTGCGCAAGTGATCTTCTTCAGATTGCGATCAATAGCACCTTCAGCAACGACAACGATAGTCTTGCGCTTGCCCATGTCCCTCTGCTTCTTGATCTGCTTGAGCATCTCCTTCTCCCAACCTGGGTGCGGTGGATTCTCGGGTGTGAAAACAAAGTCTGCTCCAGTTGCTACACCAGCACTAAGAGCGAGCCAACCGCAGTGCCTCCCCATGACCTCGATGACGAACGCACGCTGGTGACTGACGGCTGTGGTGTCGACTGAGTCGATAGCCTCGCAGATACGGGCAAGGGATGTGTAGCAGCCAATTGTGGCATCGGTCATGGAGAGATCGTTGTCGATGGAGCCGACGAGACCAACGATGTTGAGATGTCTGAACGGGTCAACCTGCTCCTTGCTGAGTTCCTTCCTCTCGATGAGCTCCTCGATCAGGCTGGGCCACTCGTCACGGAACCTGTCCGCACCAGTGAGGGAACCGTCACCACCGCAGATGATGAGAGCATCAATGCCCTTGGTGATCATGTTCTTTGCGGCTGTTCGGCGACCGTCTCGCTGCATGAACTCCATGCAACGCGCTGTGCCGATGAGAGTACCTCCCTCAGAAAGGAAGCCTCGGACATCCTCCCAGTGCATCTCCTTGATCATGTCGCCGCCCTTCACAAGCCCGTCGTAGCCCTCGTAGATAGCGAATGCCTCGCAGTTGTTGTGGATGGCCATACGGACGACAGCTCGCACCGCTCCGTTCATGCCAGGCGCGTCTCCTCCGCTGGTCATGACACCGATTCTCCTCTTCTTGCCCTCGAGGGGAGCTGGTACGTTTGTAGGCGCCATGTTTGTGTGTGTTGTGTGTAGTCGTGGAAGTTCGTGAGAGTCGTGGGTGAAGTCGTGGAAGTGAGGAGAAAGGAATGATGTGGTCGCTGTGTTTCACTGTGGGTCAGGTATGAGGTCAAGGTGCGGTGTCTAGGAAAAGTGAGAGAGGCCGAAGCGGGTCCTCGTGGATGTGTTGAGGTTCAGAGCTTCCAGGAGGGGTAGCTTCAATGTGGCTGCAGCAAGCAAGTGGTATGATTGATAGTAGTGTGTAGCTAAGAAAAACAAAGCAGATTGATTGTACAGAGGTGTCCGGTCAATTACTATATACCTTCGGCGGCCCGATGATAAGGTCTGCGCGCATTCGTCTGCGATGCTGCTCAATGGCTGCAAGCTGCGGCAATGACGTGGGATCTGTGGGCTCTCTCAAGAAAAAAACAGCTCCCTCAGCCCTGGTCGGCCAAGTGGGGTCACTCCACCCATGGTGCCGGCCGGATCTTCAGCGAGACGTTTTTCAGCCTCAACACCAGGGTGGGCGGATCGAGATGGATTTATGCAGAATTGCATTGCCAACATTTCCCAAGGACGTGGCGTCCTAGTGATGCGACAACTACAGTGTGACTTCAAGGCTTGGCTTCAATCCCACACATCTTGGAACGCGCGGCTGCACGCTGCACTGCACTTCATTACCAGTTGCAACACGTGCAGGCTAGCCTTGAAGTCAACGGCGGTGTAAAGACCGAGCAGTTGGCACGGTTGCTGGCCGCATCCGGTCCGAGATGAGCATGTAGCGAGCGACAGGGTCCAAACAGAGATTCGTACCGTGAGTAGAAGTAGGGTATGGCATTCGACCGTTACCTCGCCCGCCCTCCCCGCATAGGCGGAGCTTTGGAATTGCTTGGGTTCATCCAAACAAGAAATCCGGGGAATGTCTCTCAAGGCAGCAGTTAAAATATCAGCTGATGTGTCGTCACTCAATCCAAATGCCTCTTGGCTGTATACTGACCTTCCAAGGTTGCTTACGGAACAACACATCACTCATGGCACACCCATGGCATGAGCAAGGAAGTAGGAAACGTCCAAGGCCAACATGGGAACGTGGGAACTTGGAAGGATGTAAAACCCATGGTGGTCATTGTTTGTATCACTCACCCAACCCAACTCTTAACCTGTTCTTTGAGCGACACATCCTCCCCTTTCCCGGACCAAGAGTGTGTCTCTTGCGATGATTCCTGCGACAAATGCAATGCCAACAGACCTCCTCTTAGCTCGACCGAGATATCTCGCTTGACCGATACCCCATTCTTGCTACCTTTGCTCGCAATCGTCACCCTAGCCTCATTGCCCTTAGCAGCTGCCCGGTTCGCATATTCGTTCTTGAGCACGCGATGGGCCACATGCAGTGATAAGATCCAGTCAAGATACGATGTGACGTCTGTTGTGGACTGAAACTTGTTCTCTGTAGAAAGACCAAGATCCGTTGCGAGAGACGATGGGAGCGCGAGCTTGTACTCAGTACCAAAGGTAGGCGCGCCAATGACGGTGCGTATCGCAATGGTCAGCTGCTCGATTTGCGAGCCTTGACTTGATGGCAGAGTCAAGGTAGCTTTGCCCGTAAACGGCTTGGTGAAGATGTCTAAGAGCTGGTCCGTTGCCGAGAGGTCCTTTTTGGTAGACTTTCCGAGAGTGTCGCGGAGTTTCGTCCAGGATTCCTCGCGACTTGTCTCGAGTGGTGTCTCGAACCCTGCGCTCCTCAATGTGCTCGAGACGGTGTTGAGGTAAATGAACAACGAGTCCACACGTTGTAAATGGTGTAGCATGGCGAGCAAAGTACGCAAAAGCGGCGGTGACTTCTTCTCTTGTTTCCGTGCTGTCAGCGGAGATGGAAGCTGAGTCCTCCGGTATAATCGCATGCTATGCTCGTGGGTCAACAAGAGACGCAAGGCTTCGGCAATGCTGTGTGCAAGCCAGTCGTATGTGTGTCCCTGCCCATCCGGGATCTTGTCGTCCCGAGGTATACAGTCGATCAGAAGTTGTCGAGCTGTGACTGACGTCTCCGTTCCTGGCACATCCGCAGATATGACGGAATCTCGTAATCGAACGCCGTATGGTAGCAGCTGCCGTGTTTCCAAGCTCATCTCGTGATATAGTTCTTCTTCAAGTAGCGAGTCTCTCGCAAGCCGTATCGACTTCTCCACTGCAAGTCCCTCTACTACACTCTCCACGGGAAGCTGCGATGATCCGATAATCTTCCCGCCTTCGCTGATTTTCACACGCAAGGTCTTTGGTTTCAATGCGAGGTACGGATCGAGGATGATACTGCCGTCTCTGTCCATGCGCAAGGGAGCGAAGCCACGAGCTTTGAAGTGATCACTGGCTGTAGATTTGTTAGAAACCGCTTCGCATTATACCTTACTGAGCACGTACCCTCAGGGAGCCCATATTTCACACCAAAGGGCACATGGCGCACATTCTGACGCAAGCGCTGAATGGGCCAGCCCTTGTCCGAGATAGACACGATCTCTTGCCAGTACTTCGTTTCCCTGCGAACTTCCTTCTCCAGGTTCCTCGCCGCCTTGAGTATTTCGTCTGTCGCAGTATCGAGCGCTTCCATCCTAGCAGCCTTGGACACGAGGTCCCGCCTTTTCTGCTGTTCCTCTTTTCTCTGTCTCTCTTCGGACTTTAACTCATGGTGCTCATGGTTCTCTCTAGCAACACCCATAGATCCAAAGGGAAGCCCTTGGTTCAGACCAGCTTCACGGAACGTATGACTGAAAGACGTGGGAGCGCGCTTGTTGGGGTCGGCGGAGAGTACAAGGGAGATGAGGTCGAGCGCATTGGTGGCAGCGAACCTAGCCCAGCTTCATACTGTCAGTAACTGTATTTCGTGGTACGAGCTGTGGTTCAAGCGTACTCCAGGTGGCTTGCCATCTCCCTCTGCATCTTGAGAATCTCATCCTTCCTCTCTTTCATGGACGGGGCTTCCTTCTCCTCATCGTCATCTTCTGAGCCCTCTTTCGCGTCATTGAAGACATCTTTTCCAGCGTCAATGTTAGCTTGCAGCGACTGCTCTGTTATGTCGCGTAAATGACCCCGCTCTGATGTGAGCTGCTCGATCTGTTGTAGTAGCGCATCTCTGCTCAATTCGTCTGTTTTGTTCGCTGGCCATGGGCGCAATGCCACGTCTTTCAGTGACTCAAGCCCAGACATGGTGCGAATCGTCCAGCGACCCGTTTGATCAAACGCGACGTTGTTGATCGGTACATTGAAAGAGGTGGACCCTTGCACAAAGGTCGAAGCTCACTTCGGTAGCGCCCGCCACTCATCGCTGTTTGTTATCGATAAAGCTTCGCCTACACTTCACCTACGCTTCACTGCCATTGCCACTCTTGCACGCTTCGGGTTATGTGATAAGCCGCAATTGTGTTTGTCGATCGACTCTCGTGGGTGGTTTTGCTGAAAAAGGTCATCTGAGCTTCCCAGTGTATCGTTCCTTCCCCACCGTGCCAGGTTTCACGTGCATACGTCCTTCCCGCTAGCGGCGTACTCCGATAGGCTTGTAGTCACAATATCGGACACATTGACAGCTCAACGCTCTTCTCCCTTTCTGAGGACTCTCTCACTTACTGCTAATCTACCATGACTACCAGATACCGCGTTGAATGTATGTCGAACTTCATAGCTATCATGCTACCTCACTCACAACTTCAAGCTGAGCCTCAATATCGGTACGCTAACATGGCTGACATGCAGATGCCCTCAAGGTTCGCCATTCACCTTCAAACATCATGACAACACGTTCTAACAGCCTCTCAAGACTCACAGGCGAGATCAATTGGTACGGGCACTTGCAAAGTCGTTCAGAACAACCAGACTAATCTAGTCTCACAGATCGAATGGATCAAGGTACTACTGCTTCGCACCCGTCAGTTATGCCTTTGAATACTGATCTTTCGGAGGGTCTTCTCGCAGTTCCCTTTGTTCTGCACTCGCAGCCAACAGCCGTCTTCGAGGAGAATGCCCAAAGTGTCCACCAGCAAGCTAGCGTCGCCCAGCGTCGGTACGCTGAGATCATGCGTGATGTGGAAGACATAATCAATGATCACAGTAGGTCTTATGACTTTCGAGGGCCCCTGGTCTTTTCTACATCGCGTCTCTGAAGAACGGCATTGACCAGCTCCGCAGTTGAACACCAGAAGCTGGGGAAGCCAGATCGATCGAAGCTCAAGCTCTTGGTACCAACGGTCGCCAACTTCTTCACGCCTTTGGCACTCCACGATGCGTTCATATGGCAGGATCAACGTCGCTCGATTAGCTACAGGCGCTTTGTGCCACCCTCATTCAACGACGTACGCCTGGTCCTGAACACAGCCCAGGTCATGAGCCTTGTTCGCAGTGGCCCTATTGAACTCGTCACCTTTGACGGAGATGTCACCTTGTATGACGACGGAATGAACCTGCTACCGGAGAACCCAATCATCCCCAAGATTTTGCAGCTCATGCGAAGAGGGTCTAAGATTGGTATTGTTACAGCAGCAGGCTACACAGAAGCCAACCGATACTACGGACGTCTTTTCGGACTACTCCACGCGATCCAGGAGTCTGACTTACCATTGGAGTCGAAGCAAGGCTTCATGATTATGGGTGGCGAAAGCAGCTTTTGCTTCAAGTTCGATGAGAACAGCCCTGACCTGTTGAGATTTGTTCCACGGGAGGAGTGGGTACTCAAAGAGATGCTGTTGTGGTCCGACGCCGACGTCGCAGAGCTCCTGGATATTGCGGAGGCATCACTGAGAGACACGGTGAAGAACATGCGGATGAACGCCGAGATTGTCAGGAAAGAAAGAGCAGTGGGCATCATACCAAAGAACGGCGACCGATTCTGTCGAGAGACTCTGGAGGAGACGGTGTTGATCGTGCAGAAAGTGCTGGTATGTCCTGGGCCCACTTCCACAGTACAAGATCTGCTGACATGCCTAGGACATCTCTGAGGTCGGACAGCGACTGCCATTTTGCGCCTTCAACGGTTCGTACTCCCAGAACAATTACGGATCATCCACTGACTCAATCACCAGGCGGCAACGACGTATTTGTGGATATTGGAGACAAGAGCTGGGGTGTATTGGCCTGCCAAAGGATCTTTGGATCAATTGAAGGAGGCAAGACGCTGCACGTTGGAGACCAATTCTTGAGTGCGGGTGCGAATGACTTCAAGGCGAGACTGGCATGCACGACGGCGTGGATTGCGAACCCAACGGAGACGTGTCAGCTGCTGGACGAGATTGCAGAGCTGGACGAAACACACCAACGCAAGACACGATAACACCACTCGCAATGGTCCATGTGAGAGGACGAGGCACTGTGTAACATGGCATGTGTTTGACAGACTCAGCATTGTATCCTATTTATACGCATGAGATATCCACAAAATCTAGATTAATTTGACGAAGACCCTGCGCCGTGTTTGTGGAGTTTGACGGAGGCAAGGCGCATGCCCAAACTGTCCCTGTCCCTGACTCGAAACGGCTCACAGCTTCCGCATACGGCAATGGGAGTTGCCCTCGTGCATGCAGCCCTTCGCAACGTTGTTCACGCCTCACACGCTCGCCATTGCGCTCTGTTACTTCCACCGCAGCGTTTTATGCCAATTGCGGATTATTTTTCCAAGGCGACGCAATCACATCGCTTGTATACCCTGGGCTGCCGTTGACCGAAGCCTCGCTGCCTCGTGTCGTGCAAACCACCCGTTCCCTGCACTGTCCCTTCAACCCTGGTCAAGCTCCTTTCGCCCCGGCCCTCCCTGAGCTCACGCCCGCCTGCGACCTTGCGACGCTCGCTGACCTCTTCCTGCCGCTCTCTCCGCGCAATTGCTTCGATCCAGACGCGATTCATCCGCGTTGTTTGACGAGAGAGGGACCCCACCGATCACCGCCGCAATGCCGTCCAAATTCAAGCCATTGACGCTTGCGCCCATCAACTTCTCGCTCACAGAGGGCACCTCAATCCCTGCGCCGCTCGACTCGCCGCCCGACACACCTCGTCCGCCTACACCAGGCAAAGGACCACTCTCGTCGCACCCCACACCAAAGTCACCCATCTTCCCACAGCACCGGGTCGGTTCGCCCAACGGCAAGGCCTCTGAGGACTCAGCAGCACCAGAGCCTCCAGTGACACGCGGCCGGACGAGTGACGCAGCTAGCGGTGGCCTGTCGCCCACAAGTCCGGGCTCTCAAAACCGACGGCCGTCTTCTGTACGCCAGTTTCTTGGTCTCCGCACATTGCCGTCGAAGGACAGTCTACAACAAGATGAGAGACCAGGTTCGCCAGCTACCATAGGCAGCCAGGCTCCAAGCCTCACGAGGAAGAAGAGCAGTAGTTGGTTTGGCAACAAGAGGAAGAGCTCCTACTTCGGTAGCGTGCCAGAGGGAAGCGAAAAAGCTCAGGCGGCACCGCTGTCGAGAACAGCGACAAACGGCGCGATGGGTACTCCTGCGCCTGTCTCGAGAATCCCAACCGCACAGACGCCGCCGCCTAAGAAGAAGGGCCCGCCCCCTCCCGCTCTGCCTCAACTGAACACATTTGGGGTGAACGAAAAGACACTGAGCTTCGATGCGGACGACATGTTTAAGAACATCAGATAAAGCATTACGAGCAGCAGTCTTTACAAAGGTAAGGTGGCATCGCCTATAACCACGATGCGGTTCTAATGGATTGGAGCTTAATAACGTTTGTCGATTTGGGCTACGACTTGGGAGTTTATAAGATTGGTTGTGGATAGTACATTCTCTGTTCTTGCTTGTTGCATAGCACACGATACCCCGGGTCGACGCACGATAGCAGAAGGGCTAGCACGGTTTGGGGTATTAACTTGGGATTAGACAGCGGTACTTGTTCGTACTATTGACTTCTGCCGTGTATGGTTTGAGCGTTCGTTTTGATATTGTACCGTATGGCGAGGACCGTTGTCGCTAGACTCTGCAAATACCATTCCTTGTGTTCTGTCAACTGTTCTCCGTCTTCTCGGACCCGCGCCCATGCTTCTGCTGCAGCACGCGGCAGACATGCAGGCGCAGGACATGCGACAGCTTGGACCAATGAGGGGTTGCATGCGCTGGCCAGCAACAACGCTAGGCGAGAACCCCTGTCACAACAACAAACACAGTCAACACCCGCCGCCAGCCCTACAACGTTACCGTCCATATTCGACTTGCGTACTGTTTGGACCGCACACTTAGCAGCTGGTATCGCCATCGCAGTATCATTGCGACAACCTTGGATTTACTATGGCCCACGACCAGGGCATGTTCTCGGTCCAACGACCGCGCCAGGTGGGTTTGTTGTGCTTGGGCCGAAACCCCCACCGCCGACTCTTACTGACAACTGCGCGCAGACACTAGGACCGATGAACAACAACATCTCTTCCGCGATTCCCATGCCCTCGTCAGCGATGAAGCGCTCGAGCTCCGTACACCAGATGCAGCAGGGCTCGCAGTTCGGCGCAAACAACCATGCGCGCTCCCAATCTGGAGGGCGCATGTCGCTCGCACCAGGACGACCGAGCCAGCCGCTCTTTGCGCGCTCGTCGTCCGGCACAAACCTCGCTGAAGGGTTTCCGTCAGTGCAGCGCCAGTCCATGGGCGCCTTTGGCGGAGCCAGCAGCGGGAGAAAGAGCTTTGCGCCTGGCGCGTCGCTCTTCCAGACACCAGCACCGCCTGCCGGGCCAGACTTCGAGCAAAGCGCACAGCGACGAAGCAGCGTCTTCAAGGCGCGCACATCACACGCCGGCGGCCAATCAGGTGTCAAGCAGTCTTTCTTCCAGCAAGCGCCCATGCCTGCGGCGCCCCCAGCAGACCCTCGAAGACTGAAGGATCCCAACACGCGGCAGACAATGTCCGGCGAACTACTTCAGTTCCTCACACACAACAACTTCGAGATGGAGTCGAAACACGTTCTGTCAAACAAGGCCATGACCTCACCCACACAGAAGGATTTCAACAGCATGTTCCAGTGGCTGTACAACAAGATCGACCCAAGCTACCGATTTCAGAAGTCGATCGACCAGGAGGTCCCAGTACTGCTCAAGCAGCTACGCTACCCCTTTGAGAAGTCCATTATGAAGTCGCAGATCGCGGCTGTCGGTGGCAACAACTGGCCAACGTTCTTGGGTCTGCTTCACTGGATGATGCAGCTTGTGGTTCTGTGCCAGAGATACGAGTCTGGAAGCTACGACGAGGCTTGTTTCGAAGCTGGCTTTGATGTTTCTGGCGACCGCATCATCTTCGACTTCCTCACAGACGCATATAGCACATGGCTGGCAGCGGACGATGAAGAGGACGACGAGGAGGCCCAAGATCGACACATGCAGCCTCACATCCAGAACATGGCGGCCAAGTTTGAAGCGGCGAACTCGCAACACCACGACCAGGTCAAGATGCTCGAGGCAGAGCACAAGCTGCTCCAAGACCAGATCGATGAGCTGAGCAAAGCAGGGCCCAGGATTGCAAAGTATGAGGAACAGAACAAGGTTCTCGGAGACGACAAAGTGAAGTTTGAGAGCTACAACGCGAACATGGAGCTTAAGGTCAACAAGTACACCGATCGCTGCGAGTTCTATGAGAAGAATATTGAAGAGCTCGAGGCCGAGCTCGAAGCAGCCGAGAAAGAGCAAGCAGAACTCCAGGCCATCATCGACGGCCGCGGAATGACCATTAACGACATCGACCGCATGGCCGCCGAGAAGGACCGCCTCGACAACGCGCTCCAGGGCACATCCGCCCGCCTCGAAGAATCCAAGAAGCGCGTCGCAGAGAAGGAACTACAAGCCTCCAAGAAACTCGACGAACTCGAGCAAACAATCGAGCGCTACAACAACCTAGGCTACCAAATCGGCGTCATCCCCTCCACCGCCGTCAACGCAAAGGGCCAGGACTACGAACTCGTCCTCACCATAACCGACGGCCCAAACTTCTCTGGCTCACAGATGGGCTCTTCCTCCCAAGAACCCTCCGACCGCCTCCTCCAGGACTCCAGCACCGGCTACTCCCCCGCACACCTCCTCAACCTCGACCTCAAAGGCACCATTAAATCCAACATCCTCATCCTGCGCAAAGAAATCGCCGAGCGCCGCAACGCCGCCCTCGAAGCAGACATGAACAACCACGACCTGCTCGACAAGATCAAAGAAGCCATGGACGACAAGGTCGCCGAGGTCGAAGCGCTGGGACACCGTGTTGCGCAGGCGGAAGAAGAGCTCGAGAAGCTGAGGGAGATTACGAATACGCAGAAGAGCCAGAGTGATGCGCAGATTGAGCGTATGGAGAAGGAGTTGGGCCGCATGAGGAGCGGGTTGGGTGAGAGTGTGCAGTTGATGGTACAGAGGGAGATGGCTGTTAATATTGAGTAAGTCGACACTTCTGCTACTACCTTGCTAAGAGACCGGAAACTGACGTGGGATAGGTACGAACAACTCCAGCTCCGCGCCAATTCGCTGCGCGAAGAACTGCACACGGAGATTGAGCGCATGCTCGATGACATTGTGCGCTTCAAGCTGCACGTCCAGCGCTCGCTTGAGGAGTACGAGCAGTTCATTGCCGACGAGGTCGAGCGAAGCTGCGAGGAACAGGATCTGCTTGCGCAGGCCGAAGAGGGTGAGCAAGAAGATGAGGAGATGGGTGACGCCGAGTAAATACGGGTAGTAAATACGGGTGAGAAGACGATGGCGATGATGTTACGATGGAAGGCGTTGGTGGATCTCTTTTGAACCCCCGGAGTTTGTTTGCTACTCGACGCATGTTGCTACCCATGGTAGACTTGTTGTCATTGGAGTTTGAGGAGTTGGATACGACTTCGACGCTTCTTAGATACCTTTGCGCCCTTGCTTTTGGATAATGCAACGTCTACACTTCAATCGCCTCTTTACGTCATCCACCTCAGCCCGCCTCCAATGTTTGCTTGATGAGCGTGCATCTCCGGTTCATCTAGTACATTGGTTTCCGTGCACTGAACTGCACAACCTCGAAATACGCATGCACTTTTCGTTCCTTCAGTCCGTTCCTGAACTTTGCAATAAACACCTGCGCCTCCTCAACACTCCACCCCATAACCTTGGTCAGCAGGAACAACCCCCATCCCTCGGCGCCCTGCGTGCAATGCAGGAAGTTCCAGCGCCCGATCTCTTTCATGCGAGGATCGGCCGGCCACCCGTTCACGGGCACTTTGTACACGTTCTCGACCACATCGACGAAACCTACATTCTTCGCGTAGGTAGACAAATTCCACACTTCATAAAAGCTTTTCCCAAAGCGATTCGACGCTTCATGAAAAACATCACTCCACTGGCTCAGAATATGATCTGGAGTCAGCGTGCCATCGTCGCTCTTAAATTGGATGCTCATTTCAACCTCATGCAGGTAGCCGCCGGGCTGCAGATTGTCGAAGACTTGCTGATACAGCGCGGGCCAGTCGGCGATGGACCCGTACAAAGCGCGGATGTTGATGAGATCGAAGGCGTACGGGAAGGTCCAGGAGGATGTTACATCGTCAATCTCGAATTTGCAGTTGGGTGGGGTGAAGGAGGGTTGGATGGGGGAGAGGTCTACGCCGATGGTTTCGGCGCCGGGGTGTTCTGTGATGTCAGTTTTGAGGGGTATCGTGTTCATGGGGTGTACGAACCGTCGGCCATGTCTATGCACCAGATTCCGGTGCCGCATCCAAGGTCGAGAATTCTTTGGGGGTTCTCGATGGGTGCAAGATGTAGCTTGTTGTCAAGTAGTATTAAGAACATGTGGTGGGCAATGTCAAGTTGATCATTCTGAACCTCATCGTTTGGACCCCAGTACTCGCCCTCTCGGAACTTGTGGTAGCGTCGACCATTCTCATAGCGGTGTCTCCAGATAGTAGACGGGATAGATGTTGTATCGCTCAAGTGATCTGGTTCGCCATACGCGGAGTCTGATTCATCGAAGTCACTTTCCTGCGGGAGCTTTAGCAATGGATGAAAGTTCGCAGTCGTGATGTGATCTTCACACAAAGAACTGTTCGATACTGGTCAACTATATATTTGAAACACTTACAGGTTGAATTGGAGGCTGAATTGGAGCAGGGTCGTATTCCACTGCCGTAGATGGACCCGCCGCTGTTGTGGGCACTGGCGCTGTCTCCGCGGAACTTTGCTTGTTACTTGCAGGTGCTGCACTTGCTGGAGATGTCGATGCATCTCCATCCACTGCTGCTACCGGTGCCGCCTCGCTCAACAGAGATACCGTCTCCCCCACATTCGCTGAAGAGGCTGGTGCACCTATCCCCATGGTGTTTTCTGGTTGTGACGTCGCCATATTCTATTGAGCTTTAACCGTTTGAGCCAGGAACGACAACGCCACACTTCTTGCGGGTTCGGCTCGGGATGCAATGGGCCTGGGTAAGCGAACTCGCCAGATGTCAAAGATGACCTCAAATAGTCCTTTCGTACTTCATAAGGCAGTGAGGAGGGAGATGGTAAGATTTTCTAGTATTTCGGGAGCTTTTCCGGTGATTTATGCTCGAGACACAGTAGGAAAAGGAACCTACACCGACTCTGCCTGGTGCTGATCGTGCAACCTGGAGAGATAGGAGGCTATGTACCGCGGAACGACTGTAAATTCCGGATCCGTTGATGGACGTGCATCGGGAAGCAACGTGGTTGCAGGCTTCAGACCTGGTCGCTGCTGCGGGCCAAACCATTTTGAGGCAGACGGGCAGGCGATTTCATGAACATCGTGAGTCTGGCCGTGTTCGGTCAGACGTTCATGCAGGGCATCTCCCACCGACGACTGGCAGCTGTGCTATGTGTTGATGTGCTTTTTGTATTGATGGCTGTCATACCAGTATTTCTTTGGACCACTGTCGCGGTATCGATACTCTTCAAGCTCAAAGAACATCTCTTCTTATCCATTCAGTTGACGGTGGTCATAGCTCGACGAGACAATCCACGTGCTATTGCAGGCCAGCCTTCGTGCTCGGGAGGACTCCGCTTTCGAGTGGAGCAGTTGGAGATGCATTTGGTCGGATTGTTGGTCAACAGGTTGGCGGGTAGAATTCCGCAAAGGTTCACTCGTCGTACGGTACCTTTTATCCGCGAACCGCGCTTGATCACAGACACGGCAGCTGCTATGCAAACACGGACATCGCACCCTCCCTAGCCAGATCGTGCCAGCAATTTGCTTGTGACAGCGATGCACGACCCACGGCATTCTCGCGCTGCCAACGCGCCCACGGCACCTGCCATACTTGAGGATCCACCAAACGTGCCAAACAGTGACTCCCTGTTATTCATCGCCAGCCTTAAGAGTCGAGGGCAGTTGATTTCTCGTGTCACTTGATCATTATCATGGACACTGGTGAGCTTGGCGCGCTGCTGGGATCCGTCTCACGTCTGTATCTAGTCCTTTTCGTCATCGCGGTTTACCTGGTCACTGCTCGTCTTCGCCAATACTATCGCCTCAGCCATTTCCAGGGTCCGACTACCACAGGCATCTCATGGTGGTGGCATTCGAAGGCTGTGTTGAGCGGCCAAGCACAGCGCTTCTATGGTGATGTGACAGAGAAATATGGTACATCAAACACTCTCAGGACCAGAGTAGACATACTGACTGTTCAGGACCGATTGCAAGAGTGTCGCCGGAGCACTTGATAACGAGCGACCCAGAGCTATGGGCCCATATCAATGGCATTCGGTCGCCATATCGTAGGGCGCCATGGTACTACCATGCAGCACGCTTCGAGCCCGGAAAAGACAACGTGTTCACCGAGTGTGATAACGAGCGCCACAACGTCAGACGGAGGAAGATGTATGCCGGTGTAAGTACATTTGATAAAGATGCTTCTTAATGTAAGCTAACAATCAAAAGTATTCTGGGAAGGAGAATCCAACTTTGGAACCATCAATCGACGGCCATGTGCAAGAGCTCATACAACTTGTTCAAACTTACGCTGCCCAACCTGCGTTAACAACACCGTTCAAAGCAATGGACCTCGCCCAGAAGATCCCTTTCTTCACTCTGGATGTGATCAGCCACATTGGTCTGGGAACACCGTTCGGCAACCTCATCTCCAACAAGGACGTGAACGATTACCTCAAATCCTCCGAAGAAGGTCTCAAGATAGGCAACACAGCTTTCGGCATGGGCCTCGGCTGGATGCGAGAAACTCCAATCATCGGCCCAGCAATCAGTCCTTCTGAGAAAGATCTCACCGGTTACGGTCGCATGATGCACGAAGCGCGCAAGATAGTCGACGCTCGCAGGTTGAAGTCAACAGAAGGCAAATCCGACATGCTCGCCTCCTTCATCCGCAACGGTGTATCTGGCGACGATCTCTTCCAGGAGGCCTTCGAGCAGATCGTCGCTGGCTCTGATACCACCGCGGCCGCTATCCGAATCATCCTGTTCTACATCACGACCCATCCCCGCGTATACGCGAAGCTGCAGGCCGAGATTGACGAAGCAGTGAAATCAGGCGCTGCACCTGCATCTCCAAACGTCATCCCGGATACCGAAGCACGCAAACTCCGCTACCTCGGCGCTGTTGTACGAGAAGGAATGCGCGTCCACCCACCCGTCGTAAACCTCTTCTCCCGCATCGCCCCAGATGCCGGCGATGTAGTCACTGTGCAAGGCAAAGAGTACTTTATCCCCGGGGGCACCATGATCGGATACTCCGCCTGGTCGATGCACCGCAACAACACATCCCTCTACGGCGACGACGCCGCGGTCTTCAGGCCAGAGCGCTGGTTCGTTGACGAGTCGAACCCCGCTGAGAAGGGCAGGCTGAAGGAGATGATCGAGACGAACGACATGATCTTTGGGTACGGGAGGTGGGTGTGCTTGGGCAAGAACATTGCGCTGATTGAAGTGCATAAATGTGTGTTTGAGTTGCTGAGGCATTTTGATCTTGCGTTGAGCAATCCAGCGGAGCCGTGGAAGACGCACAATAGTTTGGGGCTGTGGGAGATCAAGGATATGTGGGTTAATGTTACGGCACGGCCGTGATGATGGTATGCAGATTCGGCGGATGGAGTAATGAGACATGACATCTGAAAATGAAGCTGCGAAAAGGGTATTCATTACTACTCATTATCTTCATGACAAGGCATAACAGGGTATACGCAAAGAAAGAATCAATCTAGACCAAGCAGTAGCAGCGATACTCGCGCTTTTACTTCTTCTCCGGTGCCTTGCCCGGCTCAGGAAGCTGCGAGACATCCGGTAAATCAGCCACTGTCGCCTTCCCGTCCTCCTTATCATCCTTGGCAATCGTCGGTTCCGTAGGCTCACCCTCAACCCTCGGGACAGGCTCAGACGTAGCTTTCGTCTTCTGTCCCTTCTTGTCGCCGAAGACAGAATCGTCATCACTAACAGCTGCGCTGGAAACACCTGAAGCTTCGGCTGAGGCGGCCTCTGCGGCGAGGCGTTCCTTCTCCAGACGGGTCTCGCGGCCGCGCTTGTGGCAGTACCAGAACACGAAGAGCAGGACTGTGGTCAGGTTAGTAGATGTCCGTAGGAGGCGGTAGGGTTGACTTACTCATTACAGCCAAACTCATAATCAAGTTCGTTCCTGTAGCCAGAGCTGGAAACCTGAACTTCAAGAAGTTGACAATGCTGCGGAGTGCTGTAGCCACCGCTCCCTGAGCAGAGACTAATTGTTTGAGACTAGGAATCTTGGGCACGCCCGGTATCTTGCTCTTCTTGCTCCTGCTTCCCTCACCACCGGCGCGCTGCTTGCCGTCGAAGCCGGGCTTTTCTGCACTTGCAGCGAGAAGTTCGGGACCGAGGCCGGCTGTGAGCTTCGCGGGGAGGCTCTTGACGAAGTTCTGCAGGAAAGGTGGAAGACCGCCGTACATCTTCTTCAATTGGGCGTCGTAGTCGGTGAAGAGCTTCTCGAGATCGTTGTAAGCCGTTGGAGCGCCGTTGACGACGTCCTTCAATACGAGAGTGAACTTCTGGAGGAGCTCTTCAGACTCTTTGCTGAAGGAGAACACGCGGTTGTTCACGGCGGACATATTGAGCTCTTCGAGGATCTTGGTGAGATCTTGAGTCTCCTTCTCGACTTCCTTTTCGTCAGCGGACTTCGAGGCTTCGGCGGCGGCGAGGAGGTTGTCGGCGAGCTCGTTGCGCTCGGCGTCTGTGACCTTGGCTTTGCCCTTCTTGTCTTTTGTTGTGCTGTCCTTCTCTCTCTCGGTTTTGTCGGTCTTCTTGCCAAACTTGGGAAGCGCGAAGTATGATGTGAATGGCTTCTTCTCTGCTGGGCTTTTTGGAAGTGCGATCTTGTCTGCGCCGTCCATCAACGCATCTTGTGCATCCTTTCCGACCTTCTGCTGTCCATGTTCGTCGATGATCACGGCTGGGCGGCCGGGTAGTGGAGGAGGTGTGCCCTCGGGTTCTGAGGCAATCGCGGCGAGCCGCTCGAGAAATTTCTCGTCTTCCTCGTCTAGGACAGGCTCTGCGCCAGTCTCATCGGCGGGTTCGCTGATCGTTGGCGCAGGCGGTGGTTGAGGGACGGGTCCTGTAGGTTTGGCTGCGTCTTCTGGCTTTGGCGCATTGTGAACGACTGTTTCTCTGAAGTTGGCGGGGTCATTCTGCTTTGACTTCGGTCGCAGCTTTTGAAGGTAGGAAGCCATGATGGATGTTGATCTTTCACGGCTGGTTGCGGGGTGTTTGTGCAACTTGAGTCGAACTTGAGGGGTATTCTAGGTATTTGCTAGGACTGACGTTTATTAAAGGTCTTTGACAGCGGCTCAGCCACCCTGAAGGCGATCTTCCTTGCACGGCGATCGCAACGCGGTAAGCATGTCGTTGTGGCCCTGTTGTGAGTCTGGTCGCAATCCAAGAGCCCGTACGTCATCGGCAGGGTTTCTTAGCGCGCGCCATGTGAAGCTCAATGGTCATGTTCAACGCCATTCCACCCCACACAACTTTGTCTTTTTGAGGAGATATCAACAACAGCAAAATCCTTCAAAACGGAGTCGCTTGCTGAGTATGTTCTCGCATTGATTCGCCAATGCATTACTCGTTTGTCATTGTCGAGTGGATTTGTGCATTGGACCACTCTGCACTGATTCACTTCGCGTGGCACGCCCTTCCGTCTATCAACATCTCCTTCGATCGAAATGAAAGTATAGGATATTCGGTACAATCAACACTATACTGCAGTAGCCGATGTCGCAAGCTTGGTGACGGTCAGTTCGAGCTCTCATGTAGACTCCGTGATCCTTTATCCCATGAACACTATTACTTCTGCTACAGCACGACCAATATATCTCTGTGATCAGCTCATCTCCTGCCACAAGCTTGTGAGTATGTCTAATCCAACGCCGAAGGCGCGATGGAGCCCACCGATATGCTCTTGCATTGTACGACTTGAACAGCACGATCGAAAGGTAACAACGGCTATCACTGTCTTCACTTTTGCACAACTTACTTCTGTAGTTTCGTTACTCTGCTTCCACAGCTGCGGCAGTATTGGCGAGTTGTTGCGTTTCTCGACGTGTCTGAAACGCAAGAACCACTTCCATGTCTCTTCACAATTTCGATTCCGACTACTCACTGCCACATCTTCGTTTGCAGATAGCGCATTTAGAGCTTTCACAAGCTAGCTTGGAGCCAACAGCCCAGATTTAGGGGGGTGCGTTTGGCTCTCACCTGCCAGGCTGGCGAATACAGAGCTCTCTCACCTGCTCCTTCTGCGTTTGTAGACTTACCGAGGAGCACTTCACATATTTGACTAGTAGTTTTATAAACACCGACACCTCAGCCTGTTCTACTTCAAATCTTTTACACAACGCGAACCATTCCAACTCCATGCACTTTGCCGACGACATGGCGAACTCAGCCTTCAGCTTTGACGGTAAGACTCCGCCTGCTGGCTTCAACGATTGATGACACTGACACATAATACAGACGCCGAGCCCATCGATGATATGGCCTTTGAAGATGCCATGGATATTGCTTCGAACGATGACCAGGACGACTACACGGAGGATACCACACTGGTGGGAATGAATGATGTGAGAGATCATTGAGCACCCTGGAGGCATTCACTGACGGAAGGCAGGGCGACGGCGACGGCTTCAAGCTTGATGGCTTCGACACTCTGGGGCTCGAAATCGATGAGGATGACGAAGACGACATTGGCGACTACGATGATGCCATCGTTGGCAAGAAGCGCAAGCGCGCCGGCACTGAAGCTCCTGAGAACAACCTGAATCACTCCAAGCAGACCAACATGCGCATCAAAGCGGAGGGCGGAGAGGCCTTTATTCTCTATGAAGGCACTTCCTCTCTCGCAAATCACCAGAGTACTCGAGTGTTCGGCACATTCGGTCGTCGTAAGTGTAGTTTGGCATGGATTGTGTTCCGGTTACTGACTACCTCCAGGCGACCGCCAAAAGGGTGAGAGCCTACCCGCATACCACAAGAAGGTCTCTGCAGAGCTGGACTCCGACGACGAACTCATGCTCGAGATGCGTGAGAAGGGATATAGTGACCGCCAGATTGCCGAGAAGCTCGCAAAAGACGGTCGCGTTCGCTATGATCAGAAGTCCATCTCTACGCGCATCATGCGCATCCGTCTTGCGCAGGCTGAGAATGTCGACTTCCTCCTGCAAGAGGGTTACAGGGAGTGGGAGTTTGAGGATGTGAGTTCACAGCATTCTAATTCTGCCGCTAAGATGGTCTACTGACTCCCTCCAGGACCAGCGTCTCGCTCAAGCCTATGCTCTCGCCGATATTGAGATCAGCTACGAGATTGAACGTATTCGTGCCTGGCGCTTCCGCAAGGTTTCCGAGTACATGCGCCGCCTCAATAAGGGCTCGCTCTTCTCAGCCAACGCCTGCCGCACCCGCTATGGTCAGCTCACGTCAGGCACTGCTCGCATCCCGTGCGACGTAGACGATGACCCAGATACCCGTCGCGAAGAGCTCGAAGTCTTCCGCCTATCACGCGAAGCAGCCCGAGAGAAAGAGGCGGCTGAGAAAGAGACCCGAGAGGCCATGGAGAAGCGCGTCAAGGACGCGGTCAAGATCAAGAACGCTCAGAAGGCCGAAGAGATCGCTAACAAGCGCGCAGCAAAAGAGCAGGAGAAGGCCCAGCGTGCTATGCAGCGAGCTGCCCAAGCTCAGCTTCGCATGCAGAAGGCAGCTGAAAACCAGAAGGCAAAGACAGAGCGCAACGCGCAGATCAAGAAGGCTGATTCCAATCCTAAGAAGCGTGGAAAGAAGACCAAGTTGGATACGGACGCGTCCACCAAATCGACATCGTCGAAGACCCTGGCGTTCAAGACCACCAAAGCCACCAAGGAAGTCCCTGAGACGGTCGATCCGCGCTCTTACCTCAACATGACCGACCTTACCAACCTCTGCGTCAACCGCGGCCTTCCTACCGACGACAAGACGAAGAAGGAGCTTGTCGCATCCCTCGCCGACGCTGACATGGAGTGGAACCACGACCAACTCTGCAAGATGTGCAAGGCGAAGGGCCTCAACGCGGGTGGCACCAAGCTTGTCATGCGCTATCAGCTGGCTCTCAAGGCGGCACAGATGTGTCCCAGCTTCGAAGCAGGCATGAAGGCAGCGGAGGAAAATGAGGACCAGGGTGGCGATGACATGATTGTAGACGCCGAATAACAGTATGCTTGCGCGGAGGAGGTAGTGAAAATGAGTTGTAATTAGTTTGAAGGTGTTTGGGATGGAATTTGGCCCTTGGTGAGGCGCTGAAGCCATCATGGTGCAGTATGCACGAGGATCTTGCACACATATACGACAAGTTAGTGTATTTGAGATTCTTTCAGTATGACAGCATGATGCAGATAGCTTTATTGAGGACCTTTATATGGCCATTTGCTAACATTGTGTTCTTCAACGTCCACATTGATGTACTGTAGTGCTACTAATAGTCGTCTGAACGCCTCCCAAACATTCCGCCGCCTACACATTGCGAGTTCCAAAGTCAGTGGAGTATGTCACGGACCTTTGGTGCTGCAAATTCAGCGCCCTTCAATATACTAACCACCTCCAGGATCAACATTGTTGTACAACTGATGACTTGACTACTGTGCGCTTCATTTTCGCAGCTACCGACCGTCTCGCAGACTCCTTCGATACGGGCTTTTTGACCTCGCGATATATACTGACTTAACTCCAGCATCACACATTTGCATGCCTTTTTGCATACTGCTGACATAAGAAACATGCACTCGACTTTGACTTCTGTCGGGTAGGAGTTTTCTTGGTGCACCCGTACGGTCTTCCAAAAGAGACGATGGTTACACTCCACGATTTTTTTCCCGCTTCTGAAGAATGGCTCAACCTGTGCTTGCAAGATGGAAATCTTAGGTGTTTGAAGACAGCAACATTATTTATCAGCATGCTGTTTACAATTCCATAGTTCTCTGTTAAATCCTAATAACGAATCATCAATGTTGTAGACAAAAGAAGTTGTCCACGTAGAAGGTCAACAAGGTTCAGCACCGTGATCATCTCTTCGCTGACTAGTCCACCTTCAAAGACAGCTTGAGCCCATCCATAGGCGGTACAAGCTTGACGGTAACCGTGTCTGCCATCTTCTTCAGCCTCTTTGTCCTATTTCCAGCTACACCGACTGAATGTTGCTCGAGAGTCTCGATCCAAACCGTGGAAAAGAAACCCAAGAGGATTTGAAGTCAAACGTGCAGTTGTTGTCCGAACCCCACTCTTTTCGCAAGGCTGCCTGTGCTGCCCGACCTTGCCAGATCATGGCACCGAAGAAGAAGAAGAAGATCAGCAAAACCACGATGATCGTCGAGTACGTCACCCAGGGCCACGCGATGTGCACGCATGTCGTTTCGTTCAAGACTCTCCCCTTGACTGGTGTGCTGAAGTTCGCCTTGTCATGCAGGCGCATGTACACGGTCATCGCTTCTACGATGTTGTGCATGAATGCTTCGGCGCCAGCGAAGGTGCTAGCTGCGTCATGGAATGCAGCGTATGCAATGCGCTCAGGGCCATAACCACCATTTGCGGCCTCTGGGCCATAAGCATCCTCTGGCAACTCGGGGCCAAAACCAATATCGGTGGTGCCGTTGCTGATTCTTCCAACGAACGTATGCATAGATCGATCGTCTGACTGCATTGGAATGTAACGACGAAAGGCTGAAGCTCCTGAAAATGTTTGCTGGATATGCGGTGCTCCCTTGTTAGTTGCACAGGATTGGGGGCTCTTTCCAGTTTGTTCAGGTCCTTGGCATATTCAAGGCCGCGGGAAGGAGCTGCAGAGACCGACAACATCAGACGATGCTGGACAACACCTTCTCTTTGTAGGGATCCTCGACTAAGACGGGTAGTTTCTATCTGCGGTCTCTGCTCCGGCTCCTTGAGCGGGGGCTGTCGTACGAATCGTAACTTGGGCTCCTTCTCCCTCCTCCACCACCACCTCGTCCCCCTCTTCTCGGTGGCGAGTCCCTTCGCGCATAGCCTCCACCACCTCCTCTGCGACGTGGCGGTGTCCTTGATGGTGACCGGCTGTATGATGATCGTGACATGCTCCTGCGTGGTGACCTGCTCCTAGACCTCGAGTATGAGCGTGGCCTGTATCCAAAGTCTCCGCCTCCACGTCCTCCTCTGCCCCTTCCCCTGCCTCGGCCCCGCCATCCTCCTCGCGGTGAAGGCGATCGTCCACGTCCTCGTGCATCTCCGTAGCCGCCCATTGGTGGTGGTCTGTACGCGCCAGGTGGCCCTCCGCCTCCATACCCGTTGTGATCATCCTGGAAGCGTGGAGGCAGTCCCCCTCGTCTCGGGGGTGGTGTCTGCGAAAATCGGCGTCGTGTAAGGACAATCGAGACCTGGATCTTTGCGCCGTCTAGCTGTGCTTCGTGCATTTTTGCGATTGCGCGCTCGGCGTCGTCAATTTCTTCGTACATGATGTATGCGGTTCCGCGATTTACGTTGACTGTCGAGTCAGTATAGCCTTATTGCATGGACATGTGTGTACGTACAAACTGGATTCATGGGCATCCTCAAATCCTTGATTGTCCCATATTTGCCGAAGATCTCGCGAATATGACCTTCTTTGACGTTCTTTGTCAACGCCTCCACTACGATCTGCAAGATGTCAAGACCTGCAGTGCTAGGCTGTCTCCTGCCAGGCGAGATGTCCCTTACCTTTGCACTCCTCGGCGCCGGCGATCCATCTCTTGGGGTAGGACTGCGAGTATAACTCCTTCCTCTCCCATTTGGGGATCTTGTCCGCGACCGCGACCTTGATCTGACATTTGGTGTGTAGCTTCTGTGCCCGTTGCGCCTCGGCGTGGGCGACCGTGTGCGCGAACGAGAGCGTGACTGAGAACGAGGGGATCTTGATCCACGAGGCGATCGCGATCGTGCTGAGAGTGAGCGTCTAGGGGATCGTGTGCGCGAACGGTCGCGACTTTGAGAACGCGTTCGTGACCGCGACTGGTCCATTGGGGACGGCGAGCGCGATGGCATAATGAACAATCTGACGTCTGACTGGGTGTGTGAGGGTCTCGATGTCTAAAGGTGTTTTCATCGAATATTGTGACTTCGAGGTTGAAAGATGTGGAAGCTGATCAACTTTCTTTGAAGCTTAAAGCTTGCTGCATGGGCGTCCGTGAGTGCTCATCACTAGTGTGCGCACAGATCACCCTACTTGACAACCAACTACGCTATCCTTCCTGAGCTACCAACTACACAATATATCGATCGATTGATTGATTGATTGAATTGGTTGTTTGGTTGGTTTAACGTCCTATCTGAGTCTAAGACTATGGAAGTACACAATATATCCATTATGTGTTCGACCCTCAAATATAAGCTACATTGCATAAACAAGTCCCTTGCCGTTAACCAAGTCCTCAGTCTCTGCCCAGTCCACAACAGTATCAGGGATCTGAAACTCTGGTTCCCAGGGCCAGTTCAACTGTGTGGTATCGACATTTCCTCGTTCGGCCGCCTCACGTTCCATAACCTCCCCTTCCCAATTGCTCTCGATGTCCCTCGTCGCATCCAGATTCTTCTTGTAGTTCACAAAGTCATGGAAGACCGACAAAATCCCTCGCTCCGTCTCCCGCTTCTCTGCCGTCTTCGTGATATCATCGGACCGAGCCAGGGCTCTTTCACGACGTTGCTCAACAGCCCAGGCAGGCGAGGATCGGGCTTGCTCTTGACGCACGAGTTCGACAAGACCGTAGCTATTTGAGCCGTGCCAGAACTCGTATGCGCAGCCTCCGGAGAAGACTTGGCTCATCCGTGGTGAGTACAGGGCTGCTGTCTCCTGGAACAGTCGTGGATTCGGTATGTTTGTTCCATACTCGGACATAACAATCGGTATAGCGGCGGTTTGGAGGCGTGCAAGCAGCGCTTCATAGCCAGATACCTGCATGTTCGATTTCCCAGCCCAAATGTAGCAGTTACACTGTCCAGGCGAGTTAGTACGTTGGCATTTGAAAGCATTGAGGTAAGACTGACCGTCCAAAAATCGATCGAGCTGCCTGCGTCGCCTAAAGACAGGTAGTCGAGTATCATCATGTCTCGTTGGTTGACTGTAGTAGCATTGTAGCCGATGGGGAGTATCCTTTGGCCGCAGGCTTCGTTTTGCAGCTTCATGTACCTCTTGGATCTCTCGTCACTGCTCTAGCAACTGGGGCGGCTTTCTCGGTATCTTTACTATTGACCAGACTCAAACCCACAAGAAGACCCAGTGTGTTTGGGTATTGCGCCATGAAGTTCCCAGTCTGGAAGAACTCGTTCATAGCCGGACGGTGGTAGGACTTGTACGGATCGAGACGATTGATGGCGTTGAACCGCGTGGTTATTGTCGTCAAGACGTAGATTCCAGCTTCCTCAAGCATTTTCATGGCTTGATCGTGACTTTTGATATCGTCGACATGGTCTTCTACTATCAGCCGTGCATGGTTGTATCGAAGTTGCGATCACAAACAAACAAATAGTGTGTTCAGTCCCAACTCTTTGAACAGTGAGATGTCGTGCTTCAGCTGTGGCAGCCGTGCATCCGAGATTGGATCCTGCATATCTGGAACTTGGTATGCAACTCCTCGGACAAAGAACTGTGCTTTTATCAGCAAGAAGAAGGATGAGTGAAGTCAATCAACTTCTAACCCGCTCGTCTCCTCTCCAAAGGTAGCGACCACGAATGGTGATAGGAACAGAGGCTGTGGGGTTGGTCATTTTGCAGCCGATTTAGACCAGAGTGAACAATTCGAAAATAAGCTGTAGATGACAGGAAGGTGTGAGCGCTGGACGGTAGAAGGGCTGGACGCTTGCTGAAGTGAGTTGTTGCCTACAGAACAAAGCTAAGTGTTTTGGGCATTGTAGTGGCGACATCTGCATGTCAAAGAGCAACTGAAGTCATGAAGAATTATCCAATTAAAGTCAACGCTGTGTTGCCATTGCTCCTGCCGCTCTCTTGATCAGTACCTCGAGACAGTTTTGAGCTTTGTGTACTCTTTGGTCATCGAGCACGAGCTCAAATCACCTTTACCGCCATAAGTCCCACAATGTAATTGTTATTCTCCGAAGTCAGCAATTTAATGCCCAGGACATGTTCAGGACACCACTATGTTGAATGTGGCATGATTTGACCGGTCTTGTGCAACGAAATCTTAAGCCAGGATAGCAACGCGGCAGATGCGCGTAGAACCCAGCTCGTGCGTGCTGGCTGATGTCAAATTTGGCAGCTGCGACCTGCCCCAAATCTGAGGCAGACGCAGTGTAAGACGTCCCATTCGAAGGCAGCTGCACGATGGCGCAATCGCTATAGGCAGTCAATATCACATTATGTTGAGACAACATCATAGCTGCTCTGTTCGTCGCCCGTTGCAACCCCGCCGTGAGTTTTTGAATCAATTGCCTTCTGCCCCACCAAAGGACGCCAAACGGGTCAACCCGACCGCGCGACAACACCCAACACCCGCCCTTCCACACCGCATACATTCACTGCCGCTTAGTCAGACCTTGTTGATCTACCTCGCCTCAAACTTGTGATTTTCTCCTGTGACAGTCCTAACAGTACCTCCACGCACCCCATCTCACACCAAGCTCCCGCAGCCCGCACACTACCCCTCAGTAAACATGTCCTGGCAAGGTGAGCACTGGTGACGCACTTGGGACCATTATTGAAGCTGACCCGCAACAACAGCATACGTCGACCAGAGGTATATAGCTACCTGCAATGTATACAGAGCGTCTCTAATCGCCCCCGCAGCCTCGTTGGCACTGGCAACATCGACAAGGCTGTCATCTGCGATGCCACCGGCCAGACTACCTGGGCCTCGTCCCCAGGCTTCTCCGTACGTCCGGCAATATCACACTGCGCCTAGCTGTGGCAACACGATAGAGCAAGGGCGCAGATGTTACGAGACAAAGGCTGACAGCAGCAGCTCACCGCCGCCGAGATGGGCGCCATCGCCGCCTCGTTCAACGACAAGAGCGAGCCCAAGTCCGTAATCGCCAACGGCGTGAAGATCAACGGCGAGAAGTACATGACCATCGAGGCATCAGACGACTCACTCAAGGCAAAGAAGGTGCGCCTTATCCTCTCCAGATTACACCGCTCATACGCCTCACAACTACTTTTCACCCCACCGCAAGCATTCGCCCGCGCACAGACACTGATATATACATTGTTATAGGGCAAGGAAGGCATTGTAGCCTACAAGACAACCCAAGCGCTCCTGATCGCACACCACAACGCGGAAGTCCAGACTACCAACGCCTTCAACAGCGTGGCCGAGCTGGGCGAGTACCTGAAGAAGGTCGGCTACTAAGCGCGGAAAGATTCGTTCGAGACTTGTTCATACTTTAGGGATATTTGCATACAGCGTGGCGGATGAAATGAAAAGCTCAGCACGGGGTGGCAGCTGGTTGAAGAGGCATAGAGAGACATGACGGACGAGTGGAATAGTGGGTTGGAGAACCTAGGACACACAATGAGATACATCTACGCTTATAACTGTTTTCCGTATGCGCCATTCATGCATCGCAAGGGAATCTAGAACAGAGTCTGCTTTTGTGAATTTCAAAAAGTGATATTGATGTTGCTTAGGTCGCTCAAAACGCCAGGCTAGAAATGCTCAACCCAAGAACACGCCTCAACCTGCTCTTCCTTCTGCTCTTCCTGCACCTCGTCCTTTGGCACATAACTCGATTCCGCCAGCCATCCTTCCATTCACAGCTCCTACAGCTCCTTCTTCCTCTCAGGGCTAGCCCCAATCTCGGCCCTCTCAATCAGCGTCTTGCCCACACTAGCAGACTCCCTCCATCCGCGCTGGCGACTCCAGAAGCGCGTCTCAGGAGTGGTCTCCCTGAGGCTGGACTGCCTGGCATCTTCCTCGAGCGACTTCCTAGTAATCTCCTCGCCACCATCGGTCAAAGTAGGGTACTTCTGCAACTTGCTCAAGTTCTCCTCGAAGAACTGCTTCCTGATCAGGAAGCGCTCACGACGCTCCTTCTGCTGGCCTGGAGAATCCATCTTGGATACGGCGATGCGAACAGCTGTGCGGACGAGGATGAAGATGTGCTCAGAGAAGAAGACAGTGAGGAGCAGGGCCCAGAGCTGGATGTTGGAGGGCTTGCCATCGGGGCCGTTGCCATCGCCGTAGAACATGTAGACGAGAGCCGAGGTGGTGAGACTGCCAAGCCAAGTAAGGAAGCTGAGGGAGTCGAGCCAGGGGCCGATGGTGTCTGCGCGCCAGGGGATAGGACGTTGCATCTCGACGCAAATCTTCATAGCATCGGCGCGAAGCTCGATCCAGTTATTGACAAGGAAGGATACAGCGGTGAGGGGCCAGACGACAGAGAAGAGAGACAGGTAGCCGAACTGAACAACCATCTCACGGAGATCGGCAGTCACATCGTAGACGTCGAGTTCGGCTTCCTTGCGAACGCGCTCCAAGAATGCAGCATCCTCAGGCGGGTCGTTAGCGGCAGCTGAAGGAGCAGCACCGCCGTTCTTCGCTGCACGCTCAGACTGAATCTCCTTGTACTTGGCGAAGCCGCGGCGCTTGAGGTACGGGACAATGAGCTCCATGCCAAGGTTGACGACTTGCGCAGTGACGGTGAAGTAGATGACTTGCTTGCGGAGACGGTCTGGGTTGATTGCCCAACTGGAAGTGCCGGTGGTTGTGTGGAGGTGCAGCTGCTTCTCGTCCTCGGCGAATGGTCGAACGGCCACATTAAAGACGTCGAGGTATGGTACAATGACGGTACCAAAAGGAACGTATACAAAAGCAGTCAAGAAGATGCCAAGGTATGACATGATGAAGTTTAAGACGAATATCTTTTGGGTCAGTGCATACTCGAATGCACTTGCGGTCTCGTAGTTCTCGAATTTGGTAAGTCGTGTAGCGAACTGAGTCAGGATAGTGTTCAGAATAGGGTTGACCGTGGTGAGGATACCGGTAGGGATGAAGACCAGGGCGCTCTTAAGCGGCCCGTTGTAAACCTCCGAGATGAAGACCTCGATACCGAAGCAGGTTGCAATGACGGTTCCAAGCATGAGAGTGGCTGCGATGGCGAAGGGGATCTGAAGCAACTGCCTCTGGTATCGCTTCTGTGCAGGGAAGAACCCAACTTGCTCGCCAGTGACGGGGTCTGTGACGGTCTTCTCATGCTGGAAGTTCCTCCTCTTGGTATCAATCCTAGAGACACCCTTAACACCCCAGCGAACACTAAGATCGCCCTCCTGGTGTTTCCAGTATTCAGTGAAGATGATGCACCACAACGCGCTGAACAAGCCATAGATGGGTGAGAAGTGGCCAAAGAAGAGCCATGCGAATGTACCAAAACCTGCTGCAGGGATCAGGAAGGTGAAGTAGGACTGTGTGAAGGCAAAATAGAAAGCAATCTGCAACGGTCAGCTTGCATAGCCAAAGGACTTGGATCGTGGTACAAACCTTCTCGCCTAGGCGGTTTCTGATATCATCAAGGTCTTCAGTCTTAAGGAAGTAGGATGATGACCACTTCTTGATCCAATCCTTGTTGTATGCGTGGTCGTGCAGAGCAAAGATGGACTCAACATTCTCCCACTCTCCTTCCTTAGGTGTGATGCCAGCTCCACCTTCGTATACAGGGTTGGTGATTAGTTGGTAAATGATTCGTAGGCGTTCGGCTTCGTAGAGGGGCTCAGCTTCGAGTGCTGCACGTGTCTCTTTGTCGGGGGCAGCAGAGCGGACGCCATGCATCCAGTCTCGCACTCTGAATCTGGGTCAGCATTGTTCTTGACCTGAGATTATGGGTTTATTCCTACCTTGACCTGTATACTTCGCCGAACAAGTGCTCGTCTGAAGCTACCCTTACGAAGAGCAGCACTGAGTGGTTGTCTCCATTGCGGGCTTCCGTCTGCAGACCCACATTTGCAAGGGCATGGCACAGCTTCTCGAATTGAGCAGCAGCTTTGGCCTTGTCTGTAGGACGGTCAGGTTCTAAGTGCCTTTTAGTGTATTCACATGCCGCATACCTGTCTTCGTGAAGCGGTAGCTAATCACGTAGTCGACGTCCAGGTTCGACTGGAGCGCCTGTGATTTTGTCATGGCGGTTGGTTGACTTGGGTCGAGCAGGGCAAATTTGAGGTCGTATATCTTCCAGGAGAGGTCGGTGAAGTAGGGAATCTTGTGAGGTACGAGCCCCTCTGAAGTGGAAGGCATTCCAGGAAAGTGGTGTACCACGCTTGAAAGGAGACCACGAACGTCATTGAGGCGTCGATCCAACATCCCTGCAACGCATCCCGCTTCTGACATTTCGACATCGCGCGGCCGTGGGACTGCATAAACAGGAATTAGGCGCAACGCAGATAAAACAGCAACTTGATTGTACGACAAGTACTTAGAATACACTCGGTCGCGACAAGTTCCTTTGTGAGTTCTCACAGCTCACCTCGTGTGCTAGTCACGCTATAGGCGCACATATTGCATGGCCAAGTAGCAGATGTGAATGAACTCCACCAATTTCTTCTAGGGCAAGCAATACACACCGAATCGTGTGATACTGTTACCATAGACTTGACTATTTCACCGATCCAAAGATCACGTTTATGAACAGAGGTAGCAGCGAGTCATGCACCTTCCCCAGACAGCTGTTTACTGACCGTGCACGAGCTTCTTTGCGACTTCCGCAGCTCGAACTTCGAAAAGTGACGAGATGCGCCCCGACCCAAATGTCACTCCTTAAGCATGCGAAGCAATACCTAGCCAACCAATCGAAATACGCACACCTCAATGCCTTCGTTTCGCTTGCCGAACCCTCGAAATTGCTCTCTCGCGGCGAGACTTCTACCAGCGACCATGTAAAGACCAGGTTTCACGATGTCACAGACAAGCCAATCGCGATCAAGGACAACATCTGCACGAAAGACCTGAAGACCACAGCATCCACGGGGATATTGAAAGGCTTCACAAGCCCATACGATGCAACGGTAGTAAAGCTCCTGCAGGATGCAGGCGCGGTGGTCGCCGGGAAGACGAACATGGATGAGTTTGGGATGGGCTCGCACTCTACACACTCACATGCTGGGCCTGTGAAGATGTACAGACATACGGCCGATGAAGAGAAAAGTGCTGGAGGCAGTTCGGGAGGAAGCGCTCTTGCTGTTGCGAGTGCACAGTGCTGGGCAGCTCTGGGAACAGACACAGGCGGTTCTGTCAGACTACCTGCAGCGTACACAGGTGTTGTGGGATTCAAGCCAAGTTACGGGCTACTGTCGAGATGGGGCGTCGTTGCGTACGCGAACTCTCTTGATACTGTTGGTATCCTGGGTAAGAATGTCGGTGATGTTGGTGCTGTCTTCGGTAAGTAGTCAAAGACCTCTCGATCTTGGTGACATGTCTAATCTCGATTGCAGACAAGCTCAACGCCTACGACCCCCAAGATCCCACATCACTTCCCCCTTCGACTCGCGCTCGTCTTGAAAAAGACAGCACGAGATCTTCAACCCCGTTGCGAATCGGTATCCCGCTGGACTATAACATCACTACATTGCAGCCAGCTGTCCGCCAAGCATGGTTGCGCACACTGAGGTTCTTATGGGAGCAAGGACACAGCTTGCATCCCGTACGCCTACCAGCGACGCAGCACGCACTGTCAGCATACTACATTCTTGCACCAGCAGAGGCTTCGAGTAATCTGGCCAAGTACGACGGCGTTCGTTACGGGAGCAGGGCAGAGGGTATTGATGGAACGCCCGAAAGCGTATTGTTTGCGAAAACCAGAGGACAAGGATTTGGACCGGAGGTACAACGACGTATCCTTCTGGGCGCTTTCACGCTTAGTGCACAGGCGATCGACAATTACTTCATCCAAGCGCAGAAAGTGCGCAGAGTAGTTCAACAAGACTTCAACAATGTCTTCTCCACACAGAATCCTCTAGTTGAAGGGACTTCTGAGTCAGCTGAGGAAGTGGATAAGGTGGATGTTATCGTCTGTCCTACAGCTCCTACGCCTGCGCCTTCACTAGCAAACGTCAAAGATCAAGACCCCATCTCAGCCTACATGAACGATGTCTTCACAGTACCAGCCAGTCTTGCTGGCTTACCGGCGATCAGCATTCCGGTCCAGATAACGCCCGAGGACCAGACCGCTGAGCATGCGGATTACGCTTTCGACGAAAGTGTTGGGATTCAAGTCATTGGCCAATATGGCGATGACAAACTCGTCCTTGAGGTCGCAGATGCCGTTGCGAAAGTTGCTCCAACATGTCAGGCACAAGCTGGACCGACGGTGACTTCTTGGGGCGCAAGCACGCTGGAGGAGAACAACTCGACGGTTTGAGGATGCTCCCGAGAACTATAATGCAGCAGAGCGTGATGAGAACGTCCAAACGAAGGAAATGTACAGCATATGTATGATCAGTCAGTATACCAAAGTCAACACCAGCGACTATGTACCTCTCTCCAGTATAACGCCCTTCTTTTACCGACTCTGTACAGCCGCGAGACGACTGCGTCTGTCCAGCACAACTCGTTGGTGAGCCTTTCAAGGTTATGTCTCGCGTTTGGCGCGGTTGACGACCGTGGGGGTCGATATGTCACTGCTGTTGGAAACCAGCCTATCGACGGTGCTCTCTGAGGTCATCTGTTTCGGGGGTCGGTCCGGTTACATCTTGCTGTGCGATGTACTGCGGTCACCACAGCGTCAAGATATAGCAGAGACGACCCACTGACTTAGGTAACAGGTACGTCGTCCAATGTACATATTGCAACAGCTATCGACCGTGTCTCACAGCACGCGAGAAGCTTACAACGAGGTACCCGCGATACCCTGTCCTTCGAAACCCCTAATCGCACCCACATGTTCCCTCTTAGAACGCGTCTATACGGCCTAGCTCCTTGCCTGATTGGTTCTCACTACATTGGTCACCTCCAGATCAAGCCATACTGCAAACCTAGACGACGAGTCTTTGTCTCGAGCCAAAGCACACATTAGAGATATATCGTCGACAACCAACACCTTAAGCAAGGCGCACCAGCCAAACTCGTAGAAGTCAAAACTTCGAGAGCATAACAGCTTCGGCACGTATTATCGCGGTCTCAGGGTGCTATACATGCCCAGTCAAGCACGAGCGGGGTTACATATGCAGTACTACCTTCGCCTAAACGTCGACCAGTAGGCATCTAGTGTTGAACGTCTTGATAACAACCTCGAGTAAGCGGACGCCTTATCCCACGTCTGCTCTCCCCCGTACTATCCATTACCAGGTATCCCACCTGCATGCAAACTGGCGGCTCGATCCAGTACATGTGAGCGATCTGCAAGCCATACTGCATGTGCGTCTCCTGATGGTGTGAAGCAAGTTCAATATCTCCCTATCAAACGATCTTGGCCTGGACAACTTAACCATCATAGGTGCGATTAAGCACCTTTACCAATGCAGGATTGCCTGATATGCAGAACTGACGACCGGGAAAGGTCCCAACCTGTCATCCAAGGACCTTCCTATCCCCAAACCCGCTGTCTCTAGCCATCAACCGTATCAGCACGTGCAGATTCTCCGGTCCAGCCCTCGGCATCCTCCACTCAGTGCCCAACAGCACATGAGTCGTTTCTGCGGTCCTGCATCTCCAACACATCGTGTGGGGTCCAAGACGCCTCACTCTGCCCTGCGGCCTTTATGCGGATCGAGTCGCGTCCCTGCGGGGTTTGTAAAGTGTGGAGTTGGCCGTGTTGGCTAGCGGTTAGTTGGACATCGATATGTCACCGGTCCGTCGGCGACCAATCGGCCGCACAAGTCGCGCATGGTCAGGCGTCGCCAGCATGACAGCGGGAGTCGCATCGAGGCGTCCAAACATGGTCCAAGATGGGTGGCATATGCTGTATATAAAGGCCTGCCCGCGGGCACCTTGATGGGCACAGCTCACCGACTCGACATTTCATCAACCAACTACAACGAATAACTTCCCAGCTTTTACGCTACCAACTAATTACATTCATCATGTCTCCATGGTACGTTTCACCAAACCTTATCTCTACCAATCCTGGGGCTTGGGGCCTCAAGTTTTGGTGTTGAAGAGGACAGAGCTGGAAGCGGGGAACACCTTGATGGCCAGTATGTATGAAAGAGGAACGTCAGCTGACCATGGCCGAACAGCAACTGCAGCACCTGCTCCTGCAATGGCGATTGCTCTAGCTGCGGATGCGGATCCTGCTCCGTAAGTTCACCATCCCTCTCTCTTCCCTCACTCCACTACTTCCACACCCAAAGCTATTTTGCACCACGACAGAACAGAGGACTGACGATGCATAGCACTAAGCAACTCATGCTCTGAAACCTGATCTCAACCCCAATCAAATGTCCTGGAAGATCTGATAAAATCACTTGGGACGTCAAGAACAACGCATGGGCCTTTCTGATATGGCGTTTTGGGGAGAGACAGGGGATGACATGCTAGCACGAATCAACGAATAAATGGACAATCACCTGCACACCCTCGCTGTCGTTCATAGTAACCATTTCTTCCACAGATCTTGCCAACGTGTTCAACTCCAGCGGGTATACTAAAAAAGCCAAAACCATGCCACATCACTAACCCTGTGTACTATGCCCGATACTCTCAAACCAGTCCTCATATATCCAAATGCTGCCGAATATCATCCCCCAGCCTCCACTCATCCTCCCTCGCCGTCCTCTCCAACGGCGTCATAACATCGTCCTCATCCCTCTCCCTCCCTCCGTCAGTCCCGCCACTGCCCACCGTCTCCTTCCCCAAACTGCCCGCATTGCTCTTACTCCGCTTCTTCTTCTTGAACCAGCTCCTCTTGCTCTGCGTGCTTGCCGCGTCTACATCGTCGCCTGCGCCCTCGGACGCGACGGAGGCTGCGTACTCGCTGGGCACGAGCGTAGGGTCGCGGCTCGACGCCGTGGACGTGTTTGAGGAGAGCTTGGTGAGGTGGTTTGGGTCTGGTGAAGAGGGATTCAGTGGATCAGCACGCGGAGTAGGTACAGGTGTGGTCTCAGTTGATGGGGTGGACTCGACGAGTTCCGCGTCCCGGTACCATTTGCGGCGCCGTGTGTAGCGGCCCCATCCGTCTTGGCCTCTTCGGCCGTCGCGCCACTGTTCTTTCGTCAGTACTGGTATGGAGAGGAGAGGAGGATTGAATGGGAAGGAGAGGACTGACTTTGTTGTCATAGTATATCCAGCCCATATCTTCTTTGCTGGCTGTTTTCGAGACTTTGCTATCAGGGTCGCCAACCTCGATCTTCCATTCGCTACCCTGCACCCAACGCCAACGTGATGCACCGCCTTCGACTTCAGGGAGCTCGAAGTGCTCCTTGTCTGGGACGGGGTTCATGTGCTCGTCTGTCCAGGACGCTCGCTCATATGCCAGCATCGAGGATGTCCAGCCGATACCCAGCCAACGTCGCTGGTTCTCGTAAATGGAGAAGGTGAAGCGTACACCTGTGGATTCGGGGCGGTGCTTGGCGGCAAGTGAGGCTGCGACTTCTTGCGCGCTTTTCTTTCGCGGTGGGAGAGGTGGTGCATGGGCGCCTTTTGCAGGTGCGTCGCCGAAGTTGAGACTAGTGACGAAGACGCAGATTCGGCGGACGGTGCGTGAGCGCCAGAGGAGGGTGCGGGTTACGCGTGCTGGGCGAGAGTGCCAGCTGAGCACTACTGTTCCTACGGCCAGGACGACTCGCTTCGTTGTGAGGATGTAGAATGGGGGGAGAGTAAGGGCGATCCAGAGTGGTAAGACGAAGAGTATTCGGATGAACAGTACGGTAAGTGCTGGTCGTGTCGTTGCTGATGTTGCGGTGCGTTGCGTGGAGAGAAAATCCGTTAATCGTAGGAATGGGTCCAGCAGAATGTTGCAGCGCGAGGTGAATAGTTTCAGGTCATCCACAATCTCCTCTAGGCTTTTATGGTGCCTGATGTTACTGTCTGACTCTGCCCTCTTGTGCCCTTTCTGCCCCTTCTCTCCAGTCCACCCTGTCGATGATAGCGGCGAGTACCTGCGCGCGTACATGCCCAGGATCAAGCTAGACACTACGATGATTGGCCCAGCATATCTTGTTACTGCATCGCCATACATTACTACCGCCCAAAAGCTGGCGACCAGTATGAAGCTCTCCCATGGATCTCCAGTTGTCCATGTCAGCAGCCCAGCTAGCTTGTTCAGAGGCAGAAGGAACGGATGCGAGTATGCGAGAACACGAGTGACTTGCGGTGGTGTGGCGGCGAGTAGAGGCGACTTCTGGTGCACGAGTATGGCGGAACGGAGCTTCGTCTGCGGCGTTACTTGCCCTATGTTAGAGGGCGAGAAGGTGGCATAGGTTGGCGGGTTGGGGTCGCCGGAGGGCTGCGGCGACGCATCGTTGGTGGATTTTGAAGGGCTGGACATATGCTCTAGCCAAGGTGTGTCTTTCAGTGTATTAGCATTATGTGTACTGGGTTGTGTGGTGAATGCGAGGTGTTGGGTGGAAGTGCATACCTAGTGCTGCCATGCAGTAATTAGCACATACAGAACTGCGTCATAGGCAGCTGCAGTCGAGGTTGGAAGACACGTCGAGAACCAGTTTACACTCTACAAACTATTGCAAATACTACTGGACTTTACTACAGGTCGTGAGGGCAAAAGTCTGTGTGCAAAGCTCGCGCGAGGCTTCCGGCATATGATGCGGTCACTGGTAGGTATGGAGGCTAAGCCCGGCGAGCATGTGAAAGGCCTTGCTCGGTACGTGCGACACATCGAAGCAACCTGAGATTCGTGCAACATCTTGTGGAAGAAAGGGAAAGTATCACCAAGCTTAGTATTCGTCTACGACAGAGTGCGCAGTAACAGGACCATTTGGTAAATCATGCAGCTGTCAAGGTGGCAGAGGGACGGTGCTTTGCGATCGGAGTTTGATTGGCTGTTGAGTAAAGAATCACGTGTTCGAGCGGAAGAGCGCCGAAAGCTCGGAAGGCGATCTGAAATTCTTAGGATCATTCATCCAGTGTTCAGCGCGTCCATCGAGGCAGGCCTGCTGTATCGTCCGTTCAGCTTCTCTTCGCGCAAATCGCTGTCCCCTGGTCTCTGTTGCCTTTCGTCTTTCTCCACAATGGTGAGTTCTTCGCAGTGCTGCCGCAGCCACGATCAGCTAACATCCACAGGCCCACCGCATAATAACGCAAGTCGTCTTCTCCGGCGCTCGTATCATCGGACGCGCCGTCTCCGAGTCCTACCGTCAGGCCGCTGCCTCGCAGAAGTATGCCGCCGCAAATGCTGGAAATGGCGGAGGCAGCGCCTTCTCATCCTCCAACATCACCATGGACGAGGCCTGCAAGATCCTGAACGTTGGCCCCGGTAAGATGGGCACAATAGAAGCAGAGGCAGTCACCGAGCGATTCAAGCGACTGTTCGACATCAATGATCCGAAGAAGGGCGGCAGTTTCTATCTGCAGAGCAAGATCTTAAGAGCCAGAGAGAGGATCGAACGAGAGTTGCAGGGGCATCAGCGGATGGCTGAGAGAGAACAAGAGCTAACAGAAGGGTTCAAGCCAAAATTCACCAAGGAGGACAAGTGAGCGGGTGGCACTCATGAATGGTGTAAGGCCAGGCACTGAGACTTTGTGAACATGAGGAGAAAGATGTCGGACGCATATCTACGAGCGAAGAAGGGCTTGGAATTGCATCAAGATGGCGTTGGTTTATGGGCATAGCGATCGGACTTCTCTGGGCCTGTCTCGTGGGAGCAGTGGCGCTAACAGCACGTCCTCTCTGAGAACGTCAAAGAGGAGCACACGTGTACTTACACGTCTCTCCACTCTCTCAGGCAGACATCTAGTCTCTTTAATCTGTGTCAAATATTGTAACATTAAATGCTAAGAGCAGTGTATCATTCTTCAAGCAATATCTGCTGTAGAACCTTGTATACTTAAATGAACCACGAATGGAAAGACACGAACTAGCCACTGTTTGCCTGCAAACGAGAACATCGCCTTTAAGCAAGAGCTGCTTAGCAGTCTCACCACCGTTCCCGACGAGCAGCGAATGCTACACGACAAGTGGAGTGCACAGCACGGGCGCCTTCCCCGTCTCTTAGCGGGCCCCACCGGCCGAGTCCAAACATTTTGCGCGCCGCCTTTCTTCACCTGCACGTCACCACCATCAACCACGAAAACCTTCTACAAACGCCTATAGTGGCCACTTGACGCATCGCGTTACACTCGCAAACAGTAAAACACAATGGGGGATTCGTATCGCCCAGGCGGCGGCGGTGGACGATCGCTTGCAGACCGCATGACATTCACCAGCGGCGGAGGCGACAACTACCGTCCTGGCGGTGCTCAGCAGGGTCGTAACAATTCTGAATTTACATTCGCGTCGAACCACGATGGACCACGGTTCCCACCCGCTGGGCCGGCCAATGCAGGGCCACCTGCGCGGAGGCGCAATAACCGTGGTGGTGGTCAACATGGCCAGCGCGACTCGAGACGCGGTGAATCTAACGGCTTCCGTGGCCGAGGCGGTGGCCGAGGAGGCTACCGCAAGCCTGGAGCCCATGAGCGCGCTCTCCTTACAGTCCAAGATTGTGGCAGCCCTGAGCGTACATTGGGTGTCGCCGATGGATCCAATAAGTTCATGAACCTTAATGAGATGTCTGAAGACGAACAAGAGGAGGAGATCAGCAAAGACACCGAAGCGACTTCAACTGATGCTGAGAAGGGTGTTCATAAGGTTGCTCGCACAGCGAATGGACGCGCTGATGGTGACTCGGTTCCAAAGTGGAGCAACCCGGAGATCTACTCTGCCCTCCCTCCACCCGAGGAGCTGAGACCAGGCAAGAAGATTGACTTCGTCCAGCTGATTCGAAAAGCGAAGAACGAAGCAGCCGAGAAGGCCGATGGCAACAATGCTGTGGCCGCGAACGACGACTTCATCTCGTTTGGAGATGACGATGGCTCTGCTAAAGGCACTGATCTGCAAAGCCTTGACAACGACGAACCCAGGACGAACAAGCGACCACAGAACGGCGGATTCGTACAAGGCCCGATGAACGATCTCGACTACGTCGACTCTATCATCAACGGTGGTTCCCAGAACAAGCGCTCGCACCAAGCTGCTGATCTACATGAGCAGCCACAGCAAAGCAAAGCAAAGCGCAAGCGAGGAGAGGTCGAGAACGTGCGCGGCATTGTACAAGAGTGGATGGGCACTGCGCGTTGCGACACAGCGCCATGGCTTGATCCACGACACAACTATGCGCATCTCGTCAATGACCCGCTAAAGTGGTAAGACAATGCACTTCTCCCTGTCTTCCTAGTACTTCACGCTGACAAACACAGGTTACATAATGAGATCCTCGACTTCTACGACTTTGTCGCGCCCCAGCCATATGAGCATGACGTTCGCCACCGACTCGTTCAGCGCGTCCAGCAAGCTCTAGGCACTCAGAGGTTTCCCCAAGACACCGGTCGTATTCTGTGCTTTGGATCATTCCCTGCTGGATTGTATCTACCTACCGCGGATATGGATCTCGTTTATACCTCTGACAGGTTCTACCAGGGTGGCCCGGCAGCCATGGACTTCAGCAACAAGAGCATCGTCAACTCCACTTTGAGGAAAGCCGCCAGGAGACTCGAGAATGTATGCATCGCCACCAACGTGCTGTGCATCACCAAAGCCAAGGTTCCAATTATCAAGTTCGTGGACCGAGTGACCAACATCAATGTCGACATCTCTTTCGAGAACCTCAGCGGTGTTCAAGCACAGGCGACATTTCAACAGTGGAAACACGATTACCCCGACATGATCTACATGGTTGCTCTGCTGAAGCAGTTCCTAGTCATGCGTGGTATGAACGAGGTTCACACTGGTGGTATCGGAGGCTTTACCATCATTTGTCTCGTTATCAGTTACTTTCAGCATAGCAAGAAGCCAGAAAACCTGGGTGACTGCTTCCTGGGCTTCCTCAACTACTACGGCAATGAGTTCGACCTTAGGACCCAGCGTATACAGATGCATCCCCCTGCGATCGTTCGAAAGGATGGATACGATGTCGATGGCCGTGAGGAGAGGCCCAATGGCTTGTCAATTCAGGACCCGAATCGTCCAGAGAACAACATCTCAGGAGGATCTCACAAAGCATGGGAAGTGTTCCAAGCTTTCCGCTCCGCGCATAGAGTGTTGAAAGATCGTATCGACTCGAGAAGCCCCGGTAGAAGCATTCTTGAATGTCTTTTGGGTGGCAACTACGAAACGTACATCGTGCAGCGGCGTCATATGCAGACTCTCAAGTAAGTTGTATGCACTGGACTGGAAGCAGGGTCATATTCGTGGTACTCTCGGAGGGCAAGCACATGGTGAGCTGCAGCTCTGGGCTCAGTCATCGAGTATTGTTTGTTCTCCGGTTATCTCGGCCCTATTTCACACAGTGCACACAACTTTATCACCTTGCGAACGACTGTGGATTATGACTTACTTCGTTCTAGTCCTCAGGAGATCCGGAACATTGATTAGTACATCAAAGCCGCTCAGAAGAGCAACGTTCCCTGGACTCAGGAGGTTGGGCGAATTTCGATGGCGCAGTCGCACATGTCCCACCGCTCGCAATATGCCTACGGACAAGCTTGAAAACTGTAGAGTACGGAAGTGTTGAGAAGTATATCATAACGGTAGGACGTTATTGGCGTGTGTGGATTGAGAAGCATTTTTGCTTCATACGGTTCACTCATCTTCGAACAGGTTAGGGCGGTCTTCGTGTCACGATACCCTGGAGCATCACGGGCGTTACACGAGCATTTTACGACGGCCACTTTCTATCAACACCGGTCCACGCCCGAAATGTTGTTTATATCAGCATCAACACAGACGAACCGGACGTGCCGAATACCAACAACACCACGCTGCTACCGGGCCCACAAGTCAATCAAGCGACTTGTTACTGTACTCTAAATCTTCATGACAACAGTTTCACCTTTTCTTCTCTGCTTCTGTTCATCTGCTCGCTTCTGCGGCAGCTGCTTCCTCTTTTTCTGTTCTACTAATAATACGTACCCGGTGTGGGCAAGGTAGCCTCGAGGTTGAGCCCATTCAGTGGCTGTCATACGACGACTGTTAAATGCGACCCCTCAGAAATGTCCACGACAACGGGACACCTTTTCTCATTGAGTGATTTGCTTCACGCAAACGCTCGAAGAAGGAAGGTGACCTGTATTAGGCACATGCTTTTGGGTGGATCTTATGTATAGGCTTTACCTGGAATATATCGTACGTCAACACAAACAGTATCCTCATGTGCTTCAGCTTCTGGAACAATATCAATATCATGAACACAGGATCCGAGTATGTTAGCCACCAAGAAGACGGCAGGGGCGTGCCGGGAGTGGAGACAGGGGTCTGGTCGGAATTATCGGAACGCCAAGGCGTTGAATGTCAACACGCGACTGACTTCCCAAACATCACACTGTATGGACACAATCTCTATGCTTCAGCCATGAGGTTACACACGAGTTCAGCATGGCAGTCTATTGCCGTGCTCCTTTTGTTAGGTGGAGCAGCACAAGCTTCATTGGGTGACAGGTTGCCTGATTTCAAACATTGTCTGGAGGTGAGTACCCTGACCCAGGAGCAACTTGTGTTGCTACTGACATGATGTACAGGTCTGCAAAGCAGCCAATTGCGGCGATAACCCGACCCCCATACGTATGTCACCTCCTCGAGTCCTCTCCAATATGTTCTAACCCCACCAGCCTTCCACCGCCGCATCCTCTTCTGGGACTGTCCCGCCGAATGTGACTATACCTGCCAACACATCGTCACTACGAAACGCCTCGCTCGTGACCCACCCTACATGCAGCCCGTATACCAATTCCACGGTAAATGGCCCTTTTACCGCTTCATGGGCATCCAAGAGCCATTCAGCGTCATCTTCTCGCTGTTTAACTACCTCGCACACGACTGGGGCATGACGCAGCTTCGCGAGAAGATCCCCGCTTCCTACACCCTGCGCAAGTACTACCTGTGGTTTGGATATGTGGGTCTGGCGAGCTGGACGTTCAGCATGATCTTCCACACCAGGGATTTCAACATCACTGAGAAGCTGGACTATTGGGCAGCAGGTGCGAACGTGTTGTACGGGCTGTACTACGCGCCAATCAGAGTATTCCGTCTCGACCGCAACGAGCCCCGCAACCAGAGCGTACTGAGGCTGTGGACGGCGCTGTGCATACTGCTATACATCATGCACATCCTGTACCTCTCGCTATGGAGTTGGGACTACACATACAACATGGCTGCAAACATCGTCGTCGGCACATTGGCCAACTTGCTCTGGAGTGGATTCAGTTACGTGCAGTACAAGAGGATCGGAAGGACATGGGCGGTGCTGCCTGGTATCTGCGTGGCGTGGATTATCTCAGCGATGAGCCTGGAGCTCATGGACTTTGCGCCATGGAAGGGCATGATTGATGCACACAGCTTGTGGCATCTGGGCACTGTGGTGCCGACCGTCCTTTGGTACAAGTAAGTCAACTCCCTTACAACGAGGCCGAGATGAAGAGCTAACAGTCACAGCTTTCTGATCAAGGACGCACAGGAAGACATAGCAGGTACGCGCCTCAAGCAATGACCTTGCATTAATTGCACGACTCCCAATTCTGCTGCTTACCACGTACCTCTCAGGCAAACTGCCGATGGCTAATCGTGGCGCAGACGTACGAAAAGGAAAGGACTAGATGACCGTGTCGATTACCGCGTGCAAGATAACACTCAATCAATACATCATATCATTTCAGACAACATATGTTCTCGTCGCAAATGAAACAAACTCCTCCGAGCCTCCCAACGCGGTTTCGTGCCGAGGTCTACCGGCTAAGTCACAGCACAAGCAATCGCATCAGTACGGAGTGTGCAAGCCAAATGATAAGTTCGTTGATCTATATGCTAGACTCCGAAGCCACACCATAACTCCAAAGCTTCAAAAGGCCAAAGAATCTCGTACAAACGCCGTGCACCTGTACAACAATACCATTACGCCCGATCCAAGTCGTTCAACTCTGATTTTAGATTCTCGATCAAATTCTCCCCATCCTCCAAACTCAGCATGCCAGTCAATGCGAATACACCAACATCCAGTTTCCCATTGCGAACCGTAGCTTCGACGTCAATCGCGTGCTGCCACTTGTTAGCTTCGGTGCTCCAATACGATCTCGGTGCATGGTGTGGACTTACAAGGTACGCCGCGTTCACACGCTCATCCACCATCTCCTTAATGGCTTCCCAGTCTCCATGATCGAGTTCAGTCACCCTGCTGACAGCCTCCTGCCAGCTAGCCTCCTGCGTGATTTTGACCCCATCATCTCGTTTCACAATATCTTCGTCATCAGCATCCGGCAGACTGAGGAAGTTGACGAACGTATCGATCTTGACATCCGTCCACTCACTGATCTCGAACAGACTGGTCGTTGCGTTCACCGGTTCGCCTATGGCTTGTAGGTCACGTTGGATCTCTGTTGCTGCATCAATGATGGACGTGTTAAGCGGCAACCGAACGCGGAGAGGGAGAAGATTGACTGTGGGTATCGCAGCCGTGGAGAGATTGTCGATGGGGAGTGACCGGTTGGCGAGATAGATGCCGATGACCACATCTTCTCCTTTTGCTCGGCTTACTTTCGCTGCGTAAAGTTTCGCGTAAGCTGCGAGGAAGAGCGCGTGTGTCGAGATGCCGTGTTGGCGAGCGATAGACTCCAAGCTGGATGCCTGCAGAAGGCCGGGCTTGAAGATCTCTGTCTTTGAGCTGGAGAAGACCTCCGCTTTGGCATTGTAGTGCGGTTCGATGCCTTCGAGGTACTGCGTCCAGAACGCTTTGCGTTGTGATGGCGCAGACGCAGTATGGCTCACAGCTACGTACTCATCGAATGTATGGCCTGGTGTAGAAGGCGTAGCACCGTTGCAGAGACTCAGAAGCTGCTGCATCAGAAGCGGCAAGCTCACCCCATCGTATAAGGCGTGATGAATCTTGAACTTGAGCATCCAACCCGATGCTGTGCGTGAGACGAAGAGGTGGACCCATGGCTGCTGCGTTGCGGTCTTATTCATGGTCTGTGTTGCACTTTCCTTATCTTGGACCGTGATGTCGGTCAGCGAAGGATTCGCTTCCTTGAGCACAACTTGAACGTATGGTAAGTCGCTTTGACCAGTTGTAACGATGTGTGTGCGGAGTACTGGGTTCGCTGTGATGAGGTCTTGCCACAACTTGTGCAACGCTTCAGAGCTCACAGCGCCCTCTAGGTGGTAGGTGAACTCTGCGTAGAAATTGGCGCCCTTTGTATTGAGCCACATGGAGAGCATATACAACTGACCAGCCGTGAGAGGTAAGATTCGATCGACCTGTGAAGCTTCGATGCTGGCCCAGCTTAGGGCTTTGTCTTGATCAAGTCCGCGTAATGCATGTTTGATCAGAGCACTCGAGTCGGTATGTCCATTCGAAAGAAACGTCGTGCGCTTTCCAGCTGTCTCAGCCATCATTTCCACAGTGCCAGCCTTGAGCATCTCGCCAACACTAAGAGCAATGCCTTGTTTGCGAAGGATTGAGGATACCTTGATAGCACTGATGGAATCCAGGCCGATGTGAAAGATTGACATGCCCGGCTCGATATCTTGCTCATTAACCTGAGCAACTGAGGCCAGTACTTCTCGAATCTTTGTAGCTGTTTCTGACAATGGTGCGTCGATAGAAGGGCTCGATTGCTCATTTGTGTTCTCAACCTCCAGCATATGCGAACTCTCCTCTTTGAACGCTGGCAAGCCACACACTGACGTTCCTTGTGGCGTTGAATTGATAGTTGGTTCTTCAGGGGATTGGATGATATTGCAGAGCACCTGGTCCAACTTGTTAAGCAGCGCCCGAGATCCCTCAAAGTCCATGACCTCGTCTTTGACTGCGCAACGCCAAATCAGCGTGTCGTTGACGACTTCCATCTCTACACAGACTGGATACTCGACGTCGCTTTGAGCTTCAATGCTCTGGTAAAGCTTCCTTTCTGTGCTGGAGTCTTGCTCCGCACTCTTCTGGTAGATGAACAGGCTATTGAAGAGCCTGCCCTGCGCGCCTGCAAGGGCCGAAGCTTTCCGTAGAGGGTAGTGCTGCCACTGCTTGATGTTGATGAAGTTTTCTTGCACGTACTGTAGCAGTTCCTGACGGGAACCATGCAGCACTGTGCGGATTGGAGCAGTGTTCATAGTCGGGAAGAGTAATTGAGACTTTTCATCATCGTCGCGGCCGGAGAGAACGCAGCCAAAAGTAACGTCCAATGAGCCAACATAAGATGCCAATGTGAGGGCGAAAGTTGTCTGGCCCAACGTTTGTAGTGACACCTTGCTGTTCTTGGCGAAAACCGTAATGTAGGATAGCCCTATGTCGCTGGCGCGCTCCTTGCGGAAGACTGTTCCTATTTCCGTGGCACCAAGGTTGCGGCGAGGAAAAAGACTCGGCTTTAATCCGTTCAAGTAGTCTCTCCAGAAACTCGCAGCGTCTGGTCCAGACCCAGCTAATATCTCAGCCAAGGTAGCTTCGTAGCTGGGCGGGGGAGTGTATTGTCCACGGTAAGCCGCACTGACAGCATCATGCAGCAGACCCAATGACCAGCCGTCGTAGAGAGCATGGGCAATCGACAAGACCTGGTACGTGAGTTCAGACGTCTCCACAAAATTGATCTTGAAGGGCGGATCCAGAGCATTTGACTGTGCTGCTGCACGACGCAAATCCTCAAATATAGCAGAGACGTTGGGTTTTTCGACTGTGTCGCACTTTTGTCGTTTAACACAGTGCTCCAGAGACTTCTGCTTGACGACAACCTGAGCATATGCTTCGTCGATCTTTGGATCATCGACTTCGATGAATGCTGTGCGCAACATGGGTGTGGACTTGATGACCATGTGCCATGCATCATGCAGTCTGTCAACATCGGTGTCTGCAGCCAGTTCTGCAACATCGAAGTTGTAGTATCTCGCATAATCTGAAGCAATCATCTCCGCTACCATAGCTTCTTGCAGTGGCGTAAGTGGTAGGACATCGTCGACTTTGCCCATGTCTACTGCGTGTGACTCGAGATAGTGCCGTAATTCACTTTTGCGGTGGGCAAGCCCTCCCTTGTCTTGTGAAAGAGTGCCATTAGTCTGGTTGATCTGTATGTTGTTGACCATGCTTTGGATAGTAAGGCCTCGCATGATACCGCTGACGGGTAGATTGATGCCGCGCTTCCTGAGTCGCGATGATAGCTTGATTGCATCGATGCTGTCGAGGCCCAGTTCGAAGATCGATGTTGACTCACTGACTCTAACCACTTCTGCTCCAGTAAGATTGGCGATCTCTTCCCTGATTGTGATAGCGTTCTCTGTCCAGTCAAACTCTGTTGTGCCATTCACCCCGTTTGTGATGTAGTGTCCAGCTGCCACGCCGTTCGGATTGCTGCCACTCGGTTTGACCGAAGTCTCCAATACAGTCGAGGGGTCCGCCAGTGCACTCGTGAGTGCTTCTTCGAATCGATCGAGGAGTTTATTCGAAGTCGTCGCGCTTGAAATGTGACCTTGAGTGACCAAGGTTAGCGAAAACCTGTCATGGCTCTTCTGCTCGATCTCGATTGCCAAAGGATAATCTGCGACCGCATCACCGTCCAGCAATGTCCATATAGGGTTACTTCTCCACCAGTCCTTGTCAGTCTGCGCAACCTGATAGACAAACAGTGTATCAAAGAGTGGCTGGTTGGGGCATCTCTTGCACCATTTTATGATGTCCCGCAACGGTGTATGTTGATATGGGACAGCTGCAGTGTTGAAGTTATGTACTCTGGCGATGATCGAGGCCCAGGTATCGCCGACTTGAGTGTGGTGTTGATAGGGAATGGTATTGAACATTGGGCCGATTACGTGGTCAGCACGTTCGAGATCGAGACTTCGACCAGATACTACCATGCCCGTGTTGATTGGGACCTGTACATACTCCTGCAGTACATGCATCCAACAGGCTTGAGCAATAGCTTGAGCTGTGACCTTAAGTTTCCTTCTGGTCGTATCATAAGCTGGAATCGAGTCGAAGTCTCGAGTAACCACGATGGTGCCCTGGGTCAGCTCTTGCGTCAATGATGGAAGCGATCTCGGGGTGCGATCTATCAGATGACCCTCCCAGAACTGTTTTGCACCTTCAGCAATGCGCAATGGGCCATGTGGAAGAGCTTCATGGAAGGTCGGGACGTTAGATACTTCGGTCTCTCCACCATCATACGTTTCCCGCACTTCTTCGAACAGCAGCTCAATGCTGTTGCCGTCGTACAGCCCATGGAAAATGTGTACAACCAGCAGCTGATCTCCTGATGGACCAACAAGATGAAGTTCGAATGGTCTGCTGAGCTCGACACGGTTCACTTCAAGCCAGCTCTGCCGAAGGTCCTGCACGCAGTCCGATATTGAAGCACGCTCGACATTATGTTCGCTCCAAGGCAACGTAGCCCCCTGTAGGACAGCTTGTAGGTAACCATCGTCTGTGTTCACAAATGCCGTTCGTAAGACCTGTGTGTCCTCGAAGACTGCGTTCCAAGCCCGGCGCAGGCGAGAGACAACAATGTCCCGGTTAAGCTTGAACTTGAAGGTACTGAAGTAGAGGCCGTCATCACTGTTCAAGTACCGTACAATCATGCCTTGTTGGAGGGGCGTACAAGGAGCGAGCGCTTCAATGTCTCGCGTCTCTACGTCAAGTGATTGGGCGACCACACGTCGGTAACGGTGTTGTATAGCACTAATGGTCTGTTGTGCGGCAATGAGAGAGCCGCGATTGTCTGCAGTCGTACGGGACGTAGAGAGCACCTTGGAAAGTCGACCGATGGTGGCATGTCTCAGGAGTAAGGCAGCAGTAAGTTGCGGGAAACCTGCTTGCTTCACAGCTCGGGAGACTCCAATGACGGATATCGAGTCCATGCCGAGCTCATAGAAGCTGGAGTTCTTGTCGATAGCTTCCTCACTAATGCTTAAGGCCTCGGCTAGAACATGGCGGAGCCTCTTTTCATGCTCTGACCAAGGAGACTCCGCTCCGCTTGAGGTTACTGAAAGCTGCTGCAGGTCATTGCTTGATAATGCCTCATAGATATGTCTCAGTTGCTTTCCATCGGCTTTGTTATTGATATTTAGAGGCATCGAAGCCAATGGAACGAAGTGCGTTGGGACCATGTAGGGCGGCAGCTTGTCGTGACATGCTTCCTTCGCTCCACCTAGTCTCGCAGCTTCGACAAGGAGTGCTTTGGGTTCGCGAGGAGATTTGATACCGACGACTACGAACGCAACAAGTTGCTCTTTCTGTTGCTTAGGGTGCTTGAGGACCAGTGTCGCCACATCCGTGAAGTTTTTGCTCGATTGTCTTATGACAGAGTTGATCTCACCAATTTCGAGTCGCTGGCCACGCAATTTAACTTGGTCGTCTGCTCGACCCAGGAAGTCGAAAGTGCCATCGTGCAATACCCTTACCAGATCTCCAGTACGATATACCCTCTCGTTAAAGCGATCAAGGTGAGCGAATCGCTCTTTGGTCAGCTCTGGTCGGTTCAGGTAGCCTTTGCCGACAAGCTTGCCAGACACACAGAGCTCACCAACTCCACCTCGAAGCACAGGAACATCGGTGCCAGGCTTGAGGACGTATGAACCCACATTATCGAACTGAGGTCCAATGTTGGAAGGCTTGCCGTTGGCTGGAACGCGCGGGTACATGGTACAGCCGATCGTGGCTTCGGTAGGTCCGTAGCCGTTGTAGATGACGCTCTTCGGACCCCAAACATCCAGAATCTCCTGCTTCAGGCTCTCGCCTCCGGTAATGAACACACCCTTGCACAGGCTTGGCACATCATCTGGATGTAGTATTTGAGCCAAGCTTGGTGTGAGGTCGATGTGTGTAATGTTGAGTGTGCGTATGGAGTTTGCGATGTCTTCGAAGATAAGGTCTCGCGGCGCTGACACAACGCAGATGCCGACTGACCAGCTCCAGTACTGCTCAAGCACTGAGACGTCGAAATGGAAGGACGCGAATTGCAACCAGCGTGATTCTGCATCCCAGTGGCCAGCGAACAGTCGTTGGAAAGCAAACATCGCCTGTACCGCATTTTCATGAGTCAGCTCGCATCCTTTAGGCGTACCGGTAGTGCCGCTGGTGTACAGGCAATAGCTGCGATCTTGAGGGTCGACGTTTCTCTTGAGCTGGGGCCTTGTTGCGGCAAAATCACGGGTAGCAATCTTGTCAAGATCGAGTACTGGCAACTTGACGTTCTCCTTGAACTTCGCAGACTGTACACTCATCGAGAGTACTACCTGAGCGCCCGAGTCTTCAATGATGAAGGCTTGACGTGCACTTGGTGCACTTGGATCGATAGCGACAAACGCACAGCCAGCCTTCAGTATGCCTAGCATTGCAAAAGACGCTTCTGGGCACTTCTCGAAGCACACGCCAACGAGTCCACCTTGCTGAACGTTGCGAGACAGCAACAGATGTGCAATTCTGTTGCCTTCCACATCAAGCTCATGGTATGTCCATGACTTACTGGCAAGCTGATCTGCCTGTGTTGAACTCGCAAACTCGAAAGCGGCGCGGTCAGGATGCACGTTGGCGGTGAACTCAACGAACTCGTGCAGCAGCTGTACTTCAGACGGTAAGGTCGATTCCTTGGCTGGGGTGATGGAGTACAGCGATTGATCCAAGAGAGCTTTGGTTACGGGAGAGTTTTTCGGGACAATATAGCTCCTCATAACATGATCGAGCTGTTGGAGGATTAACCCTGCCTGTTCAGGCGGAACGATGTGTGGCAGGTAGGTCAACCGATACTCCAGAACATCTGATCTTAGCTCGAGCTCAATCGAGATCGGATATTCTGTTGTCGCCTTTTCTTCCGCGACTGTCCACAATTCATTCTGCTGGCTTCCTCCTGTGATCTTCTGGAAGGCAAACAACGAGTCGAACAAAGACTCGTTCGACACACCCATCAGCTTCTGAATCCTGCTGAGGGGTGTGAACTGATGCTGGTGCAAATCTGCGTTGAGTTCCATGACTGATTTCATCGTTTCCGCTTTGTCATCGGTTATCGTGCATGGGAACGGTACTGTGTTGATGCATGGGAGGGCAGCATCGTTCGCCGTCTCCGAGGTGCGACCGGACAGAACGACACCAATCGTCACTGTAGGCTCTCCAGTATATGCGGACAATATAGACGACCAGCTAGTTATACCAGCAGCTTGAAGCGTGACATTCGCCAAGCGGCAGCCATCTTCAACTTCAGCAGCAGACATAGACGAGGATTTTGTCAGTACTACTGGAGACGCCGGTTCATACTTTAAAGGTGTCATATTTGGGAAGCGGGATGGAACTGTTCTCTTCCCCAAGTTAGACCAGAATCTCTCTGTCGGCTCGGTTTGACTCTGATTAAGCTGCAGAAGTTCACTGAGTACTGAGTCGAGAGGGGATGCCTCCTTCAGTGACTCATTATTGTAGACGGCAACGACATCTTCGAAGACCAATTGCAAGCTATGCGCATCAAACAGTGCGTGGAAAATCGATAGATCGAGGAAGAGGTCTTTATCACTGGCAACGACCCGGAGGTCCCACATCGGTTGATGAAGGTGGGTTAATGCCTTGCGCTGTAGCTGTCCCAGCCTCTCTGCAGCCAGTTGAGAATCAGCGTCATATCCTTCTGACCACGGCAAGAGGACTGAGTTTGATGTGTGCTGAACCATTGCAAACGAGTATTGTTCATCCCTGATCGGGACGAAGCCGATTCGCAGTATCGGGTGACGCATCATTGTCTTTGCCCAAGCATTCTTCAGCTTCGCAATGTCCATATCGGAGCTTTGTAATTGAAGACGAAGGTAATTGTAATAGACGGACCCGTCCTTGGCAATGAACTGGGAGACCATACCCTGCTGGAGAGGCGTACACGGGCGAACAGCTTCGATGAACTGGTCGTCGAGCCCGCAGATCTCCAGAATAGCTGCTCTATGCTTCTTGTCGAAAGCCTCGAAATCAAAAGGCTCGATACGTGGTCCAGCCATTTGCGATTGCTTCGCAAGTTGTTCTGCAAGATCAACACAACTGGTATACCTCATGACGTCGGAAGCACTGGCTTCATAGCCTTGCTTCCGAAGCGTTGCAGCGATCTGGACTGCACTGATACTGTCGAGCCCCAGTTGGTAGATTGATGTATCCGGAAGGACCTCATCAATGGGAGTGTTTGATAGTCGGCTCAGCACATCTCGAATATGGAGCTCGATATCGGTCCATTTGTGATCATTGTCCATGTCATTTGATGTTCGACCCGTGATTGTAGCAGCTTCAAAGATACGCGTCAACGCCTTCCTGTCGATCTTGCCTGCCATAGACTTCGGTATACTGTCAACGAAGATATAGAACTGGGGTACCATGTACGTGGGCAATCGGCTCTTCGCAACCTGCATGGCTTTCTTTCGAAGATCCGACTCTTCGATCCTTTCCAATCCGCTGCCAGCAGCGAGAAAGGCAACTAGCTGCTCCTTAGCTCCAGTGTTTTTCTTCATGATCTGCGTAACGACAGATCTGATACACGCATCGCAGCTTTGCAACACCTGGTTAATCTCTCCAAGCTCGACTCTCAGCCCGCGAATCTTCACCTGATCATCTATGCGGCCGATGAATTCGAAGTTGCCGTCGCTAAGCATGCGTACCATGTCACCACTCTTGTAGAACCTTTGACCGCATCGAGTTATGAATCGCTCGTTGGTGAGCTCAGGACGACCAAGATAGCCTCGAGCTAATTGTGCACCTCCAATATATAGCTCACCAACGCTGAGTATAGGCAACGGCTGTTCGCCATGAGCCGAGAATACTGCAAAAGACGTACTTGGGTAGGGTGGACCGATGACCGATGTTTTCACGTCCTCCGAGACGGGAAACATAGTTACGCAGAATGCAGCCTCAGTAGGTCCGTAGGAATTGACACAAGCGCCGTTCCATCCTTTCGCAACATCGGCTGACATTGCCTCTCCAATACAGTACAGCCACTGCACACTAGGTACTTGAGCTTGTGACAGTGAGGCTGCAACAGAAGGCGTAAGATCCAGTAGGGTCACATCAAGCAAATTGATGACATGTGACAGGTCGTCGAACATGATGTGTTGCTCTGCTGCGCAAAGAGTGAAGCCAAATGTCCAAGCCATGAAACAGTCGTAGTAGCACATGTCGAAAGTAACTGCCGCATACTGCAACAACCTAGAGGATGGAGTCCATGGCACCAGTGATCTTGAGCTCTCCACAGTCTGTATGGGAGATCGATGCTCCATACTGACCGCTTTGGGTACACCAGTTGAACCGCTGGTGTAGAGGCAGTAAGCCAGATTTGATCCAGTGAGATTTTCGACGTGTGGTGTTTCGCAAGCATTGAGCCATCCTTTTTCAAGATCTGCAACGTTGAGAACTACTGCAGAACCTTGTTTAACAGGATTCGATAGAGGCTCTGTGCATAGTATGACTTTAGGGTTCAAGTCCTTGAACATCAATTCTTTGCGAGCTTCCGGCAGATCGGGGTGAACTGGTGCGAAGGCGGCGCCGGCCTTGAGGACTCCCAGGATGCTGGCATAGAATATCGGAGACTTCGCAATATGAATAGGAACAATATCCTCGATTCCAACTCCCTGATGCATCAACCTATATGCGACGTGATTGGCTGTCAAGTTCAATCTCCGGTATGACCATGTTGTGCGTTGTCCATCCGCATGGAGAAAATCAAGGGCGATGGCGTCAGGCCGTGGAGATAATGAATTCTGCTCGAACGCTTTGTGTAGCAGATCAGAATCCGAGGGTAGTCGCTCGAAGCTCATGTTGGATGTAGCTTGGAGAGCTTGAGGAATGCCAATAGAGTCGTTGGCAGCGGCATCGAGATGCTGAGTCAGGGCCCAGAGGCTGCTATCGAACGTCTGAGCAACAATCTGAGCATCCTGGTCAGACAGCAAGCTGGTGTTGTAATGAATAGTCAGTTTCAGGACGTCATTCTGGTCGACTTGGTGGACCTCGCACACTACAGGCAGGTCCATCTCGCCCATGTCTTCTTCGAGGGTCCATATGGTGTCATCGAGTGGTCTACTCGGTTGCTGAAGGATGACAAGCGTATCGAACAGCCGACCTCCGTCTTGCAAAGCAACACTCTGGATGCGCCGAAGAGCTGTCAATTGATGTGCCAACGAGTCTACGTTGAAGTTATGCAACAACTGGACTAATGCCCTGTTCGGCTCCGAGAAATCAAAATTGGTCCGGACTGGGAGCGTGTTGAAGCATGGCGCTACAAGTCGATCCAGGCCATCCTCAAGAAGAGTACGACCGCTGACAACATTGCCAAAGCACAGGTCATCCTCACCCGTGTAAAAGTGCAAGAGCTTCGCCCAGGCAGCTTGTACCATGGAGAGAACGGACACAGAAGCACGTTGAGATGCTGCACGAACCATGGCCAATGGCAGCTGCAGATCACGCCGTATTGACTTCAGAATGCCAGGGTGCTTATGTGTTCTGCCAGTCAGATCCGAGAAGTACGTGGGCTCGAAGTCAGCAAAGCGGACTGACCAGAACTTGTCGGCTTCGGCTGAATCTTGAGAGATCATGTGCTGCAGATATCGGTCGTAGGAGATGGTGGGCGGTAACGTGTGGTCGAGATATGCTTGTTGGATCTCTTCCAGCAGAATTGCGATAGCAACACCATCGTAGAGTGCATGATGGCAGCTGAAGATGAGCTTTATCGACGAGTCAGCTTTATGAACTGCCAGATGCAGAGGCGGTCTGTGTGATGCAAGCAGGTCCGTAAGAATTGTATCCATATGAGACTGGACATCATGGAGTGTGTCTAATTGACCCCACTGGAGCTCTACGTCTTTCAAAACAACCTGCGTAAAGGCAAAGTTGGAGTGGTCTGACGACACGAACGATGTTCGCAAAATCTCGTGACGGCTCTGTGCAATCTTCCAGCATGCCTGGAGGCGAGCGCTATCGCCTTTTATATCGAAAATCATAACGTTGCTGTAGGCAGTCTCAGACGAAGTACTACTTGCCAGCATGGCTTCCTGTAACGGGGTGCAGGGATTTATCTTCTCCACCTGGAGGCCTGACTTGTTGAATGTTGAACGTATCTGGGATTGCTGCTCTTCTGTGAAGACATTCTGCAGCTCTTTCAGGGGTGTCTGATGCGCTTTCAAGGAAGCAGTATGATCCACGCGTATGGCATCCAGGTATGAAATGGTCGGGTTCTTGAGCACTTCGGCGACCGTAAAGTCGCCGAGATCAGATCGTCTGAGGCTGTGGCAAAATCGTATGGCTGAAACAGAGTCCAAACCCAAGTTGAGGAAGGAAGACGATCGCCGGATCCCTTCTACATTGATCTCGAGTATATGGGCGAGGATCTCTGCAACGCTCTTTTCCCAGTCCGATAGAGTAGTCGATGTACCATTAGTCTTGCCATTAATCTCACCATTGGTTGCGTGTGTTGGCGAAGATTGTGTGAGTTCGGTGTCACTGAGGTTATTGAAGGTTGCTTGCAGTAGTCGCTTGTCGATCTTGCCTTGTGCGGTCATGGGAATTTTACTTATGGGGACAAGGTAAGATGGAACCATGTACACGGGTAGCTGTCTTGAGAGGGATATGAAGATCCGTAGTACAGTAGGCCTGAGGGGCTTAGCGTCCAATGTCGTGAAATGCTCATATTTGTAGTTCTTGGGAACCCAGAATGTTACCAGAGTCTTGACGCCGTTCTCGGTTGAGAGAAGGAGAGTCACACAGTCGGTGACAGCGTCGTCATCCAAAATTGTTGATATGATCTCTCCGAGCTCGACTCGCTGACCACGTATCTTTACTTGATCATCAGAGCGGCCAGCCGAAAGTATGCAGTCGTCCGGAAGAAGTCTTCCCATGTCTCCAGATCGGTAGATTCTGCCATATGGTGCGATGGTGATAAGCTTTGTAGCATTGAGCTCTGGGCGATTGAGGTAACCTCGGAACACTTGCTCGCCTCCAAAACAAAGCTCTCCCACAGCTCCTCGGGGGAGAATTGTATCGCTGTTCGGATCCAGTACGAATGCAGATGTGTTGTCGAATGGTGGACCGATGTTGTTAATCAAGTCCGTGGAAGTCACTGAAGGTCGTACTGTACAGATGTTGGTCGTTTCGGACGGACCATAGCCTATACTCAAATTAGCTCCATCCTGCCGAAGGGCAGTACCGCTTACCTTGATACAAGCCTCGGCCAGCCCATTGTCGCCGAACGTGTTCCGTCAAAGCTTCTCCTGCGGTCACGAGGAACTCAACCTTAGGCACATTGTCTGGGTTGACAAGGGCTGCCACAGTGGGCGTAAGGCTGAGGTGTGTGGCTCCCAGATTATTGATCGAAGCTTCGAAATCACGGAACAGATCCTCTTTCCTTGCTGTACAAAGAGACATGCCTATGTGCCAAGCATAGAAGATCTCGAATACAGACACATCGAAAGCTTGCGAGCACGACTGAAGCATTCTCGATTCAGATGACGCCGGGTATATGCCAGAAAGAAACTCTAGATTACTCATCAAGTTCTGCTGCGTGACGAGGACGCCTTTCGGTGTACCTGTACTTCCACTGGTGAACACAGCATAGGCTATATGCGAACCATTGTAATGTATATCCAGATTGTGGCTGGAGAATATCGATAGGTTTGTTGAGCAGAGGTCGATGATTGTGCCAGGGAAACTTTTGCGAAGTGGCTGTAGACTGAATGAATCGCTCATGCAAACTGCTACCTGAGCGTCCCTGAGTATCGTACCAACCCTTTCGACAGGCGTGTCGGGCACAAGTGGTAAGTAACCGGATCCAAGCTTCAGTACGGCAAGGATGGCGACGTACAGATCTACGGACTTCTCCATCATGATACACACCAAGTCATCTTGGCCAACGCCATGCTGCGAGAGAAGGCGAGCAAGCTGGTTGGCCCGCTGGTTCAAGCCCAAGTATGTGATGGTGTCTTTAACTTTCATGACGCCATCGGAGACGTGACCAAATATGACAGCTTCTTTATCGGGAGAGGATTTTGCCCATGTCTCCACTACATGCGAGAGGCTGACGCTGTCGCAATGGTGGCGATATTCGGAATTGGCAATCGAAAGGCTTGAAGTGGTAAAGCATCGCCCAACATCAGCTATTGTGCAGCTAGTGTCGTCCAGGAACTTCTCAACAACCTCGTCGATCTGTCGTGAGAGGTGTGTAACTTGCTGTTCTGGGATGCTGCATGGGTCGAAAGTAGTGCGGAAGGAGATGAAGCCATCACATGGTTCGAATTCGAGCGTGAGCTTGAACTCTAGATCGTCAGCGCTGTCGACGATCTTTGCAGCTAAGGAGGAGCTGTTGTCAGAACTTGATGATTGCTGCCAGACAAAAAGCACGTCGAATAACCGTGTGCCAGGTTGGACGTTCGCCGCTCTTGCTATATCTCGTAATGGCAATGCACAATGGCGCAACCCCTCACGGTTCAAGCTCTGAGTCTTCTCTAGGGCCTCACGCACTCTGGAGAAGGCTCCAAAATTCAGACGGCATGGCAGTGAGGCTATGCATGGACCAACAACATCCTCGATGCCAGTGACAGGAACCGTTCTACCAGACGTGACGTTGCCGAACACCACGTCTGGTGACCCAGTGTAAAGTCCAAGGATGTATCCAGTAGCTGCTTGAAAGAAGACCTGAGGGTTGATAGCAAGATCGCTAGCACGCTCAGCCAAACGTTGAAGACTAACTGACGAGCGCCCCCGATGTGACCGAAGACTTGTCCCAGTCTTTATCTCACCGTTGTAGTTGACTAGAGTCGTAGGTACATAGTCGTGGAGTAAGTTCGTCCAGTACCTCTTATCGTCTTCTGCTACCGTTGTCTGCTGTCGCTCAATGTAATAATGGCTGACATCTTGGAATTGAGGTCGTGCCGTTGGTCCCAACCCACGCAGAAGCTTGTCAAAATCGGTCAATAGTAGATCAAAGGACCAACCGTCATACAGTGTGTGGTGTATTTGCACCAGTATTCGTTGTCGATCTAAGTCCTCCTGTATCTGAACCTTGAATGGCCGCAACAACGCCCCTGCGGTGTCAAGTGTATAGGACCTCTGCAAGTTGGATGCCTGTTCCACTTGTGATTGGTGTAATTTTTTCCAAGTAACTTGTACAAAGCTTCCTGTACCAGTTGTAGAAGAGCAAAAGCCTGATCGCAGGATGCCGTTCTCTCTAACCAGATGCGATATCGCTGTGACGATTTCGTCGTACGTCCGCGTCACAGTGAGCTCCAGCTCGACCCAGTTGCAATATGCGCTTGACCTGAACAATGTCTCGGTGAGCATTGCCTCTTGCAAGGGTGTGCAAGGCGAGACGCAGTCGATATCCGCCTGAACGGACGCTAATTCAGGAATTGTAGCGTCAATGTCTTGGACTGATAACCAGCTTAGTGAGTGCGAATGTCCGTTAAGCAGAGGAGTGCTTTTGCAGGTTGTGATGAGGTCGTACAGAGATTGCAAAGACAGGATGTCCACCGCACTGAGGCCGTAGCCTTCCGCTCGTAGCCTTGATGCAACGCGAATCGCTCGTAATGAGTCTAGCCCAGCTGCAGCAAGATTGGAATCCAACGAAAGCTTTTGTCCTAAGCAGTCCTGAGTCAGACGTAGAATAGTAAGTGCGGCATGATCGTCGGGTGGTAAGTCGGTGCTGCCGTGATGCTGAAGAGATTTCGAATACGCTGTTTCCAGTGATTGTTTGTCAATCTTCCCAGACGGAAGTTGAGGCATGCTCGGTACTAGCAGTACGTCCGAGGGTATCATAAAGGCCGGTAACCATTGCTTGCAGACTCGGAGCACCTCTGCGCGTGACACTGTGCACGTACCAGTCGCGCAAAACGCCACTAAGGTATCGTTGATGATTGTTGCAACCGCCACACGACATCCTTCGACCTTCATGATGATCTGTTCTATCTCGCCAAGCTCAACTCGCTGCCCTCGAAGCTTTACTTGACCGGCGACGATACGACCGAGGCATTCGATTGTACCATCATCGCAGAACCTTGCACGGTCTCCAGTGCGGTATAATCGGCCATACTGGGGGTGGTCGACGAAGGCTACAGCAGTAAGTTCTGGCCTGTTGAGGTACTCCTCAGCGATTTGGTACCCTCCAAGGGCGAGTTCACCTTCTTCGCCCCACGGTAAGATTTTAACACCGGCCGTCCCGACTGCACCCTCAGACAGAGCGAGAACGAAGGTTGAAACTGTCTCCAGAGGATATCCGATATTGCCGGTTGGAGAAGAAGCGCAGAAGTGAGCTTGCAACGTGCAATGTATTGCAGCCTCCGTGGGGCCGTACATAGCCCAAAGAATTCCCCTTTGAGTACCACTGTCGCCAAATTCGGTCACAACATGCTGGGTAAGCATCTCGCCGATAGTGAGTAGCAATTTCAACCCAGGCACGCTTGTTCGGCCCTGCAGAAGATTCCCAACAACCGTAGGTGTAAGCTCGGCCGCGTCCGCTTCCAGTGTTTTGATCGCGCCCGGAAGATCTTCGAGCATCTGCGTACGGGGACAGCCAACCAAGGTCCGCCCCCTGAACCAAGGGAAGAAGATCTCGAATATGGAAACGTCGAATGTAGGAGCGGCGAACTGAAGAAAGCGTGCAAAGTCTGGAATATGACCGTCATGAGCCAAGAGACTTTGAGTGACAGCACGGTGAGATACGCTCACAGCCTTAGGCAATCCAGTAGATCCACTGGTGTACAAAACGTATGCCAGGTCGGTGCTGGCGACATGTGGTAAAGCTGTGGTGTCGTTCTGATTGGCTTTCAGCAGCTCGTGATCCACGCATATTGTTTGCACCTCGTGCACCGAGCGCATTCGGTCTGAAAACCCAGTGTTCGTTATGAATAGGTCTGCAGAGACATCTGAGAGTATGAATCTCAACCTCTCATCCGGGACATCAAGGTTCAGGGGACAGAAAGCTTTGCCTGCCTTCAAGATTGCCAACAGTACAATGTATAGCTCCGGACATTGTGGCAGCAGGATTGGGATAACGATAGAAGCATTTTCCAGCGTCGCCGTCAAATCGATAATCCGTCTTGCCAAGATGTCGCTCAGTGCGTGCAATCTTTGGTAGGAAAACTTCCGTCTCTTGCCATGTTCCAGGAATTCAATGGCGGATGAATCCGAAGAATGAGGCACTAGTTCGTGTAGTAATGTTGGACCCTCAATAGCTGTTGGAGTCTTGTTCAGTATAGACAGACTTTGTCCTCGTTCGTGGTGTTGGACCATTTTGCTAGGTCCGTATTAGGTAAGCTTGGAAATGTACCAGGAGTCAGTGTGCTCAAGCTTGAAGTACAACTCCCTTCCCCACAACCAAATAACAAACAGAGCCTAGGTGATGAGGGGATAACAAAATGACGTCTCTGTCGTCTGTCACTGTTGACTTGTAAATATTGGCCCTGGTGGGTACGAAATCGTGATGAGAAACTGCAGGCCACTGATTGGTCGGAGCCCTTGCAGTACTTTCTGTCGAATATATGTGATGCTGTGGCGCACGTGAAATTGCGAGACTGTCACCTTTTGGTAGCGCCTCGAAACTTGCCTACGGGCCGTGCAGTTCGCTGGATATGCAAGGAGAGCCGACGTGCCCAAAGTAGGAGAACAGCAGAGCCTGGTGAGCGTAGCATCGGGCAGCGTCCGGCAAGTGGGGTTCAAGCCGCAAACACAAGCTGCTCAGCTTGCAAGGTGGTTTGAAGGTTCGTTGGAGCCTCAGCGCTTTGTTTGCTGTGCTGTACTCTGTGTGTTGTTGGTGAGCATAGCGGCGTCATATATCTTGATGGGTTTACGGATCTGATAAGACGAAATCAGCAGAAACGGCAGGCAGCACTTTACTAGCGGATGAGGCAAAGGAAGCGACCAAGCGACGAAAAATCGAGGAAGGAAAATGCGACGGAACGCGACAAGATCCACAGCTGGTCGTTAGCTCGTGCTCAAGATGGTGGGCGAAATGGCAGGTGGATGAGCAGGCCTCCAATGACGTGCCAGCGCCTTTCCCTACTCTTCCAGTGCATCATGCTGTCGCCCCACGCCACAGAATCTGTTTGTCACGCTGCAGACGTGTCTTGGACGTTTGTTGAAGAATCGGGGCTCAAGCCGGTTTCGGAGCAAGCCTCGCTGGGGGTGAGAAGAGGAAGCTTACGCCTGAGGGGGAGGATACGAATCTAGAGGAGGTGCCGAGTCACCGCTGTTCATCCATGGATCTTTCCATCTGATAATGCACGTATGCACAATCGGCCCGTTATGCAGGATCTGATAACTTTAATGTGATCGAATTTCAACATTCGTTGACTTGTGTGAGCCAGACCTGTGACTTCGTCCTGCGCTCCACAGAACCTCGCAGTAAGTAACAATTGAGAAGCAATTTCCTGGCATATAGAAAGGATTTTGGACTGCTGTGAGCTCTCTGGTCGCAAAATTACTTTTCTTTTCGATGTTATTATGTGAACGACGCGCAAAGATTAGTCAGGCACACACGGGCCAAGCGCTGGCAAGTCATGAGCTTTTGCCGTCCATGATTGCGAAATCCCTCCCAACGTTCGCCTTCATTCGCGATTCAACTATCTATATGGCTCCGCGCTCGTAACACCTGGCGTTTGGATGCCCGCCATTCGTTGATGAACAGCTAACAAACATGCCTCATTCCCGAGAGAGCTCCGAGGCTTTTCGCGTACCAGTATCTGCAGATGAAGATGGAGCCGGCGATCCTCTTCTCAGCGAATCCGACTCTGATGACTTCAATATTGACGGTCGAGCTTCCGTGCGCCGTAGTGTGCAATGGGACAGACACGCCGAACCCTCGTTGGGAGCAGTGCAACCGGAGGCCTGGATGGACATTACCGCCATACGTCATAAGTTTATTCGTCAAATCCTAGGTTTGAATCCCTTCAAAACCTCATATTTTGCGCTTTACAGACCATTGGACGATTTTGGTTCAAGATTTATACTCGCATTGGGAGTCATTTTGGCATTTCTTGCGGGTTTGCCAATTCCATTCATAGGTGTTATCCTCGGCAGGATCATCAACAACTTTCCTCCGCCTGAAGATGAACTAAAAACGCTACTGGGATATCTCATGATAGTCGCAGCGGCCTATTTCGTCGTTACATGGGGCTGGGCCGTGGCGTGGGCGGTAATCGGTGAACGGGTGTCTCGCAAAACACGAGAGCAGCTCTTGCATCGCGCACTTGGGATGGACATGACCTACTTCGACACTGCTTCGCCCGATATGACGAGTATCCTGACGGAAAAGACTCAGACCATTCAACTTGGTACTTCTGAAAAAGTGGGCTTGTTCCTAGCCTCGATCTCATACTTCGTTGCCGCATTCTTTGTTGGTTTCACACTGAATGCTAGGCTCACAGGCGTTATGTAAGTGGACCATCCCAAGTTCTTCCGTTCAATATTGAGGCTAAGCTAATACTGCTTAAAGGTTCGTCACCGTCATTCCCTCAATGGCCTGCGTTGTCATATTCGGCACGAAATACGTTGCTAAGTTCACCAAGCAAGCCTCAGCCTACACAGAGAAGGCTGCTTCTCTAGCCGAAAGCGCTATTCGAGCGGTGCAGATTGTGCAGGCATTTGGGCTTCAAGAGAAGCTGAGCGAGGAGCATGTTCATCATCTTCGAGCTGCGTTGCGAGCTGGCATAAAAAAGAGTACAGCTGGAGCTGTGATGCTTGGATCTGTCTACTTTGTCGCGTACGCCGCGAATGCGTTAGCGTTTTGGTACGGTGACCATCTTCGTAACGGTAGTGCTGAAGCTGGAACCATATACGCTGTCGTATTCCTCATTCTGGACGCTTCCTTTGTCGTGGGGAGATTTGGGCCCTTCATTCAGACTTTCGCAATGGCAGCGGCTGCGGGACAAGCTGTTCACGAAATTCTTGACCATCCATTGTCAGACATTGACGTATATAACGTCGAAGGACAACAGGCCAGCAAGTCTCACTTCGCCAAAGACATCAAATTCTCTGCGGTCTCATTTGTCTATCCAGCTAGGCCAACTGTCAAAATTCTGGACGCAGTCGATCTGAGTATTGCGCCAGGGAAGGTCACAGGTCTCGTTGGCTCATCCGGGTCAGGAAAGTCTACGATTACCTCGTTACTCCTCCGGCTCTATGACCCAACTTTTGGCACAGTCACCATCGGCGATGAGGATATCAAGTCATTCAACGTTCGCAGTCTACGATCACATGTTGCTCTCGTTACGCAGAACCCCGTTCTCTTCACTGGAACCATCTATGACAACATCAAACATGGACTACCACAGGGCGAAGACATTCCTGAGGATGAAGCGTTTGCCAGGTGCGTAGCTGCAGCCAATGAAGCCCACTGCGAGTTCCTGGATCGCCTCCCCGACGGTATGCACACAAAGATTGGCTCAGGCCCCCATTCGCAGCTTTCTGGAGGACAGAAACAACGCATCACGTTGGCCAGGGCACTTGTGGGTCGACCTTCAGTACTGCTTCTCGATGAGTTCACCAGTGCTATGGACGCGACGAGCGAGGCGATTGTGTTGGAGAACCTGAGACGTTCTTCAGCCACAGCTGGTCGGACAACAATCATCATAGCGCATAGGCTCGCCACTGTCAGAGATGCTGACCGTATTGTGGTGTTGAAAGACGGTGTCGTAACCGAAGATGGCCAACACGAAAACTTGATAAAAGCGAACGGCATCTATGCTGAGCTCATCCAAGCCCAGCAGTTCGAGAAGAAAGGCCATGCATCTGTTGCCTCCTCAGTCTATTCCAGTCCTCGGTTCCCACAGAAAGAGAACAATCATACTGGCACAGCCACTAACGATCCGTCATCCGAGGCTACTACAGTGCCAGCGGAGAAACCGAACAAAAACGCGTTCGAGCTCATACGCAGATGCTTAGCTTTGAGTCGATACGAGATACCAGCGATCGTTCTTGGTCTGGCTGCATCTATTATAAGTGGAGGCGTTACTATTGGGGAAGCCTTCATTTTTGGCACCCTTGTGGAGCTTCTCAATGATACCTCCAAGACTGGCGAGTTGGCCTCGACGATCTCCTTCTTCTGCATGTTGTTCTTTCTGTTGTCCTTGGTTGCACTGATCTCTCATGGAGCCGGCGGTACAGCTTTCGGGCTGGTGTCGGAGAACCTTGTTCTTCGTGTACGAGACATCTCGTTCCGTACGATACTGAAGCAAGACATCTCCTGGTTCTCGAAACCTGGGCACTCACATCACGCACTGATGTCCAAACTCAACATGGACAGTGGTTCCATCAGTGGGCTTTCTGGTGTTATTTTGGGAACGATCTTCTCGATCACAACTTCGGTGGTTGGAGGAACAATCTTGGCCCACGTCGTAGCCTGGAAGATCGCTATCGTTCTCCTTGCAGCTGTGCCCATCATGATCTTCGCAGGCTTCGTTCGTCTTCGCATCCTGGCTTTGGCAGAAGAGAAACACCAGAATGCCTACAATGATGCAGCAACGCTGGCCTCTGAAGCAACTGCTTCCATGCAAATCGTCGCAGCCTTTGGTCTTGAGGACCATTTTCTCGACTTGTATCGTGAGGCTATTCGCGGGCCATATGAGGAGCACTTGAGGTTTGCTCTCTTCGGCAATGTTCTGCTTGCATTCTCGCTATCAGTGACGTATTATGTATACTCTCTGGCATATTGGTGGTAAGTATCGTGATTGTCCACAAGATCGAGTTGTCTGCTGACGCATCAATCAGGGGCTCTAAGCAAGTGCGGAATGGCAACTACAGTCAAAGGGACTTCTTCATCGTACTACCTGCACTGCTCTTCTCTGCTCAGGCTGCTGGTCAGCTGTTCAGTCTGGCGCCGGAAGTGACTCGAGCCAAAACGGCTGCCCAGAGTGTGTTTGCGCTGCACGACGAACGACCTACGATCCTTACGGACGACAAGCCTGCACAAAGACCACCTGATGGTACCAATGTAAACACAGATTCTTTGCTGTCTGGACCGTCAGCCAGCTATGGAACATTTGGTGTGCGAGGAGAGCTTGAGTTCCGTGGGGTCAGCCTGCACTATGAGACCCGACCAGATGTTCCCGTTTTGAATAACGTCTCGTTCCAGATCAGACATGGGGAGTACGCAGCGTTCGTCGGGAGATCTGGTGCCGGAAAGTCGAGCACCGTCCATCTCATCGAGAGATTTTTCGACCCTACAGCCGGCCAAGTCTACCTGGATGGGCGGGACATACGCAACGAGTCTGTGCAACACCATCGAGCCCGTTTGGCATTAGTAGAGCAGGAGCCCGACTTGTTCCCGGGAAGCGTCAAGTTCAACATCGGACTCGGCAGGCGGCCTGATGCAGAGATCAGCGACGAGGCCATCGTAGCCGTCGCGAAGAAGTGCGAACTCCACGACTTCATCATGAGTCTGCCAGAAGGCTATAACACCGAAGTTGGTGCTCATGGCTCTAAGCTGTCCGGTGGTCAGCGACAGAGGCTGGCTATCGCGCGTGCTCTGTTGAGAGACCCAGAGATACTTCTACTTGACGAAGCAACATCTCAGCTTGACGCGAACACTGAGAGAGAGATCCGAAGAACAATAGCGGCTGCATCAAAAGGACGCACGACTATCATGATAGCCCACAGACTCGCGAGTGTACAACACGCAGATAAGATCTTCGTCTTCGATGCTGGGAGGATAGTAGAACAGGGTCGACATGACGAGCTTGTCTCAGAGGGGGGCATATACGCTGGCATGGTGGCAGCACAGGAGCTGGACTGATTTCCATTTACAGCATTCGCCATTCGTATTTTCCTACCGTCCTCATACATTGTTGTACTATTAGCCGACCATACCGCCATTTCTTTTGGTCTGTATACCTCTGCGACCTTCTGCTCCTTCCGCATAGAGTGCTTGGTCCAGCAAATCGGACGTCTTGTACACCATACTTGCGATATTACGCCCCATATTACTGTACAAAGTTTTCGATTATACACAAAAGCAAACTACCAACAGTGTGCTCGCGCACAACTTGCCTTGGGACGTATCATCAACCCGCTTCAACCCGATGGAAATGTCAAATCGCAAAGTCACACTATGAGGAGTACCAGAACAACTACGGCGAGCAACATACACTAACGCCTCTCTCGTCACAGCCTGTATCATCGTCAGCTAGGATGATGTATGTGTAAGGGATCTGCGGTTGCGGCACAATAACCGAACTCGTAGTCAAGCCCGGCAGAACCCTGCATACGTAGGTTTTGGCGTTGAGGCGTGCAGAAAGCCCGAGCCCACTCCGATTTCCGGCTCAAGCTGCGCAGAGATTTCATCAGATTAGATGAAGCGAATCAGATAACTTCCCCGCCAAGCTGCCATGTGCCCGTCATCCCACGGCTGACGCAGCAACCGGCGCAACAGTCCAGGCAATTCAGGGTAAGCGTTGCGGGGACTCTCAGAAAATTCTGCCTGCACTATGACCGACCACACCAGCGTCAAGCCGCTTTCTGCAGTTCTCACTCCGGCGTTCTTATCAGATCCGGCTTGAAGAATCTGATTAGATGGACGATCCTTACTCGGAGCCTTAATGCCTGCTCTCGAGTCGCAATAGTGGATGGCATACGCCATCTTGGACGGGCCGCAAGGTTCTAATTACGAGTGGGCATCGAACCATCCTCTCACGAGCGTTGCAGGTCCCTCCATCGACATGGGTTCCTCAGGCGCAGGAGCGGAGCTTGGTGTCTTCTTGGTGCAGGAACAGAAATAGTGGATGTCGTTGACTTTTTTCTAATAACTTAGTAACAGTACGTTCCACGAGCTGTCAGTCTCTCCGTTGTACAGAAAGTTGCTGCTTCCTTCCCCTATCAGAATCTGTTGTTGTGGGTGAGTATTTCACATGTTCCTTTCGTGCGCCTTCCCCAAATGTAGTGTAAGACGTCATTTGACATTCGAGCATGCCGGCAGACCACTCTGCAGAGCTACTAGCCAGTTCCCTTTGACTTATTACTACGCCGGCGCATGTCGATGGAGATGTATATTGTTTGCAACGAAGGGGTGCATTTTCGCAGCAGATTCTGGCTTCTTTTGTTCCCTGACAGGAATTTGCGGTGTTGCGAACGATACACTAACATTTGACCAGAGCGTCTGATCTTTTGAGCCCTGCATTTACCCATAATGAGCCCCCACGCTGAGTTCCCTACCAGCTCGTCTGGCAATCCGACACCAGCTGCACAGAGAGCTTTCGCTGGGTTCACAAATGGTCTGGAGGAGAGCGACTTTCCCGCATTTGAGAACCGATCGAACCTGCGATATACCCCGGAAGATGAGCTGCACGATTTGATCTGCGTAGGCTTTGGACCTGCATCTCTGGCCATCGGTGTTGCGATCCACGATGCGCTCGAAGGAACGGATCCTTCGCTTCAAGACGTCGAAGGTCTGCAGAGCCGGCCACCAAAGGTTGCGTTCCTGGAGAAGCAGTCGCAGTTCGCATGGCATGCAGGCATGCTTTTGCCTGGCGCAAAGATGCAGATCACATTCATGAAGGACATGGCAACCATGAGGAATCCACGTAGCGAGTTCACATTCATCAACTACCTGCACCAGAAGAACCGCCTGGTCGAGTTCGCCAACTTGAACACTTTCCTCCCCGCACGTGTCGAGTACGAAGACTACATGAAGTGGTGTGCAAGCTGGTTTGAGGAGGTCGTTTCGTACTCTCAGGAGGTTATCAAGGTCAACCCTCTGAAGTCCGCCAGTGGCGAGATTACCACCTTCGAGGTCGTTTCCAAGAACCACGTAACAAACAAGATCGAGACACGGAGAACAAAGCACGTAGTCATCGCTGCAGGTGGAAGACCAAACATCACCGCACCGTTCCCCCAGGACCACCCCAAGGTTGTTCACTCCTCGAAGTTCTCCTACATCTCCAAGCAGATTCTCAAGGACCACCAAGCACCCTACAAGGTCGCAGTCGTCGGCAACGGCCAGAGCGCAGCAGAGATCTTTGACTTCCTGCACGCAAACTATCCTAACTCCGAGACACGCCTACTGATCAAGGGCGGAGCGCTGCGACCCAGTGACGACTCACCATTGTACGTCTTCTCACCATCAATCACTCGCTGTCACGTTCATGGCTAAACTCCTCCAGCGTTAATGAAATCTTTAACCCCTCGCGCACCGAAGTTACATACAACCGCGACCCCACCCTCCGCGCCCAAACCCTCACCGAAGACAAGGGCACAAACTATGGCGTCGTACGCATCAACCTCCTTGAACATATCTACGAGACCCTCTATCTACAACGCATTAGGTACGGTAATTCGCGCGAAGCCGAGGAGCAATGGCCACACAACATCCTGCCCTACCGCAGGGTCACGGCCGTCGAAGATAGCCCCATTATTAAGGACGGAATCCGCTTGCACGTTCGCGACCAGAGCCCGCTGTACTTCAGTGAGGTGCCTGGCGCAGGCGAGGAGAAGCAGATTCTCGATGTTGATGCGGTGTTCGTTGCTACCGGGTATCTGAGGAACCTGCACGAGACACTGCTGAAGGACGCTAGACATCTCATGCCTGGCGGCGATCTGAGAGATGCGAAGTGGACGGTGCAGAGGGATTACAGGGTGAACTTTGAGAACAAGGCAGTCAGCAAAGATGCTGGTGTCTGGCTGCAGGGTTGTTGTGAGACGACGCACGGTGTAAGTGCTATTCTTAACCCTACAGTGTTTCCGTCCAGATGCTAACATTGCGCAGTTGAGCGATACCCTTCTTTCTGTTCTTGCAAGCCGTGGTGGAGAGATGGTCAGGGCTATCTTCGAGAAGGCACCCAAGTGGGACAACACTGATGTCCTTGGCGGGTTCCAGGCTCCAAAGCTCTAAGCCACCCTTCTGAACACCTTTGGATTCCTGGCGTCTTTGGCGCACTTCCTTTCTGAGTAGACATTTGTCTGTCGTTTGTAGCTGGCAGCGTGTTTGTAGCGATTGCGATATCTGTAAGGAACATTTCTCACCCATTCTTCACCCACTTCTGTGCATCAGGCATCCAGACCCTGTGAACTGACGCCAGGACCTGGTTTGCTGGAACTGCAGCCATGCACTCACACGTCATTGCTCTCGTATCTTTCGCAGCTTCGCCAATAGACTTACTGCAGTGGGCACAGAATCATCTCTGAAATTCTCTTTGAAATCCAGGGTGGTGCAACACGTCGAGAAGGGACCCTCATTTCGCAGCTGCGTCGCTCTTTCCCCGTCTGCGCCTAGACAACGACCCAACTGGAAAAAACGGCTCGAAGCCCACGCAACCAGCCCAAAACAAGCTCTCAGCAGACGGCAAGAGCAACCGGATGAGGCTACCATTACCAATTGCAAAGCCAAATATCGAGTCTTAGCATAGCAAATTGAAGCATGATATGAGTGCCGTGAGCATGAAACGGGCGCAGGGTTGCGTCGATGTGGAGAGAGCTGCGTCAATGTGACTAGGCCCAATCACACGAAAGCGCAGCCCAGTGTCCAAAGTTCACGAACCCAACCTCCACGCTGACCCAAAGCCTATCCTTTTGCACCGTTCCCTGTCCTCCTGCAAATCTCGCTCGCCATCTGCTGCAGCGTCTGTCTTGCCCGCCCCTTGCTGCTGCAATCGCGTGAAGCTGCGTCCGCACCCAGCATTCCCCGTGGCTCGCACGTCAACAGCCCCCGCTGAGAGATCTGGACGTGCACGCATCGCCAGATAGCCAGCCAGGCCCGTGTCGAATCCCACCGCTGCACGCCTGCGCGCATTCGTGCTCGCCCGCCGGTGTTGTCATCATCTGCGGTCCGCGCTGCAGCGCAGTGCCCCTCACAGGAGTTGTCTGGTACCGCGACACAGCACTGCAATTCGGCATGCAACGGTCGAATTGACTGCGTCACAGCTGAAGCGGCTGCCTCTTGCGACCCTACTCGCACCACCTATACCCTTTCGACACGCACTCGCCCTGCGACATGGATCAGCAGTGGACTGCCTACTCCGAAGCGCCGGATGCCAGCCGCCAGGCGCGGTATGCTCCACATGGGACGGCCCCCTCGCAACATACGCAACGAGACGCCAGTGCGTCCGCGCAACTTAAGCAGAACCCGTACGCATCGCCCTCTGCGCCCTCTCGCTCCAGCACCATTGCGCTGCAATCACCGAGCCAGCCAAGCAGCCGCGGTCCTGGCTTCAACGACAACGACGGCGACGTGAAGATGGAGGATGCCGACCCCTACAAGCCCAAGTACAACACACAACGGCCAAACCACCAGCACCGCCAGTCACAGCAGTTCCTGCAGCAGGAAGAGAGCGCCGCAGCACGCAGATACTCGCCCATGAACATGTCGCCTACATCGCCCTATCCCGGCGGCACGCAGCACGGTGGTCAGAACTATACGAGCTTCACCCCGCAGGCCCAAAGCAACAGCAATCGAGGGAGTCCCACGCGCAACAACCCGTACATGTCGCCGCCGAACAGCTACTACTCTCCTCCATGTACGTTGCGCTCAACATGCCAAGTCCTGTTGTAAGCGCCGGGACGCTAATGAGCAATTGTGTAGCATCACGGCCGAATGCACCCCAGCTGCCGCCCATCCAGTCCAACATGAGCCCCGAGAGCTTTTACCCACAGTCTGCGACCGCGCAACTGAACGCTGTCTACAACAGAGACCAAAGGTCACCACGGACATTGACGAACCCCAATCCCCCGCAATTGCCCTCGATAGGGCGTGGGCCCGTGCCGCAGTTCGAGAAGTGCGCCAACACAGCCGACTTGAAGCCCAAAATCAACGCGCAACCTCCGTTCCGTCGTGCTAACCCAGAGGGTGGATTTATCAGCGTGAGTTGGGTGTCGGGTTAGTGAAGGTCTCGTACTGACAATGTGCCCAAACAGCCTCTCCAAGCGCTGACATGCCACCTGCCTACGACCTACAAGCTGTGTAACACTGGCTTTAACTACCAGGCCACCCGCAACCCGCGTCGAGTCCTCACAAAGCCCAGCAAGGGAGTCAAGAACGATGGGTACGACAACGAGGACAGCGACTACATCCTCTACGTCAACGATATATTGGGATCTGAAGAGTCCGGGCACAAGAACCGGTACCTTATTCTTGACGTGCTGGGCCAAGGAACGTTTGGTCAGGTCGTCAAATGTCAGAACTTGAAGACCCAGGAGGTTGTCGCTGTGAAGGTCATCAAGAACAGAACGGCGTACTTCAACCAGAGTATGATGGAGGTTTCGGTGCTTGACTTGGTATGTTGCGACGAGGCACACTACAACATGCACCATGCTAATAGTGTTCCAGCTGAACAAGCAAATGGACAAGAACGACGACCACCACCTGTTGAGACTGAAAGACACGTTCATTCACAGGCAACATCTGTGTCTCGTGTTCGAATTGCTGAGCGTCAATCTGTACGAGCTGATCAAGCAGAATCAGTTCCGTGGACTGTCGACAACGCTAGTACGTGTCTTTGCACAGCAGTTGATTAACGGTCTTGCTCTGCTCGGCAAAGCGAAATTGATACATTGCGACTTGAAACCGGAAAATATCCTCTTGAAGAAGTAGGTCTTGAACTCATGAGCATGTCCTGCAGGACTGACTGGGAATAGCCTCGAGAGTCCTATCATCAAGATCATCGATTTCGGTTCCGCATGCGACGAGCGACAGACGGTGTACACGTATATCCAGTCACGATTCTACCGATCACCTGAAGTGCTGTTAGGTCTACCATACTCAGCAGCGATTGATATGTGGTCATTGGGCTGCATCGTGGTGGAGTTATTCCTTGGTCTGCCCCTATTCCCGGGATCTTCCGAGTACAACCAGGTCTCCAGGATCACAGAGATGCTTGGACTTGCACCACAATGGATGCTGGAGATGGGCAAGCAGTCTGGCGAGTTTTTTGAGAAGAGTCAAGATGAGTACGGACGTAAGAACTACCGACTCAAGTCCATGGAGCAATACTCGAGGGAGCATGGAACAAAGGAGCAGCCCAGCAAGAAGTACTTCTCGGCGACAACGCTGCCGGACATCATTAGGAACTACCCCATGCCGAGGAAAAACATGAAGCCCAATGAGATCGAGCGAGGTACGAAAGAAATTCGACGTCACCCTTGCGAATGCTAACAATCTGTAGAAATGGCTAACCGAGCCGCTTTCATCGATTTCGCACAAGGACTGCTCAATCTCAATCCTCTCGAACGATGGACGCCAGCTCAAGCGAAGCTGCATCCGTTCATCACGCAAGCAAAGTTCACCGGCCCCTTCGTGCCACCGATGACCCTGAAATCTAGCTCGAGTCGCTCTCCAGCCCCTGGTGTACAAGAGCAGCAGCGATTCGAGGGTATGGCCAAGCAGCGTGCTCAGCAGCAACAACAGGCTCTTGCCGCACAACAGGCTCAAGCAGCCCAAAATGCGGCGTATGCAAACATACAGATGAACCAGTACGCTGCACAGAACCCTCACGCACAGCCCAACCCGTATAACAACATGTACGCGCCAAACCACCAAGGTGCACCTCCACCTTACCCTGCGCAGGCAGCACCGTACGGACAGCAGATGCCTGCAATGCAACCACAACAGCCTCGGCAGTACACTCAACCGCAGAACCTGTATGCTCAAGCCACTACGCGGGCTGGGCGGCAACGGGCATCTACCATGGACCAGCAACAGGCCAACCCATCTGGTATTCCACCAGCCCTGCAAAGAGTGATGAGTCACTTGGATCCAAATGCACCAGTCCGGTTACAGCCATCGCCTGCCTACTACCCACCGCCTCCTGAAGGTGCTCCAGAAAGTGCCAGCAGCGCGAGGCGGAGAGGCTCTCGCGCAGGCAACTCACAACGGAACCATAACTTTGTTCGCAATCTCGAAGACCGGACACTAGAGGAGGGCTTCATGCAACAGCCCCACTGGCAATGACGGGAAAAACTTTAGGATGAACATCTTACCTTTACCAGACTAGCATCGAAACGGCAGCCAGCAAGCGATGCAGATGACGATCCTGCAGACTCCAGCATCACTTGGTCTCGGAATCAATTCAACGGGGCAAAACACACTATATCGATACGTCGACGAGGTCGTACTTGCAAGTTCAATTTGTCATCTTGTGTGACTGGTGCCCACGTCTCGTTTCCACTGCCCCTTCATCGACTCCACGGCGGTGTACAGACATTTAAGTATGATTCCGCACAACAGAAATTGCTCTTGGTAGTGGTATTATGAGGCAGGCAGCACACATGACTAGGCAAGCTAGATTGACTCAATAGCCTAGGGTGGCCTCGCCAGAGGATGGTAAGCTGACAAGTTGTTGGATGATACACGGCGGTATGAGTCTTGTATCTCGGTACAGTACGTTATCGAGACATCGCAGAACCCTTCATTGTCTTTCATAGTTGCACGCAGCGAGGGGGCGGCGGATGGCCTGCTGGCGGCATATGTACTTTTACTGCATTCGTATAAATTTGCAACTGCGATGTTGAGCGCAGGTAGTGCCTGCCCAACCAACACCCTGTTTCAAAAATGCACAAGTCGAATAAGAGTTATATTGGCATCGTTCCCTGGTGTGATGCAGTGAATAATATCAGGCGTCGTTTGCGGACGCTGTAGATATAAGTGGGTCCATTCTGATGCCCCGCCCACACAATTTTGACTGTGGCCGCAGTCTTGGCAACAGCGATTTGGTGAGTCGAGGACGTGACCTGCCCCAACACACAACCCACGGCGCCCGCCACCTATACCCCTCGAACCTCCGGCAATCTCTACTCTCGAGTACAGCAGCCATGTCGCGCTTTTTCGCCGCCAGCGACAGCTCCTCGGACGAGTCCAGCGAGGAGGAGCTCTACTCCAACGATGAGGAATCTGAACAGGAAGACTCCGAAATGGACTCTGACGACGACTCTGACGACTCCGATTCGTCGTCCGGATCCGAGACCGGTGCCGCCCGTTTCTTGAAGGACGTCAGCAGCGACAGCGAGAGCGATGATGAGGACGCGAACAAGGTGCTGAAGAGCGCCAAGGACAAGCGCTTCGACGAACTTGAGGCCGTCATCAGGCAGATCGAGAATGCGCAGAGGATCAACGACTGGGCCGTCATCTCAGACCGTACGTGCACCCCGAGAGAATGTAGGAGAGGCAGCAAACCCGCGTTGCGGCAGAAGACAGTGGCGGGGTACAGCGAACAATGCTAACATTGCGGACATACAGAGTTCGACAAGGTGAACCGCCTGGTGCCCACCCTGATCAAGCAGAACGATGGCAAGGTTCCCAAGATGTACATCCAGGCCATCGCCGACCTCGAGACCACCGTCCAGGAGACCCACGAGAAGCAAAAGGTTACCCCGAAGAAGATGACCGCCCCCAACCAGCGTGGTTTTAACGCCATGCGCCAGAAGGTCAAGAAGCACAACCGCGACTACCAGAGGGACATCGACCTGTACAGAGAGAACAAGGAGGAGTTCATGAAGGAGCAGGAGGTTGTCGAGCAGGCACCCAAAGAGAAGAAGAAGAAGGACAAGAGCAAGATCGCCCAGCTCGGCACCGAGACCATCATTGACGCTGGCGACGATGGCTTCGTTACCGTTGGCGCCGGCGGCAAGGCCGTCCAGTACACTGCAGAGGGTATCCTCAAGCAGCTGCGGTCGATCGTCGAGCAGCGTGGACGCAAGAACACAGACAAGCTCGAGCAGATCCGCACAATGGAGAAGCTGTTCGATGTCGCGGTCAACGACTACCAGAGAGTCCGCGTTCTCCTGACACTGATCTCCACTCGCTTCGATTTGACATCCGGTACCGCTAGCCACATGCACCAGGAGCAGTGGAAGTTGTGAGTTACGCCAATATACGTGGGAAAGGGTGCCCCCTGCTGACAGTTTCTAGGGCCGACCAGGAGTTCGGCAAGCTTCTCCAGATCCTCGAAGACAGCAACGAGATTGTCGTCATTGAGAACGCTGAGGAGTGGGAGGACGACGAGAAGACACCCGTCATCGAAGAGGGTCAGATCTTCAAGATCCCCGGCAGCGTTGTGTCTTTCGTCGAGAGGCTCGACGATGAGCTCACCCGCTCCCTTCAGCACATCGACCCCCACACAGCCGAGTACGTCGAGCGCCTCACAGACGAGAGTGCGCTGTATGCTCAGCTTGTGCGCACAATGATCTACGTTGAGAGCCTGCAGAAGAAGGAGGACCTTGAGCTTCCCCAAGAGTCGGCTAACCGCGTGGTCATGCGCCGATTGGAGCACGTCTACTTCAAGGTATGCATACATTATCACATTTCCGTTATGTTCCTAACTAATAGTACCAGCCCTCAGCCGTTGTCCAGATTCTCGAGTCCAAGACTTGGGAGGCGATCCCGTCCAACCTCGACTCCACAACCACTCCCCGCTCCTCCACCAACGACACATCCTCCCTCGTCCAGACACTCTGCACATACCTCTTCAGACACAGTGAGGGTATCATCCGCGCAAGGGCAATGCTTTGCCAGATCTACTTCCTGGCTCTGCACGACCAGTACTACCAGGCTCGCGACATGATGCTCATGTCTCACTTGCAGGAGACTATCAGCAACTTTGATGTCAACACCCAGATCCTCTTCAACCGCTCGCTCGTACAAGTTGGTCTCTGCGCATTCCGTGCTGGTCTTGTCTACGAGGCCCAGACTTCGCTGCAGGAGATCTGCGGCAGCAACAGGCAGAAGGAGCTTCTCGCACAGGGTCTTCAGATGCAGCGCTACTCGCAAATCTCGCCTGAGCAAGAACGTCTCGAGCGTCAGCGCCAGCTGCCTTTCCATCTCCACATCAACCTCGAGCTGCTCGAGTGTGTCTACCTGACCTGCTCTATGTTGCTCGAGATCCCTCTCCTCGCACAGCTTGGCTCGTCGCCCGATCTCAGGAAGCGCGTCATCAGCAAGACCTACCGCCGTCTCTTAGAATACCATGAGCGCCAGATCTTCACCGGTCCTCCGGAGAACACTCGCGACCACGTCATGCAGGCCTCGAAGGCGTTGTCCGCTGGCGAGTGGAAGAAGGCCGCCGAGTTCATCAACAGCATCAAGATCTGGGAGCTCATGGCCAACGCAGAGCAGATCAAGGACATGCTGTCCGCGCAGATCCAGGAGGAGGGTCTGAGGACTTACCTCTTCACATACGCGCCGTACTACGACACACTCGCCATCTCCACCCTGGCTGAGATGTTCGAGCTGAGCGAGCGCAAGATCAGCGCTGTCGTCAGCAAGATGATTTCTCACGAGGAGCTCGCTGCTGCCCTCGACCAGGTCAACAGCGCCGTCATCTTCCGCAAGGGCGTCGAGCTGTCCCGCCTCCAGACCCTGGCTCTCAGCCTCTCGGACAAGGCATCTGGCCTCATCGAGTCGAACGAGAAGACGCTCGAGCAGAGGACACAAGGCACAGCCCACGCCTTCGAGCGACAAGGCGGTCGCGGCGGACGCGGTGGCGGTCGTGGAGGACGCGGTGGTCGTGGAGGCGGTGGCGGACCAAGGGGAGGCAGAAATCAGCAGTTCACGGGCGGTGCTTTGGGGCGCGCCATCCAGGCTTAGGATGCTGTTTAGGTTTTCATGGGTGGCGTTTGATCGGGTTCGCTGGCTTTTTGGCGGCCTGTGGTAATGCAATGGCATGATGATTCGACATGAGATGTGGATTGTGGAGATGATCTGTTAGTGCATACCAAGTAGATTACGAATTACATCGGGAAAAGTTCATATGCTCTCCTCTTTTGAAGTTTGAATTCGAATTGAAGTATTGGTTATATATTTCTCTCTTGAGCGTCGAACTTCTTCAAACTCTATAATTCTCACTGGAGATGGTAGCCTTCAGCCTCGTTTACAAAGTAAATCTCAACGCGCTAGCCGTGATTAGAAACGTGAAGCATCTTTTGCTTTCTCTTAAAAAGACATGGCAGGACAGAGAAACATGGGACAAAAGCCTTCACCATCTCTTGTACTTTTTATAGAACTCAACAGTATAAGTTCATGCAAACAACTGCAACTTTAGGTGTCACTATACCCAGTCCGTAGCGCAAGAACCCGTCTTCTTTCTTCTGGAGCGATTCAGACAGACCATGAGCCTACCAGCTGTGGTTTTTAAAAGACATGGAGTCGAGTAGAATGGACCTTGGGGCAGAACATGAATTCTTTAGCCGTGATCTTCAGACATGGAATGACAGAATACTGACTGCCGGAGAGGGCATGAAGGCGGCTGATGGCATTCTAGACTCGCCAGCAGTATCTGGTGATCTTTTGGTAGATTTCACCACGAGCGAGGACGAAGTGGACAATTTTGATCTGTAGAAGAGAGTATCATTTAGAATTGTGAACATCACGGTTGGGGCTATTCAGACAGGTCATGATTGCAGCGTCGAACGATTTTCATACACGAGGCCGTGCGGGAGAAGCTTTGGACAGACCGTTCGAGGTCTTGCCGGTGCTTTTGGATCCCATGAAGAAGTTGTGTTCTATTCGATACTCACATTTAACTCTTTGACGAAGAGAACAGTCTCAGACCAAGTGACACTTCATACAGCAACTTTGGGTGGGACCTGTAGATTTGGTGGCACAGACACGCGGCAGTGATGAAGATTCCCAACTTTCTTTCACATTACTGTCGTGGTTCGAATAGGCCGTTCCGAAACCACTTGAGTCGTGTCGTATCAAATCCCAATTCCTGCAAAAGGCTTCTACTCAGACAGGTACATGGCGCGTCACGCACGTTTTTTTCAGCACATGAGTGCACCAGACAGTAACTTTGATGTAGTGGGGAAGAGCGGGCGACTGCGGAGCAAGAATGGAGGAAGATGGACAGATCAAAGGAATTAATGGCGTATCGGTACGCTATTTCTACAATTGAACATTCGCAACACTGCTGTCTGGTGATTGCACAGATTCTACACCAAGAAAGAACATGGGGAGAACAGAGAACACGGGAACTTTGCTGGAACATAGGAAGTCGTCAAATATCTTTTGATAAGTAGCGGGCGCAAGTGAAGAGGAAAGAAGTGACGGGGCGCGGATGTTTTGTATCGCTGCGGGGCCGCGATACAAAACGGTCGGCCTTTCTGACCCTCGGGTCCCAAAGGTTGTATACACCGCAACATCCTTCTATAGCAACTGTTGCTTCGCAGGAGGGCGGGAGTAGAGGAGGGGTCTAATAGCTATCTAGATAAAGGGAAAGCACGATGAATGGCATCTGATATATCGAGCTATACCCTGTGTCTGACCTGCTCAAGGCAGTGGTATCATTTAGTATAGCGTTCCTCGATGTCCTCACGAAGCAACAACGAAGCCTCTGCCCGGTCTGAGCACTCGGCCTATCTTCATCCCACCACTGACCTAAGGTATCATGTCGTCTTTCACAAGCAACAACGCGTTATTGTTCCTGTTCACTACCCCATCCTCTAGACCGGAACCCCGACGAACCCAATTCGTGGCTTGCTCCTTGCACCATCTGTCGTCTCCCCACTCCATTGACTTCTCCACTCCCTCTCCTCATTCTTCATTTGCTCAAAGACTTCGCTCTCCTCGGGCTTCATCTCCGCCAGATCCTCATCAGCGAGGTTGGGCAAGCCGTTGGTGCCGACGTCAACGTAATCAGCATCAGGACCGGGGATACCCAAACCCGCGAAAGGCGGTTGCTGGAATATCTTATCAACGATGAGGTACTTGCGTGCGACAATGGGCGGCACGTCTGTTTCTGCTGCGGACACGCGTTCCCAGCGGGCATGCGTAGGTTGTGTGGTTTTGGGGTAGCACATGAGGTTTGTGTGGGGATCGTAGACGCCGTTGGCTAGATTTGCACGGCGCAGGGCGGAGAGGGAGGTGTTAAAGCGGCTGTCGTATGTTAGCATATCGTTCACAACGGCAGTAGAGGGCTGAAGACATACCTCGCGGCCCGACCGTGCTCGAACTGCCAGTTCGCAGACGTGATGTTGACCTTCCGCTTCCCGGGCACAGGCTTGCCGCTGGCCGTCGGTACGCTGGGAACGCCGGTGTGGTAGACGCTACTCGCACCGTGCCATGCGACGTACTGGTTCTTGTTGTATGGCTCGCCGGGTGCAGGGAGACGATCGTTCGGGTCTGCGAGCTCGCCTTCAACGTCGCCTCGTTCGCGCGCAGCAGTCACGTAGTAGTCGTCGATGACGCGCTTGCCGCCGATGATGATGCGGGCGCCGAACTCTCGAAAGACTGAGCGTGCGGTGACGACACCGATTGCACGACCCTTGTACGAGTGTGGGATGATTTCGCGGTCGATGAGGTCGCGCTTCTCGACGTCGTCGATGATGATCTTGTAGAGTTGCATGTGCTTGGTGAAGAACAGATAACTATCCCTGAAACCACAGCAACGCGCGGGCTCAGTAGAAAGCATGTATTGCCGATCTCCTCTGCCCTTGATCGTGAAGATGCGCACACGGTAGTCTCGGCCGCCCTGGAGGTTGCCCATCCTGTCGACTTTCTTCTCGCCTTCTTCGTCTTCGGGCAGATTGACCTCATCGTTGATGACGTCCATCATATTGCCCTCCTTGTCAATCGGCACGCGCGTTGTATGCGACGGTCCACCCTTTGGCGGGCGTCCTCGACCGCCGCCAGCTGGCCGCCCTCGCTTGCGCTTGATAGGTGTGCCGCCCTCTGAGACATTCTCGGGGTCCTGGTTCCAGTCTGGAGGCCTGTTCTTAGGTGGCCGTCCAAGCCGCTTCTTACGCGGGAACTGTTGCACGATTGCTGGCGACGGCGAGCGCTCCGAGGCAACTTCTTCCTCATCGTTCTCTTGTGCTATAGACTCGGCATCCTCCTCCTCTTCTTCCGCTTTGAGGGACTCTGCGCGCAATTCTACGACGTCATCCATGTCTACGTCACTGTCTTGTTGCGGTGTTGCGCTACGCGCAGGCGTGCTGCGACGAGCTGCAGCTCGAGACGGCCGGCCGCGTGCCATTGTAGAGTGAAGGCGCGTTGTAGGCCTAGCGCAGTGTTCGTGGGAGTCGAAGCTGGGCGCAGACTATCGAAGGAGAGATTTGGGTGAGAGTCCTGAAGCGAAAGGCAATTCGGCGGTTTGGTGATATGCATGCCTTGCGACGAGCTTCGCGACTTCCTTCCCCGACGTGTCAAGCCTAGGTCGAAACGGGGATGGTTCATGTCACGTGCGTTTGACAGCCACTGCACTGCGCCAGGTCGTTCTGTCCTCTTGATCAACATGAACATTGGATGATTCTACAGTACTATTGAATCACTGATGAGACAGTTCGTTTTCCTATGTCACTCTCACTCAAAGCGTCCTGGACAAACTACAGCACCGCATACGACATCACGGCGATCTCGCCATGTTGCCATGTAAATAACAGAACAATGCGTGCACTCAAAAGATTTTGTTGCATCTGAGATTCGTGCGAGCTGGGGCTCGACTTCCTGTTTCTTAGGCTTCTCGCATTGTTGGTTCTAGAGACGGATGTTGGCTTCCTCGGCATGTTATGAGCACTTGCTAGCCACAACCAGTACGGCAAGTTCTAGTTAGAATGTCAACAAACAACTGGTACAACGGTAAGAGCGTAAGAGTGGAAAGCCACGTCAGATTCACATTTGCTGTTGCATTTTCCAATGACCACAACCACGTTTCCCCGGCTCACACCAGATCAAGACAGCATCAGTGAGCAAACATGGCTTTTCAACGCCTCAACATCCGTGCGAAAAAGAGCTTCCCTGGACTCTATTCTTTCGAAAATGCGGACACCTGCCACTCCTCCAAGTCTGTACGCCCAAAAACATTGAGAACCTAGCCTAACTTGACAGTAGGAGTACAGCAGCGCAATACGAATCACCTCCCCGCTCGGATGTCCCTAAGGATGTCGAAGACTGCGATCTTGAAGACTTTGGGGCCACTCTTGAGCGCTGTAAGGGTTCTCCAAGTAAAGACAGTCCCTCGAAGCGCAAGAAATTGCTTGGGTCCTTGCGAAGCCTCCGATCTCTGGCAAATCTGCACTCGCCTCCAAGCAAGACCAAACAAATTGAGACGCCGCGCACTCAATCTCCCTCCACGCGTAGAGTGAGTGTTCGTGTCAGCACGATTGGATAGCTCTTCTAACATCTGTAGGATACTAGTGTAACACCACTACCCATATCACCGTCGCTCGCGCTGCTGAACTTTCAGCAGTCGCCACTGGACCAACCCATGTTCGAGCTCAACTTGCATAAGCGTTCGATATCCGGGTCTAGCTTGGAGGTGATGCACTCGTCACCTATGACAGTCCCCGGCTCAGCGAGGCAGATGACCCCATACAACGTCCCTCCTCCTTCGACCGACTTGCCTGCTGGCACGATCCCCGATACGCCTGGTCCGATGCAGAGGGCTTTCAACCGCGATCCTGCGAACCATGTTCCTTGGCAGAATGCTAGTCCAACGCCCTTGGAGAGATATGCTCCCTCCACACCCGTCCTTACGCCCTTGCCAGGCACGAATCTCACTGTGGGAGATCTCGATCCTGAGCTTGTTCCACTACCACCGTCCATCAACTCCTCTTTGGCCCAAATTGGCCAAGGAAATCCCGGCTACTTTGACATCCCAGTCGAAGAGCAGCTACCGATGGACAATGCAGACATGCTTAATGGACTTGCTTGTCTCAAGCTTGCCGAAGACCCTGGCGATACCGGCGACAGTGAAACCAAGGTTTCTCACGACAGCGGTCCGCACACACCTGTCGGTCGATATGGCAACTCCGAGGAGATGAGACGTGAGTATAAAGACGCAAAGCTGCAAGACACCGTATGTACGCAAGGTCATCTAAAACACCAAGCCTTGGAACCTCGCCCGAAGCAGCAAGCCAAAGAGCTGAGCGACACCGTCCGTGCTCCAAATGTTCCCCAGCACCATCAAGTCCTGCCGCTTCGTCCCAAACAGCAAGGTGAAGATCTGCAGGATCGAGTCAGGAAAGACTCTGTCATCAGCAAGGATTGGGAGACAAGCAATGGCGAGCACTCGACAGGCACGATGTCGGAGGACACTGATGCACGCCGCACTCCGAGTCAGTCTTACAAGACAATCCTTCCGGCCGACAGTACAGCTCCTGCCTCTTCAGGACATTGCAAGAGGATGGAAGTTAGGAGCAGTCCTCCTGTCGACTTCGCATACATTGTTTGGGACAGCCCAAACGAGTCCCGTCGAAATGCAGCTCAAGAGAACATATGGGGTCGACACGCTGGTCTCTATGACGGTTCTGGATATGGGGATGATGCCAGCGGGCCAACATCTTGCGAGTCCAATGAGGGTACCAAGGACGTCCACATAGAGTCCGGTCCTCGCTCGATCGAGCCATCAATGACGGCTCTTTCGGCCGACGGAGACCGCTCCGGAAAGGATATCTCCAATCGTCCCTCGAAAGGCGAAGATCCATACCCTGGGTACGTACGGGAGTCTCCGCTCACCGTCCACAAACAGCGCAACTATGAAAGCCTGGAGTCAATATACCATGCGTACGCTTATCCGTTCGGAGAGAGGGTTTCAAGCAGCAGCAACAACAGCACCGGCGGGGACGTACAGCGACCTGCAGCAAAGGAAACTGAGATCAGCTCATGAACTTGGGCACAGGTGTCTTCTCGTCTCATTCTTACAGTCTGTCAGTAGATGGCACTGGATGGTCTGCTTCTTGCATTCAACCCTCATATTGGTGTATCGAAAGCCCAGATGAACAGGACGAACATTGATATTACCTAGCACACGGTAGCTTGAATAGGAATATTTCTCGAATGTCGTGTACCTTTGCAATCTTATCGTTGTGGGTCGAGGTCATCAAACGACCAGCAGATCATTCGAGAAGTGGATGCTCTTGCACGCAAAACTGAGACGATGATCGCATGCATATCCGAGCAATACTGCCGGCTCTAGTATTGACTTTACTGTTTTGATCAGTGATGATATGCAAAGAAACTGTTTGTCGTACGAGGAGTCGCCGTTTCGAGTATGACAAGTGTGCGTGAGTTGCGGGTAGGGCCCGCCAAGGTGCAGCGAGTGAGCCCATATGGCCTGACTTTGTGGGCAGATTCCTATGGATTGGGGGAACATGCTACCGATGGGGCCAGCGACGAAGGATCTTGCCGCTACACGAGTAGATCTTCGATGGGCTGAGGGGAAGTAGACTTCCGGTATGCCGGGATGGCTGGCCGATGGCGGATTATATAGATTGCGTGAGGCGCAACGGTGTAGTTTGGGCGTTTTTCGAGCTTTGACGGCTTTGACGGCTTTGACGGCTTTGACTTGAGCTTCGGCTACTTGCACCCTGCAACGATGTCATCGCCTAGAGTTCCCAACGGTGATACCAACGGTACAACGTTCAAGTCGCCTACATCGCCGCATACGGTTATCTTAGGGAGTGGCATTATTGGACTCAGCGCTGCGTACTTTTTGTGCGAGAGTGGGAATACAAAACCAGAGTCGATATGTCTGGTGGATAGTAGTCCTGAACTGTTCCATTGCGCAAGCGGACTAGCGGCGGGGTTCTGTGCGAAGGACTGTACGTACTCTACAATTGATATGGGATGTGTCATTGAAAGAGCATGATGGCTGATCATGAGACGTAGGGTTCGCACCATCCGTAGCATCACTCGGCACGCTTTCGTTCGGACTGCACAAGACTCTCGCGGATAAATATCAAGGACGACAGACATGGGGATACTCGCAATCAACTGGCATTTCGCTGTCCCAGGACTCCGAGTCTGCTATCTCGGGGTCGGGAGAGGATTGGCTTGAGAACGGGACTAGTCGCGCACAACTCGCCAACCATAACCGACCGTGGGAAGAAGACGTAGCTGGCCCAGAGTGGTTGAGGAGAACAAAAGAGGGCATTATGGAAGTCATCTCGAGAGACGGGACGACGGCGCAAATCGATCCATTTAGGTTCTGCAAGTGGTTGAAGAGTAGTGTTGAGGAGAGGGGTGTAAGGGTGATACATCCAGCGATGGCGACAGAAGTACTACGAGACGCAAAAGGCGTGTTGAGCGGGGTGAGGATTGTGGGAAGTCAGGACAAGCAGTTGCACGACCGTAAGCTTTGTTCTAAGCTTCAATATGAGAACACCATTGACAGGAAGCAGTACCTTGCACACGCCTCCTCATCACCTCCGGCGCCTGGTCGCCCCGCGTCTTCTCGACCCTCTTCCCCAATGCACAAACCCGTATCCCCGTCTCCTCGCTCGCCGGCCACTCGCTACTCGTGCGCAATCCATTCTTCAACCCCCAAGAGCTCGACAAGGAGGTCTGCCACGCAGTGTTTGCAACAGATACACTGGGCTTCTCGCCAGAATGGTTTGCGCGGATAGGCGGCGAGCTGTATCTTGCTGGGCTGAACAGCACGAGTATACCGCTGCCGGATGTGGCGACGGATGTTGTGGCGAGTGAGAAGGCGATTGAGCAACTGAAGAGCTGTGCGAGGGCTATGATGGTGGATAATGGGGCTGGACGGGAGATTGAGGTGCTACGGCAGGGACTGGTAAGTCTGCATTCGAGCTGTGCGCAGTTTCTAGTGTCAGTATGCTAATGTTTGTAGTGTTTTCGTCCTGTAACGTCCAGCGGTCGTCCCCTTGTATCGCGTATACCTGATGAGAAGCTTGGAGGGGTAAAGACGAGGGGTGGAGGAGATGGGGGGGTATTTATAGCAGCAGGGCATGGCGCGTGGGGTATCTCTCATGCGCCAGGTACGGGACTGGTGCTAGCAGAGCTGATGGAGGGACGACCGACAAGTGCAAAGGTCGAGGCATTGCGGCTGCCTTCATGATCGTGTCGTGTTGTTTTTAGGGGATGGTTTAGGAAGCATTGCGTTTGGCGCATCCGGAGCATCTTGTGGGTTTGCATAGCTATGGTTAGACAATCAACTTCAATAATCGATGACATGCACCTTGACCTTTCACCGCTACTGCTAACTACCATTGTAGGGCATTCTGTCCTAATCGTCGTGTGCTCACTTCAGGTACCCGCTGTAATACCCTCCAAAAGATGCGTGTGATCGTCAGGACACTTCACTATGACGCTTATGACGTCATGAACCCACAACGCACTTTGCAAACAGCACGACGATTTCGATGAGTATATAGTATTGAGTAACCCCTCATACACAGACTGCACATTACGATTGTACCTCTACCGCTACAACACTTCCAAACACAACCTCCTTCTAAATCAATCATAATGCCCCGTAACGGAGACGGATCCAGCGACAACGGCCCCATCGAGGGTCAGAACATTGTCCACGGCAACTCTGGCGACGTACGTATCCTCGCAACTCAGCGCTCGAGCGCAATTAATCGCTGACAACCACCAGGCCTCAGCCCAGCCCCAGCACGCCAAGAACAACGTCGCCCCTGCCCCCGAGCTTGAGAAGGGCGCTGGTACGTCTGCTCCCGATCTCGCCAGCCCTGACCAAAGAGCGGGATATGCTTTGGAACGCGTGCTAATAGACGACAGCTATCGAGGGACTCAGTGCCAGTGGTGGCGGCAACAGGGCCGACCAGGCGGAGCCTACTGTTGCGGGCGACGCGCCTAAGAAGGCGTAAATGCTCTCGTTGAAGAGATGAATAACCTCGCGACCCGATTGTTTATTGGGAGAAGGGAGGATGCAAGGAGCGATATCGACGATACTCCTGCAAGCAAGGGATGAAATCCGAGCTACGATAATGAATGAATAATTTCTTGATGCAAGGAATGTGCGATGGTGTGAAGTTGACTCTGTGCACTATGGCTGTTCCACAAAATTGTGGGCTGATACGAACAAGAATCGCCTTCAATAGTATGCTACAATTATTGTTGAGTGAGAGAATTGTGTATCTAATGAGTTGCGGTTGGAGTGATGCGGTCGTGTTCTAGTCATCTTGTTGTCATGCAATTGCTACAAGCATTGGTGATGGTCGCTTCAATGGTCGTGGTTAAGTTATCTACGTCACTGCTGAGTAGAGGGCATTCTTGGTTCTCGGTTACAGTCTGGCACTGGATCAAAGAACGTAGAAACATTATTAGCTCATGGCACACCCAGCACAGCGAGGCAGAAGTTCGTGCGTACACTTGTGCAGAGACCCCTTCTCGTCTGAAGCTTTTCGCCATCCATCGCTGTTGCCGTTACGAAAGATCACAAACCCGCAACAAAGGTTGTAACTATACACTAGAGCCTGTTGCCGTGCTATTCTTAACTTCGTGATAGCGGAGCGAAGCTGATCACCAAACAGTAGTAAGCTGACACCGATCTGTAGTGGGCTCGCATCAGCGCGCATAAGAAGCGGCTTCGCACTCAGCTGTGGCTGGCGCTGTAAACGAGACCCACAGAAACATCTAGAATTGTGAAGTGGAGAGAGCACGATGTCACTGCAGGATGGTATGGAGGTGTTGAGGCGTTGGAGCCGTGAGTCAATTATCAAGGAGAAGACGAAGTGCACAGTGTAAAGAAGATAATGTTTGTGTTGGTGAGAACTTGATTTGTTTGACTACATGAGCACCAGCCCTTGGTGTGCAACTTGCCAAAACGATATCCAGGAGATGTACCAAGTCTCGAGACAATATTGATACACGATCATGACTCCCTGTAACGCCGTGTTAAACCACACCCAACCTGTTCCCTTGCCATCCTCGATGATTGTACACCCTTACGCCGACCTAATTGTCTAAGCCTACAAGACTTCATCAATCGTGAGCTTCGGACGCCACCAAGAGACCCAGTCTCGCTCTTCTCGCTACCAGGCTTGATGGCGTTCTCGAAGCTAGTTGTCTGCTGCGAGAGCCTCGTCGCAACCGAAAGGTGCGCCAGAGGCACTCTGCATGTCAAAGAACTTTGCTTCAAAACCGTCAGGAAGGCCTGAGTAGTCTGAAGTTGAGCCTGGGCCAAAGAAGGCTGTGCCGAAAAAGTCATCGTTGTGAGCCAGGCTAACATTGGGTTCCACTGAATGAGAACCTTCAGGGAACTGGTCGAAGTCGAAGAGGTTGTCGAGGACAACAGGCTTTGTATCGACTGTATGTAGAGGTTGAAGAGAGTAAGATAGGCAAGGATCGCCGCCATGGGGGAGGCCATGCCCGAAATCGACTGACACTGCAGGTCACACAACATCGCAGCAGGATATTGTGTCGAGTCGAATTCGGGGATGGCCTCGAATGTGGAGGCGGGCGTCTCAGGCTGGCAGGACGAATCTCTTGGTGAATCCATCGAGTCCATTGAAATGGGAGAGTATGGAGGCGCCGAGAGAGCCTGCGAGGGGTTGAAGGTATCGACGGTCTCGGTGAAGCTGAAGGTCACGTCGGATGACTCAGCCTTCTCACCAGGGTACTTCTGGTGCCAGTATCTGAGCTCGGCCTCCAGCTTATCAACCCTGTTAGCCTTCTCGCGGAGTGCGTTCATTTCGGCCTCGAGGGCGTCCTTCTGTTGTTGGAGGTGCTCGGTCTCTTGACGCTTACGTTCGCGAGAGTTGTGGGCGGCGAGGCGGTTACGTTTTACACGCTCGATGCGTCGCTGCTCCTTCTCGTCCTCGGTCTTGGCTCGCTTGCGGGGTGGTAGGCTGGTCTTCGGTTCTGGGAGAACTTGGCCCCATGATTTCCTCTTTTTTACCGGTTTGCTCCCTGTTGTCAAGGGTGCCGGTGTTTGTGCGGAGGGCTCTGATGTGTCCATAGAAGATGGTGATGGTGATGGTGTTGTGTATGGGACTTGGAGGTCCTCCATTTTGATGGTGGTGGGGACCGAGTCGATCGATGGTGGGGTCAGAGGACCAGAGGCCATCATTGCTGGTGTGGTCATGGTCTCAGAAAAGAAAGTTGTTGTATCCATCATCCCCGTGATGTCAGAAATTGTCGATGCGTCTTAGTGGACTGCATCTGGAGGGGTGGAGTTGGGTTCAATAAGATTGAGGTGCTGGGAAAACTTGACAGCTGGCCTCACGGGCTGGCTTTATCTAAGAGGCAGCTGCGCCCCTGCAGATTGCGCTTGGCCGGATTGGTAGGATGCCAAGGGTTTTACGCCTTTGCCCAATTTAGTGCCACTAAGTGCTCAATACCGCACCACACAGCGACGCACGCCCTTGGTCCCCTGCTCAGCCCACGACCCACCCGTTTCACTACCGTACGCTTCGGATTCCGCCCGTTCCCCAGAGGGCAAGTCAGGGACTGGTCAGGGGAGACGATGCGTCGAGACCACAACGTGCCTCACGTCCAGCGCTCATTCCTCTGCTGCCGTGCATGTCAAAGCCCTCGCTTGCACGCGTTTGGACGTGTTTCATTTTACTGTGCGCTGTCGAGCAAAAGGCTCATCTCAGCTTCAAACGGACTCGAAGCGCAGCTGCAGCTAGCCCTGAGTCTCTTTGTGACCCACTGTAGCACTGCAGCACTGCGTGGCGATACGAAACAGCGCTGTGTAAGATGTCGTCAGCTTTCCAATCAAGCGCCTCGGAGCATCTCTACCAACTCCCCCTTTTAGCCCTGTGTACAATCACGATGGGTCCGAATTACTGCTGCCTCCAGCTCACCACTGCTCGCGGCGATGTCGCAAGCGCGAGATAGTCAAAGGGACCTTCTCGAAACATCTACGCTCCTTGTTTTAATTTATTTTCACAAGACACTAAGCCTATTTAGCTACAGGACCTCAATATCTCCGCATACTCGAGCAATATATTCTGTTCCGTTATTGCAGCAATCGGCACACAGTAATCTGGGGTAAATATCTGCCGTTTGAAGCACGAGGACAAAAGCATAGAATTACCCAGCGCCGCAAAGTTGTAGCATCACCTGCACACTGGGGGCCATTTGGAACATACGGTACCCGGGCGAGACCCTTGTTTGGCTTTGATGAAGAATGTACAAGACCGAGTCGTGTATCTGTGGTGGAAGCGGGACAGACGGAACCCGGTGGACCGGTGGTTGACATCCATGTACCGCGACAGGTACACAATCAATCCGACGAACACCAGGTCTGGAAATTCTTCTGCCTGAAGCCCAGCATGACCTTTGACGATATGCTATCGCTACGACTTGAAAGAGAAGATTCACCTAGATGATGCAGGATCCGTAACTTCCGTCCGCTGTGTCACCCGTGTTTCTTTGTCAGTCTCACAAGGCAGCAGAATACGGGCCAATCAGATCATCAAAAACGGGGCTGCCTGCACGTTCTCCTCGACCACCACCGCCTTCCTTTGTTCTCGATGGGGACCAACACCACGATGCAATCACTTTACAAGCGGCAAATCAATAGTTCGGAATTGTAAGGGATCGAGAGTTGCAGCTGCCTGCTCTGGCGCTTTCAAGAGACAATGTGTTCTCAACTTCATAAGAGCCTGTAACACTCCGGCAGCAGTGCACCAGCACTCGTGTGCAGTGACGACGCAGATGAGGCATTTGTCGCCCCTGGACGCCGGGGAAGATGGGAGTCGTTGTGCGCTTGTGAGGATGTCAGACCATCTGCCTGTTCCCCACACCTTTCACAGGTGTCTAGAAACACCTTCACCGGACCAGAAGCCATCAGTTCGCTCAACAAAAACATCGCTTGACCGCCATTTAGACGAAATCGTAAAGTTCGAACATCAACAGCAGAAACAAAAAAAACAAAAAAACAAAAAAAAAAAAAAGAAAAACATACAACAGCGGGTATTCGCTAGTGGTCACCCACCTAACTACTAATCCGCCGGTACGTTGCTTAAATAGGGCTGAGCGAACGGGAAGCCTTGTTTTCAACGTCCTATGGTCGTATGTGAAAATGCAACTAAAAACAATAAAGATATACCCATTAGAACTGGTTTCCTCTCAATGCTGCTCAGAAGTTAACATCAACGCTGAAAGAATTAGTACTCGAGTGTAACAGTTGATCCTGGCAGGAATCTCCCCTTAAGCAGCAGTCATCTATTGCCGTTTCAAGCTTGCTCCTTCACTGTTGATGACCTCGAGAGGGATGATTCCTCACTAACCAGCCTCCCACCAACACCACCTGGCAGTGCTGACGACAGTAATCCTAGCCAATCAGCAGCCTATTTTCAAGCAGTGGCAGCGGTTGGTGAGGACAATGATGTAGAAGATGAGGTTATCAAGAACGGTCAAGAAGACGACAACCCAGCTGTGCACATGCCAGCAATGCTTGAGGCAAGAGAAGGAGAGCCAGATGATGAGGATTACCATCTGAACTATTGAGAGCCATCCGGCTGCTCCTCCAGCCATCAACCCAGCCACCTCCATTGCCTCAACAATCAAACCATGAGGCTTCTGATAGCAACATTGACAATGACATTGACGTCCACAATGCTCCACGAGTGAAGTATGAGGCACGTTACAAGGCTGAGAATCGCAAAGCCAAGTACCACGCGCTGTGTCCTGTACGGTCACGAGATTCGCATCGCGCCTCCTTTGACAAACTCAAGTGCACATCCCCCATCAACAACGTTGAAAATCAACACCGCCTACAACCATGCCCTCCCTCAAGAAATTCATCCACAGCAAAGAACTGTCCAACCCCTATGTGAATCGCTACCACCCAGGCCACACCTCGACAAGGACACCGAACCCTGCTGTCTCATCATCCTACTACCCAACATACCCACAGCCAGCAGCGCACTTCCCAACGTACACTGACGCGCATGCAACGAGCCTCACGCTCTCCACGCGTGTACAGCATTACCAAGCATCTCCCCAAGGATCCAGCGACTTTCTCGCGCCGTCCATCACCGCTGCGGCAGTTTGATAGCTCTGCTGCGAGGAGTGGCCAGGGTGTTAGTCATACAGGGTGTGGGAATCCGCAGCCTGCGCCATCTCCACTGCCTGCCTCCGCCCTCCATGGCCATGAACAACCTAACGGTCGCCAACAACCACTCCAAAGCTACCAAGCCGCAAACACTACAGGTGGGGTTTAATCCCTATCCTGAATCGAGGGATACCATGCAGTGGAAGCCGAGAAGTTGGCACACGGGCGAAACAAAGGAGTATCCTTTATGTGACAGGTGGGGATGCGGCGATGGGAATACGCGTACCGCAGGTGCCGCAGGGCAGAGTAGATCATGCGGGGAGTTTCGTGGAAGATGAGATGGAGAGGGAAACGAGACCGACACAATTGGAGGGTCGTGTGTATGCGACGGATGAGCAGCGGATGGTTATACGGTATGATGCCATAGTGCACGAGGAGTGGCGGGAGAGGGAAGAGGAAGAGAGGGCTGCAGCTGCGAGGGCGGCGAGTGCGTAGTTTATGCCGGAGAGGGAGGGGGTACGGGAATTTTATGAGGGTACATGAGGGGTTGGATAGCTTGTTTTCTGCTGGGTGGCTGCTTGCTTGCCTGGGACGCTTTATACCATCTCACTGTTTCGTCAGGTAGAGCTCATAAGAACATGTGGTGAATTAGCGTAATCGAAGAGGATGTGAGGTGAATTCTCCGGGATATGTTGGTAATGAGAGGACACGTTCAGTACTTTGCGGAGAAACTATCAGAACTGTTGTCTTTCGATGAGGAAGACAAGTTGCCTTGATAAGTTGCTTGTGATGTTACAGAGAGTCCTGGACGCTATCGTGGTGCAAAATGCGCGTATCCACTACACAAGTCTGCCGTCGGGAGTTCTTGAGCGGACAATCTCATGCTCAACAGGCTTCGAACGAATGCGCCCCCAGTTCCGGACCAACCTGTCCTTGCGAGAAGCACCGAAAATCAAACCCACATGCGTATTGGACCATTTATCAGTAAATTGATAGCTTCACGTTGTTCAGCTGCATCATCCCTTGTCAGCGCAGACAGGTTTCAAAATCCGTAACCGTAGACGAGAAAGATATTGGAAGACGCCACGTGTTGGGTGCTGCTCAGCTCTTACTTGCAAAGTACAATACTCTTGAACCTGTTCTCAAGCTTTTCGTTTCGGCCATCGTCCCAAATCCCGCGTTTCCTGTAATCATGCCCTCCACATTTCACAACCTTGGTAAAGTATGCAATTTCGTTTTGTTCATGTTGCTCGTGCTTCTTCAACGTGCGTTGCTTGGTTTGCCGTTGGATGTCCAAGGAGGCAGCACTTATTTATGTTTAATGTTGCGGTGTCGGTTGGTCTGTACAGTGTCTGACTATATCCCTGACCACTACCCTGGACTAGTGTGTTACAGGTCAGGTATATAGCCGTCTCCTCCTAGCTAGATAGCAATCCAGCACAGTATTCCATCGACCCGATAGTCCTACGTTATCGTTTACCGTAGCTGTCAGTATTCTACAGCGGTCCACACCGCTACATTATACAATCTTCACGATCGCTTTGGAGACAGGGTCGACCTTGGAAAAGCCAAAAGACCCTCAGAGTTCATACCCTGACGGCACCACCACAGTGCTTGTATCGGGATGGTGTGAGCTTTCGTTGAGAAAGAAGCTGTTTTTGATAGGTCCATCCTCGGGTGGCCCAGATGGAGCTTGCCACGGTGACTTCGAAGTCGGAAAGCCGGCATTATATGAATCGTTGACCAAGTCTACAAGATCCGACGTGAACAGACCGTTCTCTGGTCACTCCAGCCAGTGATGTCTCCATATCTTGGCCATCCGTGACGACAATCGTGAACAGCGCTCTTGAGTAGGTTGACGCCATTTCGTAAATCTGATCTTGCTTGTTGCAAAGGTCATCTTGAATGATGCACATACGATCAACCCGCAAGCAACGTTCGTCCATATCAAAGCAGATTTGAATTGCGTCTTCGACGGGTTTGGGCATCTTTGTTGACACAAGGTCACCCTCTTCCGAACACGCTCGGACTGTTGACACAGTTGTGATCAATCTGGAAGGATACTGAATCTTTCCCAGATATAACTCAGGGCTACAAATTGTGGAAGGGTTGAGATTGATGAGTTTATTGGTCTATCTTTTGAGCTATTGCGAGGATCAATCGGGACTATATAGTAGAAGGGATAGCAGTGAAGGGATGGGGAAGCAAACTGAACTAACCGAATGAGCTGGACAATCAGTGCAACGGACCCCTAGCGAACAATAAGTAATGCGATCAAAGACCAACTAGGAGGCAAGAAACCGGCTTACGTACCACCGTACAAGTACGTTACCCTGGACCCCGATAAAGCCATAGGGGACGAAAAGAATATGTTCGAGACAACACGAGGAACCGCGCTATTCCAATACGACCCCGACCGTGATGGCAGAGGTAAGAGGGCATGGCGTTTGTGGTTGGCAGACACATTTACTACTGTAGATCTAGATTAGCGGTTCTTTAGTCTAGTGTTTTTGCGAAGGCTGTAATCTTAAGCTCGGGTTTGAGAACGTCAGCTCCTATATGCGCGGCATGTGCCGAACCTTCATTGAAGCCAAGTACTGTTTGCCAGCGGCCCATTGCACTGATTGTCCAGCTCATTCGGTTAGCTCGGTTGGCTTCCCACCCCTTCATTTCACTGCTATCCCCTCTACAATGCAGTCTCAACCGATTCCTGAAAATAGCTCAACGGATCAATCAACTCAATTATCTCGACCTTTCCACAAATACCCTTAGTCGGTCTGCACGTGATGTCTCGATTGGGTGTCGGCTAAATTAGACGAGGGTACATAAAGTGAGCAGACCGGTGATCACTCTCCAGACGACGTCTATCACCTGTCGTTACTTGTTCACAATAGGAACGATCACCCGACCTCACTTTGCTGTTTGATCTGTCACATCCAGTTTCGTTCGATTCTTGCGCTATGCCAAAGTACCATGGAAGCACAATTGGCAACAAACAAATCAAGTCAAATCTTCACGAGGATTTGATTGGATTCGACGATAGTTGACGTTATACTGGATCTGGAGGATTTGTTGAGGTTGTATACTTGATTTGTTTGAAGGATTTGGAAGTATATTTGATGCCATATGCTGAAATCTTCTCATTGTACTGTAGTTACTGAGTAGAATCATCCCACTCGCATATGCCGTACAAGCTGTCAACGTCCCTGTCAGACAATGTACTTTCATTAACTGTGAGGGCTCGGCTCGGTTCCACCTGAGCTACACCGACCAAAAAGGTACAGTAACCTAATAGATGTGGGTACTGGGAACCGAACAGTATATACCCGTGACACGGATCCCAATGTCCGACCATCACGTGCTGCCAGTGCCATGTCAAAAGGCGACGAAACATGTGTGGAGCACTGCCCCTCACAACTTTCTCAAATCCTACTACCAGATTATCGTGCTGGCCCCTCAAGATAACCCAAGGATATATCGTCACGATACGCACGCGGCTCTCCTAATACAAGTACTGGCTGTATATATGCCCTCTAAAGGACTGTGCACTATCCTTCCCAGTATGCCCAGCTTGTCCAGAGCTTACGACAGAGTGTCCAATGCTATATTCAAGAGCAAAGACTGGCTAACGAGCGACAGCGCAAAAGACACAGACATAGTGTTGATTGGCGTTGATCTAGACATCCTGAGCGGGATTACAACAAACGGAGCACGACCTCACCTTATGCTTGCTGCTTTTGACCGCCGCAGCGACCTCCAGTACGAAGATGACTTCCTTTGCTCAAGTCTACACGGGAGTTCCCTTGGCTTGGAAGAACATCAGCTTGAGTATCAGCTTGAGCATCTCACCCTTGTCGTAAGCAGGCTAGATGTGCCTGAGGTTCTGGGGCAGGACTTTTGTTACTTGTTCTCTAGTAGGGAGCAAGGATATAAACAAAGTGTTGCTGTTGGAGAGATCCAGAGAAAAAGATTCGAACTTTATGCTCGCAGGACATCTGTTGATGGTCCAATTACTCAGATTCAAAATATTTGACCTACGTTCCTTCTGAACCTGAATCCTCCCACGCAAACCCTGCCCGATAGCTCTGAATCTCCTAGCAGCAACCCTGTGCAGTTTATATTCAGATGTTTTGGGGAATCGAGCTTCTGGACTGGTTGCCTGCCGCTTGTTGATGTTGTGCTGAGCGAAGGATGGAAGAATAACCAGTGGGAGTATACGTTTGAAGGCCTCACTGTTACAATCAGAGAACAACTCCCAAACAAAACTGAACGAACAGGACTACGTGACGAGAGGAGTCGAGGGACTGCAAGACAAGCGACCTGAGCAGTTAGATCGCGTCGGTAACGCTTAGCATGATCAACACTCTTAGTATCGAGCGACTCGAGCAGTTAGGTCGCGTCGGCGATGCTTAGTACGATCAGCACTCTTAGTACCGAGCGACCTGAGCAGCTAAGTCACGAGACGCGCTCGTCAACGAGCGAGCAAGTCCACCGAGCCCCACCGTTCGTCAGTGAGCTCGTCAACGGGCATGACACACGTGAGTGCTTGTTGACAAACGACAGACGATTCGGATAGGTCAGAATCAACTTGCTCGTCAACGAGCGTAGTCGATAGGAAGTATATATCCAGTGGACACGCTGCCCTTATGGCATCGTGTTCAGCCTCGTCAATCAACTTTGTTATTGGAATCTCAACCCCCAGCTTCCGAGCCAGACGGTATACGCTGTACTACTCGTTGCTATCACTCGCTCTCGAACTAAACAGTACCCTCTGTACTACTCATTGCAACCTGTCGCCACGGTCTTTGACTAGACGACAAACCTCTATCACTCCAAGCTTCGCTTAAGTGATAACCCCTGACAGCTTTCTGTACCTCTGCTCATCCCCGAGAACCAATCGAATAGTGCCTACGAGCTTTGCTTAAGGCACGACCTCAACACCTGGCCGCTTGACGCATGTTTTTGGTCAAGTCTGTGAAGGAAGAAGTGTTGTATCTATATTTGCACGTTGACCGTCGTGGAGAGGGCGCGGAGAGCAAGCGGGAGGGAACGTACGACCACGGGAAGGTGAACACCAGCGGAATATCAGTCACAGACCAGAATCCTGTCTCCAGTTTGGTGTTCATGCAACGAAGAAAGAGAGCAAATAGATCTGGGTTAAGCCTAGCCTGGTAGAAGGCGTGGTTACCGAAAACGGGAAGGCGCATAACGGCCTTCTGGAAACGGTGCCATGACGGACGGCGGATCGCACGGGAGAACTTTTCAACGTCCTATGGTCGTATGTGGAAGAGATGTCTCTTTTTATAAAATAAATTCGAGCAAGTTGACAAGATGGCGCAAGAGTATTAATAGAAGCAAAAAGGCAAAAACATACAACAGCAGGTATTCGCTAGTGGTCACCCACCTAACTACTAATCTGCCAGTACGTTGCTTAAATAGGGCTGAGCGAACGGGAAGCCTTGTTTTCAACGTCCTGTGGTCGTATGTGGAAGAGGTGTCTCTTTTCATACAATAGGTTTGAGCGAGTTGACAAGATGGCGTAAGAGTATTAACAGAAGCAAAAAAAGGCAAAAACATACAACAGCGGGTATTCGCTAGTGGTCACCCACCTAACTACTAATCCGCCGGTACGTTGCTTAAATAGGGCTGAGCGAACGGGAAGCCTTGTTTTCAACGTCCTGTGGTCGTATGTGAGAATTCAAGTAAAAATAATAAATATATACCCACCAAAATTGATTCCCTCTCAATGTTGCTGAGAAGTTTACATCAACGCTGGAAGCATTGGTACTCGAGTGTAACAGTCGAACCTGGCAAGGATCTCCCTTTAAGCAGCTCACTATCTCCCAGGAGACCTGTATCATCGTCAAGACATGACAGACCCCATAGTCCACTGTTGTTGACGTCAAATCGCACTTTGATCTTCTCAAGCTGAGAAGGCTGGGTTGGTTTGAGCATGTCGTTCGCAGCTTGGCAGCTTAGATGGTCGGTTTGGGCGCTTTTTAGTATTTCAATTGGGGTTGCGAGTCGCAGGACGGGTATGCGCAGCTTGTGGTGAAGGTGGAGGATCATGATGAGCAGAATTGCTCCGTTGATCAAGATTATCATTGGTGAGACCATTAGAAGCTTGCATCTAGGGGATTGCAACTTCAAAACGTAGGAATAGGAAGCCAAGGTTCTGACATCCCCGTTGTTGAAGTTGTTGCTGTCTCCTAGGATGGACACACTGATGAACGCTTCGATGAAGTTCTCGATGTATGTCATGTTCCACTGGTCGTTGCTCTCATTGACACTAGTTGAAGTAGAGTGTCTGGGAAGTATGGGACCGTATTCATACATAGGTTGTGCACCTTGAATACTAGCTCCATTGGTGACCGGAACTACCGTGAGCAAAGGACGAGTTCGTTCAACGTGTTCTTTGGGTGTTCTATCGGATTCCATCTCGTCTCACCTGAGCCGGACTCAGGCGCTGTGATCTCGCTGTCGGCTAAAGTGTTGATTGCAACCAATGGAGCGCCGTTGGTAACTTCGCCTATTGTCAATATACCTTCGATGAACTCTAGGTCGACATCGCAGGCTACTACAGAAATCTTTTTGATGATCTTGTCGTTGTCCTTTTGAATGGGCAAGTTTGTGCTGATAGACCCTTCAGTGATATCCCTGTTGAGAGCTGCAAACACCAGTGTTGACACCGTACGTGTTGAAGTAAAACTCTTATAGTCGTGAACCCATACAGCCAGTCTTGGCAGACGTAGGACTTTGACGGACTCATCGTGGCGTTCATTCTTCTGGTGCATGGCCGTATCAAAGTAGAATGTGCCATTTTTCAGATTCGGTTTTGGAAGCTGCCATGAACGACAGGTGATGTTTCGATTGAACCTCGTTACCATTACGCTCATATTGCCTCTACTACCCAAAACAGTCCGATCGATGAACATTCGTGGTACTCTTTCAGCAGTGTCGCAGAGTGGCCCCATGACCAGGACGTACAAAGGCTAGCAGAGGTATCTCTAACGGGGGCTGGAGGGTTTTGTTGTTTGAAAGTAGAGCCCATACGACCACAGGGCTGATACTCGCTTTGAAAAGCCACGGAGACGTTCCGCCTTTGATAGACAAACCCGACCAGAGAGGCACCGGAGCGAGGCAACAGCGTGACGATAACAGTGCAAAAAAGCACAATCGTAGAGGCCGCGTTTCTTGCGGCACGCAAAGCAGGGGGGAAGGAGGGGATGGAACCGCGACTGGCTTCCAAGTAGACACCCAGCTGTTTCAGTGTCATAGGACGTTCCGCCAGGAATAACCAGACTGCCGACTCCGAAAATACATGAGCTACATAAGCAAGTGCAGCCATGCCGATCGCGTACATTGCAGTGACCAGAACTTGCACCACCACATAGTTGTTCCTAATCAGTGCTGCATACACAAATACGATCAGCGCAAAAGTCCGTTGCGAAACGGTAGTTGATATCTCATGCCAGTCCGCATAGCCTCTCCTGGATGGTACGTAATATGAGCCAGATTTGCACTTATATACGCGACCGGAGACGTTGCACGAAAAAGCCCAGTCGGGGCAGAGTGGAATCTGCTTGCCTGACCATCCAGCAAACGCTAGTGACCAAAGCCATTCACATCGTCACGTTGTGTTGAACGAAGTTCCGTAGACCACTTCTAGATTGGGATTTCCTGTTGCGTTGGTCATCTGCCGATGTGTAGATGTGAGATCGCATTTTCAAAGTAATGTGGTGGTAAGGCTAGAAGTTTGCGTCTGGCAGCGGAGGGCGACCAGGCTCCCTAAGAACCAAACTCGGTGTATGATACATCGTATGGTGTAGGATACACCGAGCATGTTCGATGTATCATATACCTGCCCTGTGGGTGGCAGTGAGGGAGTAGATAGTAGCGATGAAGGAGTAATCACATGACGTAGGGGATGACAGAAGGGCCCCTGAGTAGGGTACTTCTCTTCCTTCTTTCTAGAGATCAAGCAATCAGGCGATGTGGATGAGGGTCTCGGGTACCTGGAGGAGCGACTGCCTGGCCTCGTGAATTCCGGCGCACACAGCAATGGCGTCAATAGCGTCAGCAACAGTGTGCAAGAGCGTTATAGATGGCTCAAATCGAAATGCATAATCTGTATCATTGGTGTTGGAGATCGACTTCTAGCGTGCGCTGCGCACCCATCCCACAACACCAACACTGTACCCTACGAGTCCTCCGACGCGTTCTCGCTCTCTCTTCGACTCGTCTTGCCATTTGCGCAACTGTCCGACAAGTTCTTCGTCGCGCACAACAACGTCGCCGTGGAGACGCAGGAACACGCTCATCCACGCCTGCACGAGCTCGTAGTCCCTCCTCTCCTGCAGTCTCGCTGTGAGCGCAGTGATGAACGTCCTGAGCTCGGTGTACGGGGCCGTAGTATCCAATGTCCTAATGGCGATATCCGCCGCGCTGGGCGGCAGGCTCGAGAGGTACTGGAGCAGCTTGGTGTGCTCACCGCTCTGCTCAGTCTGTGCAAGCAGCTTTGTAAACTCACTCGTGCTCGTCGCAGCACTCGCCCGGCTCGCCAGCGCACTACTACTTATCCTGCTCCCGGCCTCGCCAGCATCAAGCGGCTTCAGCGCATCGCTCTTCTCGCCCACAGCAGGCAAGAAGAACGGCGCGTGTTCAGGCGCTTTGGGCGCTTCTTTCGGCTTGTTGCGCGCCCGGATCACGTCCAAGTGTAAGAGGGTTTGCCATCTCGACCTGGGCACGAGCGAGAGAGTTGTAATTTTCTCGCTCAACTGGTCCATCACCGGCACCGCCGTAGTATCCTCCTCCTCCTCATCCTCGTCACCCTCCTCTTCCGCCAGCGCAACGATGTTCTCGCCGCCCTCGCCAGACGCCGTGGGCGCAGAGACAGACGCAACGTCCCCCTCGGAAATCTGCCGTGTAGGCACGTGTGTGAACAGCGTTCGGTTCGCCCAGATGTGCACGCCGACCTCGCCCTCCAGACCGGTGGCCAGGAAGTCGCCCGTGGGCGAGAAGGCGATGGTGTTGATGGGTTTGGGCAGGCGCATGGCGTCGATCAAGTGTCCTGTGGGCAGATCCCAGACGCGGACTGTGCTGTCTGAGGACGCGGAGATGATCCAGCGCCCGTCGCTGGAGAATGTGTAGTCGATGGTGGTGATGGGGGTGGAGGTGCGTGTAGCCCAGAGTTCTCGGATGAGCTTGCGGGTTGTGATGTCGAGGATGCGGAGAGAGCCGTCGTCGCAGGAGAGCGCGATGAGGTCGGAGTTGGGGTGGTAGCGCAGAGAGAGGATTTTGACCATGGGATACCAGTCGACTTCGTGGAGGAGGGTGCCGGTTGCGAAGTTCCAGAATTTGATCTTGCCGTCGTCGGAGCACGAGATGAGGGTCCTGTTGAGGTTGTCGATGGCGAGGCCGGTTACGGCAGCTTTGTGCCTGCCCTCGCCCTTTGCAAATGTCCTTGGTGCATCGTCAGTCTCGAAGCCGGTCGATTCTTCCAGTTGGAGCTGGTGCAGCTTGTATTTCTTCGCTTCAGCTGGTGTGAGGCGGGCCGGAAACCTGCGTCGGTGCTGGCCGGACTGCAGGTTGTACATGTCGATAGAGCCACCGGCGGATCCGATCAGGGCAAAGGTGCCGCATGGTGATATGGCAACGCTCTTGACTTCAGTACCATCGCCTGTGTCAAATGCCCACCTTCCTGCTCGCTTGCGGCCCCAAAACCAGGTTCTTGCGGTCTTGTCACCATGGCCGGTGACAATGCTCTCCCAGCCAGTCATGTTGACTTCGCTGGCCTTTTTCGAGTCGCCCTTGACCTTCGACGAGTTGTTCCAGATGCCAGTGACGCCCGGCATTGTGCCCATACCGCCATCGCGGTTGAGCGAGCATGCCATGCAGGTGATGGCCGGGGCTTTCAGGTCTTCCAGCCTAACGTGATGCTTTGAAGTGTCTGAGCTACCGTGGAGCAGACCCATCTTCTTGGCCTTCTTCTGGATCGCACCCTGGCTGAGCTCCGTGCTCTGACCATCTCGTCGCAAACTCCAGCCCCAGAGACTGCGGTCTTTGCTTGCACTGAGCAGCCACTTGCCAGTATCGTCAGAGCCGTCCGAGTTCGAGTGCAGGAAACGCAAAGTCGAGACAGGCGCGGCGTGTCCTCCGCGTTGGTGCAGGATCCGCGGTACAGGCGAGAACGGGGTCTCATCGAAAATCCAGCTTTTGAGCGTGTTGTCGAGACCACTTGATACGATGACTGCCTGGCCAGCCAGAAACTCAATCTTGCTGATGCCACCGCCGACGCCACCACTTGCAGAAGGAGGGGGGCCGTGAGCTCCACGCAGAGTGCCCATCTTGCGGCCGCCGTTGTTCAAGTCCCAGAAAGTGACGTCTCCGCTCTCATGGCTAGCAGTCGCCATCACACCGTCATCGCGACCGTCCTCTCCTGCACCGAGCCCATCCGTCCTGAACGAGATGGAAGTGACGGCGGCTTTCTGTGAGCCACCAGTGTTCAGTCGCAAAGCCTCCTTGTCCGCGCGAATGTCGTGAATAGTGACCGGGCCGGACTCGTAAGCGATAGCGAGGAGCGACAGCGCGGGCGTTGGCTGCATAGCAGTAACGGCGCCGAAGTCGGCCGCGGGTGGCAGGAGCGTGTAGAGCAGCTTGCCGGTGCTGACGTTCCAGATCTCGACCGAGCCGTCCTGCCTGCCTACAAAGATCTTGTTCAGGTATGTGGGCATGTTGGTGATGCAGCCCGAGAGCCTGCTCGAAGACGCGCCCTGCAGAGTGGTGTAGTGCTCCAGCGTGGCCGTCTTCCAGACCTCGACCTTGGTGGCACCGCATCCCACAATCCACTCTCCCATGACTACCAGCCTGGCGATGCTCTCGACGCCTCCCAGCGGCAGCTCAAGCTCGGCCACCTTCTTTCCGCGCTGGAACACCCAGACGCCGCGCTCGACATTGGGCCCAGCGCCGCCCCATGCTGCGAAGACGAGCTTCTTCCATGCCAGTGTCGCGGTCACGTCCTCGGGCGTCTGCGGTCGGGTGATGAAGACGAGGTTCAGTCCGCGCTTGAGGTCGTAGGTCTGCAAGGAGCGTCCGACGGAGGTGGTGATCTGGAACGTCGTCTTGCCGAGTGGGAGCGACGTGAAGGGTACTGCAGTGGGGGAGACCAGTCCGACAGTCTGCAGGGTGGTCAGCTACCGACTCACGCTGAACGCGGAGAAGCTCACTCTGAACGGCGCGAAGATTTTGGACTGGCGCACGAGCGGCGCAGACGTCTCCTTGCCGTCGCCCTGCACTTTCTGGCGCTTCGAGACTGGGCCAGCGGCTGCGGCATTGTGCACTTTGGGGGCCGCCATGGTCAGCGATTCCGCGAGTTGCGACTGTACCGTGGGATGGCGCGTGTTCTGCTGGGAGGCGTGAACCTGCGGGCCCAAAAAAAAGTTCGGCGGAGATGAGATGGGATTAGATTAGATTAGATTAGATGAGATGAGAGGGGACGGGATTAGACTAGATTAGATTAGATTAGATTAGATTAGCTCAGATGGCCCCACACGTCGATCGGCGCAGGGGTTCCGTGACGGGCGGCCGTGAGGATGACGGCCGCGGGCCTGCATTGCACTGGGTTGACAGCGACGACTACATGTCTGCGCTCTCGACGTCTGCTCTCGCGGAACCATCTTGACTCTCTCAACTCGGTGGTTCTTCGTGGGCGGTTACGAGACTGTCCTCCGCTGATCTGCCTTCCTTGTTTGTGATGTACCGCGGGTTGTGCCAATGGCCGCCTGCATCGTGACACGCTACAGCCTGCGGCGTACCGTGTGCCGCGTCGAAGGCCAAATGGCCCAAATGGCCCAAATGGCCCTGGCCCCGGCGGCGCGCTGGCTGCTGGGACAGGGACAGACGTCATGGGCGCAAGGCCGCGCTCGCCTGGAAAAAGCATTGTTTGGCGACTGTTTCCTCAGTAACCCCGCGAGGCCGCAGCGCCAGCGTCGCCATGGAGTCGCATCTGCCGCTGTCGCGCACCACGTCCACCGAGAGCACTCCGTCCGCCATCAGCACCGCGTCATGGCAGCCCTCCAGCGGCAGGAAGGCCCGCGCCAGCGAGCCCCAGGCCGGCGGCGAGAGCATCGAGGTCAAGCTGAGCGCGCTCGGCACTGCAGCGCTCGCCCCTATGCGGCCGGTAGGACTGACTGCGCGGCGGCCGTCGAAGGCGTCGGAGAGCCTCATGGACTACTTTGGCAGGAACAGCATGAGCGGGTCTGCAGTCGACGAGGACGTGGACGCAACCCCTCTAGCGGCATCCCGTTACCCGTCTTCCTTGTCGGAAGCTAAGTCGAGGTCTGACGTCGAGGCCGAAAACCGACTCTCGTTCCCTTCGCTGTACAGCATCGGGTCCGCGCTATACGCCAACACCCGGCGCCATTCTAGGAGCGGACGCAGCTCAGTCGTGGGCAGCGAAGCAGACGGTGCGTACAGCCACTGAATCAGTAACTGCTCGCGTGCACCGCAGCTGACCCTCACAGCAAAAATGTCCGAGCCAGCCCCACACAGTACCGGCACTACAGCGACTTCTTCACTGTCGGTGACCACCCAGAGCCAGAATGGATCGCTGGGCCCGAAGGCGTCGCCCGTCCAGCTGCTCTTTCCCCACGACCAGGCCGGCAACCAGCAACACAACCAGCAGCACAGCCAGCAGCACAGCCAGCAGACACCACACCCTGTCCCCTCGCCCACCATCGCCGCATCGCCCCAGGCTCCGCCGCCCCGCCGCTCTCGCAGCCGCACCACCCACAGACGAGTCAGCGGGAGCACCGCCGCCAGCAGCAGCCCCGCCAGCGTCGGCATGAGGGAGCCCAAGAAGCCCATGAAGGGCATCATCGGCGTCTGCGCCCTCGAGTCCAAGGCGCGCAGCAAGCCCGCGCGCAACATCTTCGGCAAGCTCGTCGACGACTTCGAGGTCAAGATCTTCGGCGACAAAATCATCCTTGACGAGGAGGTCGAGAACTGGCCGGTGTGCGACTTCCTCATCTCCTTCTTCTCAGATGGCTTCCCTCTCGACAAGGCGATTGCGTACGTGCGTCTGCGCAAGCCCTTCTGCGTGAACGACTTGCCCATGCAACAGGTGCTGTGGGACCGCCGATTGTGTCTCTCCATCCTCGACAAGCTGAACGTGCCCACGCCGAAGCGCATCGACGTCAATCGAGATGGTGGGCCCAGGCTGCCTTCCGCAGAGTTCGCCAAGCAGCTGTATGAACGGACGGGAGTCAGTCTCGTGGGCGCAAGCGAGGGCACGGGTGGAGGCCTTCCGCCGCCAAAGAAGATTGAGATGATGGACAACGGCGACACCATCTTCGTCGACGGCCAGACACTAACCAAGCCCTTCGTCGAGAAGCCCGTGAGCGGCGAGGACCACAACATCCACATCTACTTCCACAGCAAGGATGGCGGCGGTGGCCGAAGACTGTTCAGAAAGATCAACAACAAAAGCTCCGAGAAGGATGAGACCCTGTTGACACCCAGGTCCATCACCGAACCTGATGCCAGCTACATCTACGAGCAGTTCTTGCAAGTAGAGAACGCTGAAGACGTCAAGGCGTACACGGTCGGGCCAAACTTCTGCCACGCGGAAACGCGAAAGTCGCCAGTCGTGGATGGCCTTGTTAAGCGCAACCCGAGTGGTAAGGAAGTTCGTTACGTGACCACGCTCAGCGAGACAGAAGCAGCCATAGCATCCAAGATCTCAGAAGGCTTCGGTCAGCGTGTCTGCGGGTTCGACCTGCTGCGCGCCGGCGACAAGAGCTACGTTATCGACGTCAACGGCTGGAGCTTCGTGAAAGACAACGGCGACTACTACGACAAGGCAGCAAACATCCTCCGAGACATGTTCCTGAACGAGATCTCACGAAAACAACAACGCAAGGACGCCGCCCAGAGTGCCGCCATCGACGGACAAGGAGGATCAGACAAGGGTGATTCAAGAAAGAGCGTGTCAAGCCATCGTCAGGCGTTGAAGGGGTTGTTCAAGAGTCCTAGTATGTCAAGAATGGGGGATCACCACCGCCACTCCCACTACCACCTCCCCCATATGCGGCAGGCTAGCACTATGCCTTCCTCCCCTGAGACTTTGCTAAGTACCACTCCTATCGCAGCTAGTCCTAGTCTCGAGAAGTCCGATCCCACAGCTGTGTCCAGCCCGCCGGCAGTTGGTACGATACCGCCGGCACCCGCCTTCGAGCCAGACCTCTTGCCTCCGCCGGCCGTCCGCGACGAAGAAGCCGTGCTCGAGCCAGAGCGATCGCATGCTGGAGATCACCAGAGTCCCGTACCTCCGCCAGCATCGAAAGCGCAATGGAAGCTCAAGGGTGTTGTGTCTGTTATTCGACACGCCGACCGTACACCGAAGCAGAAGTTCAAGTACACGTTCCACGCGCAGCCGTTCGTGGATCTGCTCAAGGGGCATCAGGCTGAGGTGTTGCTGATTGGTGAGCCGGCACTGCAGAGCGTCAGCGATGCAGTCAAGGTCGCCTTAGACGAGAAGCTGGAGGACCCCAAGAAGCTGCGCGAGCTGCAACTTTACCTCCAGAAGAAGGGCCCTTGGCCTGGTACGAAGGTGCAGATCAAGCCCATGTTCCGTAAGAGGAGGAAGGACGAGCTGCTGCCAGGTGAGACGCTACCGGAAGAGTCACCCGAGAGGCAAAGACAGGGCTCAACATCCAGTGTTGTTCGAGACGGCGGACATGAGAGCAGCAACGAGAATGATCCCGAGCGTCTCAAGAACAGGAGCGATTCCATGTCCGGTGTCACACTGTCTCGTATCACTGCGCAGGACAACAACATGGTGCTCGACAAACTGCAGTTGATCATCAAGTGGGGTGGAGAGCCAACTCACTCGGCCCGCCATCAGACCCAAGACATGGGAGCTAATCTGCGCAACGATCTGCTCCTCATGAATCGCGATGTCCTCGACGATGTGCACATCTTCAGCAGCTCTGAGCGCAGGGTTACCACCAGTGCGCAGATCTTCGGAGCTTCGTTCCTCGAGAAGGACCAGTATCCTGCAGAGCAGATCCACGTTCGCAAGGACCTATTGGATGACTCGAACGCCGCAAAGGACGTCATGGACAAAGTCAAGAAAAGGCTCAAGACCCTGCTTCGCGCTGGCGACAAGGCGCCACCGCAATTTGCCTGGCCAAAGGACGTTGCGGAGCCCTATATCGTCGTGCGGCAGGTCGTCGCTCTCATTAAATTCCATCAGCGAGTGATGAACCACAACTTCAAGAAGATCGAGTCCGAAGCCGTCTCGTCTCTCAACGCTCTTGCCTCGCCACCAGCGGCCGACGGTACACCCGGACAATCAAAGTACACGAATGTCAACCACATTCAGTCACGATGGTGCTGCAACGAAGGCCCCGAACTGTTCAAGGAGCGATGGGAGAAGCTCTTCAAGGAATTCAAGGATGCCGATAAGGTCGATCCTAGTAAGATCTCTGAGCTCTACGACACTATGAAGTTCGACGCTCTCCACAACCGGCCCTTCCTCGAGTGGGTCTTCACTCCAGACGACACCTTCATCGACCAAGATGCGGTCGCGGACGGCTCGAGCTCGAAGCAGAAGACGCCGGAGGAACCACCAACGCCTGAGGCGAAGCCAGAGGCGAAGGAGGGCAGCATCGAGAGGCCTCACGAGCGCGGCAGCATCGCTCGCCGCATGGGCTTCAGACGTCCGTCTGAGATTGCTATGAAGCCCGCCGCACCTCCATCCTACGTCAACGAGTCGTACTTCAAGCTCTACACGGGCATGGGTAACGCTGCTTCCAAGGCGCAGATGGACGCTCGTCTAGTCAAGCTGCGCGAGATGTACCATCTCTGCAAGGTTCTCTTCGACTACATTGGTCCGCAAGAGTACGGCATCGAGTCGGAAGAGAAGCTGGAGATTGGTCTGCTAACCTCGCTACCTCTGCTCAAGGAGATTGTAGGTGACTTGGAGGAGTTGCAGGCAAGCGATACGCCCAAGTGCTTCTTCTACTTCACCAAGGAATCGCACATCTACACGCTCCTCAACTGCATTCTTGAGGGCGGCATCAAAACCAAGATCGAGCGCAACGCCATTCCTGAGCTGGACTACCTCTCGCAGATCAACTTCGAGTTGTACGAGTCTGAGAATGCAAGCACAGACGATGCGCCGCATACGTTCAACTACAGTATTCGCATCACTTTGTCGCCGGGTTGTCACGCGTTCGCGCCGCTGGATGTACAGCTCGACTCCCGCCACATGATCGGCTTCTCGCCCCGCCGCAGTCTGACCGCGCATCAAGATTGGAAAGAGGTCCTGGAGACGTTGCGTGCCAAGTTCCATACGTACGTGCCCTGCCCCCCTTGCCCTTCTCCTTGGCCTGATATTCTGGGCGCATGCTAACATCACGACAGCGTCAAGCTCCCCAAGTCCTTCGTCGCCATCGATCTCTCCGAGAAAGAGGCTTTCGAGCGCAGAGGTAACGGAAACGGTAACGGAAACGGTAACGGAAACGGTAACGGAAACGGCAATGGCAACGGCAATGGCAACGACCAGAAGAAAGAGAATGGCGAGCCTGAGGCCGTTGAAAGAGGCAGGAGTGAGGAGAGGAGGGCGGAGGGTCCAGCAGGCGCAAACGCTGATGTTCCGCCTGTTTCTGAGCTGCCGCCACCGGTACTGGATACTTAGAAGGTGTCTCAAGGGCATAATGGCATCGAGGGTGGTGTTTGGACTTATCATGGGGCTGGAAGGCGTTCAAAGATGGTTGCATAGAGGGTAGTGCATTCGTTAGAGTATTGCTACATCGCTTGTGGAAGCTGGGTTGTATCATACACGGTTCATTACGCTACGTTATGCCAATGTACAAATCTCATGGTGTTCTTGCCGAACGCCCTGCTGAATAACACACAATTCACTAACACAATGGCTCTATATTCAAACGCCAAGTAGAATAAATTCGGAGACAATGGCCGCAACTCTCAATACGTCCACCCCAGGCGCTCGTCATGGTCACGCTGGCGGGCGTGCCGACCTCGACCTTGACCTTGACGATAGCCAGGAGGTGCACCACCCAGTTGCGAACAATGGTAGTGCGGAGAAGAGTCGTAGTACTTGGACTCAATGCACCCTTCATAGTTCATTGCCTGCTGATACGCGCGAGGCTTGGCTGGCAGTGGCGGTGGAGTGGTGGGTGCAGTGATGATGATAAGCGGCAAGGCCACTGGCGTCGATGGAGTCGATGGAGACGGAGGAGTTGTCGAAAGACAAGAGCAGGGGGACTGTGGTGTAAGAGGTGGCTTAGGCGACGCCGACGATGGTGGGGAGATAGGAGGTGGAGGGCCAAGGGTGAAGGACTCGCGCAGGCATAAGAGGTCTTCATCGGCGGCCTGAGGTGGTGATGAAGAAGAAGACAGGAGGGGTGGGGAGAAGTCGATCAGGGCACCCATGTGAGCAAAGTTTCGAAGGCTCGATGTTGTTTCCCCAGATTTCGTAGTCTTCCAGCACGGTACCGGTTTGAGATCCGCCTTCCCCATCCTCACGCCACATCACCACCAGTGCTTTCCTAATCCTCGCTTCACAGAACATAACGTTTTTTTTTTTTGGATTGGATTCTGCTCATCATCTCAAACATTACTGTCATTGTCGCTATACTCCAGGCCCCGGTTCAGAACGCGCCTGCCCCGTCTCCGCGCGACAGCACCACTAGCACTTCTTTCATTCTGCCCACGCTGTAGCTGTTGACTCTTTTACCATTCGTCTATATGCTCTGTACAATTTAGACGCCGATAGAGAAGCGAAGCTCCCCTCGCTGTCGCTGTCTCTTCCAAATTTGACCTTGCAAGTTATCAGTAAAGTTTACACTTTTTGTCTCCATATTCCAAACATCCTGAACAGCCATTAGCAAGAGAAGGGTTCTCAAGGTTATCATGTACCATCTACGATCAGGGTCGTGCCCCTGGTACCTCACCCGGGCGTCCACAAATGGTCTCAGTCCACACCCAAATGACTCCACAAACCAGCCGCTGTATGGAGCATCACGCTCAAATCTACCAGCTGGTCAAGCGCATCGTAAGGATAGCGCGATCCATCGTCGTCCAGTGCCAGCATCAAGCGGTACCCATCCAGGAACCCAAATTGCTCCTCTTCGGGGCATGAAGCCGCAGCAGGATTAGCGTGCAACCTCTCCAGCTCGTCAATGTGTTTCTGCGCAGCAAGTAACATACAACAGCCACTACCATAATAACACACTCCGCGTGGTGAACTCCAATCATTCTGCTCCCCGCCGCAAGACCGCTTACGAAGTCTACACACATTCACATGCAAAACCCTGCACGGGTCTCACCCCACAGCGGATTCTCGCACACCACACCAATGGGCAAGCTCAAAGCGTCAAGCCGTGGTTCGTCCTGGAGCACAGCTTCGCTCAGTTCGAGTCGCTGAATCATCAACGGAGGGTTGAAAATTTTGATGAAGCGTATGAACGTGGTGCGCGATTCAAGTCGGGCACTGGTGAGTTTCCAGGAGGCTTTGTGGCTGTGGAGCCGCATCATTCGCGGAAACATACTGCGCTGGAGCAGTTTGAAATGATTTGGCGCGATAGTTTTGGGAGGGCGAAGTTTCGTCAAGGGGTGATGGAGTTGTTTGGATTCAGGAGGTGTTGAGAACTCGCGCTATTCTTGAGAAAGCTTGGAAAGGATTCAGTAAAGCAATAAGTGGAGTTCGTAGAGTTACATTTGGAGCTTGGAGATAGCATGACCGTTACTGCAGGTCATTGGGAGATTTCATGACGTGAACTACAGACGTTTAATGAAGTTTAGAATGTCCGCAATACTGTATTAACGTCAGTTTTGATTGTGTTAAAGCGATCCTCGCGGTCAACCTTCTATAGCCTGTTACACGGGTACGGCTAGAACTTTATACGAGCGTGTGAACTATACTTTCAAGGTGAAGTTTTCAGGCGTGCAGTCAGGTGCGTACAGGTGTGGTTGCCTAAGCGAAAAACAGCGTTCCTCCATACGAGGTACTCGAACAGCAACATCACTTCAATCATTGCTCTCAGTATCAATTTCATTCGAAAACTGCAAAGAGGCTGCACTCTGTAATGATGTGGAAGAAGCTTCGTAGCTTGACGTTCGACAATGATGATCAGGACCTGCAGGAGGAAGGTGTTGCGACGTCAGGGCGCGCTTCTGAAGAACAGTCAACCGCAGAAGCGTGAGAACGCATCAATACGCAACTCTTCAGACATACTGATGTTGATGTAGAAAATCAGATAAGTCGACGATATGTCACTTCCTGCGCCTCCCTACCGAGATCCGCTTGCAAATCTACGCCTACAGTGATATTGCAGGTCACACAATCGAAGTCCTCAATCTTCCCATCATCCAGACATCACGAGCCACGCAATGTTATCGTACTTATAGTACGAACCCCATCGATCACGAACTTGTGTATCGACTCGAGTCCAAGGATGACAATCACTACGGAAAGAAGCCTCAACCTAAACCAACGCGCAACTGGGGGTACTCTGGTCCAGCCATCTGCGTGATGCCCCGGTCAGGGCGGACGAGCCCCTCAGAACTATCAAGCTCGTCCGAGCCAACGAAACGAAAGCGCTGCTTCAGCGTCCACGGCCTGTTCAGCTTGACCAGCGTATGCAGACAGACCCGCGCAGACACACAGTCACTCATCTATGAAGTCAATACTTTCGCCTTCTCGGATGGAAATTACAACTACAGCAGCGCAATCCGCGCATTCACACAGTCTCTCACCGAGCGTGAGGTTTCAGTTATCCATACAATCTACTGGCCACTGATGAACGTTCTTGTTTACCGGCGCAGCTTGCACGGTGTGAGTCTCGAGGAACCTGATCGAGCTTGCGTGGAAGAACTTAGGGCTTTGAAGGGCCTGAAAAGGGTAGTCCTTCGCTACTGTGGATCAGAGTTCAACAACATTGCGGACAAGCATAGTGAATACGAGAAGATGGAACTCGAGGGCTTGCTTGCGGAGAAAGGTGGGTGGGATTATGCAGTTAAGAGGCAGTTCCAGAGGACGCTGGCTGTGAGGGGCATGAAGGCGTTGATTGGGAGGGAGGATGTTGAGGTGGAGTGTGAGAAAACGTGGCGAGCTAATTTCTGAGAAACCTTTGTTGAGAGATAACAGTGACGAGGATGAGTGCTCTCCTACTTACTGTCTACTTATTCTTCTTTTGTTCCAGAGTCGCTATCTGTTCTCTCGGATCATCCGACCTCGATGAGGAATTTTGAACCAACCCGATCGAAGATCTTAGCGCCGTCTGACCAGCCAGTCCATATCTGGTATCTAACTCTTTCGTGTAAGCTGCCTGCTTCTTTGAAAGCCAGACTATAGGTACGGATGGCAGTATCGTGGTACGAGACCCCTATTAGCACGGCGAGTACCTTGCCACAAAATACATTGTCAGATTCATATGTTCCATTTCGAATTTCCCTCAACTTCTTATTGACCCAACAGCGTTCCTCTCTATGTTGACAAACAAAGGAGAGATCTTGGACTCCCCAGGTCTTATCCTCGCGAGAGCTCTCATGCACCGCCCTTGGAGGCAAAGCCTGCCGGATGAGATCTGACCTAAAAGCATCATCGCTAACCGGTTCCGTGGAGATACAGGTGACTTTGGCATCGTGAATGAATCTCTCAGCACCATACACTAGCTCAGGTGTCCAGCTCGATCCGCCCATTTTCGAAGCCCAGGACCACGTTAGGGCTCGGTATGCAGTTGGACGGGTGCATACTTCTTCGCAATACCACAGCAGATCCTTGAGTATAGTGTCCTGCCATAACCCGGCGTAGTAACTGCATCCCCTCTCTTTCTGCATGACTTTTGCAAGGCCTTGGAGAGTTGGGAATATATCACTCTGACAGGAGAGGGCCAGGGTAGTGTATTGAGACACGGTGTCACAGGTCTCCTTGACCAGGTACTGGAATCGTGATACAACATTACCTGTCCCAGTCTTTGATATGCTCTCAAAGCTGTATTGTCAAGCCTCGTGGGCATCTGTCTTTCTCTTAGACAGACAATGCTCAGATCTCCACCGGTTTTGCTTCGAGAAGATTCATGCTGGTCGAATAGGCTCTTCATGTAAACCTGCTCATCTGGACCCCTTGAGTCAGAGACCATGTATCTTCTCATCGTACTGCCCAGTAGTCGACCACTCAGGCGCATACAACCTCCAATTCTCCCACAATTGACCTTACCAGATGTTGATCCCTCTGCCACATACTTCTGCAGCCGAGCCACACCACCTCTCTGGACAGTTCATTAAGATCCTTACCTCTGGTCCAACTGCAACCCTCGTGACATGTATTACAAAGCCGCAACCACCCGCTCTCTACCACGTACCTGTAGATCTTACACGAGTCTCCACCAACACACGAGCTACATACCAGCCTCCCATGTCTGGCAGAAAATTCGCGCCTGACATTGACTCCACCCGATTTGCCAAGCGAATGTATATGTGGCTATGCCGACCCTCCGCCAGCCAGCGCTAACCACTCAACACCACGACAGACGAGTCAGTATATCTCACGATATACGGTGTAGGATTGGGCATAGCGCCAGGCACAGTACGAGCTGATACGACCGAACCTCGGACGAACGATACGGCGAGTTTGACGAGTTCACCGGATATCCAGTCATGGTTTTCCATAGCGTATCGTTTGTTCACGAAGTTTTTCCGGAGGCTTCGTGCTGCGAAGGGTTTTCCGCAGAATCTGCAGCACGTGAGGTTCTTCGCTTCACGCTCGGGGATCTACCAGTTCACGCGTCTGCTGATCAAGAACTTCCAGCACTAGTGTACTGGGAACTTGATCGCGTCCAAATGGTCAGCTGCTCGAGAACTTGCAGCAAATCCTGCCGTAAGTCACTTTTTTCTGCCGGTGGGGCGCGATAGGCTTCCCGCTGCAAGTGTGAGGAGTTTAACAGCCGAGCTTAATCCTGTATTTGACATCCGTCCGTGCGAGTCAGGTACATCGTGAGGCAGCAGCCTTGCGCTCGCTGTTCGCTCTGCTGCAATGAAGAGTTTGCCGAGGTGCGGCTCGGCGCGAGAGCGAAAAAGCGTGCAGGACCCACTCCATTTGCCCGAAATGCAGGTGCAAGGCAGCTGTGTGTTGTCAAAGGTTTTGATTACAGCTGGGATGGAAGCTTGCAGCCTCGCCATTCGCATTTTTGGTGCTGTCAACAAACACTGGACTCTCAACATAACGAGTTGGTCTCGGGAGTTTCGTGCGAACACGCGTTGCCTGACGGCCTTGTTTGCGCGTTCCTTAAAACATGGCGAACTCTAGAACGAGCATTACTGTATGCAGGTTTCGGGAGCACGCGCGATCAGGGTCCTCGATCTGGACAGCCAGCCACAGGATGAAGCATGCTCCCGATCCGGCGCGTGCAGTTTGGGTCAAGGACGTCATGAAACTTTCACTCTGACGTTGCGCGTTATGTTGATGGTCTGAGACGCGTTCGAGATTTGTTGTTGGAGGGCGATGGTGTGGGAAACTGCAATTGAAGGACTTCGGTCATGAAGCGGCAGAACTATTGGAGTGGTGATCATCGAGATAAGATTAAGATGTGGCTGGATGTGGCTGGATGTGGCTGCCCGAGTAGAGCTGTATCCTGACCCTGACTGCCTGAGGCTCAAACGCAGAGCATCAGCATGGATGGCGTCCAACATCAGCAAAGATCTGCTGGCAGAACGAAACACACTGATAGGTTCTCGAGCACATCACTTGAGGACTCCGCGCTCAGCACTGAGCAGCCAGCTGAGTCTGATCATCAGTCGCCTCATTGCAATGTGGAGACCTCCAGACCATTTGGTGCTGTTTGACCCCAGCAGAGATTACGGCTGCCTGAGGACCCATTGCCCCTTTCTGGCGAGTTCAACCACGCAACTCATGTTGATCTTGTGTGGAGATTGTATGGAGAAGTGTTGGCCAGACCGTCAATCTTCGCAGTCAATCACCACAGCGAAAGGAGTGATAGGCACTCACACTGCCAACTCATCAATCACATTGTCGAAACACCGCCTACAACAGCTGCAATTGGAGGACGCTATTTCACCATGGTGGCTGTTGAGTTGAGCCAAGGGGTGCAAACCAGATGCGTACCTGTTTCACGATGATTGTCGGTGAGCGAAACACCATCCCACGCACACGCTTGCCGCGCTCCAACACTCAACACTGCACACCGCATGAAGAAGGAGCGGTGCGAATAGCGTATGGAGTCTTGAGATGAGACATGAAACAATGAGTGGGCTGTCAGCAATGTCAACACTACACTCAACTTGCAGCTTCCAGACTTGTCAACTGAGACGAGAGGGAGACGAGGCGCGGAGGGTCATGCCGGTGTCGCAGTGTGCACGGCTGCAGCGTGGAGAAGAAGGGAGATCAGCACTGTTACTGCCCTCTTCGCATAGACAGCGTGGGGCCGGGAGTCCCTGCTCAGATCTGGTGCCAGATGTGTGAGGGTCATCCAAAAGGCTTTACTGTGGATGTACGGCCATACGACCTCGCAGTCCTCCATCGTATCCCAGGAGCAGGTCGAAACCTGTTGTCTGGTCGCACAGGAGACACTCCTTGCCAATCTTCAGCGCACCAATGACCGTTCGGCCGAGTCTCGACGGAGCGGAAAAGCAACGTGACCGCAACCGTTCGCTCGCGGCATGAATCTGCACCATCCCAACCCCGATCGGAGCCAAGTCAACCCCGACGGGACGACGCAAGCCAGGAAAGCCGAGCAGCACCGGCGACCTGCGTCGAAGCGAGTACGATGGCACACGCAATACGCCCAGGCAGCTCTTCTTGGACGTGACTAGCTCAGTAGTCATCTGGTGATGTGCAGCGTGCAGGTCGGTGGAGCACTTTCGTAAGACACGTCGCAATGCTTCGCATCGAACGGATTGGCAAGGCTTTGTTGTGTGGCAGTAAACTCACCGGAAGTGCACTTTCGTCTGGAAAGAGTTGCGATGGCTGGAGCAGATCTCTCGTGCGCGCGGTGCACAAGATTGCCGCGTGTGCACGCACCGTGTTGGTCGTGACTGCCTGGTGCCGCAAAAGGCAGGGTCTGCCGCACCTCACTAAAAGTCGGTGACGGTCGGTCAGGCAGAATTTTTGCAATTTTTCAATAATGCGATAGATTGCTGTATGAAATTGCAAAATAATTTAGACGAGAGAAAAGAGTAAACAATAATCGGCAATGTGCATGCAAGGCGACGATGTCGCACAGCGTGACCGATGCTTGATGATTTGCTTTTGATTAGCGTGCAGACTGCAGCGATCACAAATGTCACATGAGATAATGAGGCACAAGATGCTTTTTGGTGAAATGATCATGTTGTTTGATAGTTTTAGCTATTGCAAGGGGGAGTCTCAACCAGCCAATATGGGGGAGAACTCATACCGCGCCTTGCGACCAATTTCCCAATCCGTACTCTCGTATAACATTCCGTAGATCTGAGTAGAGTTCGTTCCGTCCGTCTATGCTTCATCGCAGCTGTGCCGCGGTATATGTAAAAAGAAAATAGGTATAATGCTCGAAAATGCCACGCTGGAAGGACTCGCTCGCTAAAATGCTGGATCAAATGCAAAGCCAAATCAGAAGGTCGCCGAAGTAGCCTAGTAACTTGAGATGAGCGGAGCATTTGTGTCCATGAACAGCGGGCGCTCGTCTTCGAGGTAATTCGATTGTGTCTTGCCAGCGTAGAATGTTGTTGTAAGCATGGCCTCCTTCTCGGAGAACTCGAGCGATGCTGTGGGCGGCGATGTGGGTGGTGTGTCGTCCTCGGAGTCTTCTTCGTAGACGAGCTCAGGTGGTGACTGGATTTGCGAGGGAACACGAGTGAGAGTGAGCTCGGCGTCGTCCTCCATGTCGTCATAGTACTCCTCCTCATCCTCGTCCTCGTCGATCTCCATTGTGGAGATCTGGATGGGTGCTTGTGCAATGCGGCGGGGCATAGGGATCATGTCGAAATCATCCTCGCACTCAGACTCGGAGTCAGAATCAGACTCCTCATCCTCCTCAGCGATGCTGTCGGCCCAGTGGATGTGTCGGGGCTCCTCAGTCTTGGAGGCCTTGGTCATGGTCTGGTTGAACCATGCTTCTTGCTGGCGTTCAGCGTCTTGGAGTTCGATCATGAGGCTGTCGAGGAGGTTGGCGTGTCCAACAAGAAGGCGGAGGTCGTGGTCGGCCCTGCAGGCTTCCTTACCCAGCTTAGAGCGAGCAGAGGCGGCGATGTAGTAGGTTTGGGTGAGAGACATCTTTTGCTCCTTCTGGGGCGGCGAGGAGATGAAGTGGGAGGCGGTGGTCTCAGCAGAGAAGGGCTCAAAGTCGCGCTGCAAGCGGAGATGCGATGAGGAAGGCATGTTTGTTATGTGTAGGCAGAAATATATGCCTAAGAAAATGAGTCAGTTTGGTGACTGGAAGGCAAGACAAGGGATTACGAACCTTAATGTGCTAGCCAATAGGTGGAAGGTGATCCGAGCGGTGGTATTCCCGAGATGTATGATGTGATTGTGTAGTCGTCGTGATGATGTACCTGATATGCCAAGTGATTGTTGCTACTTGATGATACTGTTGTTTGATGTTTGATGTGAAGTTGGATTATTGGTGCTCCTAAGAAGTGGGCAAGCGTGTTTCTTATGTTTCTGGCGCTCGGAGAATGACCACGAAGCTTAACGGCATCTCGGAATTATTGGCGTTGTTTCCACTTCCACCGCCCTTGGCCGAGCGGTGAATCATAAGGCAGCAGGGATTGTGCGCTTACGCTACCAACGTGCGCACGCCAGCAAAGCCTTCCACTCGTTTCGACCGATCCAGTGTCCCATCAGCTAGCGCATCCGGGTTCACCGCACCCATGCGCACGGAGAAGAGACGGACATACAGAGCGAACTGTGCCATGGTTCACTCGATTACCCATCACGCTTGCAGCTCTTTTCGCGCTTTGTCGGTGTTTACTCATAACGACGCATTTGGCATGCCATCACCGTCTGCGTGGCTCTGGTTCAGGCACCGGTGAGATTTTCTCCCGTACAATCAATCTGAGTGCGCGTTGTTGTCCTAACAGGTGCTTTCGCGCGAGGTTGGAGAGTGCCTGGCTGCCTGTAGGGATACGCTGGCGTAAGGCTCTCAGCTACAGCCACGGTACTCCACACGCAGAGCGGTCAACCCTTCAATCTGTGGCTGTCAAATGTGTTCGGGCATCGGTTTCCCGCTTACCCTTCTATGGGTTGCAACGTGACCCGCCTAGAAATCCCTTTCTTTGTCCGCTTGGCTCCTGCTCTCTCGCAGCGCGAGGCTGCCGGCCACCGACCGCTGCGACAGCTGAGATGAGCATTCCTACAACTTCCTAAGACTGGGTAGATATTCTCAACGTGAATGGACGACCACAATGGGAGCAATTGCTACTTCTGGGTAGTCTCAGCCATGTGATATCAAATCTCCCCGCGGATGACAAAGTCTCCGCACTCCATCCCGAATGGGAAATTCACGATAGCACCGCTTGGAGGAGTCGGACTAAAACATCACGATAGTTTGGTGGTGCGCATGATCGACAAAGGGTGTAGGTGTTATCACCCCGCGCGGACGAATGACCTTAACCTTGACCTTGACCTGCGATAACCAGCGGGAGTTCGGTGTTCTGAAATTCCTCCTCCCCTCGGATTCCCTGGAAGAGCGAGACAAGGCAGGCCAGACCACGAAGTCTGGTCATCCAGCTTTGCTTCACGTCATGAGTTGAAACCTCAAGATGTCTGCATTCCCCACGTTCACGAGGGACGGGCGCACGCAGGTGTGGCTTGCACGTAACAGAGTCGCTTACCTTCACTCGCTCAGCTGCACATCTGATTGGCGGAGATAGCTCGCTTTGTCAGGAATGCTGAACAATCTCGTCTGACAAACACCTCTGCTAAGCTTGCAGTAGCCTCTACCATAACGTTAACCTTGGAGCCTGATGACTGAAACATGCTGTGACGAGGCTTTCGCGCGTTAGCAATCAATTGCACCATTATTCTGCCATGGGCATCTCGCGTCAAATCAATAGCTCCAATGCTATCGACTCCTGCAAGACGAGGTTTGGCACACTTGGAACTCTCAATACCATCATACGATATTGACAATGCATTCTGCCGCACCTTCTATGCAGATGCTATTTTCGCAGCTTCGACATCATCGCGCAAAAGGGCTGCACCACAGCCGTCGCACCGTCTCCCCGCCCACTCCACAAGTTCACGCCCTCTGGCTAAGCATGCTCAAAGCGGTAAGGCGGCTACCAGCTGCATGCCAAGTTCCTGCTTGAGCGCGCGTTGCACAGCCCTACGGTTCCATCGCGCAGTAAGGACACGAATTAAAGCAGGTGCAGTACGAGTGCATCAGCTCTCCAACGCTCACCGCTGGCTCTGTGCGAGGCTGATTGCTGGGTTAGCAACGCGCACGCCGACAACGGTGGTCGATATGTATGCACACTGCCGCAGTGTAGCGAACGCAATACGATGCAATGCTACCACGCGATTCGACATCGCAACAGGCGCCATAATGAGTCGAAGCTCGCTTACACACTGCTGATTGAATTACGGTGCCAACGCGACAGCCACATCGCTGCTGCGACGAGAGATTACTCACCCTCCACGAAGCAGCATTCCAGTCATGTGTCCCGCACGCAGCACTGCTAAACAACACACACATTGACCGGTTTCTCAGCAGCAAGCACTTGTCAACCCATTCAGAAGCTCAAGCGCACTCGGTGCAGATTCGTGCCCCTGCGCAAATGCCATTTCAACAACGTGTTCTTGTCCTGTCATGGTGCACAGTCAACAGGGTCCGCCGACCTATGCCGTCAATGGCAATCTTCCAGAAGGCCCAACGCTTTGGTTCCTGCACTGACATGCACTGACTAAACACCAGGGTATTCTGCAGCCCTACTGCCCTACGCTCTGACACCTACGCACATTTCACCTGTCATCGCTCGGTCAAAGCTCTGGTACCTGAGGACGTTGCGGCTTTTTCTCGCTTCACTGCTCGAGCGTTCCTAACCAGCTCCACTTGTACCTAAGCTAGTACAACGGGACACGCAAGTACTTGCTTCGTCAGGCACCACTCAGCAGCAAACACTTGATCGCTCACTGTGGGCACTTCTGTTGAGCACACAGACGTTCGCAGTCCTACGTTGCCCTCAACAACAGGCATTAATCCACACCAAAGTCGCCAGCACTTTCTCTTTGTGTAGGTTTCTGCTATCTTCTGAACATGATGCCGAGACATCTCCACTGCCTTCCCTGGAGCTGACTCAGGACAGTCGGCGAGTATCCCTACTGACCTCTGTCACTGAGCTTTGACTCCCGCATGTTGTCTTGCGAAGTTCGCCGACGTGCAGAGCACATCAAAGCGGAACAGCATGGTAGATTCAGACAGCTCCGCACGGTGACTTCAGGGATTAGAACAATTTGACCGAAAGCAAGCAGGTATCATAGTTGCGGAGCAACAAAGTCTCGCCTTGTTCTGGAGACTGACTTGAAAGGTTTGGTCATTGCAGCGCCATTGATCAAAGTTCGAGATGGTAGCGTTACCACATCAGTTACATCTACAACTCCCCGGCTTCAACCAGTTCGTACAAAAGAATTTCCAACAGACTGGAAAAGGTCAGGCATGTGATCGACTTGCTACCTTACACACCTCCGGCAGCACGTGCCTACTAATCATGGGTAACGAACAGCACAAGAAGGTCCAATCGTGCGGTAATTTCAGCCCCTTTTGGACATCGCCCATACCAGATTCGACTCGCTCACTATGGTAATCCGGCTGCCTCGATCAATTGCTGAGGTACGCACTTTCCCCAGGTCCTTTTGCTAGGATAGAGAGTGGTTATGAGCGGAAGCTCGTGAATTGCTACATTCCAATATCAACATTTTGGCACTTCGGCACTCACACTTTGGAGAGTAGGATATGCACAAGTGAATCATGCTGTGGAAACGCGGTGATGTCTCACATCTCCACACAAGATCTTCGTTTATGCCATCGTGTATGCTGGAGCAAGAGCAGGTCCACGTCTCGACAGTTCGACCAGAAAGCCCGAAAAGCATTAGACCGTGACCACAGGGAACATCAGTTCACTGTACACTCTAAGCCCGAAGACCTAGAATTCTGGTCTTGCATCTGTCGAGTTTGGACTGCACTGCGACTCTAACATCGTATGCATGAATCGTGCAATGGTGTACTACTTAGCTCCTTATTTTCGGTCAGCTCTGTGTTGAAAGTGGTTACGGAGTGGAGAAAACTGATGTATTGAGTACTTTGATATTGATATGTGCATTTGGACAACGAAAGAAGCAAATATGGTGTCAAAGCAAAGCATGAGCATGTCGCAATTACTCGAATACTGCGTTGTTGATTCTCCCATTTCATTCGAACTCCCGTTCCGTCCAAGCCTTGTCGTGATCCAACAACCATCCAAAGGTTCGCTCCAAAACAAGTCACTATCTCTTCTGCTTCCAAGCTTCAACTAGCCAGCTATCTTGCACTTGTTTTTTTTTTGACGCCGACGTCAACGCAGGAAAGAACCTTGCCGTGATGGACTGACCGGTCGCATGCTCATCGTAGATCGCGGGCCCTTCCTTCTCGCTACTCGAGTCATACATGTCAACGACATCTGGTACACAAAGGCCCATTTGAGCCCAAAGCCGCCTTGCTCATGCGTCGAGGACTGATGGAATCGAAGGACATCGCTGAACTTGTCGCAAACGATCATGTGCAGTGGTAGTTTGTTATGCTCATTCGATGCAAATGACAATTGAGAGTATTGAACGAAGAAGGCGAAGAGCCACCTCCACAAGATCCTCCTCTTTAGGGCTTTTTGGTCGAGTGCTCCAGATCTTTCTGTTCCTGACTGATTTCATGACAAAGGATCTGACGACCCTATCTGGTTTTGCATTCACGCCGCCATCGCTCGAGTCGATGAACATGAACTTGGTGGGATGTCTCGACTGACTCTTGGGTGCGGGCCGGCCGGTGATGTCGCTGCCTTCATGCCTGTCTTGCGCGAGCATTCGGTTCTGGTGTCAGCGTGCAACAGTAGTGCCGTGGATCTGCAGCTGCAAGGATTGTACATAGAACGCTGGAGTGAAAAGATTGAGTATCGCAATGGGTGAACTGCAGTGGTTCGATGATGCTAAAAAGGAAGTTCATATCGGGTTGGGAATGTTCTTTAACCCGAAGGCCTGGGACTCGATAAACGTCCGCTAACCACGTCGGCAGGCTGTTTCGATGATGAAGGAAGGAGTGGCCGAGCGTCAAGACCTTGACCAGCTGGTCGACCTGCTATAAGCTCGGTATCAGCGAAAAAGCGCTGGTTTGAGAACTAGTCTTAATGCATGAGTGAACGTGCTGGCGCTGGGCCAATCCGATGTGCTCGTCATAGGGAGTGCCATGCATGGATGAGGTACATACTTCATACTTGAGCGGGCCTGAGACATGGTCCGCTGTGTGCAACACACGCAGACGTAACGCCATCCGGAAGCTGCCACAGAGTCGCCGAGAAGTTCGTCACAATATCGAAGATCGGTGATCCGTCATTACGGAGACAAAGCGCGCAAAGAAGGTTATGTGTATGGTGTACCAATATATTTTTGACGTCTGCTATACACCTCTCACTTCTCTACCCACCACGGTCTTCTCATGACAACTACCAAGTTACAATTGTCTCTTCGCGATGCTTGCTGTATGCGGAGGAGAGACAAGGGAATCTGCCATAAGATGTCAGTAAAGATCGACAATCGCAGTGTTGACAAGACCATAGTCATGAAAGCAAATCAGATGAAAGATGAAAAGCATTACGTATTATCCAGCATCAACCCGAAGGCCATAGGCGTTAGCATGGAGTAATTTGTAACATCATGCAAGAGTAGTGAAGGAAAATGATGGTGTACATACCTTGAGCTATGTGTACTGTTGGCGAAACAAGTGCGCGGTGCAGTCAGTTTGAAGCTGTTTAATCTGAATTCATGTCAGTCTTGCGCTTTATGACAAGGAAAGGCTGCTGAGCGTGGACGTGGAAAAGGTATCAGGTAATCGAACTTGTTTTGTTCCCCACTGGTAGGTCGGCATTTGATAGTATATAGGTTGCTCATCATTGAGGAGGGTATAAAGGATGTGCGAGATGTACTAACATATTGAGACCTATCGTAGCTCAGCGACGTCCAACTACCACCGTGATCCAACGGGTCAAGCTTCTATAGACGCGCTCCGCTGAGCTACGAGGAAGGTAAGGCCGAGCGGCGCGGCATGCACGCATCGCAAACGAGATCATCGCTCGATCGAGACGACCGGCGTCATATCTATTGGCACCTTGGAAATGTTAGCGAAAGCTTCTCATGTGCATTTTCGAAACAGATTCCAAGTAGATTGAAAAGTTCAGTCATCTCGTTTGGCTTGAGTGGTCGGATCACCATATTACATGTATGATAGGGGCGACACGTATGTTCCTCATAAAAAGCGTGGAAAGAGCGAGCGGGAGCGTGACTTACCTCATGGCTGTTGTGTTATGCAGAATAAGTTCGCAGCTCGAAGATTTATGAGGGAAACTGCTAGCGGCGGCTAGCCGGCGCCGAGACCTCCGGCGAACCGTGCGCGTCGCTCCTTCCATGCCTAACATAGACGCGCTGAGCTCCAGACTCTGGCTCGACTTGCGCGCCCAACCTTGCGAACGACACCCCTACTGCCGTTCACCCGCTTCGACCATTATCGACCATCATGTCTGACTTCGCCAGCTTCGTCAAGGATTCGCGAGAAAAGAAGAAGAATGAGAATCTCGCGCAGCAATTCTTAGGTTCTCGCGGCCGCCCAGGAACACCAGCATCTGGCTCCGGCGCAAAGCCACGACAGAACTCAGAAAAGCCAACCTTGCTGAGTCGCATAAGCGGCGGTGCCGGTGTTCAGAAGGGTCGCTCATCATCAGCAAAGCCCTCCGGGAACATTGACGGAAAATGGCAACATGACCTGCATAAGGTCAACAATCCCAATGGACCGCCTGCCCGAGCTGCAAAGCTCGGCCGCACAGCTTCTGCCTCACAAATCGACCGCAACAGCCGGACATACGATAAGTTCGCTTCTGTTCTGAACAGCAACGCGAATGGGCGCAGCGACAGTGCGCCTGGGTTCAGTATTAGAGGGGTCGCGAGTACTGGCCCGTTCACAGTCATTGCAAGCAACTTCGCACCTGGGACGACGGCTTCAGATATCGAAGCTGTTATGGCGCCCCACGGAGGAGAGACAGCTGGCTGCAGGATGCTTACTTCGTCTCCTACTGTTATGGTGGAACTCACATTTGCGACAAGAGAGGGAGCTGAGAATGTCATTGCGACTTTCAACAACCAAAAGGTTCGTAGTGTCGGGATGCCGATGTTTGACAAGACTGACACATGTCCAGGCTGACGGGAGGACACTCTACGTATATCTGAAGGAGACAACAACGAGCAACGCCCTTGCCCACTCTCGTCCACCGCCCGCCCGCGCTACTCAAGCTCTCGATGACATGGAGGAAGACGGTACCCGCGGTGGAAGCTTCCAGGATGGGAGATACGGCTTCAGCGAAGGCGGTCGCCGTGACCCACCACGAGGACCCCGCAGACGCTACTAGATGCGCAATAAGCTACACTTCATATTTATGTACTATACCCTGTTACGGACGGCGAAGTTCGAGGACCCTTTTGGAACACCCAGAGATACGAGCAACACGCGGCAATACATGACGATCTTCGATTGCACAAGCAAGGAGTATGGTTGGAAAGAATGTGAGCATATTTTGACTCTTTAGACCGTCATGGAATGAACCATTTACTCCCTTGCAACGATTGTAGATGTGCTCCTGTCAGCACGTGTGATCAAGATGTATGGACTTGTGATGTTAGCGAACTTGGCTCGCTCGCTAGTTAGAAGACGCAGCTGATGTGGCTGTGCGGGCCAATGTCAGCCTGATCTTGCGTGTCTTGATTGCACAGCTACATCTACTTCGATGACACGATACTTGGAGTGTCTCCAAGGTTCTCTATAAAAAGATGGGTAAGCAGGCGAGAACATCGACCAAGCCAGACACGCACCGCGAAGTCCACGAATCACTTTCATCAGGCAACACTTCAAAATGAGAGTACTGGTGCTGCGTCCAGGTAGCGGGAACGACAAAATTCAATGCACTCTGGAAATTCAAGCACTCAAGCGTTTGAAGAACACATACGAGGCTATATCGTATGTGTGGGGTGACCCAAAGCGATACGGTCGAAATCTAATCGCGATGATCTCCTGCCCATGGTTCTTCCGTGTCTGCACAGTTCAGGAGTGTGCACTAGCAAAGGACTGTCAAGTGTATTGGGGAACATACTCTATGAGTATCGCCGATGTATTTGAGTTTGCATTTTGGTGCACCGAGTGCCCTGAGTTGGCAACGTTGATCTGGACCGGTAACCACCATCGCACATTCCGCTTGTTCTACATAATGTTGAGAAACTCTACTAGCATTATGAAAGCAAAAGGTGTTGGCACTCTTCGAGACTAGATTTGATTTATTCTGGAAGCTGGTTGTACAACAATACGCGTTTTGCTTTGGTATTATATGGAGGCCACGTTCTGGACGCAACAGATGCGTGCGACCACGTATATGCTTTCTTCGGAAGCCGATATGCTAGAAACGAGGAGGGAAAGCTATTCCCGTATAGCGCAAGTTTTGCTGCAAGATCTGAGAGAAGGATACTGGTTGCTCACCTGCGTTGAACATGGAACTCGGGAAGACGTCTTCCATCCTGGCGGCAACCCATCTTGGGTCCCAGATTGGAGCATGAAGAAGGCCAAGGAGATGAAGGCAGATCCATATTGCCGCTACGAGGCTGGAGGACCGATTGGCACGTTTGAAGCAGTGCCCCCTGAGTATGGATGTATGGCGATAACTGGTTTTGTTTTTGATACAGTAATTCTCATAAGCCTTCCTCTGGATGATCTCACTAGTCTAAATTCGACAACACCAGATGGGTGTGATTCGATTATCGAGCCTTTTGTGGATTGCTTGTGGAGAGAATTTGCATCACAAGCAAAGCTCCAAGGGGTTGATGTTAATCACGGTGCTTTTCTCCAGACTTTGTTCAAGGGACAACTTGAGTCGAGCTATGAAGGTTACGACGGATTAGGGGATTACGAAGCCTTTCACAAGGTCCTTCTTGGAGAGCCCAAGGAGCGCCAGAATCCAGTACAGAAACACTCACCGGTCGTCAGAACATGATCGCAGGCTGGGCTTCCGCCATGCTCAGGAGAAGCCGGGGCAAAAGCTTGATCCTGACAGAGTACGGAAGGGTGGCACTTGCACAAGGCGAGCCTATTAGAGTTGGCGATGTTTGCTGTATCTTTCTTGGGGCTATGTTTCCCTCCATTTTAGCACCTGTAGACAGTGAGCGGCACAGACTCGTGACCGAATGCTATATCCATGGTGTTATGGGTAGTGAGCTTGTCGACAAGCTTGACGCATACAAGATCGTGCTGAAGTGAAGTGAGGTAGCGGCCAAGTGTAGATTCGATCCATCAGTGTCTTTTCTCGCATTATCTATTTTCCCTCTCCTCCGCTTGATACAAGCTGTACCACAATAAAAATGGCAATGGCCCACCAGTACCTGTAGTAATGTCAGCGTAAAGTCCCCACTGTCGCCCAAGATTATACATACTTCTGCAAGAACGTCTTCTCAGGCTCCTTGCTCTCCAGCTTGCCCTCAGCATTCAGCACGATAGGCTTGTTCAGCACCGGCTTGGGACCCTGGTTCCTCTTCACAATCTCGACTTCGACCTCCTCTCCGCTCCCCTTTGCGCTTGTTCCGAACCCCACGTGGTACGGCTCGCCGTTCTCATCAACGTGCACAATGAACTTCTTGTGGTATTGGTCCGCGAAGCTGGCCGCTGACGTGACGATGCCCCGCCAAGATCCAGTCTTGGGGTCTGTGAGCCCAACGCGAAGGAGGTGTTCTTCAGAGTAGGAGCCAGTCGGTGGTGCATATGAGGTTAATGTGCCAACGGATTGGTCTGCATCGTACTCGATCTGTGCGAGGGGAATTGCCGATGGGATGACTGCGGTGCCTTCCGAGGCAGGGACGGACGAGACATAGAGCGTGACGGTCGATGCGACCGCAAATGGCAGCAGGAGGAGTCTTGCGAGCAACATGTTGGCGGGTGTTGTAATATGGTAGCTCGAATACATGTGCTTGGTGTTTGGGGATGGAGCACTTGGCCAGAGCTGGAGCTCGGCTGACTAACATTCACCAGACCAGCAAGCTCCCCACCAAACTTCGAACATCTTTTCTCCCACGCCATCGCGTCGGCTCGCGTCGCAACGGTGGCTGTCAAGTGTCGGCGATGCCCCGAATACCCACGCGACTACACTCGCTCCAAGAATCGATTTTACCTAGTGGCGTATTTTCCAGCCAACAACACTCGGGGTGCCAAAACAGGTGGATCCGGGGTCTCACGATCTCCACAATTCCCCATTCATTCTGGAAAGCGTCCAGAAAATCACGAGCGCTGGCTTTGGGAACGGCAGCCAGACTCAGTCTTATTGCTGGAAAGCCGAGGATCACTAAGCCCTTCAATTGCCCCGCCCCCACCATGGTCCTGATAGCTATGTGCTCATCACTTAGCCAGAGCTGTAGAATGTTCTCAACACTATCTTAAAGCTCTCAATTCGATTGATTATCCTGACCTTTCCTCCCTTGCTTTTCTTACATACCACATTACAGCTGTACACACATCACAGTGGCAGTTACAATTCCCTTCAGACAGAACTCACGGCAGCCGTCGCGCCAGATGACCGACCCTCGCAACGAGATCCGTCCTCATGTCGACCACTACATCGGTATCGATGTTGGTACAGGCAGCGCCAGAGCCTGTATCATGAATGATCAGGGTGACATCGTTGGATTGGCTTCAGAAAACATTGGCCTCTGGCAGCCACAGACCGGCTACTATGTACTACGACCAGGAACAATGCTCCAAGATACAGAAGCTGATGGCAATAGGAACAATCTACAACAGACATCTGGCGATGCATCTGCTCATCCGTCCGCCGGGCAATGGACCAACACAACATTGACCGAGACTCTATCCGTGGTATTGGCTTCGATGCTACATGCTCGCTCTCCGTCTTCTCAGAGGACACCGATAAGCCCATCTCAGTCACTGGTCCGCACTTCGACAACAGAGACGGTAACGACCGCAACGTCATTCTATGGCTCGACCACCGACCAGTCGAGGAGACTGAGAAGATCAACGCTACCAATCACAACCTTCTCCGCTACGTTGGAGGCAAGATGTCCATCGAGATGGAAATACCCAAGGTTTTGTGGCTGAAGAATAACATGCCGAAGGAGCTTTTCGATCGCTGCAAGTTTTACGATTTGGGCGATGCACTGACACATTTAGCAACCGGAAGTGAAACTCGAAGCTACTGCAGTGTAGTTTGTAAGCAAGGCTTCGTCCCCGTTGGCGTCGATGGAAGTGTAAAGGGTTGGCAGGAAGACTTCCTCAGGAAGATTGGTTTGGAGGATTTGTGCGAGGACAATTTCAAGCGCATGGGAGGTGTTGACAAAGTGGTTTGTCCTGCATCACTAAGCGAACGGGACCTAGCTAACACATGGCAGAATGGACGTTACCTCACTGCTGGTGAGCTTGTCGGAACCCTCAGCGAGAAGGCTGCGGCAGAGATGGGTCTCAATCCAGGCGTTGCTGTTGGCAGCGGTGTCATCGACGCCTATGCTGGCTGGATTGGTACTGTCGGTGCCAAAGTCAAACTTGACGAAGATACTCTCGACATGGACCACGCAAAGAACGACGTCGAGCAGGCGTTCACACGACTGGCCGCAGTTGCAGGAACATCAACCTGCCATCTTGCCATGTCTCGCGACCCAGTCTTCGTACCCGGTGTTTGGGGCCCTTACCGAGATGTCCTGCTACCCGAATACTGGATGGCAGAAGGCGGCCAAAGTGCAACAGGAGAGCTGCTCAAGCACGTCATCGAGACCCATCCTGCATTCAAAGAAGCCTCCTCTGTCGCAGAGACCTTCAACACAAACATCTACGACTACCTGAACGAGCATCTCCACGAGATGGCCAAGCGTGAAAGCGCACCACACATCTCATGGCTCGGTCGCCACTTCTTCTTCTACGGCGACTTGTTTGGCAACCGCTCCCCTATCGCAGACCCCAACATGAAGGGCTCAGTCATCGGGTTGAGCTCTGACAAGAGTCTGGACGGCCTGGCGCTGTACTACTACGCTACACTGGAATTCATCGCGCTGCAGACTCACCAGATCGTATCAACGATGAACGAGTCCGGACACGTCATCTCGTCTATCTTCATGTCTGGCTCGCAATGTCAGAACGGCCTGCTTATGCAGCTCGTCGCTACTGCTTGCGACATGCCCGTCCTGATTCCGAAGTACGTTCACGCTGCTGTCGTACATGGTGCTGCTATGCTTGGTGCGAAGGCGGCGAGCACAGACAAGGACGGCAACAGTGAACCTCTCTGGGATATTATGGACAGGTTCAGTAAGCCTGGTAAGACGGTGAAACCAATTACGGACAAGAACGTCAAGAAGCTATTGGAGGCTAAGTACAAGGTCTTCCTGGAGCAGATTGAGGGGCAACAAAGGTATAGGAGTGAGGTTGATGCTGCGGTTAACGGCTGGACCACAGCGAAGTAAATGAAGGACTCTTCCGCTACGAACAACACATCGACGGCAACCCCATAAATCCAAAGTTCATACCACTTCACTCTTTTGTAACGATGACGTGGAGTTAGCGGTCATTTCTTATCGCCTGATGCGAATTTATCCACCCCTGTATGCACAAGTATCCGTGGAGCTTCGCATAAAGTGTGTCGAAGTACTATACGCGTACCACTCGAGATCAAGCAGACCTGAACTTCAACTTTGGCTGTGTAGATTGCGTGGCCCGCAACTGAAGACATTTTGAGCTTAGCAGCCAGTTACCGCACAATAAGCGCAAACATTCATCATTTGCACATGTCAAATGGTCTGCAAGTTGCTTTGTGGTTCGTGAAGATTCGCTGCGCTGTTTGTGCGGAAGTCGCCACACGTGGCTGTAACGCGCGGGGCGGAGTAGCGACGTCATCAGCCCCGTTCCCTCTTTCCATACGAACACCCCACCAACGCAAACATTCCTTTCTCACTACAAATACCTCTACTGACCTCCTCTAACACCACATCAACAAACACAAAAACTCCTTCACACACCTTTCAAATACACAAATACACAAACACACACTCCATCCACAATGGCTTCCACTGTCCACGTTGAGAACATCAGCACGAAGACGTCTGAGGACGAGATCAAGTCCTTCTTCAGCTTCTGTGGAAAGATCCAGGACATCTCCGTCAAGTCGACTGGTAATGACACGCAGTCTGCATCCGTCACTTTTGAGAAGGCAGCTGCCGCTAAGACCGCACTCCTCCTTGACAGCACACAGCTAGGCCCCAACTCGGTCCACGTCAAGTCCGCACAGTCTGGCGGCGAGTCTACCACCGACAAGTCAGCCGTCGACGACTCCCATGAGGCTGATCACATCTCGCAAGAGCAGAAGCCTCGCGCTCGTATTGTTGCCGAGTACCTTGCTCACGGCTACGCCATCTCCGACAAGGCCATCGAGAGCGCCCTTGCTGCCGACAAGCAGCACGGCTACAGCAACAAGTTCCTTCAGACTCTCCAGAACCTCGACTCCAAGACACAGGCTTCGCAGAAGGCGCAGGTCGTCGACCAGAAGCTTGGTCTCTCCAATAAGGCACTGGGTGCATGGGCTGGCCTGACCAGTTACTTCGACAAGGCTCAGGGCACACCTACCGGCCAGAAGCTGAGGGCCTTCTACGACCAGGGCAACAAGACTGTCATGGATGTCCACAACGAGGCCCGCCACCTGGCCGACCTCAAGAAGGGTCAGAGCGGCAGCGGCAGCAAGCCCACCAAGGAGGAGGCTGATGTTCACGGTGTTGGCGACGACAAGACACAGTGCAACTGCGGTTCCCAAGCTGGCAAGTGCCCATGCCCTGAGGGCCAGTGTGCATGCTCCGGATGCGCAAAGGCTGAGGATGGCGGCAAGCCCAGCGTAGAGGAGGCCAACGTCCACGAGGTCGGTAACGGCAAGACTCAGTGCAACTGTGGCTCCGTGTCTGGCAAGTGCCCCTGCCCCGAGGGCAAGTGCGCTTGCTCAGGTTGCGCGAAGGACACCACTAAGAACGAGAAGGGTGGTCACGCCGGCGACGCCAGCTACGCTGCTGTTGCCGACCCCAAGCAGTAGATTCATATCGGGCTTTGAGGCGTTTGGGCGGTCGATGTTATGAGCGACGATTTCCTTTTCTTTTTGGGCAATTCGTATAAGTATGTGCCATAGCGCCGGCAAAAAGTGGAGTTGGCGGCGATGAACAACGAACGATGAACTGAGATATCCTGTAGCCTAGTACTAAAATTGATGCTTTCACGTTTATATACATATCACTGTCCACTATGGTGCTCAATTAATGTGCTCAATTGGCACAGCCACCCACGGTTAATCGTATTCTCAAGCTTTCGTACTAGGATCTATACCATGTGTGCGAGTATCAATAGATAATCCCATTTTGATCATCTGACTTATCGCACGGCTGCTGATATGTTTGTTCCAAACGACACCGATATCGGCGTGGTGGGCATGCTCATGTTACAGTTGGTGACTTTGTAGACTAAAAGCGGGTGTGACGTCGGCGGGCTTCGAAACACATGCAACAAACCTTGAGCCAAAAAATAATAATGGAAGCAAAGGCAGCAGCAATAATGTGGGAGGCGTCGAGCAAAGGCAGCATGTGCAGCCGGAAATCCGTTAGCTTTGTCTGGAGTTAGTCAGTGATCGCAAACCACAATTGTTTGCCTCTGCGTCATGGTTTCTCTAGACTTCCCCACCACGCGCGTACCTTTTCCCAACTTCACCTGTGAGGTCCTTGTGGAAGCTACCACACCTTGCACAGTAAAACTCGTTCTTTCTGTCTCTAGCGTTCTTTTACTCGCCTTCAGCCTTGACAACGCATAGATAGCGCCCTGCAGCTGTAGCGCCGCAATACTTTCTCAGGCAACACAGCACTCCACCACGAAAACACAGCAACCGCCAAGATGAGCACAGGAGCAAAGAAGAGGATCATGAAGGCAAGCCTCTTGTATGATGTGCTAGGAAAAGCATACTGACAGTACTACAGGAGTATGGCGAGTGCATGGCCGACATGCCTTCAGGCATGAAGATCAACTTTGATGAGCAGAACATGACAAAGTGGGAGGTTCTTATGGATGGTCCTGACCAGTCTGTGTACGCGGTATGTATATGCATATCACGCGCTCACTTGCAGTATGAGGCTAAGCTAACGCTGCACAGGGCGGGCACTTCAAGCTCGAGATTACATTCCCCAACGAATACCCGTTCAAACCGCCAGTCGTTTCGTTCCGCACCAAGATCTACCACCCCAACGTCAGCAACGACGATAAGGGTTCCATGTGCCTGGGTCTGCTGCGTCCCGACGAGTGGAAGCCGCCGAACAAGGTCGTTTCGGTCCTTCGCCTGATTCAGACTCTCCTCATCGAACCAAACCCGGACGACGCTATCGAACCGTCTATTGCCAATGAATACAGGGAGAACCGCAACGAGTTCGAGAAGAATGCGAAGGACTGGATCAAGCGCTATGCGAGGTGAGAAGGACGTCACGCGACCACGACGGGTAGGGCCGCCTGGAGCAACAAGCTCCCAATCGATAGATACACTGCATTTCGGGCGTTTGGCGAAGCTGCGTCAGGCGGCTGGCAAGGGACAGATCGGTGATGGGCGGCGGAAAGAGCAAGCAATGGATCTATATCAACATGGATGGTACATATGATCGCGATATTGGCGAACGAAAATCTCCGAGCCGCTGGCAGTTGGGATGCGGTTGCACGCCCGGGCAGTTGCCCGGGTAAGGAATGCTCGGATTCGTTTTGATAAAAGAAAAACACATTTCACATCTAAGCATGTCGTCATAAGCAAATTTCCTCAGCCGTGGTGTGTACCTTGAAGGGAGTCAGATGAAGAGAACGAAATGAGAGGGCCAGGATGAGCGCTCTACAAGCCCTTCGAGAACACGTAGTGACGTACCAACGGCCAAGTGGAGCATGGCGACCGCGGGAGAACTGGTCGCGGCGACACCCATGTGCTTCTCGAAGTCATGTTCCCTTAAGGCGCTCGGACTGCAGCGCTGGCATTGCTGGCAGGGCCAATCTAACGAGTCAGCTCTGCACCGAAGGACGTCTCAGGAAGCGGACGCAGACGCAGCTGCTAAACACGAGCTGGAGACGATGCAGACCGACTCCCTTGGCCAAACTGCAGTTCTCCGGCAGCCACATGCGGATAGTGATGAAGTAATAAGCATGAAGCGAAGGGTACAGAGGTCGATGTAGCGTTCCCTGCCAATTGGAAACAGCGGACGGGCGGCCAGGATATGCAGGGGCCTCCACTTGCGAGAAACGGTGCCAATGTGCCAATCTCGGTAATGAAGAGTAGCCGCCTGGCTGACTGCAATTGGCTGTATTGGGGCATGCGTGAAGGTCGCGGCTCGAGGATGCTTGCTGGAAGGTGCAGAGCAGTCCAAAACGTCAAGGCAGCGCATGAGCCTCTCACGGCCCACGCCGGACGGGGATGCGGAAGCCGATGGACGATGCACTCGGGCTGCTTGCACGACCAGGCCGGCGGTATTGGTATTCAGGCTCTGCGACGCTGCTCCCTTCACCACCGTCTCCCAGTGGAGTTCATTCTCACACGCAGCCCTAAACAACACGTCGCCCAGCACGCGGCGTGCACATCACGCTCCTTAACCGCCGCACAGCAGAAGCAGCCACTCTAGCCACCCCTTCGCAGCATTCCCTTCGCAGCATTCCTTCACTCGCCAATTCTTACCACCTGATTCTGTGGTCCCGAGCTGTGGCGGTGCCCACCTTGGACTCCCGGACAGTAGTGCAGTGGTCCAGTGCTTTTTGAGGTCCAGACGCACCCACGCCCGAACAGCAGCGAGCACCTCGAGCATCTCACCTGCAGCCTCCCGCAAAGGCTGCCCTCGAATAGCTCGCGTCCGGTCTCTCTCGATAATGCGTTCGCCGCAAGCCACCACGACCGAGCTCCCTACCTTTCCGCTCGAATGAGCACCGCTGCGCGCTACCACGTCCGCCGCTATGGCTGACGCCCTATACCGTGCTGGCACCACCACTACCATCTCCCACTGGACTCTCACCGACGACGTGCCCAGCTCCAGCTTCCCCTACGACACGCCCACCTCGACCCCCTCGCGCCTCCAGTACGTCGCCTACAGGCCCCCGAGCTGCGACACGCCGCCCGCCTCCCCGCCGCCGCGAGACCCTTACATACAGCAGCGAAATGGACTGAGTGCGAAGAGAGGACTGCTGTTGAACATGGACACCGCCGTTTCTCCCGCCTACGAGCGTCGTGCCTACAGCCCTGCTCCCTCCGAGAGCCCCACCCTCCAATCCGTCGCCCTACCTTCCCCCAACTTCCCACCCCCACGACAGCGAGCACCCTCCCTTCTCCGCCATGCCGCCGTGTCCTTGCCCCAGTACGCACAATTGCCCCAGAACGAAGGCCCCACATCATCACCAGTCATGGCCCCCGCGATGCGACGGGATGGCAGTGGGCCCGGCTCTCCAGACCTACGCGCTATCTTCAACCCTCTCGCCAGTAATCCCCCCACATCGAACGGACCACAGTGGAATTCTTCGTCAGAAGACGTATCTGGCTCGATATCGCCCGTGCGAGCACGCGGCTACACCAGCTCGTCACAAGCCTCGTTCAACCCCACGCCGCCATTGCGCTCCGTAACCTCGATACCCGACTACGGTCAGTACCGTAGTGGCGAGCGGTCGAACCTGTCCGGCACATACAAGCCCAACCGTGGAGTGCCGAACTGGTCTCACTCGGACTACTACCCTCCACCACCGATTCGACAGCTGCGAGGCGAGGAGCCCCGTTTCAGCTCGAGGTCAGGCTATACAAACACCTCCTCAAGTGTGATGGAGGCTAGCACAGAAAGAAGCAGCATAGCAACGGCGCGCAGCTCTGTGGCTAGTGACCGTCAGAACAGCATATACTCGAGAGACCAATCGAGGGACCGTCTACGCGACCGCGACGATTCGCCGGAGACAATACAGACTTCGGAGGTTGCTGAAGAGGAGGAAGAGCAGGATCAGTTCAGCGCTGTTGACGATGTTATCGACGCCTACTGCTATGATGAGGACGAGCGAGGCTACTCGATGATGGGCGAGAAAGCACGAGACCCGTCTCCAATGGCTTTGGATCTGGAACCGCCTGAGCTATCACAGACGCCATCTCGCGATATTGAATCGCTGTCCTCATTCCAGTCGTCTGAAAACCTCAAGCAATGGGATAGTTCCCCAGCACCGCCTCTCAATGGCATGATAGCGAAGGCCGGGATGAGAAAGCACCGTCTCTCAATCCGCCCACCATCTGCGACAGATACCTTAGATCAGAGTCTACTTGACGATGATACACAAGGCGGAGCAGAGGGCGAGTTGAAGCCGCATCAAATACCTCCGCTAGCACAGATCAGTCCTTTCCAGGCCCAATACACACCAAGAACGATCGAAGCTGTCACAGCCTTGACAAACAAGAAGATGTCGGATGAAAGGCAACGATCGAGTGAGGAGCTGCCCCGACGGATATCGATGACCCTGCAGGCCCTGTCACTTGGTGCGCCGAGCACACTAGTACAGACCCCGGATGACGGACTGCCCGCTAGGGTACCGAGTGCCAAGCGGGCCCAAATGTCGGAGATTCATCGCGAGATCGCTGCTCTGCCACGACTGCCCATGAACAGGTCGCGTATGTCGCGACGAGATTGGGCCGACATTGAGGCGTACTCGAGAAGGCATTCAAAGAGGCCGAGTGCATCTCGGTTGGCATCGACGGAGTCGGTAGCGAAGGTGGACCCTGCTCTGCAGTCACCACCGCTGCAGAAGTCTCAGCCACTGCCGGAAGTTGATGAGGACGAAGCTATCCCGCGTCGAGCATCGACCAGTGTGTACGACCGAAAGAGTGGGTTTGGGTTGGACTCGTTTTTGAAGCCCACAAAGACCGCCGAGGCAAAGCCCACAGCTGCACCCACACAGAACGTGCAGGCTCCAGGAATTGCGCCAGCAGTGCGGAAGATGGCGAGTCCAGCGGAGCGCGATCGTTATGGATTCAAGAAAGAATCGCTGAACGTCAGCGTACAAGAGCACAATGCCTGGGCGGCGAGATATGAAGAGCATATCAGCAGGCGCCGAAACAAGTGGATAGCGTTGATGACCAAGCAGGGCCTTCCAACGACTGAGCCTACCAAGTTCCCTGAGATGAACGAGAAAGTCAAGCGTTATGCTCGCAAAGGCTATCCTCCGGAGTGGCGTGGAGCTATGTGGTGGTACTACTCTGGCGGCCAGCACACGCTCCAGCAGAAAGAGCATATCGGCTTGTACGCTTCGCTGGCAGCACAAGTCAAACGGGACGAGCTGAACAAGGACGACAAGGATGCGATCGAGCGTGATCTCGACCGCACGTTCCCTGACAACATCCACTTCCGCCCCGAACCAGCGACTGACCTCCTCGATGGAGAGTCTGATGACGAGCCCGCTCTGATCCAAGATCTGCGCGAAGTTCTCTCCTGCTTCGCGCTCAACAACCCGAGCATCGGGTACTGCCAATCGCTCAACTTTATCGCTGGCCTTCTGCTCCTGTTCCTTAAGCAAGACAAGGAGAAGGTCTTCATCCTCCTCACGATCATCACTCAGATTCACCTTCCCGGCGCCCACGCCCGCTCTCTCGCAAATACGGAAGTTAATGTCCTCATGATGCTCATCAAAGACTACCTTCCTAAAGTATGGGCCTCTATCAACGACACTGATCTCATCAACTCCGGCGCTGGCTCTCATGCACACCCAAACTCGAAGTTTCAACGCCAGCCTACCGTAGCCCTGTCTTGCACATCGTGGTTTATGTCCCTCTTCGTCGGTGTCCTTCCTATTGAGACAGTTCTCCGAATCTGGGACGCCTTCTTGTATGAAGGACCCCGGGCGCTCTACCGCTATGCGCTCGCCATCTTTAAGCTTGGCGAGCCTGAGATTAGGAAGTACCGACCGGGTGATGGGGAGTTGTTTATGCTTGTCCAGAATCTGCCCAGGACGTGCATTGATCCGAACATTCTTCACGACTTCGCCTTTGTCAAGAAAGGATTCGGGAGCTTAAGTCAAGGAGTCATTGATCAGAAGAGGCTGTTCTGGCGTGAACAGAACAAAACGATTGCGCATCAGAACTCTGTCAAGAGTGCGCGGCAAAACCAACAAGGCCTTGCGGTGCCAAGTCAGAAACAAGAGGGCGACGAGACAGACGGCGAGAGCGTCCGGCGCACAATGGGCGGTCTCAGAAGAAAGGCCAGCCGGAGATTCAAACGCATGAGAAGTTAATCTCTCCTTCTCTCACCGACGCCACACCATACACTTCCGCAACACAACGCGGTATTTCCTTTTCCTTGTTTCTTATAAGTTCTCATGGCGAGCGGCGTTCAGCATACACCGATATACATACAGGTGGAGGTCAGGCGTACAAAAGGCAGCGAACTTGAGTTCTTGTATAATAATTACCATATACCCCCTTTGTGTGGGATGGGAGGTTACCTAGAGTAGCGGGCGATCGTAAGAAGGGAGAAAGGCCCTAGTAGGAGGCAAGGATGGACATTGGTACCTAATGACACATGACTTGATGACCTCGAGATTAGTTTCACAGCACGTATCTTCTGTTTTGCGTACATGATTTCATGGCGAGGGCTGCACCTGCTGTAATGGCGGACATGTGGGTAGGGATTGCCCGATCAGGACCTAGCTCTGTCTACTCTCAGTAGCTTCGTTCGCTGAACCTCAGGAATGACTCTAACACTTCACTTTGTCAGTTCAAGAGTCCTTGACGCAGCTCACCAGTCTCACCGACAGGCTGTAGACTTACTTGCTGTTCTCGTAGGCTTCACGGAGCGCACCATTTCTGCTTAAAGGATCCGTAACCATGCGCCACGTCAACCCCAAAAGAGCACTTCGCGTTCCTCGTTGGCAGTCTCCAAGCTGACAGAGCAGATTGCAGCAGTGCCTCACTTCTCATGCTTCTTGTCGCAAGGCACAGCCATCGCCTCGTCTGTCTCCAACCTCGATTGTAGAACCTTAACGACAATGCCGTACTCTCACACGTCAACACCAAGCAAGTGGATGTGCTGCGCTCCACCATCTGAAGTATATATCGTCCGTTGGATCTTGCGAACAGCACAGCCATCGAGCGCATTGTACTCGCCCTACAATCACCGCGACCAGACCACCTAGGATACACATCCGTCGGCATCGATTCCATGACAACGTTCCGCGAAAGCATCGGTATCAGAGTCAATCGGCATGACGAGCTGGAGTTGGTGTTTGCACATGATCAGCATATTAGACAGAGGGGTTGACGAAGATTGAGCGGAACAAGGCGTATTGATCGGTTCTCGACGCTGATTGAAGATTGCTGATGATAGCTTTTCGAGACTGGAAAGCGCCAATGCATTGATCTGGTAGGAATTTGGCATGTAAGATGCGTGGATATCTGATGAGAAAGGACAGTAAGGAAACAAATTATGCCGAAAGGGCATAAGTGGTGAGTAGATAGCCTCCGTAGTTTAGGGTAGATGAAACAAAGTGCCAGTCGATTAACCAAGCGCTAGCCTCCAAAGGATGATAAGAAATAGCAACAAGCCGCTGGGAATTTCTAAAAAAAAAAGACTTGCTGTGCGGTGAAATGTTTTTACTGCATCCTCTTCCGCTTCCTAGGGTCCTCGGGCTCATCTTCGTCTGCTCGCTCAGCTGTCTCGGCAGGGTTAAGAAGAGAATGCACATTTGATGCCATGCTGGAACGACGTGTTGGCGGGCCAGGTGTATCGAAGCCTTTAAACGGGTATCGGGCTCCAGGAAGAGTCCAACCACTGTCTGGGTTCAGTGACGATGGAGGGCCATCTGGTGGTGTGCCCTGCCTCGATGTCCGCCCACGAGGGCCTCGAGGAAGCTGATATGATTCTAGAGCGTTGCGAAGTTGCTCGTCGCCACCACCAATCGGTGCTCTATGTGGTGAAGAAGGCCATTGTGTAGAGTTGTGGCCAGATGCGTATGGCGAATGTGTGGGTGGGGGCTGTGGTTGCCAGCCAACGGTGCGGATGTCAGCAGAAGTGTGTCGTCGCTGGAAGTGGTTGTAAGGAGGCGATGCGCCGCTTCCCATGTTATTCCCTCCATTTCCTCCTGGCGCTTGGATTGAAGGCGGAGGAGGCGGAGGAGGTGGAGGCGGCTGATGTGCAGCTGGCGGTCTGGCTGATGATGGGGAGTAGTTCCCTGTGCCAATCGAGCCATATCGACGTGGTGAGATTGCAAGATGCGCTGGAACTGGAGGCTTCACCGGCGTCTGTCGTGGAAGGCCAGCCAATGATCCTCGCCGAGAATCTGGATATTGATCATGAGGCATTGCGCGTGGTGAGAGGGGTGGACCGTTGTTGTCCACTTGCATGAAGTACGGTTGCCGTGCTGAGGACGGCTCCTCCGGTTGATCTAGTGTGCGTAGCATATCGGTGTATCGGCTGATGTCTCGTTGCATCACTGCGACTGGTATCGATAGTCAGTACTTCATCTTTTCAACAACACCTGGTCTACATACTGTTTTTGTGCACAGAGTGCTCTGGATCTGGCACTAGGTCCATGATGTGATGAGTCAACTCCTGGTTCCACTACAATCCCGTTAGCTAGAGAACACAAGTATTATATAAACGTGGCGTACCTGATGGCAGCGCATCATGCCTTCCATTAAGACCGCTGCTTTCTGACTGAGATAAGCGCACGTATCTTCTGATCGCTGAATCTGCGAATGCATGTTGTGCAAATTATACTCCAAAGCATTCAGCCGCGACTCGACAGGATCCGGCATCTGCTGCTCGACAGGCTGTGTAGGAGGTAACCCGATGGGAATCTTAGGGGTGGAGAAAGAGTCTCGGTGTATGAGCGCGTGCCTCGAGGCTCGTCGTTTGATCTCACGCAAGCCTACAAGATCGCCGCGCTTGAAGTTCCCATTTCCGTGCTTGAACTCCCAGAGAGGTGAGTCTGGCGATCCAGTGTGGAATACGTCGCTCACTGCTCGACCTTAGCAACCCTTCCGCAAAAAGTATGCGCACGCCACCCACCTTTATGAAAACCGTACATGTTCAATTGTCGCACGAAAGATGAGATGTTGGTGTGCTTGAAATATGAACTGCAGTGTATATCAGTATTGCACGACACGAGAAAAGCTGGTGTGGTACATACGACAGGACTTTTGAGAACTCGCTGGAAGGAGACATGACGAAGCTTTCATTTGTGCTAGACCAAGAAATGAGATGCTGGATGCTTTGGTCTTCGAGCATGCTGAGTCTATGTTAGTACTTGCATACATTGCCCAGGTCTGGGGTAGACGCACTTGTAGAGTTTGTGTATGAATGCCGTCTGAACCACCTTGGGTTGCTGTGCGGCTGCTGCAGCGCCCACCGCGGGCGCAGAACTGCCATTGCCGTTGGGCGTGTTGTTGTCTGAATCGCCGTTCGCTAATTGACTCTGCGCGTGTGTCTGGTGTGTCGGCGTGAGGTGTTGTCGATCTATACTTGGCGCAATCAGGCTGGGTGGGCCCATGGCCGAGGTTGAGGACGGCGTGATGTCCATTGGGTCTCGCGGAGGTGCTAGCGAGGAGCTGGAAGAGGGTAGGATGGGAATCGACCTGTGCATGTTCGGGTTGTGGTCGCCAGAGAACGGGCTCCGGCGAGCTTCTGCGACAGAAGCCATGGTGTGGAGACGCGGCGGGGGAGGATGGCAGCAATGTTGAGGTTTTGGGCTGCTAAGCCAATAAGGCCCTTGAACAGCGCCCTGGAGCCGGGATGGAGGTTTTCGCAACGAAGAAATGTTCTGTTAATCCGCAAAAACACTGCTGGATTGGGCTGCAGGGTCCCCGATATAGGGCAGATTGGCGGTGCGGAGCGGCAACTGGAGGTGTTGTTCCAGAAAGGTCGGCAACGAAGACAAGCCGTCGTTCGCTGCTAGGAATCGGGAGCTGCCGACGAACAGAGGCTTGCCGTGGCGCCGGGTAGCAGCTCGGGAGCTGTCCTGCAGCGATGAGGGTGAGAGAAGCGTGGGATTATCTACAGCATCTATAATATGGGACGGATGGCTTCCACGTATTGCTATGCTATGCAAATGAGGGAAGAGGCACGGCGCGTCGGCTATGGCGGACTAGCAGCAGCGCTGGCCGCGAAGGGAGCTGCTGAGACAGTGGAGGGCGTGTGCCGCAAAAGTATCATCTGTGAAAGGATAGGAGATGCCAGGCACAGGCCATGCGTGGAGGCCAGCAGCGTTCCCCTCGATGATCTGGCACAAGCACAGGACACACTCGATATGAGGGGATCGATGGCAGTACTGAGCGTCTGGAGGCCTCTGCGCAGCCAAACTGGCAGTGGAGCTGGAGAGGCACGATCAAAGAGAGCAAATGGATGGTGGCAAAGACTGCGCATCTTGGGTCGCAGTCAGCAAGCCCGCGACGGCGCCGGAGCAGGTTTACCGTTTGTTCTTGTGCAGCTTCCTGACAAGCAGCTCAAGGTTCGCGCAGACGTCGGCCGGCCACATGCATCCTCATCAAGTGAAACGGCCGCGGCACTCCGAACAGTCTTATAACCACCCTGCTATAACGCTTAATGTCTGGCTGTGGGGTCTGATAGCGTGTCAGCTCTGACAGACAGCTCCTTATGTCATTTGTGCAATCCAGTGTGCTCTTCAGCGTGACTGCACAACACGGTAATGTCAACAACTGCGAGGCGTCGGCACCGTACCCGCTGTAAGCCATCTCTTCGGAACATTTCGCGATTGCTGCTGCAGCACTGTGATGTGCATGCAGTTCGCTTTGCAAGTATCGGCACTAGTTGCCACGAGGATGCCCCATCGTGCCTTCCTCGACGAAGAGATCGTCAAGAGGGGTACGTTTTGACGACCGTGCCACTTCCTTCCATATACCTTGATTAACGTCACCGAACGTGTCAGGTCGGCGAACTCTCTCCCTTTGCTGTAAACCCTCCCGTCGCTACCCCGGATGAGCTGCTCAATTGCCGAAAATGGCGAGCAGTGATTTGGCGGAAGCGTTCACGCGACTGTCAACCTCTGGCTCGAGACTAAACGCTCTGGAAGCTTTGATTAAGGAGCTGACGCCATATGAGTGGAGGTTTGTCCAGTCTCTTACCAACCCACGAACTTTCCAGTGTGACATCATCGGGCAACTACCCGTAGAGCTTGTCTCTCACATATTCTCGTATCTTGATACATCTACACCGTGGCGACTGCAGCTTGTAGGTCAAACCCGTACGATTGTTTCCACCTGAAGAATTCACGTTGCACAAAGTCTTAAGAACTGTTTCGTTCATAACAGTCTTCTCCTGCTATGCCGAGGCAACCGCCAAAGAGTCTGTGAGAATGTAGACTTACATATACTAACCACCGGCAGGTATCTCGTTCCTGGTCTGAGAAACTGCGAAGCTTGGTAGTACTTAAGCCCAGCCTCGACAGCTGGTACGATGGCAGGGTCAATCTTCAAGGCGCCGACCTTGACTTTTGCTGGCACAAAGCTCGAAGCATTCATGCTTTCCGCCACGCTTCTCAATCAGCCCCGCCAGACAGCAGTTTCAAGATATCGGCACCCTTTCATTTGGGCGAACAAATACTTGCTGGCGACAACCTGATATGGCTCGACAAAAACCGCCGTCAAGTGCACGTGCTAAACTTGAGGTCATTGACCCATAAAGTCCTCGTCTCCATGGCCCGCGGCATGCTTCGAAATCTTTATGCGTCCGACGAGTTAGTAGTGTTTACTCCACATACCAACGGAACCGTTTACGTTGGCGAACTGGACGGTCAAAGCCCATTAAAACAATTTCGGTTTATCAATTCAGCCCTAAATTTCGCCGTAACGTGTCGACATCGGACAGTGGCATGCGCACAGCACCTGCAAGGCCGGACACGCGTCTACATCTGGAACTACGACACTCAGCAGGGCAGATCATTCAACGTCAGCAATGATACGCCCATGCTTTCAGGGGATCATCTAAATCCTTCGATGTTTTCTGATTTAGGGTTGCTTCTACAACCGGACACTGAAACGATTGTGTTATGCCTGCTCGCCCAACCTAATAGTGAACAGAATCCCGGCAATAGCCCTCAGGTGCTCTATTATCGATTCACTTTCGCAGGCGAATATCTCCACAGTGCCAAACAAGTACTCGACGGGTACTACGACGACGACATCAATATCGAATTCGGCGACCGGACAAGCTTGAAATTCATACCCGCGAGTCACGATGGTCTGTTCATGTTGCAATGCAACGCATGGGTATCGTCTTATGCAATTAAAACCGTCCACACACTTCAATTCGATGAAAAACTGCATGCCTTCACAAGCCCTCGGCACTCCAGAATGTACCCGATTGACCAACACGATCAAGGCAACATTGTTTGGTGGAAGAACGTTTTCATCGAAGCCGGCACCAAGGAGAACATTGTCGTTCACCGGGGCACTACCTCTCATCCTCGCCATGACCCAGCGGTGGTGTACGTTCATGTCGAGCCTGTGCGAAGGGCTGATAGAGAACGGCAAATGAACTTCAAAGACCTTCTCATTAACGACATGTACATTGTACGGCCGTATTGCGATGCATTTTATGTCTACTGCTACGATCATACTGTGCAGTTGCCAGGAAAGGAGGGTACATTGGATGGTGTGGGGCCCTGGGAGGTAATTGAGCCCAGATCTGCGAGCGTGAGCGAGTGTGTAGGAGGAACGGACGGCACATAATTGCCTAGGATGTACTGCAGACCTCAAGGTCTGTTGTCTTGGAATAGGGTTGATGATTGCTCTTTGCAGCAAGGGGAACGAATCCACAGTTAGCTGTATATACGAGTATAATTCAAACACAGTCAGCGCTACGCGTGTCGAATACAATTGAGAGCGCGGCACGAGTGAAAAGAAAGGCAAGAAAATATAGGTCAAGGCCTAGAAGCTAACGTCTTCCACACTAGCGCGGGGCTGCTCGACCTCTCAAATTTACCCCACGCCTCATTGTCGGCGTACTCCGCGCCCAAGATTTTTCTTTTCGATCTCAATATTAGACCCCACCGACCAAGCTCGGTACCTTATAATTTATACTTTGCGCCTCACCCGTGCTTCTGTACTTTACATACAACAACCGCAACCATGGTCGAGAAGCTCTACGTCACATACAACCAGGTACGTACATAACCGCGCCGCAGTAGGCACTGTGCATGCTGTACTACGGTTGACCTCACTGTCAATGTACTACCCTACGACACGCAATATGTCACAAACCACACTTTCCAGCGTTCCAAGCATGTCTGGTTCTGCGTCGTTGCTCCACGCCATTACTTCGGCTCAAACTCAATGCAATAACATACTGACACACCACAGGTGCACAAGCATTGCCAGGATGCTGCACCCAGGATCCTCGAAGAATTCAAGCCCAACCTCATGATCGCCATCGGCGGCGGCGGTTACGTCCCCGCGCGCATTCTGCGCTCCTTCCTAAAGCGCGACGGCTCGCCCAACATCCCCATTCAGGCGATCGGTCTCTCTCTGTACGAGCAGCTCGGCGGCTCTGGCGACTCCGAGGTCGAAGTCCCCGGCACAAAAGTCACACGTACTCAATGGCTCGATCTTTCTTCTCTCGAGATGGCCAACCTGATCGGCAAGAATGTCCTCATTGTTGACGAGGTCGATGACACAAGGACAACGCTCGAGTACGCGGTGCGCGAGCTCGAGAAGGATGTCGTTGAGGCGCAGAAGAAGTCTGGACGCACAGGGGAGAAGACCACATTCAGCATTTTCGTGCTGCACAACAAGGACAAGGCAAAGAAGGGCACACTCCCCGAGGAGACTCTCAAGGGAAGGTATTTGGCTGCGGAGACCGTCGGCGACGTCTGGATCAACTACCCTTGGGAAGCTATGTACGTTCTCATTCTCCTGACCTTCATGAGCCGAGTGACTAATACTTGTCTAGTGACATTGACGAGCACGACCGTCTGTCCGCCGAGGCCGAGAAGAACAAGAAGGCCTAAATCACAAGTAGTTACCAGCTTTGATTTATGATACCAGGAGAAAGTGAGGAGAGCTTAGGGAAGAAAAAAGCATCACATTGACGACTTGGCATTTGAGCATTTGCAGGCAGGGATACACAGGAGTTGGCGGATACTGATCTTCAACGACAGTCATTTGGATAATCGGCTCGGAGCCTTACCGTGGGATAGACACTGGATGGAAACAAAACTCGAAAGAGCATTGTTTCACCACTCCCTCTGTTCCTGTGACCTCACGTTCCATTTCGAATATCCCTTCATACATGAAGGCACCAAAGCAGCGCTTGGAAGCACTGTCTCATAGGTGCATCTGATACATGGCGTTGGCCGCAGACTTGCTTCACATGTCCATGATCCGAGGTCGAGTTGAGTGAGACAAGCAAAAAGAGATCTTTAATTTAGGAAAACACCCGCAGCACCTACCTCCAACATCGCTCGTAGCTAAGCTGAGAAAATCGATGCTTTGAGCCGTATGACGTTCAGAGCTGCAACAAAAAGACAAAAACATACAACAGCAGGTATTCGCTAGTGGTCACCCACCTAACTACTAATCTGCCGGTACATTGCTTAAATAGGGCTGAGCGAACGGGAAGC